ATTTTGATACCGGGACAGATGGAACTATTGCCAACGGTTCCGCCCTATCTCATCAATGTGCCGTGATATTGATTAAACATGGATACCACCACACGCTCTATTAGTACTCCCAAGCGCAGTGTCATACCAAGACATGGGGGTTTCTATGGACGGAATGGAAAAGAAATAAAACCTTGTCATTAATTTATTTGGTGATTTTCGTTTTTTTTTTTGTTCTGATTACACGTACAGAGGGCTTGTAGTATTATTTTAATTTTCTCTCCCCTTTTCAAAGTCGCCACTGTTGGCACGTTCCAACGGTAACCGTCCAAGCACACGGGAAAACATTCGTGAGCATCCAGTTCTAAAGTTCCCACCAAGATTTGCACGGCAAACGCAGATTACTCGAAGATATTCGAGTTCGTCTCAACTTATCGTATTCCCATCGAATAAAGTGGATTTGAAGGTAGACTAGGAATTCTGACACGACCTAAGGAAACAATCTCCACGACAGCACACTCAAAGGAACAAAAACGAGAAAAAAAAAAGAAAAAAACGGGAAGCAGCCGGACCGTTGGCAGACCCACAGCGTTGCTAGACCGCCTCAATCGGCGGGGACATTCTATTGAGTGTCTTCTTGTTGGAAGGGAACTCCATGCTGAAAGAGGAGCTTAGAGGGCAGTTCCCCTGAGAAAATGAGATTAGCGAAGCCGAGATTTCCCTGAAGTGGGTTGGCCGTTTTTGTTTTTGTTTTTGTTTTTGTTCTTGTTTTTTGTTTTTCTTTTTCCTTCCCGTTGAACTCCACGCCATCTTAGGCAATGGACCGAAAGGATGCCTTCGACCCACTGACGTTGCAGAAAGTCCATTTTCTACGCAAATCCCGAGTTGCCCGGAGAATCACCGTGTGGCTCCGTGATCGCCTTGGGGAAAAGTCTCCGATTATGGAGCGCCGGAGAATAAATCGAGTGTGAAGTATAGTACAAGATATGGATATTGGATATTGATATTGATGTGATGGTAAAAGCCTCGGTCCAGATCTCTGTCGGAAACTTTCAAGTCGTGATCTACTCGTACTAACACTTGTACTAACACTAGGTTGACAGCGAAGCTCTTCATGTCATCTACCAAACTAATGGAGTCAAACTCTTTGGGCACTTTGCCACCTGGATTTTCCGATGTACCATTTCCCATCTCAGTGGCCTTTGAGTCGATCTGCGGAGATAAAGACCGGAAGCCGAGGGAATGTGGCAGCCGAGATTGCCTCCATAGCCACGCGACAGAAACCACAAAACGAATTGAGGATTGAGATCCGCCCGGTGGAGACGGTGGAGGCGACTATCGCTCCAGGTTTCCATGGCTCCATTTCCAGAATATCAGTATTAACCCGGATTATAAACTGTTGATGAGGCGCCTCACCGATAAAAAACTAGCTAATAGGGATACGAGTATGTCTCCTTTGTCGCCTGGCCTGTGCTGATGCTCACCACACTCGTTGTACAGCTACTGTAATGATCCGTTGCGGGTCGAGAGACGGCTGACGGTAGGGGTGTGCGAGTACTCGTACTATGAAGGCTGAGCTCGTGTCGAGCTTGTTTCTCTCGTCAGTGCTGAACCCAAGGGTATGGTTACATGATTCATGTACATTGCATCGATCAGAACTGGACATCCACGAGGAGTAGTATGTCCAAATCGAGCAGATCGCTGGATGAAATGCCCTATTGAGCAAGGTCTCTCAAGCTCCGATGCCTAGGTATGCCCGGCCGAATGTCCAAGAGTGGTGCGAATACCTGCTTACAGGTACGACTGATGTATAAGCCATGAAAAGGCAAATGGCTTACAATGATATTTCAGAAACACACTTGTCGGATCCGTCGGGACGTGTGCATATCCATGCTCGAGTGGATTCACCAAGATATAGCCTCGAGAAAGCACCAAAAGAGGAGATGCTGATATCATCTTACTTATTTACCTCTGAAGATTACTAAATGGGCACTGCATGATCCTAAGATGAGTCTTCAAGTCAGTGGAAGAGATTCTTGCCCAGGTGGATGATTGAAGATACACAGATCAAATCAATCAGCCAGACAGGAAATGCAAGACATGGGTTGCGTCTCGAGGGTACGGAGTACAGAGACAACCAATGAATTCACGAATTGATCGACACTCTTCTTTTGGCTTTTTAGAGTCGAGACTACGTGGATCTCAACGTCTATTCCCCTTTCCGGCATCCAAAATGCATGCAGCGAAAATCCCATGCAACGGAATTTGACCGATCTCGATTTTAGAACCGGCCGTTCGGGGGAAACCCGGTCGAGACTGAGACGTTTCTCCCTGGGACCTGCTGGTGAACGATCACATTCGATGTCTTACGGGCCATCCGATATTTTGGATACAAATTGTGTCTATAGAGTACTGAGGCCGTCGGAGGCAACCAAGTCCTCAGTACGAATTCGATGCCTCTCGAATATACTCCACGCTCAACATTCAAGCCACTTGACTGACACTTCGCACGTACCCCGAAAGCTAGAGAAACAAGCCGTTGCCAAGAGCAGACGCTCATCCAACCGGCGAGATGGAAAAGGATAAGTGGATTGGACCTGTCTAGCTTGCTAGAGCAGGGTTTATTCCAAATCGAAACGGTGATCTGGAATAAGCATAAGCATACGAGCGTCACTCAGGCCCACACCGTCATGACTATACAAGAACGCAAATACTGCTTGCTCAAAGGCTAAGTGGCTAAAGGACATTGATCTAGGGTCTTGGGAATAGTGTGTACAAAGCTGCAGGTGCATGGTCCGTTTCAGTATTTGACATCCTTGAAGTACTTATGCATCCAAGACTTTTGACGTATGCAGCAGCAAAAAGTCTAGCCTAGATTCATACTTGCAGCACGCATCGATCGAATCATGATAGAGTTTCGTTTCTTTTCCTTCTAATTCTCTCTCTCTTTCTGGCATCCGAGCTTTCCCCCGATCCCAGGAGGCTCACATGGATTTCCCGGCCGATTTGGAATTGACAGCAGCCAATTTCCCTTCAAGACATGGCTGATATAGACTGTCTGGTTTTGATTGATCATCCAACATTTGAAACTCATGTCTGTTTGCAAGTAGCGTAGACGGCCATATTGGGAAAACGTGATTTTACGATTTATTTTAACTTTGCCCTCAACGGCTAGAAAATGACAGCTAGCCGACAAAAGTACGACCTCCGCTCTTCTTTTTTCTACTGATCCAATAACTGGACTTGTGGTGCCCACTCGATTCGCGCACCCCCCTGAATTGTACCACTGAATACTCCATACAGCAGAACATATCAGCGAAAGAACAGGTTCGGTCTAACTGCCCTAGTGTGCTCCCAGTATGCTGGGAATTGCCGGAGTGGAGCCAAATCCAGAAAATTTCATTTCACCCTTGGACCTTTTCCACCAGGGCCGGCCAATAGGGTAATTCATGGCTATTTTTGTCCCTACAAGGGGAAGGTGACTGGGCGGACTAGCAAGAATATCGTGAGCCAGGACAGATCCGTGCGATTGACGAGAAGCGCTACGCCTGAAGGATCGGCATTCTTCAATCAAAGTAACCACGACTATCGATACATGGGCTAGGTCCCCGCAGATCCATTTCCTAACGGTCAGGAGACTTGACGTGAAAACGGTTGTGGTTCTGACAGAATCTGACAGTGGAGTGGGGACCATTGAAACCCACAGTGGCTCACGAATTGTCGATGATCCTCGTACAAGTTACTCGTGATTTGACCCCCTTTGACACCCTGTGTTTAGTGATGTTTTATGTTCAAGTCCACCCGTCGGACTCCTGCCCAGGATAGAAGGTTGATGTCTTGAGCATGAAAACCAGATGAGGGTCTCGACCCCTCAACCTTGACGGCAGCCAAGGTACCTCCCTAATCCCAACACAGTCAAGGCGCCGGAGATCTGGATGAGCGGGCAGTCTAGCCGCAAGTGAGTGCTAGATTTTGGTCTATCTGGGTATGATCGGGATTACTGAATCGCATCGTACGATATTAGTTTTTGGCTTGCATCGTACAGAGTACAGGGAATCGCGTATTTCAGTCGTTATGATGGCTCCCAGACCATATGTTCTGGCCGCCAAAAACCCAAAAGCACAGTGACATGACTCTTTGATCCACAGAGGCAATACCAATGCCAATCATATGTCGCCGAGGTCCTCCTATTCTGCGTTGATTCATGCATCCGCTGGTAACCCTATCCACACCCATCTCAAATCCCGGTCTTGGCTCCCACTTTTGTACTTGTATGTACGAGTATAAGCACGCTAGTGAGCTGTACCTTAGCCTCGCCGGGTTCTCCGGGGGGCCAATTGTAGACTTCCGATGACCTCAAACGCCAGGGTTGGGCGGCAGAGAAGCCCGTCTTTTCAGTCTGCTCGCAGGCGGCTATGCAATGCAGCGTGCCGTATGGAGAACAACGGAGCCGAATCGAGAACATCGGCCACCTGTTTCTGGCCATGGTAGCTAAACCCTAATTGAGGAGGCTGGAGTTGACGAGTATCGTGCATCTGGACTCGTGTCGTGTCAATCCAGGCTTTCGACGTCCATCATGCTTGATACTTGTCATATTCAACGTAGAATCAGATAGTTGCCTTTCATAGTATTAATGCAGCATTGAAAGTGCATCCAGGCCTGTTTCACAGAACAGGTCTGACGTACATGGTTGATGTACAGAGTACAGAACAGAGTTGCGTTGTTTTATGCGTCTCTCACTGACGGTCCCCCAGATTGACAAGATCTGCGTACTACCCCCATTACTGTGTGGTGTTCCTAATCCCGTCTAAACACGACTTATTTGAGGCTACCCAAGTGTCGATGCATTGTCTTGTCATCAAAGTGCTCAAACAGGTGATGTTTGTATGTAGTCACGTGACAGGTGTGAAGAAGCGGTCCGTGCACGAAGCTTGAGGGTCCCCACTTGAGCTTCTCGAGGTCGTATTCATTGTTGTCAGACCTCACTTTCTCTTTTTTATCTCTTCATTACAGACTACAGCATGGCTTCATATCTGTCTTTGGTGGAGATTCCCACCGTTCGAAGTCTGTTTCAAGCGAAACAATTACTTCCTGTGCCTTCGCAGTTTGCACCATCAAAGACTCTCAACAACACCATCTCCATAATTCGCAATGATATCACCAAGCTGAAAGTCGACTGCATCGTGAATGCAGCAAATGGGTCTCTACTCGGTGGCGGAGGCGTGGATGGAGCGATTCATCGCGCTGCGGGACCCGAGCTGGTCAGGGAATGCCGTGAACTTGACGGATGTGACACAGGCGATGCCAAGATTACTTCTGCATACGAACTGCCTTGCAGGAGCGTCATCCACACCGTTGGACCGATTTATTTTATCGAATTTCGTGAGGATCCCCGTCGTCCTGAGCAGCTACTTCGCTCCTGCTACCGACGCAGTTTGGAAGAGGCTGTTGCCAACAACATGAGGAGTATTGCTTTTCCTGCCATCAGTACCGGTGTCTACGGCTACCCCAGTGACAAGGCTGCTAGAGCAGTCCTTGATGAGACTCGCATTTTCCTTGAGAAGCCTGTTAACATTGGAAAGCTGGAACGTGTGGTTTTCTGCAACTTCGAGCAAAAGGATGTGCAGGCCTACAAACAGCTGACTCCGTGAGTTAAGTCCTTCACTAACACTTGGCGACGGAGGCTGATGATCTTGTTAGTGAGTACTTCCCTGCCACTGCAGAGGACTTGACCGAGTCCGAGGACAACGATGCCTAATTACTCCCCTACACACGAGCAAAACCCCCATGGGAGTGGAAGCGCAACGATAACAATGCCCGGCAACGACGTCTACGTACCAACAATGAAATACCACGAAACCATGGCTTACACGAAATTCCCTCATTTGCACTATGCCGATGTCGCATGGCTGATATCCAATCATTTCATTAGAATACAAGTCAGCTTCTATCATTTTACCGGTGGGCGGGACCATGAGGAAGGATCACTGAATCTGATGGAGACGACTGGCGGGGAGCCGGAGGAGAGCCAGCTGAGAGTAACAGAGATGGGAGCGCCGGGTGGATATCAGACATGGCGTCAGAGAAAAGCAGTTTAAATGAGTTCAAGGCATCACAATATCTTTATTTTTTCCTTTTCAGAAAGGACTAGGCAAAGCCACCCGCTTCCTGGCAGCGGTGTTTTGTACGGCTTGCTTAGACATGCAAACAGTGCAAACTTCCTATCAGATCGCATCTGATCATCATTCCTGTCGAGGACAACTCCAGCCTCAATTCAAGAACGCTCTTCAATTGCCGGTCGCGAGAAGAACAAGTTACCATGCTGCAGTGAGAACCTCTCTATCAACTTAATTGGGCCTCTTCTCCCACCCTCCGCCGTACCATTCACCACCTCAAAATGTCGAAGCCACGGGCAACGCCGGCACCAAATGCGCGATACCGAGTGCAAGCCCCAGAGGCACCAGTACCAAAGTCTCGGGGGCCCCCCTACAAAGAATCAGCACCGGCAGCACCATCAGGCCCATCCCTGTCCAAACGAAAACGCCTTCCACTCTCAACTCTCCTGACAACCCTCCGCCAACGCTTCAGCGCACTCCCCTCACCCATCCGACGAGCAGGCCGCACTCTCCGCTGGCTAGCCCCAGTCATCCCAATCGCTCTCTACTTCCCCGAACACGTCATGCAAGTGATGTGGGTGCGCGGCCCATCAATGACACCCTACCTAAACGAAGACTACGAGCAATCCCAAACAAAAAGCGATATAGTACTGGTCAGCATGTGGCCATGGGGATCTATAATTCCATTCCTAAAACCACCGAGGCTTGAGCGTGGAATGGTCGTTACTTTCCGGTGAGCGAGCTTGGATTTGGAGAACTAGAATGCCCCATACTGATGACTTATAGCTCCCCTGCAAACTCCTCCCATATTGCCATCAAGCGCATCGTCGGATTACCCGGTGATCGTGTAACGACGCGAGAGCCATGCATGCGGCCGACGCAAATCGTGCCCTGGAATCATGTTTGGTTGGAGGGCGATGCACAGGATCCTCGGAAGACAATGGATAGCAATACGTATGGGCCGGTTAGTCTCAGTCTGGTTACTGGGCGGGTGTGGGCGGTTTTGGGCCCGCGGATGCGTTGGTTAGATTGGAGGGATTGGGAAACTGACAACGATGATGCTGTCAGTATACATCGGAAGAGTGTAAGAGATCGTGTGGTTAAGGATGCTGTCAAGCTCGAACAGCCATTTTTGAACTGATTCGGGCCTAATCTGCACAGATGGGGGTTTTTTACATTTGTTCATAGATTTTGGTCTGAAATCTGATGCACCCTGTAGAATACATCATGTAAATATATACTGAGCATTTTGGAATTCATTGGATTACTATTATGAGTAACAATGCCGAGGTGTGATATGTGCACGTAGGTTGAACAATGTTCCCGAAATAAGAGGGAGTAACGAGTGGTATATACAAGGGACTGCGTAGCACCCAAAATAGTCAGAAATGGAAGGCCAGCGTGGAAACAAAATGTCGAAAGAAGTAATTAAGGAGAAACAAGCCGTATATCTTCATGTTTCTCTTCTTGGAGACGATCAATCTCCGAAGAAATGCTCATCACCCAACGGTCCTTCTCGACACGACTACGTGCTTTGAATACAACTGTGCGACCATGTTTACCCAGCGTCGACACATGGCGCAGGGAACGTTTGGCTTTGCCTCCCGCTCCCACTTCCTGGGCTCGGAAGTAGCTCTTGCTCAATGGCTGCCAGACCACAAAGGTAATAGCAGTATCCTCGTCGCGGCTCGTGAACGCATCTGAGTCAAGATACACTCGAGGGAGAGCATGAAGGCCAGGATTGTTGCTGTCGAATGTTTGGTTCGCATATAGCAGATCATTCTCCGTAAGTAGCCCCGAATATATGTAGCAATCCTCTAGCTCAATTGTTGCCTCGAGTTCTTGGTGGATATGTGGGATCTCGACACCACTGCGCTTACGCATTGTGCTTCGGAAAACAAGGAGCTTGCCGGCTGTGAGTATCAGGTGGCACTGCTTAAATGTGGCGTGTCGACGGGGCTTGCGGAACAAATCACCAGACATCTATAGCGTGTTGTTAGTATAGTGTGTCTCAAAATGACTGTTCTTGGGTTCATTACCTTGATTGTTCGACAGCCCGCCAACGAGCACATGTTGTGCAGGTGTGGCGAAGCCTCGGCCTTCGTCACTTCCCATTTCTTTGCAAACTGCCCGACAATAGATTCCATCGCTTCATCGATGTCCAGCAGCTTGAGATTGCGCTGTCGCAGCAGCCGGTGCTCTTTGGCATCATCCGCACAGCGTGTACGCCAGTAAGTGACCAATGCACTCAGTCTTTTGACCCACTCGTCCCTTGTGGTGGCATCATAGGCCTGAAGTCGGATGACGAGACCATTGTCTAGGGCCATTTTGAATGTGCGATCATCATCGAGATCCTGTGTCGCTCCGTCTTCTTGACGTGAGTCTCGGGGCTCGCGATCGAAGTCCACAGAAGGACCTTCCTGGATGTTGGGATCGGCGGGGGAGCTGCCGCGATGGATGTTGCGGACCTCTTGCACCCGGCACAAATCAATGTACCCGTCCGCATTACTGATGTTGTGCACATTCCTTTGTACATGCGCATAAGCATCTTCGTCGTGCCTTTTAACAAAATCCTTGTTTCCGTTGGAGAGCCACGCTATGCTGCCATCTTGCAAAGGATACGGATTGACATCCCAGGATAGCGGCATAGCATCCAAGATTTCGCGAGCAGATGGCACACTTTCATCTAATCTCGGGGCACATTTTGGTGGTGCTGGTGGCAGTGCCTTGGCTGGTCGGCAGAAGAACAAGTGGTGATCTTGACTGAAGAAGTACAGTCGCTTGAAGAACATTCTGTTCATCCGTTGGTGTGCACCCCTTTGAGATGTTAAACGGACCAAGAATCCCTCGATAGGTTCAGGTTCCTCTTCTTTACCACCGCGATGGCGAATGGCAGTAGAATAGTGATGTCTTGGCCGCAGCTCAAGCTCGTGGGATGACTGCATTGCAATAGTCCCGTACATCTTTTCTTCGTTGACTCCAAAAACCCATTCAAGTCGGTCGTATCTTTTCCATGCAAGACCCATTTTCTCAGTCTTAGACCATGCCTTGAGGACCTCAGCCCACTCGGCACGACCTTCCAACATTTCCATACAGCCCCGAATGATGTTTGCAGCAGCAAACCTGACATCCGCCTCTTGGCGATCGGCTGCTGCAGCCATTTGGTCGCTATCGGAGCTATCCGCTTTCAGGTCTGCCTCGCGCCGACTGAAAGGGTTTTTGAAGACGAGCGAAACGCCGAGGTCGGGTACGTGGATTGGCAGTGTGGTCGGGCGCCGCCATCCTAGAACTTGCCGAATAAAAGTATACCATTCCGCAGAATGAGCTGCAGACTTTGGGCGGAGAATGAAGATCTTAGTCCCACGTCTTCGAGGATACCAAATCACAATAGTCTTGTCCAGAGGCGAATACAGGTTGACATGCGTAGTCTTGTGGTTGAGCCGCACTTCGTAATAAGGGGGTGTTCTGCTGTTTGGGCGTTGCACATCGGGAATCACACGTGTACGATACATCTGGATGGCGAATGGTGTATGCTCCGCCGAGCTTTTGCGGCAGACGACGAGAAATTCTCTCCATTTATCCACGGTCCGTGTCTCCATGCGAAGACTGTCATTTTCATTATAGTCGGCCGGGAGTGTACTCTGCATAGTCTCCTCGACACAGACTAGCATCTTCTCTGCTTTGACAATCTCTCCATCTTGCACTTTCCGCCGGCGTGGCCGGTTGGCAGAGATGGTACCCTGGGTCTTCGCAATCCGGGTGCGTAATCGTTGCTGCTTGTGTTTAATATTATCATCCAGGTTGAGCTTTGCCATCTTCCTAGTGAGCCTCCGTTGTATTTGTGGGTCTCCTGTGCCATCTTCATCTTCATCTTGGGGTTCATGGTGTTGAAGAGTCGCCCGAGAGACACCAGATGCTTTGCTTCTTTGTTTGCCTTTGTCCTTGTAACGAGTTCGCAACAGTTGTGTGGTCGAATCAGCCTCGCTGGGACCCTCAGAGGGCTTGGGAGTCAGTGGGTTGTGAGAGGCGTCGCCTGTCACATTTGTATGGCGTGAGTTCTGGGACTTTGGGCGCTCGTCAGGCAGCTCCAATCTGTTGGCTCTTATGGTGGCCACTGATTGTCCGGTATCTGCAGAGCTAGAAATGTCTTCTCTAGCCGTGACAAAGGAAGACGAAGCGAGGTCATTGTCATAGACATCATCTTGTCTCCTTGGCCTCGCCTTGGGGGTGCTGTCTGTGTCCTCTCCACTATCCTCTTCGTCCTCGCCATCTTCCCAACTATCTTCTGTGGCCTCCGTGTGCTCTTCTGGCAATGGATCGTCGCCAGTGGCATCGGTATCAATCTCGGCTTCGGGATGAGTGAGAGTCCTCAGTTCGCCCACTGGCTCAGATGCAGAGTTTTCTAGTTGCTGCTCTTCTTGAACCTCGAAATCGACATCTTCGGGTTCGGCATTGTCTGTATTGGTGAGTGTCAAGGCTACCTCCTCATCCAAATCTGGCAATAAGGGCTCGGGCTGATTATCTTGCTCGCTGTAATGGGTCGCAACGGGGCCTGCCGAGAATGAGATGGCCTGGGATGTGTAGTTCCTCAGTCTTAGTCGAGACCTATACCAGGACTTGCGGTGACCCTGCAACCAACCCTCTGGAATCGGACCGACAAAGAACCGCCGGTTTGTCATATGCAGATGATTCGCAGAAGCATGACGCTAATAGAGACACCCCTGTCAATTACAGTCCAGTCATATCTCGGGCTGCATACATACCAGTTGATTGTCCGTGTAGGAGCCAGTTTGCAAGCCAAGATAATGCTCATGGTACGAGCGTGGGTCGAGGTCTGGCGACGACCCGACAGCCTGGTCCGGTGGAGTGCTCATGGCAGATTGTTACCCGCGTGGGCCAAAATGGGCGCCAGGCATGTGCGAGGGCATAAGGAGCATAGAGACAAGCAATAATGCGGGCGCAGGTAGATCATTCAGGCACATAGGGGGCCCCTTCAAGCTAAGTTTCACATAGTGCGATCGCCAATCTCGATGCAACATGGACCGATGACGTCGCTGAGTAAATAATTGCAAACAGTGCAAACATTACCAATCCGGTGAAGTGTCAACACTGTTTGCGCTGTTTGCATTGTTTACACATGCAATGTTCCTTGCCCCACCATTGGCTTGCGTGGCGGTGAAGCTGTCATTTCCCTCAACGGTCCCCTGTCTCTCCTGATTAAGCTATTTCACTTCTCTAATTGTCCTTTCTAGATCCTTTTATTCGCAAATATGGCCGCAGTTCCCGCTGATCAGACATGGTTTGACACCATCAAGAGGTCCTTCGCTGATGTCCCCATCGATGCTGAGGAGGGTGTCTCTACTACCGAGTTCCTTGAGGCCGCAGAGGCCCTGGTGACCCTGTTCGGTACGTATCTTCCCTCTGCATATTGATCATTGTGACTCAAACATGGCATCCACAGACGTGCTCGGCTCCGTCGCTTTCAACACGGTCAAGAGTGACCTGCTTGGCAACATCAAGGTCCGTAATGTCCGCTCTTCTACTGGAGTCAACATGACCTAACCCTCCCCGCAGAAAGTCCGCGATCGTCAGCTAGCCGCTCCCGCTGAGTCTGAGACTCTCCAGGCCCTTGTGCTGAACGAGTTGAAGACCAAGAAGCACACTGCCACTGAAGGTTTGGTCTGGCTGGTCCGGTACGTCAATACCCCTTAACTGCATTTGGAGAACGTCAATCGCGACACCACTCCAGTTTGTGCCAAGCGGGTTGAACTGTGGCTAACTTGTATACTTCCAGTGGCCTTGACTTCACTGTGCAGGCACTCCGCAACAACATCGAGAACGCCTCCAAGGAGCTCTCTGACTCCTTCCGTGACGCCTATGGTCAGACCCTCAAGCCTCACCACTCGTTTCTCATCAAGCCCCTCTTCTCCGCCGCCATGTCCGCCACCCCATACCGCGCCGACTTCTACCAGAAGCTCGGTCAAGATCAGGCCAAGGTCGCCGCCCAGCTGGAGAAGGAAGTTGCCGCACTTGAGAAGGTCGTCAAGATTGTGAAGGCCTTCCAGGACACCAAGCAAGCCAAGTGGTAATGGAATCGCCCTGGAGGCTTTCCATTTGATAAGGCACGTGCAGGGTGCGACTTGATCTGTATATATTCGATCTAGTTTCATTTGAGTCTGTGACTTGAATTTAGCACATTCATAATTGCATAAAGCGCTTTAAATAACGGAGACTTGAAATGCTGTCTTATAGACGGTGATATAAGAACCTTGGAAGAGACAGGAGTGAGAACCAAGTTAAGCGTGGACAAGGATAACCAGCTTCTAGCTGCTTTAGGTAAGAAGGCCGACAACCAGTGGAAGCCTCTGGTATGACTTAACCGGAGGCCGAGGCCTTTCTGTTTTCAAACCATGCTTGTGTTCATGATCATACGAAGTTTAGAACGTTTTCTGGAGAGCAAGTACACCCGGCTTGGCAGGTTGACTATTGTATATTTCACTGACTGAATACTGGACGTTACAACCTTGAAGTCAACGGAGTACAGAGCGCATAGACTACGAGTACGGGTAAACACATCCATGGTTACAAAGACCATAGTCCGAGTTTAGCTTCGAGTCTAGAAGACCCATCGATCCCAGAACATGGGATAGCCGAGATTATATTGCAGCTAATCTTAGTTTTGCACGGAAAGAGGAGTTTCCCGTGTCTCTGGGGTCCATCATCAAAGTGGAATACAAGTACGAGTACTACCACGAAAAACGGAGTGTATTGTGGGAACATCAATTGAGATCAATCGAGTATACTCCGTACGGAGTGCAGATGTACAGAGAACTACAAGTAGCATTCTCATTTTTGAGGAGGAACTACTCGTACAGGCACAAAAGCTATAGATGCAAAATGGACTATTGACCACACTATATGCAGTATGCATGCAGCCTAGGTATAGTCCGCTGTCACAGAAAAGATCAAAAGATTGCCGACTCTAGCCCTGGACTTCAGGAGTGGGTACGTAATCCAGGTAATTTCCGACCACATCCACCTGAGCACCGCATTGCAGATCTCGTGTCCCGCCGATCGTTTCTCCCAACTCCTCCAGGGGATTGCCAGATCTTGATATCGATCGGACGTTGATTCCACTTGTGATCAGTGCATTCAGTTCTATTCTTGTACCAGCCCTACTCAAGTTACCTGTTGTATACTCCGGAGGACGGAGTATAGTCGCCTCCGTATGTTCCCACTCGCACGTCCAAACCTTGGGAGTGTCATTAGCACATGGGCAAGGCCGGAGATCGCCTGCAAGAGCCCAGACTAAGCATGCAAGGCTGGGTTGAAACCCCTGAAGGCGAGGAGGCTTGAAGGCCGGTGGAATCGTTCAGCTCGAATGGCGATTGACAGCAACGGCCTCCTAATCCGCTTTAGCTCCGACGCTAGTGCCAAGGACTTTTGATTCTGTCCAAGACACCGACCCCACTGCATCGGAGTTGATTCGCGGCAATCGCTTGGCAGGTGGAGCAGGATCATTTGGCACAACGGACTCACGTCAAATCTGCTCGTGCCTTTGCCCGGGTGCGGTTCGAACATGCTCTAGTGAGAAGGACTGAGCGGCTGCAACGGAACACATGGAACCTCGTATTCAACTCGTGGTATTCCACATGGAACACATGGAATTTCCGTGGTTCTGGATTTGCCGTTCGGGACTGTGGTTCTGGTTGGTCCCTTCTATACCCAGGGTTCGTGGGCAGACAAGGTACGAGCGTACGATTGCATGGGGAGTTTCCAGGTTTTTTTAGGCTTTTCTCCCCCACAGTGGATGAGATGAAGATGAAACCTCGAACGCACCCTACGAATAACTTCTCACTCCACCTCTCCTCGATACGACCTGGTAGACTCCACAGGCCTCAAAGGGCAAGAGAGAAAAACAGTTCCGGCTATAGACAGTGCCATTGTTGCGGTAGCCACTAGCCTTATTCTTGCAAGGGTGTGTATCACTTGCGCGGGCAACTGTACTAGTAGTAAGAAAGGTTTTCTCCCGCGAAACAGAGACGGAGATCAAAGCCGCAGTAGCCCGCAGTAGCCCGCTCTCTCTCTCTTTCTCGCCTGCTTGGCAGACCCCTGCTCGCCACTGACAAGTTGGATGGTAATGCTTGGTCGTCGGCAGTGGGTTTTTTTCTAATCTTTAAACTTTTCTCTCCCCTGTCTCTTGTTCCTCTTCTCTTAAAACACCCTTGTTGTGGGGATATTGCTCGACTAGTATATACAGGTCATGACTTGGTGACATTCACATTCGGACTGTCAACATGCAACCTCTTGAAGGTCGCTCCGAGTCGATCTTTATCATCACGACTGTCTTCCTTGGGATCTCATTCATCGCCGTCTGTCTCCGATGTTTCGTGCGCCTACGCATTGTCAAGGCCTTTGGCTGGGATGATGCATTCATGGTTTGCGCAATGGTATGTTTGGCGCATTGTCAAGATGCAAGACGCAAATCGACCCAATGAATCTTTTGTGCTGATCTACTTCAAAGGTGCTGAACACTCTGTTTGCTCTATGCGGCATCACCGGAGCCCTGTATGGAATTGGACAGAAATCCAGGGTGCTTTTGATCAGGGGCACCATGGAGACTGCGATGTTTGTATGTCTCCAACATATGACGGCAATGAAATCACATGCTAACAGGATTATAGTGGTGGTGGCTTGGTCAAACGAGTTATGTATGGACGTGCGCACTGGCCAAGATTTCTATCGCATTGGCCTTGCTCCGCTTGACGGTCGCCAAGATCCATCGACTCATTCTCTACTCGGTTATTGGAGTAACATGTGTCATTGGTCTTGTGTTCTGGTTCATGTTAACTCTTCAATGCCAACCGGTATCGTTCTTCTGGCAACGAGTTCGCCTCGAATTGGATCCGACAGCCGAGGTTTCTGGAACTTGCATGAACCTCGACAGTATCATTGCAATTGCCTACGTATACAGTGTCACTGCAACATGCTGTGATTTGACATTGGGTCTTTTGCCTGTTTGGCTGGTGTGGAACTTGCAGATGAACACTAGAACTAAGGCCGCCTTGGCTGCGATTCTGGGAATGGGATGCGTGTATGTCTTGCTTTTACATTCTGACACCAACAACCTTGCTAATATCTTTGGTCACAGTGCAAGTGCAGCAGTCATTATTCGCATACCTTTCCTTCATGATTATAAAGACACTGACTTTCTTTGTGGGTTCCCGAATGCCGATTCTGAATTGCCTTGCCGATTTGAACAAGCAACGGATTGCTAATCTTTCATTTTAACAGATGCTACCTCAAACATCTCAATTTGGTCCAACGTCGAAGCCAGTCTAGGTATTGCAGCAGGCAGTCTAGTCACGCTCAAGCCGCTTTTCCGCTGGTTCAGAGACCCCAGCTCAGGCGGAGGGAGCAGGAGCAGGAGCAGAAGTAAAAGCAAGCGCACTGGCGGCAGTGTTCCTCTCTCCAGTGTCAATGCAGTGAGATCAGATACGTCTGGTACGCAGTACTGGCGACCCGACTTGGAGGATGATTCGCATGCGGTTGTCACGACAATTCATACCTCGAACCAGGCTAGTCGGACAAGCAGCCAGGAAGAACTCCACCCCAAACACAGTGGTACCTTCTTTCAGGGTGTGAATGTGCAAAAGACATTCTATGTTTCGGCGGATCAGGCATCTAGATAGCTTGCAAGGTTCTTACACTACTCGATACCCTACTAGATACCCAAAATATTCTAATTTTTATTTCTTTTAACCGTGTCCACGCACCATTTTTGGACTAAAGAATCTCATATCAACAATCACTCGTAATTTTGCTACGAATGGCCCTGGAGCGAGCTTCTCATTGCCAAGTTGAAAATTATTTGATTGAATGAAATAGTGGACCAGTACTGTCAGACTATCTAACACACATTCCCCTCCGACCTTATTTCTCTCCACCAGCAGTCGAAACAAATACGAGTACATAGCATCAACCTTAGAAGGTCTAGAATTATTACGTCACACTACACTACAAGGTGGTTGTAAATATAGTACCGTCGGAGGGCCGAGATAAGTACCACTCAGTACGGAGTACAAGGAAAATTAAGGTCGTGGTGTTTGACCCCTGCATGTGTCGCACTACTTGAGTCTAGAACTCGGGGGGCTGCCCGATTAGGGCACCACCGTTGTATACTGAAGCCATTTTGAGAATTGCCGGGGCGATTGGTTTGCCCCTCATTCCCGAAGTGGCTAAAAGTATACTTTGCATTAAGTATGTTGGGTTTCAGAGGATTTAACGAGTGGCAATTCGAACTCCCGACATCCATGGAGATTCCAAGGTTTACTCCACACAGGCGCTATGCAACGATCTCTTGTTGAGGAAAGAATCGAGATAATGAGATTCTGAAATTGTCACCTGGGCATCCATGATGACACTGGCTTATGAAGTGAGGAATGGTTGACAGGTGTCAAAGAATAAACCAATAGAATGAAGCCATTGATTATATACTATATGTCCTAAACAATTAACGCCCGATGCTATGCACATATCATTGTAAGGCAGAGTGCCTAAACGTCAGGGACGAAGACCTATGAACGACAGTGGACCTCTGAGGTGAGACCCCAGAGAACGTTTTCCAGGGTCATTGGGCTCAGATCAATTGCTTTGCAAACTACCCGTATAAACACCCTCGAAGTCAAGACCCGCAAGTATACCATTGACACGATCGATCTCACGACTCAAGTCTTCCACGTTCATGGCTAAGCTGCTGACTTCATCGAATTTCCGTCGCCGGTTGGCGTCAGCTATCATCTCAGAAACGAAGAACTTCTGTTCTTCCAGTACAATTAGCCTGTCCCGGAGGGATTTCTCTTCTGCCTCCAGGGCTGAGACAGCACTGCTGGTATCACTGGCTAGACTGGCGTTGCTACCACTGGCGGCAACGCTGTTGTATTTGATAGATGAGAGGGCAGGCTCGGGCGATCGGAGAGTTGCTGTTGAGCCATTGATTGAGGTATTTGGTGTACTTGCCCGGCTCGGAATTCTTTCCGAAGCAGGAGTGGAATGCTTGAGAACTTTGGGCAGTGTTTTCAGTGGCAGCATGTGGAGATGAAGGAAATTGCTAGCTTGTTGATAAATGGCTTTTTGCAGCCGTTGTTGTGTGGGAGACTCGGTGGGCAAATCGCGAATTCTTCTGGCGGCAACATCATATTGTGCAAAAGAATCAATCAGTCGTTTGCGGACCTTGGAGGCGTCCGCGATCTGAATGGACGATGGAGGCCGCCTTGGATCCCTGTGCCAGAATTTAGTGATTGACCGAGAACCGAAGATGTAAGAACATACTGTAAAGCCGTCAATAGCTTTTGGAATCGAGGTAAATGTAGACGGATGCCCCTTTCGAACTGGGTCAAGTTCTCATAGGCTCTGATCTCGGGTGGTTTTCGGGTGGTGTCCATTTTGAAGTCGCGGCGATCAAAAAGTGTTGCTTTACATTCCTTGCATAGTCTTACATCCACGTTGACGAGCTTTTCTGGATTTGTTTTTTCCGTGTTGGCTGGGGAAACTGTTAAATATAAGCCCAAGTTACGGAGGAGTCCATCTTCAAACTTACAAGGAGCAATGCTTAACCCAACCTCACTGGAGCACTCTGTGTTAGGATCACCACAAACAACCCGTCCACAAGTTCTGCAGTGGTGTCGGCGGAATGTATAGCCCGAGAAATCCTGCTGGCAGAATGGACACCGTGAAACACTAGCATCATCTTGCCAACTCACAATGGTTTGTTCCAGCTCTTTGCGTTGATCGCCTTGCCATGCAAGAGACCATAATTTGGTTGCACTTGGGTGTATTTGGTCAGGGGGCAGGTTGGCCAAAAGCTGAGTAAGACGGGTCAATCGTTTTTCAAGTCGAGAAATTTCCAAAAAGTCCTTGTCGACAGTTTGTTTTCTTATTGATTTGAATGCGTCAGTTTGGTTGCGAGTGGTACCTATTGCCTATTAGCTTTATCGGCTACCAAGATTCCAAAAGCCTTACCATTATGGTCATTGTACCCCTCCCTTGACTTGTAGCAAGTTTCACACACTCGAGCCCATATCCCTCGTACGGGTTCATGGTGTGCCGCGCGTGAGAGTTTCATTTGATACATGGTATGCTCTTCGCAGAATAACTTGCCACAGCTCCGACAATTAACACAGCCATTGGTGGCATTCAACCGTTTCCCACACGATGGCTCCAAACACTCATCGTAAAGGTAACTTGTTTGCCAGTGCTCTTTTGTGATAAGATCTTCGGGGTCGAGTGGCCGTGGGGGTTCGGATGTTCCTGCGTGAGCTGCTGGCAGTCGGCTGGGGACAGATGCGCTCTGGTTCTCGTTTGATTCGAACACGTCCAGGCCCTTGAGCTTCTGGTTCAGAACTGCAAGAGGTTGGAATTTCCGGGCCTTTTCCATTTGGGATTTGAACCAATCTTTGACCTCATCTTGTCGGTCGTCTTCTAGGTTCTGGTGGATGTCGTCGAGATGCCTGGGTTATCGTCAATACGTCAAGGTGCTGCAAAGGAGATATAGGGGTTCGGTACCGGTTCAACTGGAGAAGAGTCATCTATAGACAGTTAGCACGGTTCATTTGCTTCACCCAACGATTGGACTAGGGGGGCGTGCATACCATCTCCTCACTGCAGATCGGACAGGAGAGTTGGGCTCCCGGGGCAGCCGGCGCCGCGGATATTGAAGTATCGCCATTCTCTGTGGAGATTCGTGAAGTGAGATCCTGGGCTTCCGAGGATATCTGTGATGCGGATGTTTGCGAGTTCAAGGAAACACTGCTGGCAGCTGGCGAGAGCACCCTCTTGGGCTGCGGGGACGGAGCTGCTGCGAGAGCGCTCGGGTTTCCCAGAACACGACCTCCGCCCAGCGTCCTCCGCGACATGATCAGGGCATGGGAAGCTAGAAGAGAAGCTGTTTCAGCACAACATTCGTTGGCTGTACAGAATAAAGTTAGGGGACAGATAAAGGGAAGTGCCAGTTATGATGCGGTGGAGTCAGCCTTGTTTTGGCCTGAGGCACACTGCCAAGATAACGGATTGGCCGATCTCAGGGTCCTTTAGAACGACATGATAGTCTTACTTGGAAATGTACTTGAGTAAGGATTCATGAACTAGCTTCCACCTCGCTGCTTACCTAGATATCTACTTAATTAGATACTTCTCATACCTCAGTAGCTCTAAGGCTGCTAGTAGACATCATCTATCAATCTAGATTGGTAGTTACCGAGGTCTACAGGTGCTGAAGATCTGAAGTATATAAAGTAAATGGTTGTTGATTTGGATTTTCTTGCCTGGTTTGATGATTTGAAGCTTTACCTTGGTAGCAACAAAATCAAGTAGCCACTATGTATTGACGTAGCGCTGCGATTATTCAAAATAGCACGATGCATTTTTTTTTACTGTTTCTTTGTCACTTTAAACCTTTTTTTTTTCTTCTTCTGTTTTCGGGTTGCTCAAGATTGCAGCAGGGCGATGCAATAGTTAAGTTTATAGGCCCTAGGTCTTTTCGTATGTTTTTGTTTCCGTGAAAGTCGTGGCGTCGTATCTTATATACAAGCTTGGGTCAAAGCCCAGCGCACCTCATCCCAATGGCCCCTATCGCTCATAGTCGCGATGGTAGCTAGTACCGGTGTTTGGATTGTCGTATTCTCTATGGACTCGAGTGGATCCATCGTCATACCGGTCAACGTCGCGATGGCGATAGGTGCCGCTTTGATCAACCCGCTCGCGGTGGTGTCGGCGGCCGGTTGGAGTGCGGTAGTCGAGATGCTGGTCATAGGCGCCGCTGCGGGGGTCATATGTTGTGGTACCATAGCCGGTGTCATAAGCGGTGTCGTATGTTGTGCCAGTCGGGTCTGTGCCGTAGCCCACCGCGCCGTAGTCGGTTGCGCCGTAGGTGCCGTAGCCCGATGGGTCGTAGGTTGAGCCCAGTGAATCATAGGTTGTGCCGGCAGGGTTATACACTGATCCCTGAGTGTCGTAGGTGTCGTAGGTGGTAGACCACTCGTCTCCAGGATAGTCGGTCATGTTGAGACAGTGGTTGGTAAGATAGGATATGTGACGCCAATTGTATTCTGGTGTACTATTGGTGGTATTCGCCTATCCGTGGTATTCGCAAGTATGTTCAGTTTCGAGTTCTGTATATGCAGTAATGGAATTTGATCTTGAGTAGTTTCTGCAATCTAATTCGCGTGCCTCTTATACTGCGTTGTGGCGTCAATGATTGGGTACTGACATCACTCGGGCGATTGGATTGTCGCCAATTGAGGCAACATAACTGAAGTTCGGTTTCGACTTCACCTCCTCTTATTTGAAATTGAATGATCGATCCTTCTGGGTTGTCGTTCCAGACCGTTGTCTTATGGGGCAAATGATGCACTGTGTATTCTCTCAAACCACCGAGATAAAGGTTGCAAATGTTTGAACCAATGATAAGACACGCCAAATATTGCTGAATTTCACTCGAAAGTTCTCTCGACGTTCAGTCTGGCCATTGAATCCCAACGTCAACATTTCCAGGGACCTTCTCACATTTCCAAAATCCCAATCCCAGTCCACCGACCCAAGGGGGGTGGATTCTGGGGGCACATCGCCTGGGAGTCATAGGTGAAGTGGCTAAGGTTGGGTCTTAGCATGGCAGGAGATGAACATAATATGGATGCAGGTGTGTTTATGATTGCGATTCCCTTTGGGAAGAACGACATAATAGGGATGATCGTAGTGACATATTGTAGTGTTTTGATTATGCTATGTTTTACAACCCCCATGGAGCTTTAGTCTCGTTCATGTTGACCAATATCTCTCGCCTTGTCAAAGTAAATTCAGCTATCCCGGCCGAGAGGTGCCAGTGAATCCGAAAGGAATTCAGTGGCGTTCATGAGATCAGTACTACCGTAGACAACTCGTCGGCGGTGTCCAGGAGTTGCCCGCTGGGCCGACGCTCCTTCAGTACCAGACTCGCCATTGGTTCGGCGAACCCAGTCCTGTAAGTTACCGTACTCATCCATGCTTCCACCACCAACTGTAAAGACAATGGCTTCACTGAAAGCCTGACGCCGCTGCCCGAAGCTGGCCCCAGTGCCAGGGCCTGAGCCGCCTGGAGACTGCGCGTTTCGGGATGCAGATGCCGGCGGCATGGCACCGCGCGCATTAGCGCTCCTTGGGTCAAAGTAGAGGTAGTTTTCAGTCTTCGCAATTGCAGAGCCAGAGGCTGCAGCCGGGTCCATGATTGATTCGGTAATCTTGGTTACAGTGAGATCCTTGTTAGCGGGAAGGAAGTTCTTCACACCAGAAATCAGGGAGTCGAAGTTGGCACCAAGAGAGCCTGAAGTGATGCGATCCGTCAAACGGTTCGAAAGCGATGAGAACCCACGGAAGAGGTCAGAGGATTGCTGTTCGGGAGCGGCTGTTGTCATCATAGTCATTCGAGTAATCTCACGAACTTGTCGGACGTAAGCGAGGGAGGAAATATCGGCAACTCCAGCCTGAGTCAGAGCCTCCTCGAATTGAGACATCTCGGAGCGGCTGAGCTCAGTCTCAGTGCTGAGGAACCAGATTACAAACAAACGCAGCTTATCCAAAGGTTCACTGCCCTTCGAAGAATCAATCATGAGCTCCAAGATCTGCGTCTTCGATTGTTTGGTGATGGTCTCCTCCATTTCGAAGAAATTGTCCAGCTGCCGATCCTTGATACCCTTAAGTAGAGCAGTGGCAATGTTCATATGCATATCTAGAATGGCTTTGCGTTCCCGCAGCTCGGGAAGAAGTGTGATGGCGGCCTTCAAATGCTGTGCAGAGGCACTTGTGTCATTTTGAAGATCTTCAATTGAGGATGCTCCGGTTTTCTTGGTGATGTCATTTGCATCATCCTTGTAGCGCGTCAGCTCAGTATCGATATCTTCGGCGACTTGAGGGAACGGAGCCCCGGCGTTGCGTTGCCAGAAGAAGTCGTTACTGTTGATATCATATGACTTTTTTGTTGAATCTTCATCCAAAGTAATGCGATTCAATCGCATCTCAAGGACATCTTGCACCAGTGACTGATACGTCCATGAATGTGAGAGCATGGGAACCAGGTCAACGTTTCGGTCCATGATGATTAAAACCGGTCGCGTCGATGGCACACCCGGTAGAGCTTTTTGATTGCCTGAGAAAAGATTGTCTTTGGAATTGAGGATGTGGTCGCGTAATTTCCGGTCCAATTTGGTTGCGATAAGCTCCGCTGCGCCGCCCTTGGGACATCTGATGATAGGAATAGTGCCTGCCAGGTCAGTTGTTTCTTGATTTCGCAGTTTGGAAAAGGATGCACTTACCCATTGTGACACTCACGCTGAAAAGACCACTGACGACTTTGTCAACAATGGCATCCAAATCTTCATCGGTGGTCCTGGGGCTGTTGATCTTGTAGTATGCATCGTTCCCGAGTCCTAAACTAAACAGATCTGGCTCTGCCACAACGAAGTTGAGGTACTGATCGAACACCTGCGCGATATGCTCGGATGCTCCAGATGTCACTATCTGAGAGGCGAAATCCTCTAGGAGTGGTCGGGGAACGGATGATAAGAAGTTCACGTAGGCTGGGGAGTAAAGCCCGTGGGAAAGGTCGTGCGTGATTTTTTCAATATTCGTAGTAGTCGGCTCCACAAAGTATACAACGGGCACGTCTGGGATGGGGTATCTTTGGGAGTGAAGGTTCCTGACAAAAGCACCTCGTTAACAATGGGTCTTGACAGCGATGTGGGCGGGTACGGGAGGACCATACAGATGAATTGTTATACCCCAAGCGCGGAGATCATTGACCCTCAGGACGCTACTGATCACATCGCGGCCCATCTTATCAAACACCAGGACCTTCCAGATTGGATCACCATCCTCGTTCAAGATCGGAGTGGTATGCGAGATAAGACCGCCTCCTGCGGACTGATCGAGGGTTGCGTCATCCGCTGGTTGTGATTCATGATTCAAATTCAAGAGCTTTTGAATCGAAGCTATTGTTGATCAGTGAGTATTTCGTCATCAATTTCGTGAGCGCCGTATAGGTCACTTACCGACCTGTCGGTCCCGGAGGGACATGGGTTGCGAGGCCATGGTAAGAGCTGGCAACGCTGCAAATAACTGGGAGGAGGTTTGGGGCCAGGGCTTCACAGTCTGTAGAGTTGCGCAAGAAGATGATTGGGGTATGCGCGCAACTCCTTAGGTTATGAACACGATATACTTGCTGTTGATGCCGCCTCCCTGCTATCACTCCACCTGGCATCCCGCCCCGGGACTTGAGCTACGCTGACATAATGGGTGCAAACACACCAAACACCGTCACTGAATCACATGGATCTGTCGTTTGTCCTGAAACACAGGGGCTGTAAATTACACCATCTGGGCCAATGAAAGCGCGACTGCTCTTTGACTAACCGCCAGTTACAGTATTATACAATACCATCGGCTAACCGCTCAAAAGTTCCTCTCACCTCAACCCAACCCCGGTCATCAACTCTAACCCCTTCCAACCCTTTCCCTATTCCCATCTTCTTTCTTCGTAAAGCGAATGGCTATAGAGTGGCCCTTCGTATGAGAGCTCATCTCTTTTCTGATCCCATCAGGTCGTCTTTTAAGGCAAAAATTAAGAAAGGAACGGCGCAAGCTCTGCAGGGACAACTGGCACCAAAGAGAGGAGAGTGAGAGGGAAGGTTGCGAAGCCAAACACACAAGCACCGCAAGCCCAGAGGAAGGGACAGAAAGAGAGAGAGTGAGGTCGGAGGTAAAATCCTGGGCCATCTTACTATACTTCTACGTTGTATTCGCAACTGCGGAGCCTTCGTCATTAAGCTGCAAGCCCAAAGACGACACCGTGACTTGCCGGTACTTGAGAAGAAAGTGAATGCCTGAGGCATTAATAAAACCCCCCCAAAGCAAACTTCTGAAAGGAGCCATCTCTTTCCTCTTAAGGTACGGCAGTACTCATATGCAACACTTTCGGATTCTAAGCAGTATCAACGTGAATTGGTTGTCTAATCCTTATCAATTCTTCCAGTCCAGCAGCTCCTTTTTTGCCGCCGCGCGACGCAGTCGACCAATCACATAACGCGTCTTTCACGGGAAAACCTTTCACCTGACATACGCCCCACCTCTCTCCTGCATAACAGGCAAGCGGTCAACAAGGATAAACATCGCCTGCACGTGATTGTTTAAGGATTCATAGTAGCTTAGAGGTATCGGACGCTGGCCATCATGGAGCAATCAGCTCAAAATCCCATGCATGGCTTGCCCACGGGCAACCATAGCTCAATCCCTCCTGAGTTCTGGAATACCCTCGACGCCTCGTACCCCGATCCCGATCAACAGCTTCAGCAGTCCGGACTGCAGCAGCACGAGCTTGCTTCAACTCAACCACCGCTTGGTATTGATTGGGATCATCCCGTCTTCCAGCAACAGCAAAGAGAGCTTGCTCCGCGACCGGACCCGAGCCATGGAATCTATTCCTCGCTTCACCAACCTTGGCAACAAACAACCTCTTTGCAGCAACCCTCGTCACAACGAGCCTATGGAACATCCCCTCAGTATCAGATTCCTCCCTCCCAGTTCCAGCAAGGTCAGATCAACTTTGACTCTCGTTCATTGAATGCATCTGAATCCTCGGCATTTCCCCAATACTCCTACCCGACGAACTATTTTCCGCAACAACAAAACCTCGCTGGTTCCTTCCCCGAACAACACACACAACAGAGGTTGCAGCCACGACCCCAGCAGCAATCTCGATCCTCGATCGCTTCTTACCCATTGCCCCAGGGCTATTCCTCTGGAATGTTGGTAAGCTGCTATCACATACCAAGAAAGAAAAAAAGTGCCCAGCAAGCTAATTCCAACCAGCAGAGTACCATTGACTTGACCAACGACTACACGGAATCAGACCCAAACGTTACAATAAACCCTCAGTTCCTGGATTCCCCCCAGGCTTTTAGTCAACAGCAACCTTTGCAGAACAATTTCATTCAAGCAATCCCACAGGAGTTCCAAAGACCGGGAGGCCAACCGTGAGTCTATGTTTGATCCAGGTGGTTTTTGGTATACAAACTGACTATGTCGTGATTAGGCTGTTTGATTATTATCAAAATGGGATTCAAGTTCAGCCCCAAATGCCATCGGCTGGCAACTCAGCGCAGATGCCCACAGGTTTGCCAACGCCGCAAGTTGTAATCACCACGAAAAAGCCTGCCCCCAAAAAGCAAGCGAAAAAGGCTATCATCAAAGGTGCAAAAGGCGCAAAGCAATCACCTTCTAGGTCCGAGAGTGATAGTTCAGAGTCAGAACTCGAGGTCGAAGATCCTGATGAGCTGTCACCCATCCCTCCGATTCGTCCAACCGAGCCTGAAGCGGCCGCACAGTATGACACCCTCCAAGCTGTATGGTCGCCACGGAATAAATGGCCTGGTCCCGAGAAGGTTAAAACCGCCCTGGTGGCTTACAAAGACCTCATTAAATCACTGAGAGATGCTTGGAAAGAACAAGTTCAAGTCATGAAAGTGGCTGAAAATCAAGGCGACAACACCAAAGCAGCTAAGCTCAAAGAGCAGGTGACCGTTCAACGTCGCACCATGGATATCATTGCCACCACGACATTGGAGACGGGTCATCCTAATATTGTTGAAAAGTATGTTGTCCCTCCCCCCGGCCTTTGTTTGTTCCCCCACAATATGGCCATGATAGCTGTACAAGCTTGAAGCTATAAAATTTCCCCATAAATTCTTCTAGAATTGTATAAGACGGCCTTGTCATGGCTCAAATATGGGTCATTACCCTGTTTGCTGGCCGGCAGGGCTATATTATTATGAGTCTCTGTGCCCTGAATACAGGGTAAACCCTACTGGTGGCCGTCACAAAATCAGATGTTTCCAGTCCATAAAGACTCGGATGTGCGTCTCTAGTTGTGAACATGAGAGCAAAGCCCCATCTATCTAGAGAAGGGATCACACTTCACCTTCTTTTGGAATGATCGAATTTCATCGCTCAACATAATGATTGCGTTCAATTGACTAATGATTTTCATGATGTAGGCTGGGAGAGCACCCTATGATTGTGTCAGCTCTGTATTCCTTTTTGCTGGATCGTTTCCAAGCCACCGACTTTGCTGGCACTTTGACGATCAACCTACTTAAGGCAAGTCTGACCTTCTCTTGCGCCAAAGAAAAAAAAAATCTAACATGAACATAGCTGTTTGCTCGGTTTACAAGCTTGTCTGAAGACCTGATGGCAAAAACCAATCTCTCCAAGTTGTTGCCCAAACTCATCAAAAAGGGTGGCCAGCAGGTGAAAGATCTCACGCAGAAGATTTTGGATAATGCCGCCGCCTACACTAAGCGCAAGCTGGAGAATGATAAGAATGCAAAGGAAGACCTTTCGACCAAGGGTACCCTGGCAGATAGCACTGGCTTGAAACGAGCCCGTGAGACTGACAGTGGTTTGCAATCTGGACCGAAGCGAATGGCTGTCAATAGCAACCTCAAGGATGCAACTAAAACTGCTCCTGGGTTGACTAAGGGGACTCAAATGAATAAGCTGCCTGGTGCTGCAGCCCTGCGTCCCAAACCTAATGTCGTTGCCCCAAAACCGTCAAGTCTTTTCGGTACCCTAAGCTCGGCATCCAAGAGACCTGGAACTACAAATGCAGAGCGGGCTGCAGCAGCCGCCGCCGCAAAACCAAAGTGGGTTGTCTCTGGTAGAAGGATATTGAGCCACAGTTTATTGACTCTTTCTATAGTGCGACTGGCGAAAAGGAAAAGACTCCGGCACCCAAGCCCTCTTTCTCCTTTGGGGATATTATGGCTGATCTCAACAAGCCAAAGGAAGCCCCATCTCCTAAACCTACCGAAGATCATCCCCCAGAGACCGAGGAGCAACGTACAAAGCGGTTGCGCAAGGAAGAGCGCCGCAAGCTACGAGTGACTTGGAAGCCTGATGACAATCTTACGGAAGTCCGATTGTTCACTCATGACCCTGATGAAGAATTAGGACCAGGCGATGGATCAATGCGCAGCATGGGGGATGTCAAGGGTGAGGGTAGCGTACTGAAGCTGCACAAGGATATGGAAGAACTTGAAGAGGAAGACATGGGCGGTATTCGCGAGACCGCTTTCTCCGATGAATACAATCTCTCAAGTAAGTTCGATGACAGTTCTGAATCGATAGTGAATACCCACTGACATTTACAGCGATTGATCACGACTTTGAAGCCCCCATGGACAGCAACTTCACCAAGCGCGGTGGTCCACTGGCACCACTGAGTCCAGAGAAAGAAGCCCAAGATCAACGAGAGGCCACCACCCTCATGGTCTTCTACACATCCCCTGCTGATATGCCTGATACACCTAAAGAGCCGCCAAGTCCCGATCCTGATGAAGTTGTTCCGGATGTAGTGCCATTTGGTGCGATACCCGATCTCGTCAGGGTTAGACAAGAACGCATTTATGCCAACCAAAACCCTAAGCCAACGTCCACTCAACAGCCGCAACAGCCCACGACCGGAAATAATGGAATCGACATTTCTAACCTGCTTAAGATCATTCAGGGTGGCGCAGCAGGCCAGCAGCCAGCTCCAGCTCCGGCGCCGGCGCCGCCAGCTCAGCCAGATCTCGAACAGACAATCAACATGTTCCGACAGCAACAACCCCAGGCTCAACCTCAGATGCCAGTGGCCCCTGCTCCACCGGTCGCACCGGCCACTGCGGCTCAGCCCCAACCATATGATTTCAACGCAATTCTGAATTTCATGAAGCAATGGCAGGGTCCGGGTGGGTTTGCCCAGCCGCAACAATTCCCGCCTGCCATGGCTCCCAACATGGGTGCTATGTTCTCCCAACTTGGACAGAACCAACAACCGGCTGCTCCACAATACCCGCAACAAAATTATGATTATGATGACCCAGAGCGTAAGCGGGGTCGTGATACCGGTCACTATGACGACTTTGACCCAGCTTGGAGCCGGTCGAAACGAACTAAGAGCACTGACAAGCCTGTAAGTAATCCGGAAGCCTACATATCCTCATTCAAAGGTCAATTTGCTAACTCCAAGGCAGTACAAGGTAGGACTTGTTGCTTGCAAGTTTTGGGCTGAAGGCATGTGTCGCAAAGGCGACAATTGCACTTATCGTCACGATCCGCTTTGAACCTAATGTCCCATGATTTTCTTCTACCTAATACCCTTACCTGCTTTTTGCACTGGTATTCATTACTTTCATTTTGTTTATCCATGCATTTTTGCTTTGGTTCCTACTTTTACTGGGTCATCGATATGCATTTTACAACTAAGAAGTCTGCTCTGGTTGGCGTTTACTGCATTTCATGGTCTGGGTCACATTTTGATTTTTCGAAATCCTTTGCATGAGAGCATGGGCGTTCTATTTCTTTCGACATCTCGCTTTGCCACATTCATGGATGTATTCAGCGATGGCCAAATTTGGTGCCGTCATGGCCCATGGTTCAAAGGGGCTGAATTGTACAATTATGTAGTTTATCATCAGTTCTTGAGTGAGAATCATTATCTTTATTTTTCGAACGCAATTTCCAGGTCATTCTCATGTAAAAAAGACCCCGAGCCAATGATAGGAAGACCCATCTCTTAGACAGTGGCGCAGCCCACACGCAACTGGTATACAACTTTACGTCAACAACCATGCAGTCTCTTCAAGCAATTTGTGAGACACCGGAGTCATTGTTTGAACATTCAGGCGAGGAACTACTGCACTTGGTGCACAAGGAGTTTCCAGAGGAGTTCGATCGCCTGCAGCGCGCAGACTCCATCCGAGACGGCCCATGGACACCTCCAAACACGCCGTCTCCATCGTACATTTTGTACAAGAAGAATTATGACGAAGTAAATCGTACACTATTGGGCGTTCTAGCTTTACGTTGGATTCATACAGGCCAATATGAGGTTTTCATTGCTTCACAACCTGCCGACGCCAAGTTGACGAGAGCCTCGTTTGATTGGATTCGGGCATTTTATGCACAAATAATCAGTGATCGGACTTCTCTTTTCACCTTGATTACATTGATTATCATCCATGATCTGGGAAGGGATCCAAAGATGGCATCTGATTGCCGTGCGCAGACTGGGGTGGACATCTCTACCCTCAATCACGATGCGATTCTGCTTGAAGCCTGCAAAGCCAGTCTGGTCCCGAAGCTAGCCCTTCTTCCAGATCAAGATAGAGTTGACGCACTTCGTGGGATCGAGCTTGGGGCCACTTTCAATTTTGGTCAGTTGGCACAGGCAGAGAATGTCCCGGCTTCTCTGACCGGTCTATACAAGATGCGAGGCCATAATCGCAGCTTCAGACTCCACTTTATGAAGCAACTGCTTCAGGTTGCCGGAGATGCGGGACACATGGATTGGAGCTGTGCGAAGAAACTTATCCAGCCTGTATTTGATTCTTATCGCAATGTTTACGATGCATGCGAGGGTATCATTGCCGGTACCTTGACTGTTCGCAGCGGGTATGACCTAGTACTGACTCGGCGAGCGGAGTTACTTCGTGATCAGAACGTCCGGGTATATCATGTAGAAGATGTGTTGGAGGACCGCGCCTTGATGCGATTGCTTTGTATGGTGAATGTCACTATGGCCGACGAGGCCTTCCTCTACGAAGGGGCTTGGCAGGCCTTAGAAGATCCGATCAGGGAGACTCTGGTGCGTGGGCTCAATTTGGATGGCAAGAGGAGTGAGGCTGCTGTTCAACCGACGTATATGTCCGTTCTTCTCGGGCTTGTCAAAGACGAAAACGCGTTGGTCTGTATATTCCGCTATCTTGCTCAGATACTGAGTGCTACCGAGGTGGGGGATCCTGTGGCTGTGGTGATTGAGCGCAGTGTTTACACAGTACTCAAACAAGTCATTGAAAGTAAAGAGTTCAAGAATGATCCGTCTATCTTGGAGATGGTCGATGTGCCTGCTGGCGTGGTGCTTCTCACCACTGCATCACTTTGATGTGTCTTTGTGGCTTTCCGTCTGCTGATTCCTCGAGACTCGATTTAATTATTATGACTGTTGACATCTTCCACGCGTTAAGAGATGAATAAGGCAAACACCAGCAAAATCCCAGGAGTATATGAGTAGCCCTAGGATCGACACGAGTGACGAAATTCTGCCATTCGCGAGGTCTGTGCACAGTACCTTTCAAGACCGAGGCACTGAATCTTGCTCGGCATATTGATCTAGTGACCATCTGTGGGTACAATCAGATCTTACTAGATGGCTTCATTACAAGTACCTAGCCTGGCTCAATGCAATCATCTGATTGTGGTTTGCTGCCATGCCATATACAGCGGGGGGCCTGATCATGGCACCTCTGAAGATGAATGGTCAGTCCGCCAAACGAAATGCCCCGATGAGGCCCAAAAGAACAGACAATTGACGAGGCGCAGGATCATTGAGCCGTTTCAAAAAGGAGAAACCCCGACTTTCACCGAACATCTCAAAGCTGGAGTAAAAGCACTAGAAGACGATCCTTATGGTTTGTTGGTCCTTTCAGGGTAAGTGTCCAAATCATCAGTTCGGTCCAAACCCCCACTGACTGTGTTACAGAGGACCTACCAAGCGGTCTAGGACCGAGCTGAGCGAGGGCCAATCGTACCTTGTGGGGATCTCTTCGCTCCAACGAGGCTAAAGCTAATGCTTCGCGACAGGACCTAGCCAAAGATAACAACTACTTTCGTGATCACTCAGCGCCCTTGTTCGACGCTTCAAGGGTCATTGCAGAAACCAGAGCCACAGACTCATACCAAAATGTATTGTTCTCGCTCATCCAATTCAAAGCACACACAGGGGTCTTTCCATGGCGAGTCACGGTGGTCACGCACGAATTTAAACGTGCTCGATTCATGGAGTGTCATTTTCCAGCAGTGGGACTAGTGCCCGTTGGCCCTCAACAAGTAAGATATCAGCACAAAGCCGTGGTCATCGGCATCAATCCACCAGAGAGTGTGACACCATCTGAGAGTCTGACGCGAGGCGAGCTGATGAACGGGATCGGTCTTTGGAAAGCAGACCTCTACGGGGTGAACGAGGATCTAGGAAGCAAACGAAACAAACGAGGCTGGCTCCCTCATATGGTGGACCAATTTTCCAACATGGATCTAGAAGACGTGGTACTCGAGCTTCTTCGATATGATGGTGGGAGAGATTACAATGAATGGTTCTCGAAGCGTGAATATTTGCCTTGGTCTTATCTTCAAAATGATGGGACCAAACAAAATTGATCGCAAAAAGCAAAACTGCTATATTGACAGTGAGCTTGAGTCTTTCCCGAAACGCCAGTCCGTACTCCATCCTCCGTGTCTGATCATAATAGATGCCACGAACTCAATCTGCTAGTCGGTAGCTGACCAGAGTTCCGACGCGGTGATTGTTTGTACTGAAACTCCTCAATTGCACCTTTTCGGCATTCTTAATCTCCTTGGCATCACTGTCGCCCCATTCCACGGGGACGTCTGAATCGGCGTCGGCATACACAAGGACATTGAAGGTGCAATCTCCGTCCAGGACGGGGAGGAACGTGACCGATGCAGTAATCTGACGGAAAATAGCCTGAATTTCCTCTTGGATTTGTTTTTCTGTCTTCTCGACAGGTTCAGCCGGTGGAGTCTCTGCGTCTCTGCGATGCAAAGTCAGTGGGCCAATCGAAGAGTGTGCCAAGGACATCAACCTACCCTGGTGTACTGTTCTCGTTATCTCCGGATTTCTGAGAGCTCTTGCTCTTTGACTTCTTGCCAAATATTTCGACCTAGCGCATGGCAATTTCTTTTAGCATTGGAGTCTTCAAGGAGTATGGACCAAAGCATACGTCAAACTGCCATCGCTCGACATGTTCACCAGTCTCCTTGCTTGTGATAACCACCACAAGTTTGGAGATCTTTCCACCTTGCATCCACTCTTTCAGCTGTGACATGATCTTCTTGATATAAGCTTTGACCTGGTCGTCGGCGGAAACTGCTAGACGTTAGGTTTGCCGGCGTTGGGCTGCAGATCGTTCACGAACCAAGCATATTGAGTCCATATTTCTTGATTCTAGTACCATTCAGCTTATTGTTATATCTCGGAAACACTGAGGGGGAGCACTCACGTTGTAAAATCCTCTGGGGGATAGACTCCTCGTTGGAAGCTGGGCACCGATAGTGATAAGCCTGTATCCTGGACTGGTCATGAACAGGAACTTACAGGATCGAGTTGATCGAGTATTCAAACTGTGTGACATTAGCATTCGAACAGCATTGGGTAATAAAGAGAAACAAGTTACTCACGAATTCAGACACAAGCTTTGCCGATCCTATAATACCATGAGCTTTGCACAGCTGGTATCACCAGGCAGAATGCAACAAACCTTTGATGGAAAGCTTATGCACCTTTGACTTATCCTTAGCTTCAGGCATGATGTGGGTTGGTACAGGGTAGACCTCGAGAGTGCTTCAGGTGAAAGTGGGAGTGCTTTGTTTATGTCGATAGTAACTGCAGCAATCGAAGGCGGTGACCCGCGTGTCCGTTTTTTCTCCGCAGATTGTGACGAGACCCCTACGAGTTCGACATACTAATCGTCCCAATACGTCTTGATTTGACTTGCATAGTGTCAGCTTCTATGCCACCGCAGAATTCTCAATGCGAGGATGTCTGCAGTTAGGCCGATGGCTGAGCGCAGCGCCCAGATGCCAGGCCGTGAACCTCCGACCAACTGCCTTTTTGTATAGACCCAGCCAGGCTTTCTCGACTAGCACGATATACCATGCGCGTTCCAAAATCATCCCTATTAAGCCGGATGCCGATCTCGAGGCTCGAATTTCCGCAATCCCAATCGAACGCTTCCGCAACTTCTGCATCGTCGCTCACGTCGACCACGGCAAGAGCACACTCTCCGACCGATTGCTCGAATTGACGGGCACCATCAAACCCGGAACAAACAAGCAAGTGTTGGATAAACTTGACGTTGAACGGGAGCGTGGAATCACCGTGAAAGCGCAGACATGTACAATGATCTACAACCACAAAGGCGAGGATTACCTGCTGCATTTGGTTGATACTCCTGGACATGTGGATTTCCGTGCCGAGGTATCGCGCAGTTACGCCAGCTGTGGTGGTGCAATTCTTCTGGTCGATGCCAGCCAGGGTGTTCAGGCGCAGACAGTTGCCAATTTCTACTTGGCATTTGCCCAGGGTCTTGAATTGATCCCGGTTCTCAACAAGGTTGACCTACCGTCGTCGGATCCAGAGCGGGCTTTGGAACAGATGCGAACCACCTTCGAGCTTGATACAGAGAATGCGGTCATGGTCTCAGCAAAGACAGGATTGAACGTTCCGGCTATCCTACCAACAGTCGTGGAGAAGATCCCTGCGTGAGTGCAACGAATGGTTCTCATAAAATCACTCTTACTGACTATATACCAGGCCTGTCGGTGATTCTACGAAACCTCTCCGCATGCTACTCGTGGATTCTTGGTATGATGCATACAAAGGTGTGATTCTGCTGGTTCGCGTTTTCGACGGCGAGGTGCGCGCAGGTCAGCAGCTGATTTCCTTCGTCACTGGCCTCAAATACTATGTCGGTGAGGTCGGAATCATGTATCCCACCGAAACCGCTCAACAAGTCCTTCGTGCCGGCCAAGTTGGGTACATTTACTTCAACCCAGGTATGAAACGGAGTAAGGAGGCCAAGATTGGAGATACATTCACTCGAGTTGGATCGGAAAAACTCGTCGAGCCTCTCCCTGGATTCGAAGAGCCAAAATCGATGGTCTTCGTTGCAGTCTACCCTGTGAATGCAGACCATTTCGAGCACTTGGAGGACAGCGTTAACCAACTGATCCTCAACGATCGAAGCATCACGGTGCAGAAAGAGTCATCAGATGCTCTGGGCGCTGGTTTCCGTATGGGCTTCTTGGGAACTCTTCACTGCTCTGTGTTTGAAGATCGTCTACGACAGGAACATGGTGCTAGTATCATCATCACACCGCCCTCCGTTCCGGTCAAGGTCATATACCGAGATGGCAAGGAAGAAATCATCACCAACCCTGCCAAGTTCCCGGATGATGAGGGTGCACGTCTTAAGGTAGCAGAGGTTCATGAGCCGTTTGTGTTGGCTACCCTGACATTCCCAGAAGAGTATCTGGGCAAAGTCATGGAGCTCTGTGAGGCCAACCGCGGTGAGCAACAAAGCATTGAGTATTTCACATCTACTCAGGTCATCATGAAGTACCAACTGCCACTGGCACACCTGGTGGATGATTTCTTCGGGAAGTTGAAGGGAGGCACCAAGGGATATGCCAGTTTGGACTACGAGGAATCTGCATGGCGAGCGGGTAATATCGTCAGACTGCAACTTTTGGTCAATAAAGAGCCCGTTGATGCGGTTGCACGAATCATGCATCTGAGCCAGGTGAACCGCCAAGGAAGACTGTGGGTCACCAAATTCAAGGAGCATGTTGATCGGCAGCTTTTCGAGATCATTATCCAAGCTGCTGTCGGCAAGAAGATCATTGCCCGTGAGACCATCAAGCCATACCGCAAAGATGTTCTGGCGAAATTACACGCCAGTGATGTGAGTCGGCGACGCAAGCTGCTCGAGAAGCAGAAGGAAGGTCGCAAGAAGCTGCGAGCCGTTGGAAACGTGGTCATCGAACATAAGGCCTTCCAGGCATTTTTGGCAAAATAAACATGTAAACTAGGAAAATAATGTACAATATCACATCCATTGTCTGTCAGAAAAAAAAGAGTATACGATGCCGATGGAGCTGGTTGTGTCGGCGGTCAAAGCTCCACCGGCAGAAAAAAAAGTGTTCCATGTATGGCGGGGGTTCGACAACTTCTTCCGCTGCTCATCTCCAAGAAAATTCCCCTCGGTCTGTTCCTGGAGGCTCAGTGACCTTGAACTGAACTATCCTCGCTTCAGGTCTCGCCTTCATCGTTTTCAACCCCGGAATTGTGTCATTGGCGACTGAAGTTCGCCTTGCCGATCGCATCACCTTGAGTCACCCTGCCATGCTCCGCATTTGACTACGGCCATGCAGCCTCCAGAGGGTGCGCAGATAGACCTGGGCAAGGCCCAGGTCATCGACAGTGTGCCTAAGGTGATCAAAGAATTGAAATTTGGTGTCTTGTACGCAGACCACTCACATATGCTTGTTGCGAGAGTTTGTCGCATACTTGATCGCTAACGAAGGATTGTGTTCCTAGAACGAACGATGACATTGTCGGCCAAGCAGTGGTGGAGGTTTCTGACAGAAAGTTCTTCGACCTCGACCAGGCTCGAACAGTTGTCTCCAATGGACCTCTCGACCAACGTATGGGTATTTCGAACAAGACTGACGCTTGCGCAACATGCGGAAATAACCTCAAAGACTGCAACGGTCACTTCGGTCATGTGAGACTAGTTCTTCCATCCTTCCACGTCGGATATTTCAAGCGCGTAATTTCGATTCTCCAGGAGATTTGCAAAGAATGCTCAAATATCCTGCTCCCCGAGGCGGAGCGCAGGAGTTACCTGCGTGAGATGCGCCGACCGGGTCTCGATAATCTCCGACGGAACCAAATTGTGAAGCGCATCAATGAACGGTGTCGGAAAACCCGCGAATGCACATACTGTGGAGCGATCAATGGTGTGGTGAAAAAGACCGGAACGAGCGCCTTGAAAATCACCCACGACAAGTTCCGTGCATTCAACGCCTCGACCTCAGTGAAGAAGCAAACCCCAATCAGCAAAGATGTATTCGACAACTCTTTCCTCGAGGCCCGAGGTGCCAATCCGGAGGTGGAAAAGCACTTCAAGAAGGCCCAGGACGATATGAACCCTCTTCGCGTGCTGAAGCTGTTCAAGAAAATGGCGGACTCTGACTGTGAATTGATCGGCATGAACCCGAAGGAAGCACGCCCAGAGATGTTTTTGTGGCAATTCATTCCCGCCCCTCCTGTTTGCATTCGACCTTCGGTCGGCCAAGACGGCGCATCTACAGAAGACGACTTGACTGCCAAACTGGGTGACATTGTGCAGAGCAATATCAACTTGAAGAATGCTCTACTTAAGGGTGCTCCCGTTCAGACAATCATGGAATGCTGGGACTACATGCAGCTCCAGATCGCTGTTTACATTAACAGTGATGTCCCTGGCCTCAACAAAGCGGATCTTGGAAAACCGATTCGAGGTTTTGTGCAGCGCTTAAAGGGAAAGCAAGGTCGCTTCCGTGGTAACTTGTCAGGAAAGCGTGTCGATTTCTCTGGTCGAACTGTCATTTCACCCGATCCTAACTTGCGAGTCGATGAGGTTGCAGTCCCAGAGCTGGTAGCAAAGAACATGACCTACCCAGAGCTTGTAACCAGATATAATAAGGAGAAGCTGCAGCAAAGAGTCATCAACGGTGCCAACAAATGGCCTGGAGCAAACCTGATTATCAAGAAAGGAAGCGGCTTCAAACAGATGTTGAAGTACAGTGACACACGGAAAATGGCCTCTCAGCTAAATGAGGGTGATCTCGTCGAGCGTCACATTGAGGATGGCGATATTGTCCTGTTCAATCGCCAGCCATCTCTTCACAAGCTCAGTATTCTGTCTCACTTTGCCAAAGTTCGCCCTCACCGAACCTTCCGACTGAACGAGTGTGTCTGCAACCCTTACAACGCAGATTTCGATGGAGATGAAATGAACCTTCACGTTCCACAGACAGAAGAGGCACGAGCAGAAGCCATGGAACTCATGGGTGTGAAGAACAACTTGGCTACACCTAAAAACGGAGAGCCCATCATTTCCGCTATTCAGGATTTCATCAGTGCCGCTTATGTCCTCAGCAGCAAGGATAACTTCTTTGATCGTGCCTCGTTCTCGCAAATCTGTCTTTACATGCTTGGTCCTGAGACAAGATTTGATCTTCCACCGCCGTCTGTTCTGAAGCCTCAAATGCTTTGGACTGGAAAACAGGTGTTCAACATTCTCATGCACCCCAACAAGTCCGACCCTGTTCTTGTGAACTTGGATGCTGCATGCCGTGAGTTCAAGCAGCCCAAAGATGGCCGGCCAAAGGACCTGGATCCCAACGATGGCTGGTTGGTTATTCGTAACTCCGAAGTTATGTGCGGTGTTATGGATAAGTCCACGATTGGTTCTGGAAAGAAAGACAACGTGTTCTACATTATGCTCAGAGATTTTGGTCCACCTGCAGCAGCTGAGGGCATGAACCGTCTATCAAAACTATCTGCTCGATGGTTCACAAACATTGGTTTCTCCATCGGTATCGGAGATGTCTACCCTAGCGCGGGTCTCGTTCAGTCCAAGAACGATCTGGTAGAAGCAGCATACGCGGCTTGTGACGAAGTCATCGCCAAGTACAAAGCGGGCACTCTCGAGAAGTACCCTGGATGTGACGAATTGCAAACCATGGAGAACCAGCTCTCTGGTATTCTTAGTAAGGTCCGTCAACAAGCTGGTGACGAATGTATTCAACAGCTCAGCAAGTACAACTCGCCCCTGATCATGGCCACTTCCGGTTCCAAGGGTTCCAGTATCAACGTGTCCCAGATGGTTGCCCTTGTCGGACAGCAAATTATCGGAGGTCAGCGTGTACAGGACGGTTTCCAGGATCGCACCTTGCCTCATTTCCCGAAGAACGCACGACAGCCCCCTTCCAAGGGTTTCGTTCGCAACAGTTTCTTCTCTGGTCTGGAGCCCCCAGAGTTCATTTTTCACGCTATGTCTGGTCGTGAAGGTCTGGTCGATACAGCCGTCAAGACAGCCGAAACTGGTTACATGTCTCGTCGTCTGATGAAGTCTCTGGAGGATCTGTCGTCGATGTACGATGATACGGTTCGTAACTCATCTGCTGCCATCGTTCAATTCCAGTACGGTGACGATAAGTTGGATCCCGTGGATATGGAGGGTAAAGCCAAGCCCGTCCATTTCGATCGGACTTTCATCCACTCTGAATCAACAACCTACAATAATGACGAGCCAAGTCTCCTGCCAGCTGAAATGATGGAGGTCTGCGAGAGCATGCTCGAAAAGGAACGTGCTAAGCTCACCCGCAAGGACTTGCTTGGCAACTCTCTGGGGTACATGGACCGCAGCGACCATGGTATTGACCAGTTTGAGAGTGCGCGTGATTTCCTCGACTCAATCCAAGAATACGTGCAACAGCGAGCGGACAGGCTTATCTCTCGGGGTGGAGACTACGACCCATCTGACGTACGAAGCCGAAAAGCCCTGGATCACACAGGCAAATTGACAGAAACTACATTGAGGGCTTTCATCACGGCCTGTTTGTTGAAATACAAGAAAGCCCAAGTCGAACCCGGCCACGCCGTGGGTGCTGTCGGCGCCCAGTCTATTGGTGAGCCCGGAACGCAAATGACACTGAAAACTTTCCATTTCGCTGGTGTCGCCGGAATGAGTATTACTCAGGGTGTTCCCCGTATCAAGGAAATTATCAACGCCTCGAAAGAAATCAGTACTCCAGTCGTTGCTTGCGAACTTGTTACCCAAGACAGTACCATTGCCGCTCGCATTGTGAAGGGACGAATCGAAAAGACTTTCCTGTCCGATATTATTCACTCCATCACAGACGTCTGGACCAAGGATGATGCCTACATCAAGGTGGTCATCAACTGGAAGACCATTGAGGACCTCTCGCTTGAAATCACAACGCCTCAGATTGTCCAAACGATCAAGACACACAGGCGCTTTAAGGCAGGTGATCTCAAATTCTCTTATAAGCAATCTTCGATCAAGATCTACGTGGATCTCGACCCAGCCACCAAGACAGGCCTCTCCAAGACCGAAGTTGCAGCCACAAGCAGCGATCCCTTCCTGCGTCTGAAGCACTTGAAGCGCCAACTTCCTGGTATTCAAATCCTTGGTCACCCGCGCGCAACTCGCGCTATTATCCGCACAGACGAGAAGTCCGAGAAGAACACACTGCTCGTGGAAGGTTATGGTCTGAGAGAGTGTATGACCACCATGGGTGTGGATGGTTACAAAACCAGGACCAACAACATCATGGAGGCACGTGATGTCCTGGGTATTGAGGCTGCTCGCACCACGGTTGTCACAGAAATTAGCGAGGTCATGAAGGATATGGACATTGATCCTCGTCACATGCAACTTCTGGCCGATGTTATGACCTACAAGGGTGAAGTGTTGGGTATTACTCGATTCGGTCTCGCCAAGATGCGTGACTCCGTTCTTCAACTCGCTTCCTTCGAGAAGACCGCCGACCATCTGTTCGATGCCGGTGGTCTTGGTCGCACCGATCTGATTGAGGGTGTGTCAGAGTGTATCATCATGGGCAAGACGGTGTCATTGGGTACGGGTGCCATGGAGATTGTGCGAAAGCTCAACTTCTACGAGGGTCAAATTGGCCCACGGAAGACGGTCTTTGAAGATGTTTGGAGCGAGCACTGTGAGGCACCCTTAGCTAGGCGGCCTAAGAAGAAGGTCCGGTGAGAGGGATATGACACTGCATTATTGGCGTTTTAAGAAGTTGGCCTTCTTGGTTAGGCCTTGTACATGTACCTATCAGACTACTGTTCTTCCGAGCGTTGGTCAACTTGACGATATCAATATGAATTTCTTGATCTCATTAGGGCTGTCAAACCGTATTCAGACGTGTACGAAGTACGAAGTGAAAACCTTGGAGTATTAGAGTATGGAGTATGGAGGGTATCACACGGTGGAAAAAGGGTGCATTGCGGTCTAATTGGGGGGAACCTGTCTCTACTCCGTACTTTTTCCTCCCCCCAATTTTTCCAACCAACCGAACCCCCAGGATCGATCAACGATTGGGGGTGTGTGCAGTCCTGAAGCTAATTTCCAACTCAACGGAATATCTAGGTACAAGCTTCTCTTCGGATTATATTCAAATATGTGAAGCACACCTGATGAACGGGGTGTCCTCGCATGTCTCGTTTGGAAGTACAACAGACAAAAAAGAATTCAAGCAAAGAGTCTCTCGGGGAGGTCAGAGTGGACACAGGACACCTAGAGGGAGGTCCAAGAGAAAGGACATCAAACGTATTGCAAAGCGCCCTCCAATCAGCATCGTGAAACCCCTGCAGTCGGGGGGATGGGTAGGGGTTCATCTCCTCGAGTTCTTTGTTCACAACCTGGACCTCCTCCGGCGCCACAACCGCGGCTTCGTGAAGTGGTGATTTCTTTGTCTGTGTTCTCTGAACTAGGCGTGTTGCCTTACTATATCGTTGGGTCGCACTCAACCTTTCCTTTTTCTCCTACACAGCTCCCCGGTCTCCCCGAAATCACGCCGGACTGCAGGTGAAATGGAATACGTCGACCCTAAGCTCGCTAGAAAGCGTGAAGTTCGAACCCGAGCCCCGACGGCTTGTCAGACCTGTCGGCTCCGCAAGACTCGATGTGACAATACCAGACCGACATGTAGCTATTGTTCCGTGCAGGGGGTCGAGTGCAATTATCCCGAGACCTCTCCCCACCAGAACCAGTAAGAAGAATATATTTTAAAATGAAGCGGACGAAGATTAACTTACGCAGAGCCGGCTTCGATCCCGGCAACCCGTCCAATCAAGAGGTCATGCAGAGGCTGAATCATATCGCCGGACTCTTGGAAGAGATCAAGTCCGAAGGCGGCTCCACCAGCTCCTCGACTCGTTCGCTCAAGGAGTCCTTCTTTGAGCTAGCCATGCAGACCACTAGTCCTGTGGCAGATCCGGGGATCAACTCACATGGCACTGCGGGCTTTGAGGATCGCGCCATGGAGCACGATCCCCGACTCCTTTACGTAGCCAGCTCCGGGGAGCACATGCTCCGTTGGCCGATATTCAACAAGGTCATCACTGAAGCCGAGAAGCATATCCGATCGTTTCTACTGGACTCGCTTGACAACAAGGCCCAGGGCGTGCAGCCACCCCGGCAGGTGGGCATCGGGCACTTTGTCGATGAGATCCCCAGGCTGTGTAAGAAGTACTTTACGTTATGCCACCGGCGAAGTCCGATAGTCGATCTCGAAAATCTAGACCGCTATGCTAAAGAGGTGACGGTCCAAGGTCTTGGATGGGATGGTCCATCGTGTCAAGTGGTATGTCTCGTAATGACCCGTTAAGACAGGCACCGCTGAACTCAGCTTTCCACTAGCTTCTCGCATGCGCCTTAGCCTCGTGTACATCGTCTCAATTCGTCCCACTGAGTGAACACCCGTCCAATCTGGACACACTTCCAACGCCACCCGTGTCAGACGCAAATATGGACCTGGCCGAGACATACTTCCACGCTGCTAAGCAGCGATTCGGCTTTTTACACACGTCTCCCACTGACATTCAATGTTTCCTTCTTGCAGGAAGCTATCACAGACATGCACTGCGCCCTCTTGAGGCTTGGTTCTGTTTCCAGCAGGCTTCGTGCAGATTAGAAGTTCGTCTAAGGTCTCTTTGTAGAGAACAGTGGACCGCGGATGACAATTACCACAACCTAGAATCACGCCTGTATTGGTCATGCATTCAAGCGGAACAGTGAGTCTTCCCATTATGACAGTGTGATCCCTACTGACCTTGCATAGTGAGATGCAGGGTGAACTCCCCCTATGGAGCAGCGGTCTGGAAGGCCTAGGCTATTCCGATCCATTTCCCAAATTCTCACCCAAGGCCACTCCCTCGTATGATATAGGGAGAGGGTACAATGTCAGCACCACGTTTGAACTAGATGGCAGCGAAGAAGAAAAAGGATGGAAGTTTTACATTGGATCCATCTGTAATCGTCGAACCACAAACGACCTACTGGCAGACATGTGGCGTCACGGTGAGAAAGGATGGACGCAAGATATCCCCGATCTCCTACGACGAACAGGTGCAGCTGAGCACGTCGTGAGGTCCTGGTATGAATACTCCAACAAAAATACCTATGGCCCTGCTAATTATCAACAAGGTACCAAATCTCCCTGGCAGGAATTCAGTCTCAAAAAGATAACCCAGATCTGAAGTTCTTCTTTCGCGGCCGCTACCTCATGGCCTCGGAGCGAATCTACCGGCCGAACTTCTACCTCGCAATGCACTACCAAAGCATGCCAACCTTCATACGAAACAAACATGAAATGTGGCAGGAAGTGTTCGAGTTCACACAAAAGACCATCAACAACTGCGTTGAAGTGATACCCAACTACTTGTACCAATTCCGACACGAGTGGCTTTGGAACGTGATCCGTGCTAGCTTCTGCTGCGCGTTGCATATCATTGCGGCTGTTTTGTATCAGCTTGATGCTGTAAAGAATTCGAGTCCATGGCAGTTGCACATTCCACCTAATTGGGCTGCCTTGGTGAGGGTTTCGATACGGACGATGAAGCACTGGAGGGCTGAGTCGATTGACATTGAGGTTATGCAGTCAATACTTGAGAGGATGTATGCGGGAACCTGCCGATTGGCCAATATCCGGCCTGAGCTTTATCTGATTTGAGTTGTCCGTGATGGCACAAGTATATACGGTATACGGTCGTTGGCTCAGAACTTCCATACCCTGAATTTACACATACAGCGCTATTTCGGATATAAATAATACGGTTTGGTTTGATATTTTTAAATTGCTTGAGCATATTGTCCTCATCTATAGATATACTCCGTAATTGAATATCCATAGAAATAATCAATACAATTGTAAAGGTGGGAAACCTGTGCACATCGCGTATACTCCGAGCCCCACTTAACTTTTTCTCCGTTTCAATTCCACCACTTCGACACTCTTCACTCTACACTGCACATATCTCCCCATCTTTCACCATGGAAGAATACAAACCCCCAGCTCTCCCCTCTCCATTCAATAATACAACCCCACCACCGACCCTCCTCACCCAAGGCGCAGAAGCCCACCTCTACAAAACCACCTCTCTGAACCCCTCCATACCCGCCGCCCTAAAGATCCGCCCTTCAAAACCCTACCGCCATCCCATTCTCGACCGCCGACTGACCCGCGCCCGCATCACCCAGGAAGCACGATGTCTCGCGAAACTAGTACGCGAGGGCGTGAGCGTGCCGGCTCTCCTCGCCCTAGACTGGGAGGGACACGGCGGGGAGGAAGGCGGATGGGGCGGAGCCTGGTTAATGATGGAATGGATCGAGGGTGACGTTGTGCGCGTCGCACTTGAAAAGTGGGAAGCGTGGATGAAGAAGGCATCGCTGGACGACCAGCAAACCCAGGCGCAGGAGGCACGTGTACGCGCTTTAATGAGGAAAATGGGCGCTGCCATTGGTGCATTGCATAAGGCTGGTGTTGTGCATGGGGATTTGACGACGAGTAATCTGATGCTACGACCTGTCGATGAGAATGATACCAATGAGGTTGGGCTGGATGGGGATGTGGTGTTGATTGATTTCGGGCTTGCGTCGCAGAGTGCGCAGGATGAAGACCGCGCGGTGGACTTGTATGTCCTTGAGCGCGCGATTGCGAGTACGCATCCGCGCTCTGAGACTTTGGCGGAGGATTTGATTATCGGATACCGGGATAGCTACAAGGGGGCACCTTCTGCGCTGAAGAGGTTGGAGGATGTGCGTTTGAGAGGTCGCAAGAGGAGCATGCTCGGTTAAGTCATGGAAAAATCCGGAGATGCAACTCCCAGCTATGATTTTGAAAATAAACCAGAAAAAGAAAAGAAAGACAACGCCACGCTCACGTCACAAAACAAAAGAGGCTTTCATTGCTTGACACATGTGCCAATATCGGCCAATGCGAAATATCCCTTGTTCTCGACTACTCCACGATCCTTCACCACGGCCGTGTACTTGACAACCCACTGGGGCTCGACATCACCCTGAATGCCGTCGTTGGCATCTGGCGACGAAGCCAGAATGCCTGCGCTTTTCTCCGCAGGACCGAGCAGTTCGCGCGTTGTGCCGACAGGCAAGATATCATGGCAATCGTTATGAGTGAGGAGCTGAATATGCTCCTGCTTCGCATAGAGAATCAAAGACTTGGGAACCACACAGCAGTCCTTCAGATTGATCTGGTCCACCGACGGCTTGACCTGTGTATGGGGTAGGAAGCGGGCGAGTCGGTCGCATCCGAACTCCGCGACACCCAGCTGGGCAATCATGCCTTGTTCGTGAAGCATTTCCAACACCCGCCACGTCTGCACCATGCTGTCGAAGTCGTCTTCGGTGGCATTATCTTCCTCCTCGCTGTCGTCGTCGGCGTCGAAGAGGATCCCCGGGAATGATACGATCAGTAGGTCGATGGACTTGACGTGTAGTTCTTTCAATACCAAATCAATTGCCTCTCTAGTGTGTGCGCATCGTCGTGAGGCCGGGATCCCCGGTAGATAAAATAGTTTGACTGTGATATCGTATTGGTCCCGCTCCTCGGCCAGACCGGGCTGTGAGAAGTCGATCGCGGGGATATAGAGCCCGTCCTCGCCCTGTTGGGTCCACGAAGGCACCTTGTCGCCATTTATTTGTCCAGCTTGGATCTGTTGCGAGGCCAAGAAGTTCGACCGCAGGGAGTTGATCAGTTCGACGTTGGATTTCTGTAGCGGATGGCGAATCACGGACTGCCGCCCTTGCATGATATTCCTGCGAAGAGTTTAGTCTTTGAAACAGGTGTACAGCTCATAGCACATACGAACTGGAAAGAATGAGCTTCATGATTAGACTGTGCAAAATCTACAGAAAGGCCGACGAGAAGACAAGAGAGAGAACCTTGGAGAGAAGAAAAGTGGATTGCTAATCGGTGACCCCGCGGCTCTGACAAATCTATCGGCTTCGGTTTGTATACGATTTCTATACTTCCCAGGTTCTATCTATCACTCTGCATTCACCTATATATGCTTCTGTAGAGATATATGCATCTTTCAGTCTGAGTCAACAGTCGGATCCCAGTCCGTAGGCTCGTACTCCCCCGTATCCAACAACTTCATGTCCTCCTCAGCCAACTCAAAGTCAAAGACATCGGCATTCTCCCGAATGCGTTGGGGGGTAGTGGATTTGGGCAGAGGCACGAATCCCTAGAAAATTAGAATCAGATGCCTATACTTTCGGGCAATCAGACTCACCATCTGCAAGCTCCAGCGGATCAACACCTGCGCTGGTGTCTTTCCGTACTTCTTCCCAATGGAGCCCAGCACAGGCTCTCGAAGGCGACTTCCGTGCGCAAGAGGCGAATAGGCCTCAACAACGATCTGTCGACTCTGCAACCACTCCACTATATCCGAGTGATCTAGCCACGGATGCAGCTCATACTGACCGACGTCGATCTGACCACCTCCACCAGCCTGGATGTATTTCTCCAGCTCCTCGAGGTGGTGGATCCCGTAGTTAGACACGCCGATGGCTTTAGCCTTGCCCTCCTTCTGGGCTTCGACAAGCGCATCCCAAGATCCTAGACGGGATTTTTTACCACCGTAGGGAGCGTGGATCAGAATGCTGGACTTGTTAGGTATCGGCCCTCATCAACTAATTGAATTGAAGGATTCCTCACAGGTCAAAGTAGTCCTGTGCAGCTTCGCGTAAACTTGAGTTGATAGCTCGTTTCGCAGATTCGTAACCCATGGATTCTGGGGGAATCTTGGTCGTAAAGAAAATCTGCGATCGATCAAGCTGGGAGCTCTGGATGGCTCGTCCACATGGTTTCTCGTTGCGATACATGATTGCGGAGTCAACCTGTCCGGTTAGCGATGCTAGACTCATGAGGTTGGCCTGCATACATGACGGAATCCGACATTGAGAGCTTCCGCTGTGGCCTTCTCGGTCGCAGATGAAGGGCTGCTGGCTATTAGCTGTATTCCTTGGCTGGTGTCCCAACGCACATCATATAGACCTGTTCATGATGTCAGTTTTGGATAGGTGTGTTTCGCGGGGTAACCAACTCCATAGCCCAAAACGGGGATCTCATGCCCCGAGAGTAGTTTGTGTTTGGACCGGAGAGACAATCTGGCAGCCATTTTTGAAGTTGAGGGAAGTGCAAAAAGAGAGAAGCAATGAGATCATATGGCGGGAACCCTGGAGAGGGGTCGATCATGTTTATATAAGATACATATTGAAGAGGTCAGGGGACACTCAGTAACATACAATATTCCATCTAGGTCAATTCAACAGGTGTTCATCTAATCTGTCCGAATACGCAACCCTATAGTGCGCTTCGTAGGGCTCTGTACAGAATTGAAGGTTTTTAGAGGTAGATTTTGGTCAATCTATTGCTTTGTACCTCTACTTCACAAGTACTGGGTACTTGTGGAAAGGCCTGTCCGTACCCACTGGAACCATGTACTTGGTACTCGGTATGCCCTCTTCTACACTTCTATACTGAACCACTAAACTACTTAACTATCTAACTATTGAACTACTCGATTATCAAGTCCGGGGTCCAGAATATCCTTTCGATTCCTATCCCTTCTATGCACAAATAAACAAAAAGCAAACATCACAATCGTTTGCAGCTCTCGTCCCAAATCCACCACCTCTTTTCCCCTTTCCTTTCCTTCTTTCCTTCTTCCTTTGTTAATCGTCACTTTCATTCTTGTCGCAAGCCCTCCCTGACCGAGGCTCCTCTGACGTGCACTCATTCGAAGTTCGTCAAGATGTGGGAATGCCAAACATGCGATCGAACTTTCCGGTTCTTCACATCATGCGAGCAGCACATGCAAGCGAAACTGCACTGGTCGAACTACTGTCAGTCTTGTAATCTTCAATTTGGAAATGCAAACAGCTACCGTGCCGTAAGTGATCTGGCATTGACTCGTGGAGTTGGCTGACCTTCTGACTCTCGGTTATAGCACTTGAATTCCGGCACACACCGCGGCAAGGAAGTGGAATGTCAGTACTGTGATTCTGAATTTGTCACTTCTAGCGGCGTACTCCATCACCTTGAGTCGGGCAGCTGCCCAGAAGCCCCCGACAAAAACCGGTCTCGCCTTTACCGTGATATCCAAAGACTTGATACCACTGGCCGGATCACGAATGGTGCATGGTATGGAGATAATTGGGAGTGCGACATTTGTCACAAAGAGTTCTACCGCGGTGGATCAGCGGCGGTGGCTTCGCATATGTTATCACCGGTCCACAATGGGGAATTGTATCATTGCCTCAACGTTTCTGACAACTGCAACAAGACATTTGTGTCACTGGCTGCTGTATTCAACCACATGGAGAGCGAGTCGTGCGGCTACCTTGATTTCGAAGATGTCTCAAATTGTCTGAACAGATTACTTCGATACGTCGATGGTGGTGTGAAAATCCCATCCTGGAGCTTGGATCAGGATCAATTCTAAGCACCATGGTTGGACATCGAGTTTGAGGACACCATATGCCTCGGAGTGGTTATCAGGCTGGCTCTAGTCGGAAAGAGATACTGTTGGCCATCAGGACGAACTTCATCGAGACACCTCAAGACATGACTTATGACATTTTGTATCAGCAGAATACTTTTTAGATAAGCCGAGATCAATTACAATGATATGAGCACAAGATACAACATGACTTCATACCAGAACGGGGATCTCATGCCCGGGGAGTAGTTTGTATGTGGACTGGAGAGACAGCCATTCTAAAGTTGTTGAAGTTGAGAATGTTGAATTATTCCCTGCTTTTACACCATAGTATGGTCTGAGCCACATAGTGGCTCAATGGGAATTCTTGGCTGTTTGGCCTCAAGCCATTTGGACCTGAGGCAGCTTCAATTGACGAAACTGCATGCTCCAGGGAGAAAGGGCCAGAATTACGTGAGTCTCATGTATGCGGTCTACCATTAAATTCTAATATGGACTGCGGCGGTGATTACTTGCCAGCCTTTATTCGAATCCTGCCAGAATTCACGGTTCCAGTGAATTCCATCAGTTTCCCGTCGAGAGCTATTTTACTAAATACACGAACAAGCGCTGGAGTCCTGTATCTAGAATATCCTTTCCTGTTGCTTTGAAAACCAATGTAAAAGCAAACATCAGTGACATCAGTGTTTGTAGCTCTCTCAAATCCACCCCGCATCGTGTTCTCGTATCCTTCCTCCTTCAACTTTCAACCTTCACCCTTTACACTCTGAGATTAACCATAGACTCTCCCCATCACGGGTACTCAAAATCAAGATCAACGCCTCATCGAAGACCACTTGTGGATGTATCGCCACTGAATGGAGTGCAAAAGATGCGATCGGGCCTTCGCGTCCCTAAAGGCATGCCAGCAACATATGAATGCCTTGGGCCACGACCCTGTGTATGAATGCGAGACCTGTGACCGTGTGTTCGGTTCCTTGGAGGGTGTCAATCGGCACATGCAAGTGAAAGAACACTGGTCGAACTACTGCCAATCGTGTCATCGTCGGTTCGAAACCGAACACAACTACTATGCCGTACGTGATCTGAGATTGATTCGTGGCATTGATTGTCCGTAACTTATAGCACATGAAGTCCGCCACACACCGCGGCTACGACCTATCATGTCAGTACTGCGATGCTGAATTTGTCACTGCTAGTGGTGTGCTCCATCACCTAGAGTCGTGCAGCTGCCCAGGAGCCCGTGACAGAGTCCGGAATCGCCTTTATCGTGATATCCAAGAACTCGATACCAATGGCGAGATCACATTTGGTAAATTGGAAGGTTACTACTAAAATTGGGAGTGTATGATGTGTACCCGAGAGTTTAATTGCGCTGATGCGGTGGCTTCGCATATCTTACGTTCCCACGGGTGGCTGTATCATTGTGATTGCGACAAGAGATTTGTTTCACTGGCTGCTCTGTTTAACCATTTGGAGAGCGAATCATGCAACCACATTTCTTTCGAGGATGTTCCAGCGTATATGGACACATTGATGTACCAGGTCCATAATAGCCTGGAAATCGACCTATAGCCAGGATTGAGATTATTTTAAGCAACAAAGTTGGTTATCGAGTTTGAGGACCAAATCATATGCCTCGGAGCAGTTATCAGGGTGACTCGGGTCCGGGGCAAATATTCCGGGCCATCAGGACGAGCTTCGTCAAGACACCCACCCACAGGGCATGATTTATGACATTTTGTACCAACACAATGTTTTCAAAGATCAGCCAGGATGAATTTCAATGAGACGAATGCAATCCGATTTCATTGATACCGGTGGATTAGTGAATAGATCTTAGCTGCTCTGTACATCGACATCTTTTGAGCCTACTAGCGAGAAGAAAACGCGGGTGGAAAGAATACTCCCTACGAGGCGAGAATTAGAGCGCAGATGTTCCAGTCGCGGGGCTGGAACCCCAATTCGACATCCCCTAGGGTGTTCGAGTGCGAAATAAACAAAATCTTTCATTAAATGTGACAGAATGACACATTTCTAAAACCAACAACCCACCTCTATGCATACAGATACAAAAATTTCTCTTTAGACCTTCTGCTGCTGCTCCTTCTGAGCTTCGGCCTCAACCTGCTCTTGCAACTTGCGATCCGCCTCGCGCTTGAGCTGATCAGGACGACGGACAGCGATATCCTTAGGACGGAAGTCACTGAAAAGGTGCTTGAGAACATTCTCGATGACCCAGCAACCACCGTAATCGAAGATCATGAGCACGGTCAAGGTCATCTTGAACTCGTTGGTGAAAGGAACGAGACGCAGTTTCTCGTTCAGCTCCGGGATGAACTCGGTGGCGCAGGAGAATGCAACACCGGAAGCAGCGACGAGACCCCAGTACATAGCCTTGTTCTCGCGGATGGACTCGCGGAAGGGACGGCCCTGGTAGTTGATCGAGAAGGTAGAGATCTGCTGGATCAACTGGAGGAGGTAGATAGCGCTGTTCAGAAGGGAGGGTTCGAATTCGCCCTCGAGATCAATGTCGGAGTCTCTCCTATAAATCATGTCAGTGTCAAGAATGAAGGTTAAGTGAAGGTGCAACGTACGGCTCGTGCTTATAGACATATTGAGAAAGGTAGATCAGGGTCACAATGTGAATGGCGAACTGCCCAAGAACGGATCCGATGATGTAGACGTTGAAAATGTTGGGCTGGGGGCGCTCCTTAGACAGACCCTCGACAGACTAAAGCCTTCAATCAGTATGGTTTCTTTCTTAAGCGTGAAATTACAGTACATACCTTGGCGCGAGAGATGGACAGGAAGCAAACACTCATCAGCATACCGCTAATGGTGACCTGACCATCACCGAACTTGATACCATCCAAGTAGATAACACTCAGACTGTAAGCACTGATCAAGCAGTTCAAAGCAAGAATCTTGTACATCTGGATAGTTGCAACGAGAGTGCAGCGACCCTGGCGAAGAATGTTCGGGATAGCAATGACGTTGGCAAGCTTGCTGGTGAAGGGAGCTGCCACGGAGGCATCACCCAACTTGATGGTGGGAGGCTCGCTGTCATCCAGTTCCTGCTCCATCATGGAAGAGGTAAGCTTGTCTGCAAGACCAGCCGCAGCGGCCTGAGCCTGCTGCTGTCTCTGCTGCTGGGGGTTCACGTTCTGTTGTTGCAGGGCCTGGGCGCCGGGAGAAGTGATCGTGGGGATAGGCTCAGCGCCGGCAGTGATTGCGGCACCCTTGCGCTGTAGCTCACGTTCCATGGCCTTCTCGTAGTGAGGGTTGCTGGGACCTTGGGGATACAGGTGGGCGATCTGAGCGGGGACAGGAGGGCTAGGCTGGTTGAAACGTTGCATCATGGAAACCTGCTTTTCGTACAGCTCCTTCATCTTGGTGGTGCGGTAGTGCTCAGCAATCTTGGTGAGGTCCTCCTGCGAGCCGTTCAAAAGCGCAACACCAACGTGTGCCTGCTTGAGAGCGCCAACATCATTGGTGCCATCACCGCACATCAGAGTGGTGTATCCAGCATCCTTGAGGCCGAGAAGAATTTCTTCCTTCTGCTTAGGGGAAACACGAGCGTAGACCCAGGTGTGGCGCAGGAGATCAGGGAGCGCCTTTTGACCCTTGAACTTGGCCAAAGCATATCCGGTGATACAGATATCCTTGTTGTTCAGAATCTCCGGGTCGAGAGGCTTGGTGGGGTCAACTTCGAGATTGAGCTTGTCATCAGTGGTACGCCAGACAATCTTGGTACCAGAGTTGTCATGCTCCGGGGCATCAAGAATCAAAACCTCACGGTCCACAATTTCAACCTTGCGAGCGACATGCACAGCAGTCAATGGGTTATCACCGGTAATCATGACAACACGGTGGCTGCTCTCGTTGAGCATACGGACAGACTTGATAGCGTCATCCTTGAGAGGGCATTGGAGTACCAGGAAGCCAGCAAAGATAAGCTCGGACTCAATCTCCTCACGAACAAAGTTGTTCACGCGGCTCTGAGACAGCTCGGTTTCCGTAGAGAGGTGCTTGTAGGCCAGGGCAAGAACGCGAGCACCGTTACGAGTGAAATGCTTGTAGGTCTCTTCGTAGTTAGGGGGAGCGTCAACCAACATGGTGCGGATGGTCTCCGGGGCACCCTTGACACCGACAAATGAGGACTTGGTCTTCTTCGAGGTTTTGCGGTCATTAGAAGTGACGGTAGCGATGGTGCTCTGGCGCTTCAATGCTGAGGAGAAGGGGAATCTTCTCTTGATTTGCACATTTTCAACGTTGCGGCCAGAGATAACAGGCGAATTACCCTTGGAGGACAGAATGTCATTCCTTCCGAGAGTCCAACCAACCCATTCCAGAGTAGCTTTTTCCATGGGGTCTCCAACGACCTCGCCCTCGTCCAGTTTCACCATGGCATGAGCACTGGCAAGAACAAGAGTTGTGTTAGCTCCAGCAGCGGATGGCTGAGCCAATTCAATGTGGGCGCCATCAGCTTCAACCTTGGAGCCGGCTTCACCTAGAGTAAGTCCAGCAATACCGTCGACGACCAGGTCTTCGCCGGTCAATGTACCAGTCTTGTCGAAGCAAGCCACATCGACGCGACCAGCGAAGGGAATCCGGAAAGGCTCGGTGCAAAAAATGGCGAACTTGCTCAAAGCAGCAAGACTGGTGTTGACAGCCAGACTCAGCTCCATGGGCAACTCAGGGGGCACGACACTTGTGATGATAAGGACACAGTCCAGCAGAAGCTTGGAGCGCTTGCGGTTCTGCAACACACCCTCCTGCCAAACATACCAGGAAGCGGCAATTGCGAAAATCAGAAGGAAGAGAATAAACAGCAAAGCCTCAACGTTGTTGGCAGAGACACGCTCAGTCGAGTAGATCATAGTTCGGACAAGGCTACCTTGGCTGGTCTCGAAACCAGTCTTGACAACCACACCCAAAGCACCGTTGTCCGGGGCCAGGTTAACGGTGCTAGCCAGGTTCTTCAGAGTGGAATCGCCGTTAGAGTTGGGGTGGGTGATCTGGAGAACCTTGGTTCCTCCATGCACGAAAGAAAGCTTATCGAGTCCCTCGGGCTCGATCAAGTCGTCACCAGGGCGGAGTTGAACAGAGTCCTTGAGAAGAGGTGTGCTCTCACCAGACAGCATAGCTTCGTTCACAATCACACTGCCTTCAACCAAAAGAATATCACAGGCAACACCACTGTCCTCCTTGGTACGGTTCACTGACATGAGATCGCCGGGGAGAAGCTTGTCGCTGGTAATTTCCTGCCATTTGCGCTCACGGTACACCCAGACGTCGTAAGGCTTGATGCTCATTCCACGGAACTCGACCAAGGTTCTCTGACGCTGCCAGACCACAGTGCTCTCGAATGCGACAAGCATGAAGAGCGTAAACAGGGAGTAGTACCAATATTCATCCAGCATCCACAATCCAACACAGAAGATCTGGAAGACGAAGAACGGCGCAACGGCGTGCTCCTGGAAAAGCTCAATGAATCCAGGGACGGGGATATCAAAAGTGTTGTCGCCATAGTGGTGTTGGATGCGGTCAATCTCGGCCTTGGAGGTGAAACCCTCGCTCAGCTGGAAAGACTTGAGAGCTGGCTTAGGTTCGGCATCGAGGGCGTAGGACAGAGGCGCGAAGGTGCGGGTCTCGGGGTAGAACAGGAAGCGACGCTTTTGGAAGAGGAACGAAAGGGTCTTCTTGGGGCCGGCATTCTCATATACCAGGTTGCAGATCTCGGCGGAGCCGGCATTGGTGATCGGAACCACTTTGATGAGCTTCGCAGTGTCGATGGAATTGGCCCTGGTGGTGGTGAACAGTGTATTGATGTCAATGTTCCATTTGGTCATCAACCAGAAGAGCGATTGGAAGGTGATGATGGACCCCGCCCAGACGAAGGTCCATTCCTGGCCCTGAATGTATGTATCATAACGCTCGGGGGAGAGGTAAAAGGCGAAGAAAACAGGCCAAATAATCAAAAAGGGCCAGACGTAGGTATGCAATTGCCAAGGGAGTGGGTTATGCAACGAGGCATGTTGAATCTGGTGGTCATCTACAAGTTTTGCCCTGTATCATGTTAGCTGCAGCAAACTATTTGGGAAGGTTTTTGAAACGCACATGATGGCAATCCGGTGACCACTGTCAGAATCAGTTAGGAACAAACTTCAAGACTCATGCGAAGACAATGAAAGAGTCCTATCAAGGAAATGCCCAGATACGCAGAAGAAGCCACATTGAGATACGGGGGTCCCAGGTTCCAGAGGGTTCGCCGCTCGACGCGCCATTATGTCAGCCAAACTAGCTTCTGGCTTATCTAGCATTATTTTTCCGAGATTCTTCAACAGCCTTTCGCCGGGCTAGCTCAATCGGTAGAGCGTAAGACTCTTAATCTTAAGGCTGCGGGTTCGACCCCCGCGTTCGGCTCTTCCTAAAATACCAACATGGTCTTCAAGATTTCTTTTTTGCACAACTCACTTCTGTCCTATACGTGGCATGGCTTTGTTTTTGAAGACAATCGGGAAAAGAATAGGGCTGAAAAGAACGTGTCACAGCACCTGTAGACCTAGGCATCTCGATGTATCTAGATATGTAACTCAATCCATGTGTGGGATAGAGTGAATCCATGGGTGAGATGACACTTGATTTTGACTCGTACTTTAGAACATGTTCAAGATATATTTTGACTTGCTTGAATATCTATGCTATTTCAACCATCAAAGCTTCCATCCTCTTCAACATGAGTCCGAATATTCACTGTCAAAATATTCTAGGCCGTGCCGATGACACCGCACTTCTCCAAAAACTTTAGAAGCTAACCTCCCGTCAAGCCTTCGACATCTCACAAATACTGCGTATAATCAAGCCAAGAATGCCATACTTAAGTATTTCTAAAGTTATAGGCCTTGAGGACAAAACTCTAGAACAACTTTAGAAAGGGAGATAGTATTACAGATATACTAGTCACCAATCAAATACTTAAGTACAGGGTCTAAAATCATATAAGTACTTAAATAGTAAACAGACACCGGAAAAAATAAGCTATATGATTAAACAAGTAAACGCAGTTCCAAAGTTAAGCAGACACTTAGCCTTATAAGAACAGTCTCTTCTCACTTTTGTCACCCTTACTATATACTACTTAAGTATTATTACAAAAAGAACTAATTATATAAACATAACATCTAAATATACTTTACAAAATATACCCTTAAGTCTACTGGAACTTCTAGCGCGACTAGAAGAAGTGACCTAGGAAGTAGGAAACAAAAGATACATAAGGATATTCCATTATATACTTGATTTTCTTCGTCTTAAAAGGCAGGTGCTCGTTGTCCGCTCCTTCTGCTCAGAAACAAGGTCACCCAAACAAATCCTCATTGCTCAGAAAGCATCTCTTTCTCATCCCCCATCGCACCGAACAAAACTACGATGACCATCTACTTATAGATGGTGCACCGCAAAATCGCCCCTGTGCTCTTCGCTTCCGCAGCGCTTATAGTGCTGATCCTGGTAAGTAAACATCCCCCCGAGAACAGATCGATATGGTACACGGAGTTGAGATTGAACGTCAACTTCGACTACAAACACAGCTTGCCAGACGGCATGCAGCCCATTCCCTTCTATGGTGTAAGAGGAAGATTGGGAGAACTACCACTGATACAATCGCTTTGTAGCTCGTTTTTGCACCAGTGGCTGGTGCAGCGAACAAAGAAAACCTCGCCTCCACCATCCTGGCTGGAGTGACCCTACCCCTCCCTGATAGGGAGGGAATGATCCGGCTGTCCATCAAGGACATAATGACGCTCTATGGACACTGTCCGGCCTCAAGTATGCCATATTCCTCAATTAGAAAGCCCCTGTATCCTGCCGTTACTAATGTTTCGTTCCCGCGCCAGTGGCTAGTGCAGCCAACGAGGAAAACCCCGCCTCCAACATCCTGGCTGGCGTTACCCTACCCCTCCCTGATTCCCTGATAGGAAGGGCATGATACGACTGTCCATCAAGGACATAATGACGCTCTATGCACACTGCCCGGACCCAAGTATGCCATATTCCTCAATTAGAAAGCCCCTGCATCCTGCCGTTGCTGATGTTTCGTTCCCGATAGAAGGGCGCAGTGGTCTTGAGATAGCTGCGGATTGGGCGAAAGCCCTCGGTCTGATTTCGTTGGTTGGGGGGGGGGCACTGGTTTATACTAAATGGCCTGTATATTACTACGATCGCCAGCCTTTCAGTCAAGAGAATATTCTGGATGTTTGCGTTGCGAAAATAATTGGGGAGGATCCCCAACTGGAACATGACCCCGAGCAACAAATCGCCGCCAATAAACCATGCTTCGAAATTCTTGCAGAAATAAAAGAACTGAGGGCACGTTTCGCAAATTTCGATTCGAAAAACGAAAAACGTTTCTTGACCCTCAAATCTCGAATCCCAGAGTAAGAAACTCGAAAAGAGACTCGAAAAGAGACTCGAAGCACTTCGGCAACAACATCTTGACCTGAGACAAAGAGCACCTGGCTCCAATCGCGGGCATGGTTCCAGCGATTTCGCTGGCTAGACGCCTTTATGAAAGAACATCCTGCCCCTGCAACCTCTTCTGCCTCTAATAACGATGTTGTTGTTGCTGCGGCGGGTGGCTCTGGTCCCTCTTCTATGCCTATGCTTTCTTCTATACCTATACCCTCCTCTGTGGCTGTGCTCTCCCCTATGCCTATGTCTTCTCCTATGCGTGTGCCCTCTCCCACGTCTTCTTTACGAGCAGGCAACAGGCTGCTGAGAGAAGACGTAGACGACTTACAGCGGTTCAGCCATTTCCTATCCAGTTCTCGTTCCGGACGCAACAGAATCCAACAAGAGCCAGTTGGGATTCGAGGCGAATCCTCTTCCTCAGCATACAGTGTGGACTTGGAAGCCGGTCTCCGACACCGCTCATGAGAGCTTCTGTTAGCTTTCTTTCTTTTGTTTTTCATATATTTTCAAGGCATATAAATATAAAGACGTTGATTTTCGGGAGTCATAAGGATGTCAAGTGCACCTGTAGTATAGAATGAGTTACCGAGTAAAGGGCGAGCTAGTAGGCCGTTCTTGGCTTGATTATACGCAGTATCTGTGAGATGTCGAAGGCTTCACGGGAGGTTAGCTTTTGGAGAAGTGCGGTGTCATCGGCACGGCCTAGAATATCTTGACAGTGAATATTCGGACTTCTGTTGAAGAGGATGGAAGCTTTGATGGTCGAAATAGCATACTTTAAGTAGATACCTACTTAAAGTTATCACCATTGTGGTAACTATCAACATATATACTAGGCTCACCGTCCTCCTGAACTATAGAACTCACCTTTAAAATCCCTATTCCTGCCCTTTGTCTGGTGTCAGATTTTTGACCATTTCAGTCAACAACCTGACCTGCTCTTTCAGCTCACGTATCTCATATGTACAGCTGTCAACCTTGATATCCGGAGTGGATTCAGCCACCTGCTCCTTCCAAGTGTCATCAAGATCAAAGTCAACCTCGTGGGCCACATGTTCCCATTCCTGAGCACAATCATCATCTTCTTCTCCATGGCGGCGATTCCAGCGGATCCGATGTGCCTGGTGAGCCTCGAGCCATGATGTAAAGAACAGAAGGGGTGAGTAAATGATAGCCATGACAAAGTCATTTAACTTGGCGTATGCCTCTCGCGAAAGCCACCACTCGAATGGAGCGACTAGACACACAATCTCAACAAGATTGAACGCTGAGAAGAAGAAAATCAGTCGTGTGTCCATTGAGCAAGTCAGTAATATACGTACGGGGAATGAAGACATTCTCGTCTGGAGCGCGGACGAATTGCATGGTCTTCTGTGCAAAAATCGCCATGTACTCATCAGTAGCATTGCCAGATATATCTTCATATGCACTGTTGTACAAGGCAATGAGAATATTCAGAAGCACTGGTCATGGTCAGTATAATCCCCACAAATCGAAGGAGCACTTACCAGTCATAACAATGAAGTTGAAAACGTAATAGAGAATAATTCCAAAGGGAAAAGCAAACTCTTGGAAAGTGTCGAAGTCAGGACTCTGCATGATACTATTGATCATACCCTGGAGAATGTTTCTCTGAATGGGAACATCCGCATCCACCTGGGCCATTCCAATGAAGGCCTGAAAGAAACCTGCCATCACCACAAACAGAAGCGCAAAGAAGATCAGACTTTCCTTCATCATGACGCGAAGAACAACGAACATGGCACCGAAAAAGCGGAATGAGTCGAGATAAAGCATCATGCGTATCCAGAACATGGGTCCCGCAAAAGCCAGGAAGTTGTAACTCAGCTCATTGTATAGCTGCCTTTGCTCATCCTGGGTCGACGATGAATGTGCGAGGGCAACAAAGCGTAATGCCAATGAGACCACGAGAATGGCGTACAAAGTTGAGTTGAAAGCATTCCAGAATTCGAGATAATTCCATCCAACTTTCCAGAACTTGATCCCCTCGTCACAGATGAACGCAAGAGTCATGCCGTAGAGAATCCCCTCAACCACATCCAGATCTCCAGTCGGGTTCACCGTATTGATCACCGCTGTATAGACAGCGAGATAGATCAACGAGAACATGATCTGGCAAGTATTCTGGTAGAGAGGAGTCCTCATTCTATCGGGATGGAAATGAGACCAGTAGCTAGTGTTGGACTTCCCATCGTAATCAACAAAGTTAGTCGGGTTGCCTTCTTCTTGGCAGATCCAGCCCCTCCATAGATAGTCAATGCACTTCTGATACCCAGCGGAGCTAATGATCCTCAAGGCATGGAGGTCGACCGAGCGTTCAATGACGTTGGCTGGATCAGTCTCAACACCCTCACTGTAGATAGAGTATCGCTTGAGTAAGATATCCCGGAGCAAATAGTCCAGATTCTGCTCAGTTTCAATACTACAAAACAATGTCAGTAAACATTCATGTATGGGAAAAGAGATCAAATCTGATCCTCGAGGGGTCCCGTACATGCGCTTGGCAATGACCTCGCAAGCCACAGCCCGAAGGTCATGGAGGTCAGCATCCCAGAGCTCGACACTGGACTGGAGCTTGAACCATCGCAGACAGACAAGAAGACAATAGACAACACAAGCCTTGTAATCTTCGCCTCCAGCTTGCCTCGCAGTTGCAACTACATCGTCGGTGATAATGCGGCTGTTGGGGTCGGTCAACACAGTCTGCTCCACCTCGCAAGACACCACCAGCTCGATCTGATACTTCAGACGAAGGGCGACCTTGGCAATTTCCTTGGACGCATCAGAGGCCTGAGACTGTTCGCCACTATAGGCCGGGAGGACTGTATGCACATTTAGCGGGTACACGGCCGTTGGATTTGAAATGACGTACGCCGACGACGTTCCACTTCAACGCGGTGTCGGGCCCTGCCACGATCAGGCCGAAATAAATCCCTCCAATGACCCATGTTGTGCAAATATCGGGAAGGTGAAGAAGGGAAGAGAGATCAAGGGGCTCACCGATCTTGAGGGGAAGAGATCGGCAGAAGATAAGCTTCAAGCTCCCCGCCATCTAGTTGCATTCGGACAACTGAATAATACGACGTCTGCTTCTAGTATAATACTTATCCATGAGTCTATAGGTGGTTTATCAGACATAAATGAACAAGCATTGGCATCTAAAAGCATCACTGGCATTGAACGTCTCGGTTGCATCACAAAAATATGTACATCAGAACTTCCACCCCCGTGCGGACCATTCCGGGCACGAGAATCTCGACCGCAGTTGGCATGTAGCGCATGGGCGTGGATGGTTCACGGACCCGAGGCGCAGGCGACTGCCCTTGAGGGCGAGTGAGTTCTGACCACAATCCTGCCCATCAGCCCAATGAGCTCATTGAGCCCATATCCCAGAATGTGCAAGCTATTTTTTCTATCCATTTTTGCCCATCTCTTCTCTGGCGGCGATTCCGGCTTCGGATGCCAGCGATGATCGCTGGATGCCCCTCCACTCGGAGTGTTATAAAACCGTTTATTCATCATCGCTCTCGGAGTCCTCGTCTCCGCTGACCTGCTGGTTCTCGCGCTCACGCTTCTCCATGAGCTCCTGCAGGATCGCATCATCTTGCTCGGTGACGGCCTTGGGCGCCATCTTCACGGTGCAGTTGCCGCCGTTCTTCTGGATTCTCTCTGAGATTCTCTCGATGGCCTCCTCGAGTGCCTTGACACCAGCAGTCTTGTCCAGACATTGGCTGGCCAGGACGTAGAGAGGGGGAGCGACAAGCTTGACCTTGATCTGGTTGTCGGCAGTGTTCTTCTCCTCAGCGGTGCGGAGGGCATCCTTAACAGCGTCGATTCCATCGTAGCCGAAGCAAGTAACCTCGATATCGGCACGGACCTTGGTGGGATGAGGGGTGAGCTTGCTGCCGATGTACTGCTGGATCTCGCTCTTGACGGCGTCGCTGGTGAATGTGATCTCATCCCAGACGGAAGGGTTACTAGAAGGAGAATTATGTTAGTAAAACCGAGCTACCACGGTAGACAAAATACTGAGAGCCTTACGTGATGGAGATCTTGAAGGCGTCGTGCGCGTGGCCGTATTTTTGGTTCAAAGGCCATCCGATAGTCTCGTAGAGGGTCTCGAGGGGGGTTTGGGTGGCCTCTGCGACGTGGCGCATGATAGAGTGCACGGCCTTGCTCTTGTTGTAACGCTCCTCACACTTGATAACATCCTCGGGGGAGACACGGCGCTTGGAAAGATCGATGTAACCTGCAGGTTGGCAAGTTAGCCTGGAGTCATTTCCTCGCGAATGGTGTAACCTTGCCTTTCTCCTTGTCGACACGGAGCACAATGACGACTTCGTTGCGTCCGATACGGATGAGCTTTTGGATACTGCGAATACGTCTGCGGGAAAGTTCTGAGAGAAGAATCATGCCGTCAATGTTGTCGTACTCGAGCAGCTTCACGTATGCGCCCATCTCGGCGATCTAGCTCAGAAGTCAGCCCAATCCCACTCACTTTCACTTCTAGGAAAAAAATCGCGACGAGTCATACCTGCTTGACATTGACCATGACAAAGCTATCCACCTCCGGGTACTTCTCCTCATAGAACCGACAGTTTGTGAGAGACATGTTGGCGGGGTTCTTTTTTTTTCTCTCTCGGAGGGATGATATAGAAAGGGGGAGGGTGTTGCACACGGTCCAGATGGTGAGGACTGTGTAAGAGAGAGAGAACGACTGAGGGAGATGTCCGAGCGACGGAAATCGGAGACGATATGCGACTTGAATGGAACGATCTATCTCTTTGTGGCGGAGGAGTCAAAACCCACACTTGAGGAAGCGCGGATCATGTGACTTGAATATCACCTGACACGAGCCACACCGCCTTCCAATGCTCACATTTAGACCAGTCGACGAAATAGGTCTGCCAAGCAGAATAGACTGACTCGTAGTATATAGACCTGAGTATCTCTTACTCAATCAGTTCCAATTCTGCGAATCAAATCAATTCCCGACTTATTATGCTGACAATGCTTTACCATCGACCTGCCTATTGCATAGATGGGGATCTGCGTTGGTCTCTGATAACGCTCATGTTCCCCGCTTATCAGTTCCCTAGGCCCCTGCGTAGGTAGCCAATTTGTCCGGCATCTGAATCCCCAATTGCGTAGGACATTTTCCTCCTTTATTATTTGATCTTTTTTTTATTTTTTTTTATCCTGGGCAAGCATATATGGCAGGCCCCTTGCCACCTGTGTTGTTTCTTTAGCAGTTTACTCTTCCAGCCCTTCTATTCTAACGATGTCTGAGACAAGCTCATTACGCCCTGGAGAGCCCGACGGGCCTCGGACTCTACGAGATCGTGTGGTCGACGCTTTTCGCTCTCCACCTCAAGCCGGTCTTGGAATCACGACAACCTCCAGCTCTGCCGGTCATTCGGGCCACCAAGCTACAAACACAATCGAACCAGACGTAACGACGAGGCTCCTTCACTCGTACAACCACGTCGACCCTGCTTGCGGTGACAGGCGTTGCAGCCATGGCACATTCTCTCCACGGGTGGAAGAGGCTGGTAGGCAAGCCTACATTGGTGGATTCGACGGGCCAGGGAACAGCAGACATGGAGTGTCTGCCGGTGCGAACGGTCTTCCGAGAGGCATAGACGATCACCCGGAGTCAAGCGCGGACTCGGAGACTCTTTCACAATTGAAAACGTCGTCCGTGCTTTCGGTAAATGACACAAGGAAGCAGTATGTCCGACAATACACAAAGCGCCGCCAATACCAAGGTAGCTTGCATCTAATGAACAACAAATGACTAACCAATCGGCTCAGGTACATTTCATATTACATCCCTCTCTTCAATTGGGTAGGCCAATATCGCTGGTCATTGCTACGCGGAGACTTTATGGCTGCGTTGACAGTGGCTTCTATATACATCCCGATGGCTCTTTCACTGGCCTCGAACCTTGCCCATGCCCCACCAATCAGTGGCTTGTACTCCTTCGTGATTCATCCTCTGATATATGCCATTCTAGGAAGCTGTCCCCTCCTGGTAGTTGGGCCAGAGGCTGCAGGCTCCCTTCTCACAGGTGCCATCGTCAAAGCAAGTGTCATGCAAGGAAACTCCGGCGAAGACGACCTCGCAGAAACCGCCTTGGTCGTAGGAGTTGCCACCGCAATGTCGGGCAGTATGATTCTCATTGCCGGATTGACTCGTCTTGGTTTCCTGGACAATGTCCTGAGTCGACCCTTCTTGCGAGGATTCATCACTGCCATTGGCTTTGTGATCTTTGTAGATCAATTGATTCCAGAATTGGGTCTTGCCGATCTAGCCAAAGACACTGGTGTCAGTCATGGAACCAGCGTTTCTAAGTTGATCTTCATCTTCCGAAACGCTGGTCAGTCCCATGGGCTCACTGCCATAGTCTCATTCGTTAGCTTTACGGTCATCATGGTTTTCAGGTCAGTGCATCGATGAGTACTCCGTCCGCTCTGCTAACCATTCACAGAACATTGAAAAAGATGCTCGTACCACGTATTCCCCAAGTTATTTACTTCCCAGATCGCTTTTTGGTTGTCGCCCTGTCAGCGGTGCTGGCTTGGCACTTTGACTGGGAGTCCAAAGGACTCGAAATTCTTGGATCTACAGAGGTCGCTGCCGGAGGACTCTTCTCATTTAACTGGCCCTTCCAGTTTGCGCACATGAAGCATGTGCGAACGGCAATGAGCAAAGCCTTCATCATCGCCCTGCTCGGTTTCTTTGAGTCTTCTGTGGCGGCCAAAGGACTGGGCGAAGGGAATTCCGACGGAATCAAGGGAATGCACATGAGTGCCAACCGTGAGATGGTTGCCCTCGGTGTTGCGAATGTCGTTGGTGGCTGTTTCTCTGCCCTGCCTGCATTTGGTGGCTACGGACGAAGCAAGCTCAGTTCCCAGACTGGAGCACGCTCTCCAATGACCAGTGTCTTTTTGAGTTTGATCACGTTTACTTGTGTCATGGTGCTTTTACCATACCTCTATTATCTTCCGGTTCGTACCACCCCGGGACCTTTTTTCTCCAATGAAAGCCATGCTAACCCTGTGCAGAAAGCAGTTTTGTGCTCCATGATTTCTGTGGTAGCTTACACCTTGGTAGAAGAATGTCCCCATGACCTACTATTCTTCTTCCGACTACGCGGCTGGACCGAGCTTGTTCTGATGGTACTCATTTTCACGACAACAATATTCTACTCATTGGAGCTTGGCATGGCAATGGGAATCGGCCTCTCCGTCATTATTCTCATCCGCCACGCCACACAACCCCGAATCCAAATTCTCGGCAGGGTGTCCGGCACAGAAGCTCGCTTCGACAACGCCGAACTCCACGCCGAAAACGTCGAGCTGGTCGAGGGTGCCCTGATCGTCAAAATCCCCGAACCCTTGACCTTCGCCAACACAGGTGACTTGAAAAACCGTCTCCGTCGTCTGGAACTCTACGGCTCGAACCATGCGCACCCTTCGCTCCCGCGTATGCGCGCACCGGAGCATAACAAGAATATCATTTTCGATGTTCATGGTGTAACGAGTATCGATGGGTCTGGAACGCAAGTTCTTTCAGAGATCGTGCATGCATATGCAGAACAGAGGGTCCAAGTGTTTTTCTGCCGGTTGCCGAATCGGAATGTGTTTAGCATGTTCGAGCGGAGTGGGATTGTTGAAAAGTGTGGTGGATTGACGCATTTCGTCCCTAGCGTCGATGAAGCGCTGCGGTTGGCGGAATCTGAAGATCAGGCGCGGGAATTCTGAAATGTACAAAACGAATGATGTTGTGAAACGAATGTTTGTGAAAATATTGCATTTATTTCTGCCATTTAGATACAAATGTCACTGATGGTGTCAGTCTCTGCTTGTTAGAGAGACATCCGAACCCTTGTATCTTGACTTCGTAGTAGTCACGCATATGACATAACCACCTGTAGGTGCTAGACTTGAGCGTTGGAGCCATTGACTGATAGAAGAGTCGTAGTGATTGGATTTCTGGCACAAGATTAACCCAGTTCTCTGGGCACTGCAAGGTTTGCAGAATGGCCAGCGGGTATCGATTCGCTTGTTGACATGAACTTGACTTGTCAATCAGGAGACTTTTCGGGCAAAGCCAGTTTCGTTAAGACGATGGACCGGCGATTCCAGCCGTTCGGCGATGGGCATCGCTGGCCCTTTTTAAGCAAAGCTTATATCATTGCAGAGAATGACGGCGCAACAGTCAACTCATGTTGTCGACTGATCCCCAATAGCAGCTCTCCTCGCCACTAACCCCAGGAGTTTCTCTCCGGCTTCCAAGGCTGACTTAGTCTCATCATCATCTTTATCAGCCACAACCAGCTTCACCCGACCCTCCCCACCAAGGACAAAAGAGGCACAAACAACCTTCGAAAGTCGCACGTGCTGCTTGACTTGATCCGACCCGTCCAAGTCAAGCTTCATCGCAAGGTGCTCATCCAGATATGAGGTCAGATTGCTAATCAAAGGACTGCGCAGTTTCTGTTCCAGGCTTTGACGTCCATCCGGTGTCTTTGCATCAAGCATATCGGCTAGTGCCGGCCGCGATACATTAACATTAAGCGATCTCAAGTCCGGTGCAATAGATGATGAAAATGAAAGTGTGAGTTGAAGCTCTCTGATAGCGTCCACAGTTTTGGCACGCTGCAGGGAACCAATGTACGTCTCAAGTCCAGCACAGAGAAAATTCGAAGGTAGCCGCAGAGGTGAGACGTAAGTATCAAAGTTTGCAGACAAGAATGCGAGAAATGTTTGCCGCAGCACTGTAGGGAATCTCGTCAGGAGAAGAGGCAGAGCCGTGGATCCCTTGAGCTCATTGGACGAGTCTGTAAGCAGAGCAGCTTTGTAGACAATGTTTTCATATTCCAGTGTGACTAGAATGCCAGACAATGCGTGGGATGTAGTTGCTTCGCGTGACGGAGATATTGGCTGCCAAAGACAATCTTTTAGGGCGCCTGTCTTTGAGAGCGCATTTGTGTCTGTACCAGTATCCAATTGAATTCCAGCGAGAACATCGCCTGTCAGATGGTCCCGCAGACGCGTTGCGTATGTCTTCAAAGCGACTTGATTGTTTAGGAGAGTCTCACAATCTTTCCCGTGGTGGAGAGGTGAGAGGCGGTGGATGGTCCAGGTTGTGTTAAACAACTGGTGTAGATCTGTTTGGTCCATAGTATCCCAAGGAGTGCTTTGATTTGCTTCTGACACCAATGGGATGTATCCGAAGCATCAATTGGTGTCGGGAGAGACCGATACTCGATATACACATGCGACGCGTGATAGCTGCAAACAAAACAAACATCTGATAAGGACGGAGTATCATTGACTTCACACGCACCAGATGATGATCTTTGAGGGAAAATCTTATTAAATTGAAATGAAAAATGCGGTTTGCTAAATTCCCTACATAACTCCTGTATCGTGTATTACCATATCGGAATCCAAATCTAACGCCAATGCAACGCCCAGCTATGAATCATAATCAAGCCTGCCATCCTCTTGTACGATGGCAATGCGGACACCCAAAAACAATAGGAATACCATTCCACACCCAGACATGCTCCACATCATGGGGCATAGCATTTCGAGCCCTCAACTCCGCCTCGGCAGCGGCAAACCAAATATCATCCACAGAGCTATGCAAGTTTTGTGCAGAGGCACGCGCAAAAACAACAGAGTTCATATGATCCTTTTGATACATCGTCATGTCGTGATAGAAGTTGTACATGAAGTCTTTGCGCTGCGTTCGCTGACTTCCTCCATCGCCAATTTCTGCCGAGAAAAACTCCACGATGCGCACGAAGGGCGCCAATGTCAGCAGCGAGCTGATCCATGAATCGTCGGTTTCCACTTGCACCTCGGAATTCATCGTGTATCGTATGTATGAGACGAGTAAATGCATACAGTGATGTGTTGCTACCAGTGCCGCGGTGTTGGTGAATGGGGGTGTTTGCAAGATGCGAGTTTGAAGCTCACGATACATCCTCTGTCGAATTTCGAGCGGGAAGGGGACTGGCAACTTTCCAGCTTCGTATTTTTGAACCAACATATTGGTGTGTTCGCGTCTAGCGGAGGCGTACGTTTCGAGGAAATAGAGGGTGTAGTACCTAGAGAGGTCAGTGGATCATGCCAAGAAGAGCTTAACTCGGGTGACATACATGAGCGGTGCAAGATGGAACCATATGCTGGCTATGCCTCGTTTGACGAGAGCATTGCGTTCGTTTCGCTTCGAAGGGAACGAAGCTTTCATGACGGCCGGTTCGGTTTGGATAAATCGATCGAGGATGCGATCTGCAAGATAATAGCAGAGTCTCGAGCAGAGCATTTGTCTGCGACGAAGCCCATGCAGATACTTGAACGTGTAAAGATGTCCACCGCGGGCACTCTTGGAGGGAGGGAACAGGTCCGACAAGAGCACGACATCGTCGCCCGGGTTGCGCGTGTAGATGCGATCGTCATCAATTGGGGAAGGGAGGGTGCCGTGACGACGTAGACGGAGATATTGGCGTACAATCTCGTGTTCATTGGAAGTGAGTAGCTGGTAGAACGCCTTGCAGACGAGTCTCAGCGGATGGAAATCAACAATACCGCAGTAGGCGAATATGCGGATTTGAATCTCGACGGGGAGATCCCATGGGGATGGCGTGGACGGTAGAACTGCATGTTTACTACTCCTTATGCATGGTCAGAATCAAATTGTAAGGCCGTCCCGGGCGAAGCTTACCTTTCCCGCTTGGCTTCCTTGCCTTTCTTTCGGATCGCGGCCCGGACTTTTTGGACTGAGAGGGCGAATTTGGCAAAGCCAGTCATCCTTGAGCCCTCACATTGGCGACCAGACCCTGACAGCTTGATACACAAGTCGAATCTAGTCCTCGAAGGGGCTTTTTCTTCCCTTGAAATCAGGATTGCCCAGGGCTGTGTCGGCTTACGTCAGTTTCTGAGAGCTGACATAAGGTGTGGGTCCAGAGATAAATTTGGAACTATACGAGTCACTTAACAAAATAGAGGAATTGAAAGTGTTGAGAGAGGTGTATAAGAGAGGAAATGAAAGGCTAGGAATGCTGAATGATGGTACATCTTGGAAGTCGAGCAATACGCCTGCCAATCTTAAGATAACCAGCTCGTAATGCCATCAATTGATACACTATCCACTCCGTACTATAGGTACCTAAGTACCCACTTCAAGATCTAGACTGCCACATGCTCGTACACAGACCAGGCAATGGTTGAGATCATCTTCAAAACTTAGTGAAATCCATAGTTTTGTCGATATACAAGCTGTTTGTATAACCAAAAAGTCCGGATTATAGGTCATTACGTCATTCTTCATGCGTCAATGGCGTGCTGATGCATACAAAGTCGTTTGCCCAGGTGGGAGCTTGAGTTACCCCCCTTCTTCAACTTCTCCAAGAACATTGAAGATTATCCAACATGACCAACATACTAATTCTAGGTGCCACTCGAGGCTTAGGGGCATCCCTGCGATCACTGTACTCCACCAAGCCCGAAACTCACGTTTTTGCAACCTCGCGATCGTCAAAAGATCCAAGCCCGGGAGTTACATGGCTGAATGGAATCGATATCTCGCAGCCAGATGTGGGACAAAAGCTAGTCTCCCAGCTCCCATCCACCAAGATTTCAACAGCGATTATCACCGCGGGTTACTTTGGCTTTGAAACATTCGATTCTCCTGACTGGGAGAAACAGGTTCAAATGTACACCACATCTGCCATTGGACCCGTCTTTGTGGTACACAATCTAGTCAAGGCGGGACTGCTGGGCCAAGGTAGCAAAGTGATTCTGGTCAGCAGTGAGGGTGGCAGTATTACCCTGCGCCACGAGAAGGAGGGTGGTGGTAACTTTGGTCACCATGCCAGCAAAGCCGCTCTGAATATGGTGGGGAAGCTTCTGAGCCTTGATCTCAAGCCCAAGGGCATTGCGGTCGGGATCATTCATCCAGGATTCATGCGGACGGAGATGACAAAGAGTGTCGGCTTTGATAAGTACTGGGATGCGGGGGGAGGTGAGAAACATTCTTGAATTGACTTCCTGCCCCAAAACTAGGTTTACGATCGTTCATGCTGATCTTTCATTCAAATAAGCTGTCACACCTGACCAGGCTGCTGAAACGCTGGCTTCCTTCATTGATGAATTTAACATCGATAAGACCGGTGAATTCTGGGCACCTGCAGGACCAAGGTGAATAATCGCTGTTATTTGAAAAATCTAAGCTAACAATTTTGGACAGAGATATTGGTACCGCGGAAGATGTTCTGGGGAAAAACCTATCAACTCCATTGCAGCTTCCATGGTAAGAGGCAAGGTTATGCAAGATCTTGAGAATGAACCTCAACATAGTTCACGAATTAAGACATTTATCATGATGGATAAGCTTCTAAGTTATCTAAAGTTGCAATGCTAGTCTGAATCCGTGCGAACTTGGACGTACTTGTAGACCTCGCAATAACATATTTCCTTACAAGTATGTGTAGTGTCGGCGAAACACTGAGCGCAAGTGGAGACGCGTTCTTTTGGCCCCCTTCCGATAATTTCTGATATTTATTCAATTGAAAAATTCTGTGGTGTCCCTTAACAAGACACCTTTTAAGGTTTGTTTCAATGTGCCCTGGAAGTGATCGATTCTTTGATTCTGGATGTTATAATGGACTTGAGCCGCGCTTCCTTTCCCGAGGAGAAACCCGCTGCGTCTCAACAAGATGTTGTCATTTACGAGGACCCTAACTTCGGATACGCCGAACGCGTCCTAGAAAAGCTTGGTGTCTATTCGAATTTCCCTATGTATGGTGATACTATGACGCGAAGCTGGCTGGACTCTACTTACGACTTTTCTTACTAGGTTCACGGTGTCCTGCATGGCTTCTCTCTTGATCTATTTTGTGGTCTGCAATGAAACGTATGGGGAAGAAAAGTGCTTCAAGTACGCAGATCGTGTGTTTTATGTTTTATTTTTCCTATGCTTTGTCATTGTGACTTTGAAGGTCTACCGCAATGTTTGTTACGTAGACTGGATGAACGCACACAAGCGAGCGCATGGAAAGTCGGCAGCATAGGCATGCCCAGAATTCGGGGAGACAAGTTCATACCAGGGCAATCTCAAAAAAAATTGATATTGAGCGTTTGAATATGGAAAGTGGACGTGTAGGACATAAAGCAACATTGATGTTATGATATTCAGGGTCTGGCACACATAAAGACCAAATCCCTCCCAAAGTCCTCCCGGACTTCGCTACCAACAACCTGCACCCCCAAAATCTTTCCATAAAACTTCTGCAAGCGCTCATCATCCGTTAGCAACATAATGCGTCGGAGGTAAGGCATATTCTCCTTCGAAAAAATCTCCGCAACACAGGCTATAAGCCAATTCCCCAGTCCATGTCCCTGGTACTCAGGCAGAACATAAGTATCGGAGATATAAGCAAATGTCGCCCCATCGGTGGCTACGCGGCATAGTCCGATCTGCTCGGTCCGCTCTGGCGTGACTGGACCTCCGGGCTGGACTTTGTACACGCCGAAGCTCAAGGACCCGTGGAGCATTTGCCAAAGCACTTGCTCTGGGAATGGCTTTTCGATCCAGTAAACGAAGTCTCTGTCAAATGCTTTGTTCACTGCTTGGACATCGAGGAGAGATGGCTCCGTAGAGACGATGAATTCGGAGTCGGTTTCCCGGGTCCATGTCCGAGCGGGGAGCCCGCTTGTTGGTGGGGCAGAGGCCATGGTGATTTGATCGAGAGATGAGATCCTGACAAGAGCCTGGGAGTACCTAGGCAATGATTATCCCAGTCAGGCGGTTTGAAACTATGAAGTTCTTCAGAAAGTTGCAATAGATTCCAAATACGGGAGGCTAACCCCCGGCTGGATTGACTCAGGCCAGTTGACGCTAAGCGCTAGGGTGGGTCGCCGCGAGTGGAAGCTGTCTGCATGTTTATTTGACCAATGATCGCCAATTTCTCCAACTTGTTTAAATGGAATTGAAGGAAAATATATTAAATGAGCGTGAGTAGAAGTCCGGTTATTCTTTAAGGGCGACTGCCCCTTTTAACCGGCCCGGTTCCATCGTAATCTAATTCTTCGTCGAATATTGTTCGTAACTGACTGAAATTTCATCGGTTCGCTCAATGCCAGCAGCGCCACGCAGAATGTTCTCGTCACTAGAGTTCCTGGGACCATGCTTCATGACACTTGTTTGGTAAGAGATTTCGTCTGGCTCGGCGGAAGATTCGACGTCGGATTTGGAGAACTTGCCCCATTTTCGATTTGTGCCGTACATTGGCATTTTGTAGGATGTGTTGCCAGAGGAAGAGCTGCTCTTGCCATCTTTGCCATATTTGATGCGAACGTAAAGAGGGCGTAGAACGGGGATCGTCGAACACATGATGGTAACGCAGCTTTCGGTGGCGGACCAGATAAGCATTGGCACAGTGTCGTCTTGTTGGGTTAGCCTCGACGCGGAAGAACGGGGGACAATATCGCTCACATATATATTCTGAGGCATTCAAGCCTGCCAGAGCCTTGGTGCGGATAATGCCACAAATACCGGCACTTAACAGGAGTTAGTTTGACAATCACTGCTGGTAAACGTGATGTAACCTACAAGATTCCAAGACTAAGACCGCAAGCAACGGTGATCTTCTCTTTCTGCTTCATGTTGAGATCCCAAACAACAAACCATGGCAGGATTGCGAAGGCGAAGTCGGCGGCGACGAACCATGCTGGTAAGGGGGTCAATATTCGAAGCATATAACAGAATCAATTTTGAGTACTCACACCCAACAGTGTAGCCAACTTTGGAGAAGTCAATCCAGCAATGTCCCGGGGTAGTGGGGTTCCAAGATTTCTCGACGGGGATACACTGAACTATGACAGTGATACTGGCGAAGAGAGTGATGATAGCAGTGATCGCGAGGCAACCCCAGATAATCCAGATTTGGAATTTGTTTCGGACAATCCGAAGCAAAAACACACCAACAGCACTCTTTCCCACCCCGATGACCATAATACCAGCAACCTGACTGAAGAGCTCATATTTAACAGCGGTAAAATATATGACTGGATCACCGACTTCGGCAAACAATCGTCCCAAGCCATAGACGCTCGCCGCGGAAACGAAGGCAGTGTAAAGTATATGGAGAACCTTTAGAAATTGATCGTATGAGCCTCAGAAACGACAGTTAGGAGCATGAGAACATACCAGTGCGACCACAACTAAGTAGTCGTCAAGCCCAATGGCGCTCAAGATGAACTTTCGTGTATAAAGTCTGAGCCCCACAAAGAAAGCGAAGATAATAACCTCCACCCAGAGGACCGCGTTGGTCATAGGACCCAGGCCTCCATAGTAGCCCATGTTGGGGATATCCACAGTGGTTTGAATATAATCGAATGAATGAAATAGGCGGGAAAAACAGTGCTGGCCATCTCACTTGAACATGAAATTGTTGTCCATGTCTTGAATTATTATATGCTATCCACATTGAGATGCATCAACCCTGCTCAAGTGCTCAAGTGAGAGCCCTCTTGCCACTAAAATCAAAGGTACGACAGACTTGCAACTCTTCAGGCCTATCAAACCTACCAATGGCCTGAAAGAACGATACATCCTGCTTTTACGGTGATCTTTGCCCGAAGATCCGTAGAGTTAAATTAAGGACTCATGTCAGACCGGTAGGATAATCCCACGAGCTCCACCACAAGCAGCATGCATCTCTCGTAGTTTTGACGTGCGAATGATGGCCCATTTCACGCCACAATCCACGTAATAAGAAACACTAAGACGAAAACGCCTTTGGCGTACGGGAGATGAAAAAATGTGACAGTGAGATATTAGAGACACTAGACCTGTCATATTGAGTGGGTCTAAATGGAACCATAATTGACCACCACAGAGGAGCGTGTGGTCAATACACAAAGTACTCCATACTCCGTACTTCTACTCCGTACTGTACTTGTAGTCTCGGGGTTTGACAGATAACGGTTAGTGGAGCGCACAGGCAAAAGTTGACAGGTGGCTCCCGTTTCCCCGTCTTAGCCTCGTGGTGGCTGCAGCCGAAACACGGAGATCTTTTCTCGATGTGGTTAACCGAGTGGACATAACACCAGGATTCGATCTATCACAATTGAATTAGAGTTGACACAAGTCTAGAGCACGGATTTGGTCGGATGTTACTTAGAGTCTAGCCTCCGGGCAGCGAAGTTTACTTTGTCCCAACGTGGTAATTGAACAGACTTGACTCTGGCTAATGGAAGATCTAGGGGTCAAGGCTAAGTGAGGTCAGTAGTGACTTAAAACGAGGCTGACATTTATACGACCGTTCGCGCTGCCGGTAGGTCTAATTAAGTCTCACAATCACCAGATTATCTTACGAGTCAACTTCATACCCCTGTCCCGCGGAGCAATCGTGACAACACAATATGATGTCTCTCGCAAAAACTATTACTTCATTCTATACAGCTAGATTAAAAGGGGCTGACAGCCAACCAAAACAGGCTGTGGATACCGTTCAATCTCAAACAGAACAGACCATTGCTTCTCTCGATGCTGTTCAACCGGATGCGTTTGGCGGAAATGAGGTAGAGCGCCTCAAAATACGAGCCGCAGCCCGTCGACTGCTTGCTAGAGTGGAGACGCCTTATGAACGAGCCTGGGGTTTCTGCTTTGAACAACCGGTGGTCTTTGCCGCTCTGCAGATATGCATTGACGTGGGCCTTTGGAGATCATGGACTAGCGTCGGAGGTGAGAAGTCTATTGATGACCTGGTCAGGTTGACCAGTCCAACTGTCGATGCAAATCTTCTCCGTAAGTCTCTCCAGTGTGGTCATGATCCGGCATTAACGGAAGCACAGGTCGACTGTTCCGGCTACTAGCGGCGTTCAATGTGGTTGAGGAGACATCCGAGGACAGGTTCAAGCCTACTCCATTCTCGCTTGCCATTGGTGATGAGACCACCAAGGTCCGAGCTTCACTCCAAGCAGCGTGAGAAGCCCCTGTCCAATATCTGAGACTCATACTAACCTCTCCTTCGTCAGAACAAACCAGTATATCGCAACCAGCAAAAGCTTGCCCACATACCTTGCAAGCATCTCGTACCACGAACCAACAAATGTTGTCACAAATAACCACTCAGTCGCAGATCCCGATGGCTTGAACTTCTTTGGTCGACTGCAGAAAAGCCCTGCTTGCTTTGAAGCATTCACTGGGCACATGGAAGCATGGACAGCATGGAAGACTCCTTGGACCAGAATTGTTGACACAACTCAGCTGCTTGCAGGGGCCAAACTTGATGATGGCTCGCCCTTTGTAGTCGACGTTGGTGGTAATACCGGGATAGATATCTCACACGTCCTTGCTAAACACCCGAAAATCCCTAGTGGATCATTGGTACTACAAGATCTTCCCGAAATCATCGCTACCGCGCAAGTTGACAAGAAGATCACTGCGATGGCCCATGACTTCTTCCTACCACAACCGATCAAAGGTAAACTATCTCAAGCTGCATCAAGTTCATATTGCTGACAAGACCCAGGGAGCCGTGCTTATTTCATGCATGCCGTTCTTCACGATTGGCCAGATGACAAGGCGAGGGAATTATTGGCGAACACCCGAGATGCCATGACAAAAGGCTACTCTAAGCTCTTCGTCTATGATATCGTCTTACCATCCACAGGTGCAAGCATTGCCCAAACAACAATGGATGTGCAGATGATGTCGTTGCTATCGGCTTCTGAGCGAACTCAAGCGAACTGGAATAACTTGTTGGCCAGTGCCGGATTGAAGATTGTTAAATTTTGGCCTGACCCTCAGCAGTATGAGATGGTTATCGAGGCTGAGATTGCATAAGTTGGGGTTGAAAGGGTGGCTTTATTGCTTGTATTTTTGAATTGGCGTTTGTTACGGAGTCTTCGACTAATTTTTTCGCAAATCCTACCCGTTTCTATGAGATTTATCACATAAAAAGCTTCTACGCAGTTTATGAGCAGACCAAACGGCAGAGCAGAGCTTTTGTGTCTCGGTCGAAGCTACTGAATGGGTTCGTCTCGGTTTGGGTTAAGATTTAGCTTGCTTTTGCCGGGATATTCTTTGTCTTCTCTCCAACGGTCAGAAATGTCGACAAAAGGGGCCGATCGACGTGGGTTGGAGAGGGTGGTGATGGTTTCAGAGGTTGACCAGGACTGATAGATGGAAAAGTTGGATCAAGCTAGATGCCACAACAGAGGAATGGAAAGTTTTGTGTAGTAGATCGGAAGCTAGAAGCTCTTCCTACCTCTTTTCCTTTCTTTGTTTTGTTCTCATCTTTCCACTCGCTCCCTCATTCACTTCCTCCTGAAGTCTTTCCTCTCATCCCAAACTCACCTTGATTAATTTCCCAATTGATTTCCCACTTTATCTTATTAGATTCCTTGGTTATTGTTGATAGTCTGATTTCTCTTATTGTAAACTTATCCACTTGGGCATTTGTTTACTCGTTTACTTTTCTGCTCTCTCCTATTCACATAATCACTTTGTCTTTTACACAGTCTCATTCTTTCCTTTCTCTTATCCCAAGTTTATCTCAATTGATTTCTCACTTCATTTTACAAGATTCTTTGACCGTTGTTGTCAACCTAATTCCTTATTATATTCCATTGTTACCTAGGTATCTATTTACTCCATCCCGCCCACACACTCTCTTTTTCTCTCCCACTGGGATTTTGATTGGTACCACCGGCGATTCAAACACGATGACGCTAAGCTTACCTGCTCCTGCGGACGGAATAAGTCCCCAGACCACCTAGTGCTCTGCGTTAGAACAAGAGGCCGCCTCCACCAGTGGCTCTCCCGACCACCCAACGCCCCCACGAATAAGCGCGAAGCGCTAGATTATCTCCGGAGGCTGTTCTCGGAGGCTTTTGTCGAATTGCTCCGGGTTACGGAGTTCTACACCAGAATTTGCACCCGTTGAAGGGTGCAAACCACTATTCCACTCTTCCTTTCCCCCTTTTCCTTTGTCTACCAACCCTACATTCATTACCTTCTATCTACGAGTGCGCTATGCGCACGGACAACTACGGACAGCTTTTGCTGCGGACCACAGAACAGAGCAACCATGCTGGAAGAAGCGAAAAATGCGGGAAAAACAAAGGTGACCCTGTCAACTGGCTAATCGCACGCACTTCTTACGAATGGGGGCAGGAGCTTCGCTCCTGCCCTCCAGGACATTAATTATACAAACAGAAACAAACAAACAAACTCTTTTTCTTTGTCCCAAAGTTGGCTCAATCGATTTCACAATCGATTTCTCACTTTGCTTTACTGGATTGATTGAGGCTACAAGGCCGAAGAAAGGCACACAAAACGACTGATTCAGAGGGGAGAGATATTGCAAAGGGTAAGCTCTAAAATGCATCAAACTGACGGATTTGACTATCTAACCATCCTCTCTCTCAACAGGATTCTCTGATTGTGGCTGGAAACCTCACACCTCCACTCATCCCCACGCCTCAACCAATTTCCCAATTATTGAGGCTACAAGGCCGAAGAAAGATACACAAACGTTCGATTCAGAGGAAGGAGAGAGAGGTTGCAAAAGGCAAGCTCCAAAAGGCAAACACTAGGGCTGGTCTGGATATTCAGGCGCTGCCCGAGTGCTGTTCCCAATGGCAGAAGCCATGTCGGCTCTTAGAATGGTCTCCCCAGGATCGGATATCTTCTGGACCCGGATGTGGTCCCGCCGGCTTTGGAAGCGGCCGTGACCCCGGCGGAGTCAGAGCCAGTCGAGGATTCGTCCTCGACTTTACTCGACTCCCCGGTGGTGGCCGAAAATCTGCACCCGCCATTGGTCCCGGAGTTTACTCGGCCCAATGGAACGTCTGCTGATACTAATACTACTCTCATTACCTCTGCGGAACCTGATCTGTCCTTGGATGAATCCTCGACTTTATTCAATTCCCTGATGGTAGCCACAAACCTCCTCCACCACTGGTCCCGGCCATTTCTAATTCTGCATTGATGCATCCCGCATACGGAAGTGCTTTTACCGATTCATCTATGGGCGTCAGAGATGTTCTCAGTATACACCCCACGGCATCGCCTTCAAAGGAGGGAGTAGTTTGCTACACCCCAATTCTACTGGATTCTCCGGCTGTGGCTAATAACCTTTTCCATTTCCCCCATTGTGAATCCGCCTCGACTCATATCAACTTCTGCTTTTATCACGCAGCCCACCCCGGCTTTACTGTGGTCCGATAACTGGCCGATCAGTGAGACAATGCTCCGCGTGCCTCAGGAGGTGGCGGAGAGATGATGTCGGCGGCAGACACTCACGAAAGATTCAAACAAAGTCCCGCTTGTCGATGAGTCTGGTTTACAAGAGGATAGTCCAGGTCACGAGCCCACCAAGTGAACTGGCCCCAGAGGACAACCCCGTTGACGGCCCCGCGCTGTGAGCTTCGAAGCTCGAAACACATCCATTAAGTTAACCATATCTATCATACATTTCCTTAATCGATTCGATTAATTTCGCCAACCAATATTCCATATAAGTCTATGCAGAAGATTGTAGGAATGTGCGACAAGTTAGGGTTTCTCGAGTTCAACAAACCGCTGAGCCTCGGTAGTTAGAGGCTCCATTGAACCCCAAAACGGAGAACTACCGGCCGAGAAAATGAGAGCAAATCAGAATGAATTGTTAACAGGAACCCCAATGGCGTGGGGAGTGGAGTGGATGTTAACAACCCGCACGTCATCACGGACCGCGATGATGTGAGTCGCATCAAATCAACATCCGACCAACCGCATTGCAAAGGATTCGATCGATTTTGATAACATCGGGTGAGGGGCAGGATCAAATATGGCAATTGACGTTTGAATTGTTCAACATGGCGTGCAGGTTTTCCTTTTTATATGAAATCCCCTTTCGCATGATTTTCAGATATTCCATTTACAAATTTCAAATTCCCACAATACTGCATCCATCATGGCTCTTGTCGATTCCCAGTTACCGTCCCATATCAAACATGTTGAAATTAAGGGTCCATCAGACTCCAAGCCAACCACAGTTGTAGATAGTGAGATCGATGCCTCTGCCTCAGATAAGGCAGACATCCAGTTTGAACTGGAAGAGCATCCAGTCGACCAGGTCCGACCTATCAAGGTCGGTGTCATCGGTGCAGGCCTAACAGGTATCACTGCGGGTGTGATGCTGCCCGCAAAACTGCCGGGTCTTGATCTTCGAATATATGAAAAGAACGCCGACGTGGGAGGCACTTGGTGAGTACCACTCAACCCTTTTTTAATCATGTTTTCTGATTGGCTGTCAGGTTCGAAAATACCTACCCGGGTGTTCGTTGCGATATCCCTGCACATGTCTATCAGTCTGGAATTTCGCCCAATACACAGTGGACCGAAGAATTTGCCCAGGGTAAAGAGATCAGAGACTACTGGCAAGGTGTCGCGAAGAAGCACAATGTCTACCAGTACCTTCGGACAGGCCAAAAGGTACAAAAGGCCGAGTGGCAGCCCGAGAAGGGTAAATGGAAAGTGACCATCGAGCATGTGGACGGGTCAAAGGTAAATTGTGAAGCTCTGCTAGGAATCTGAACGGAATACTCACACAGTAGTAGATCTACGAAGAGGAGCTGGACGTGGTAATTAACGCTATTGGCCATTTTAATGAATGGAAACTGCCCGACTACGAAGGAATCAACGACTACAAGGGGACTTTATTTCATTCCTCCAATTGGAACCACAATCTAGACCTCAAAGGAAAGAGAGTGGCTCTCATCGGCAACGGTGCATCCGGTCTGCAAGTTCTACCATCAATTCAACCATTGGCAAGTCACGTCGATCATTATGCGCGGAATCCGACTTGGATCGCAGATTCATTCAGCAGCGGTAATGTGGGTGTCCGCCGCCTTGAGCCAAATGTGATTCCCGAGGACCAGCGAGAATCATTCAAGGACCCGGAGGTTTACTTGAAATATCGAAGAGAGATTGAGAGAGGCTACTTTGAGCGGTTCGGAGCAATCTTCAAAGACACACCAGAGAACCAGGCCCTTCGCGAGAAGTGGACCAATTTGATGCTGCAGCGCATTCAAGACAAACCCGAGCTGGGCGAAAAGATCCTCCCGGACTTCCCGCCCAACTGCCGTCGCCCAACGCCAGGCCCCGGGTACCTTGAAGCCCTATCTCAAGACAACGTCGACTACATCCAAACGCGAATCAAACGCTTTACCGAGACCGGAATCGTGACGGAAGACGGCATCGAGCGCCAAGTTGATATCACAATCTGCTCCACCGGAGCAAACGTAGACCACGCACCGCCATTTTCAATCATCGCCAACGGAATCGATCTCAAGACTGCCTGGAAAAAGGATGGCCATTTCGGTTTCCCGTACTCCTATCTTGGCTTTGCAACACCGGGCTTCCCAAATCTCCTTTGGCTAGGTGGGCCCTACGCATCCGGTCACAGTGGCACTGTCCCAAACAGCGTCGAGAATGTCGTGACTTATATAGCAAAAGTGCTCCGCAAGATCCGCAGCCAAGGGATCAAATCGATTGAGCCTGCCAAGCAGGCCGCTGATGACTTTATCGCTTATTGCGATCAGTTCTATCCCCGCACTGTTTGGTCTGCTAACTGCAGCTCGTGGTACAATGGTGGTCAGCCTGGTGCGAGAATCCATGGGCTTTTCCCTGGAAGTGCTGCTAGTGCAAACTACATTCGTCGTGATCCTCGCTGGGAAGATTGGGAGTATACTTATGTCAATCCCAGTGGGAATCGTTTCGCTTACTTTGGTAATGGATGGACTACTCGGGAACAAACGCCGGGTGCGGAGTTGACGCCTCATTTGAGGTTGCCGGAGGATGTGGACTTGAAGTCTTACATGGAGGGCTGGTGGGATGTTTGATAGATTAGATTGACTCGATATAGGTCTCGATTATGTAGCGATTTCTAAGGTTACATAAAGGAAGTTCTTATGCAGTGCACCCCTCGAATCTTTGGCGCAATTGGAGAAATATCATTATTTAAGTTTTTTTCCCGATCAACTCGCCAAGTATCAGATACAATAATTCATATAAGTTCGTCTCAAAAGCCCATTGTGTGCAACTTCAGAGGATTCAAGCCCCAATGGAGAGTAGATCAAGCTCATTGCTTGGTGGTATCCTCAACCATGACTGTCTCAGCCTCTTTCTCATTCACAGCAAGCGGTGTCGCATCTCCAAACAGAATATCCATCTGTTCGAGAGTCTTACCCCGAGTTTCAGGGAAGAAGAAAATGTAACACAACATAGCAACGACATTGAAAGCAAAGAAAACATAGAAGTACCGGAATCCAATAGAAGACAGCGCATTTGGGGAGAATTGCGCGAAAACCAGATTGAAAGTCCAGTTGGTAAAGGTGGTAATTGAGTTACCCTGGTTCCGGATATCAACCGGGAAGATCTCAGCGGGATACACCCAGGAGATGATTCCGACAAAAGTGTAGAAGAAGCTGAACACAAAGTTCATGGCCACCATAGCCCGGAGCTGGTTGTTATTATCTTGATCCCAATGTTGGGACATCGCAGCGTTGCAGACGAGTGCAGCTGCCATTCCGGCTGCTGAGATGATGAGAGGCTTGACCCGGCCAACACGCTCGAGGGCCCATAGACCGAGTGTAGCCCAGACGATGGAGAAGGCACCAGATATTCCAATGATCATCAATGTAGTCTGGGTATCGAAGCCAAGCTGTCCGTAAATGCGAGTGCCGTAGTAGTTGATCACGTTAATTCCGGATAGAGGACCGAAGGCCTGAACCGCACAGCCGAGAAGAAGACGACGGCGCCAAGAGGGCTTGCGAAGGATGGAAGTATAGGAGATCTTCGTTTGAGCCCGCTCTGCTTGAATAGCTTCGCGAATCTCCTGGAACTCGAGCTCGATGTATTGCTCCTTCTCGGGTGTGCCATCACCGTGGAGGTTTTTAAGCACAGTCAGGGCTTCCTCATGGCGATCTTTCTCCATCAGCCAGCGAGGAGATTCGTTGAGGAAGAGAATACCACTCATAAGTGCTATACCTGGAACGCATTGGAAGGCGAGAGGGAATCGCCCTTTGGAGGTCAGTGGACATTCATGAAGATGAAAGGACAAATTTGGACCATGTACTCACATTGGAAGGCAGTGTTGTTGAAGGAGCACCCATACCCGAGCCACTGAGCAACGAAATATCCCCAACTCAACATCCATTGTAACAAGCCGGACATCATACCCCTAGAAGAGGACTCGGCAATCTCACCCGCATACATGGGGATGACCGATGTCAACATTCCTACTGCAACACCGGCAATAAAACGTCCGATGATGAGCATGACCATGTTGATGGCACCAGCCTGCAATGCACACCCAAAGCATGACACAGCGGCACCGGCAAAGACAGAGTATTTTCGGCCAAGCCGGTCGCCCGTGAAGATATTGATAATTGTACCCAAGATGGCACCGCCCTGGAATGCAGAAACGACACCACCTGTCACGGTATCGCTGGGGTTGGAGAAGTATTCGATAAATTCAGGTTGGCCGATCGTTGATGTGACGATACCACTGTCATAACCGAACAGGAACCCTAATACCTTTTAGTATGTGTTGTCAAAGGAGCATTATAAGACTTACCTCCTGTGGCTAGGAAAGTGGCAGTCAACAGAGTCTTGAGGCTGGGCATTTTCACTGAATGTTTCGGGGCAAAACCTGGGGGGCCTACCCCATGGGGATATGGCATTAAATAGACATCGAGAAGAACCGGAGTTATATTCCAACTAGACCGGAAATGATCTAGTGGTCTCGCACAGCTGGGGTACGAGTAGCGCGAGGGCTACGGCTTTTCCGGGCCTCGCAAATTGCTTGTGCCGGCCGAAGTCAACGCGCATTCGGTATGTTCTCCCCCGAGAATTGGGATGGGCCAATACACATCGGTAATTACTGCCGAGTCGACGTCCAACTATGTGGAGGTCTTTAAGTCGTATAGAGTGTCTCGCTTAGGGATTTGTGGAATGTTGCCTCACTTGGCATTTGAGAGAGAAAATTCTACTTTCTACGAAACAGAAAGGCCTAAGAACTCGAATTTTGTCATATCGTTAAACATGTTGGAAATTGAATGCTATCTAAAGTCGTCTAACTTCTATAGTTGAATAGATACAGTGTACAATCCATGGCCAAGCGACAACTCTGTGCCGGTCACAGATTTCTCCACCTTGCCACTACAAGTCGCTCCCTTCATGTCCCCAGGGAGAGAAACAGTCGCCTCTGTCCCAAATGGAACTCTTAGCTGTAAGCTCATGGAACTACCTTCGCGCTTAAACTCAACCTCAATCAACCCATACGGACAGTCCACAGAACCCTTGACAAAGTCAAATTCAGACGCATATGGAGGCTCAATCGAGAAGGTCCGGTAGGCCTCTTGCACAGGCTTCAATCCAAGAACAGCCGCGTAGAACCACTCATAGATTGTACCCAGCATGTCATGGCATTTGCTTCGGCATGCATCTTGCCAGAATTCCAAGAGCGTAGTCTCGCCACGGCGCAAAAATCGCATATATGAAGGATGCTCTTCCTGTCTTGCCATCTTCAAGACAAGATCTGGGCGGTTCGCATCGGCCAGGGTGTTGAAAAGGAACCGAAGACCGATTTCTCCAGCACGAATCTTGCCATCTGCCACATCTTCCAGGAATGCAGCCATCACGTCTTTCTTGTGGGACTCGGGGACGAGACCGAATTGCAGCGCCATTGCTTGGGCAATTGCGTCGCAGTCTCGCGCTGGGTAGTTGTCGAGGGAGGTGTAATAGGCGTAAGGACGGTCTGCGTCATCTGTAACCAAGAGGTTGTGGTTGTAGGCATCGTAGATACGAGAAGACCAAGCCTTGAATTTTTGAGCGTCCTCAAGCTTGCCGAGTTCTCGGGCCATCATCTCCACGCACTGGAGGCAGCGGTAGTAGATCGCTGTTTCGATGTTTGCTTGGTTGTTGCCGAAAGCTATACCTCGACCCCAATCGCCAAGTCCGTGCTCGATGAGACCACCCTTTCGCTCTTTGGTCTGCATGTATTCCATATAACGCACGGCGGCTGGGTAGGCCTTTTGGATGACATGAGTAGACCCATAGTACTGTCGCAAGATATCAGGGAGAAGGCACAACGCACAGCCCCATGTTATGGTGTCATGCAAGGGACCACACATGTACCGAATCTCAGGTGCCATCGTTGGTACTAGGCCACTTGGCTCTTGACTATCAAGGATATCATCGAGGATCTTAGTGTACAGAGACTCCATGTCACGGATGTATTGGGTAGCTGGAGCGAGCAGGTGGGTGACTTCCAGCCAGCCGAACTTCTCAATTTGTGGGCAGTCTGTGTGATAGCTGAACAGATTGCTGCTGAAAGTCCAGTACAGTGCATTCAGAAGTTGATTGACGTCTTCCTTGTCGGTTGTCATTGTTCCAAGCTTTCTCGCTGCCGAGGAAATGTGACGACCAACAACGGAGTGGATAACAGGCAATCCATCGCCAGAGTTCAATGAGACACCTTCGATTTGAATGTATCTCGCACTTGTAAAGCTGAAGTCGGGTTCCCATTTCTCGACCTGTCCAGTACCAGCGAGGGTAATCTTAGAATAAACCCCTGTTTCGAACTCCTTGAACAGGGGATCTGGCATCAAGACTGTACCATCATCGTTGACCGTCTCAGAGTATCGGATGAGAACCTCTGAGCCAGCCGCTCCCTCGATCGCGAGTTCGACAGAAATCGAAGAGTTTTGACCCAAGTCATAGCAAACAACACCTTTCTTAGGGCTATGGACCTTGACCGGCTCAAAGGCCTCGTGCAACACGACAGGAGGTTGGCTTTGATAGAAAATATGCCCCCTGGGGCCCGTCAAAGGCTTGATAGGAGCCCAGTCAGAGTCGTCATAGGAGGCAGAGTCCCATCCAACAGGGTAAAGTCGTCGGTCATGATCCTCAGATGCATAAATGTTCGCCAGGGTAGTGGCGCTCTTCTTGACCTTCCAAGAAGCATCGGAAATCAAAACCTCGCTCTCCCCATCTCCGTAAAACAGATGCAACTCGCCAAAGAAGCAAAGTTCATTGCCGTATCGTACGTAAGTGTTGTCCTCGTACATGGGCCAGAAAAAGCGCCCGTCACCACCCTTATCGCCAGCATAGAACCCATTGCCCAGATGAACGCCCAGCGCGTTCCCGCCTGCCGCCAGATGCTCTGTCACGTCATACGATGTAAATTGAACTCGGCGATGGTAGTTTGTCCATCCAGGATCGAGGCGGTGATTTGATGCAGGCTGGCCATTCACTGACATGTTGAAATGGCCGAGTCCAGAAGCGAACAGAATTGCCCGCTCGGGTTTTCGGGAAAGTTGGAAGGACTTTCGCAAGTAGATGGGTTTATCACCTCCATCACCGATCCAGACTGCCTTCCAGCGGTTGGGCGCGTCTTCGAACCAAGATTTGAAGATCAGACTGGTGTGCGGCATGTATGTCTGGTTCATGCTGTAGGGCGGCAGGAGTCGGGATCGGGGGTAGGCTGTAAAGAAATGGTTCACAGCGCTGTGGTGGGTTTGATTGTTCTGGTCCCATACTGTAACTCTCCAAAAATGACTTGTGATTGACTGAAAGCCATTGTCGGGTTTGCAGATGATGTTTCTTTGCACATTGCTGTCAACGCGCTGGGAGTCCCAGACCACATCTGAGAGCTCGGCATCGGTCGTCACCACGATGCGATAGGCGAGTTGTTTCGCACATTCATCGTCTGTCTCGATTGTCCAATGGAACCGAATTTCATCAGTGTCAATTCCAAGAACTTCATGGAATCCATGAATGCCACAACGAGAAATCTGCATGCTGGGTATGATTGAACGAGAGAAGTTGGAACCAGATTCCAAAATCCGCCCGCTCAATTGCAGCGCGATGTGATGCCATCGGAATATCCGAGACCACGCGATGCTCGCTGCCACTTACCCCGAGGAATGCGAGACATACACCCCGCAAAAGACGAGATGGTCAGCTGCCCGCCTTTTTGAAAGTTTCAGACTAACGGGCGGCGACGCACCAATCGGAGAACGAGAACGCCGCTTTTGTGGGGTTTGGGGATGCGGGTGTAGTGCAGCCGACTGCAGCCGACGCTAAGTATCGGCCCCCGGTGTGTTTTCGGCAATGGAAGACGGGATGTAGGTTTTCGGAAGAATGAACAATGGTTTGGTATGCTATTTCCTTTATATTACATGCTAATTGGACTCCACAGTGTACGGAGGCACTTCTTGGCCCTCACGCCAGAAGTACTTCGCGCCAGGATGCGCCTCAGGAAGTCTGTTCTGACCCTTCTGCCCATAGATGTTTTCGCGAAGAGTGCCGCCCTTCACGGCATAATCAGACCAGAACAGTCCACGTCGCTGCAACTCTGGCAGCAACAGACGAATGACATCGTCAAACGTATCTGGCAAGCTAGCATAGCTAAGGTTGAACCCGTCAACATCACCAACACTAACCCATCGTTCCAATTCATCGGCAACAGTCTTCACGCTACCGATAATCTTCACACCGTTGCCTCCGAGAGTCAAGTACTCAGCAATGGTTCTCTTATCCCACTTCTGGCCCTCTGTGCCGGGCACCGTACTAGCCCAATGGTTCACCATGCTACGCACAGCAGGCTGTTCCACGAACCGGAAGTCCTGATCATCGGCATATGTTGACAGATCATATCCAGTCCAGCCACCAAACAAAGCAAGCGCTCCCTCCCGGTCACCGTACGTCTTCAATTCGTCAAACTTGGCATTTGCCTCCTCGTCCGTCTCAGAAACGATAACCAACGCTCCCGCGATGACCTTGATATCTTGCGGGTTACGACCAATCTCGGCCGCTTGTTGACGAATGCTATCGACAGAAGGACGGACGAGCTCGGGTTTCTGTGCATGCAAGAAGACGGCCTCGGCGTGCTTGGCCGCAAAGGCCTTGCCGGCGGTCGAAGTACCCGCCTGCAGGATGAAGGGGGTTCGCTGAGGACTCGGCTCGCAGAGATGAGGACCAGGCACTTGGAAGTATTTGCCTTGGTGGTTGATCTGGCGGACGGCCTTCGGGTCCGCGTATCCCTGGGTCTTGCTCTGGCCTGGCCTCCAGGTCACGGCGTCGTCTCTCCAAGATGCCTCCCATAGCTTGTAGGTGACATCTAAGTACTCATCCGCGATGCGATAGCGCTCATCGTGCTCCACTTGGGTATCAAGACCAAAGTTCCGGGCTGCAGAGTCAAGATACGAGGTGACAATGTTCCAACCGACCCGGCCATTACTGAGGTGATCGACGGTGGAGAAACGCCTTGCCAGGGCGTAGGGGGAGTCGTAGGTGGTTGAGGCTGTGACTCCAAAGCCAATACTTTCTGTTGCGGCTGCCATGGCGGGAATACTGTATAGGGGGTCGTTGATGGGGAATTGAGCGCCGGCTGGAATGGTAGGGTCCAGATTGGCCGGGCCTTTGTAGACATCGTAACCTCCCAAGACATCGGCAAAGAAAATCGCATGGAATTTGGCATCTTCGAGTTTCTTGGCTAGCCCGATCCAATGCTTAATATTCTTGTAATCCGCGCCTTGGTCGGCTGGGTGGCGGAACAACCCCGGGTTAAGATGACTGGGCGAATGCATCGCGAATGCATTGATAATAAGCTGCTTTTTCTCAGACATGATAGAGACTTTGGTTTGAACAGGAAGCAAGAGCACAACAGAAAACAAAGAAGAAGAAAAACAAACAGCGAACAAGCAGGGTATAGAAGCAACGTGGGCCTTTGACGTGCAGTTGGAGAAGTATGGCGTCAGCAGAGGGGCTACAACTCTACATCTCTCGGACGAGATATAACGAGATATAATGAACATAGTAATTCAACATTCGCTAATCGCTACATGAGGCCGAGCCTCCAAAGACAGTAACCGAAACAAGATGTATGGTCAAAATCCACACGGAATCATACATAATTTTTCTCCTTTTTTTTTTCTGATGTTTTTTTTTTTTTTTTTTTTTTTTTTTTTTTTAATCACTTCACCCATGTCTCACCCCAAACACATGAAAGCATCTAGGGGAGACATGGGTGAAGTGATCTTTTTTTGGATTTTAATCTTTTTTTTTTTTTTTTTCTTCAGACTCCACAATTTGTCGAAGCTTGACAGCTTCGTTCGCCGACCGGGGGTGGCCCGCCCCCGGTCGGCACGCTTCTGGTTGATGGCTTCTTCGAAGCACGCATCAACCGCCCCCTGCTTGGGGGGCCGGAAGAATCCTGGGTGCCGTCTCTGGGCCCGTGAGACGACACCCTTGTCGATGAATCCCCGGAGTCTATTGGCCCAGGTGTCATGCTCTGGCCAAAGAATGTTGTTTAAGTTGCCGCTCGGGCATGCTTTGGCAAGCGACGACTTTCTCATCAGACGGCGGCGACGAATGGCATCTTCTTTATTGTCGCGATGTCCCTCCCGTCCAAATAGCGAGCCACGGTTGGAACCGCCACCAAGGCTGGAACCGCCAGAGAATCGGTGAGCAGCGCGCAGGCGACTTGGTGTCTTGGGCTTGTACTGTTCAGCCTGATCCCGAGCCCTCTTGAGGAGTTCAATGTCGACTGGGCTGGTTTTCAAAATGTCTTGGCGGGGTGAAACCCTCTTCCGTGCAGAATTCTTCCGAGGTGTTAGGATCACCCGAGGGCCTTGCTGGTGGTCATCTGGGGAGAGAGCATCTGAAGATCCATCGTAAGATCCATCGTAGGTTTGGGGACGCGAGGGGTTTGTCGCAGGAGAGGATTGTGGGGTACGGCGGGGCGAGCTAGTAGCATCGGAACTGGAGTACGGGACCTCAAAGTGGCCAGAATAGTTGAAGTTTGGGGGGCGTTCGCCGCGCCATCTTCTGGAACCACGCTTTGCTGGGCTGGAGGGTGGACCAGCCGTTGGGAGAGGAGAGCTTTGGGTCGAGCCAGACGCCTCGGAGCTGGAGTACGGGACCTCAAAGTGGCCGGAGTAGTTGAAGTTTGGAGGGCGTTCAACACGCGCTCTCTTAGAGGCACGTTTCTCGGGGCTGGAAGATTGATCAGGGGTCTCAAGCTGGCCCTGATGGTTGGATTTTGGTGAGCTTTCGATGCGAGCCTTTTTAGAGGTGCCTTGCTCCTTGCTAGGCGTGGATTTCGCGTCGTTGGCCTCCTGCGCATCCCAATCTTCGTCAGAGTAGATGAAGTATTCGTCATTAAGCCCATAGCTACAGCCCGGTGGGTTCGGAATGACGTCGGGGGTTGGCTGTCGTTTGCGCTTCGTGGAAACCTGTGCTTCGTGGGTTGGGGTTTGTTGTGGGGGAGACTGCGCTGGAGCCGAGTCAGGCGCGGCAGAGTCAGGCGTAGCAGAGTCAGGTGCAGTAGACACAGGCGCCAATGAGACAGGTGCTGCATTGATGTACCAGCGGGCTCGCTGCTCAGCAGTAAAGCCAGCGCCGAAAAGATCGTAATTTCCATATCTATTGCGCGATCCGGCAGTGCCTGCGACAGGCGAATTCGGGTTTGAGGCCACTATCGCACGAGACGCGGAGGTGGACGAGTCGCGAGTTGGTGACGTTGCAGGGGGCGACGTGGGAACGCCTCCGTGATTCACGTTCTCGTCAGCTCGATCACGCCCAGCTTCATTTTGCACTGGCTGTTGCACAAGCTCGGTAGCTAAGGCTAAGGGGTTGTTAGTAATTGATATTGGAGATGAGGAAATCGAAAACATACAGTGCGGAGCATTTGCTACCTGCGGCGAGCTTGGTCTACCCACAAGGCCTGTCAAACGCCGGGAGACTCCGTCAACCATCCATCGTCCCCATCCAGGGGTATTGGGCGCTTCGGAAGGAGTGGGCGCTTCGGGAGGAGGAATGGGGTTCTCAGTGGGGTGAGCACCGCCAGGGGAAGTCGTATCCTGGTCATTTGGTTCAGTGTTAGAGGGGGGAGCAGACCTCGCATCTGCACGTTGCTGCGCCAGATATTCGGGAACACGATATATGGTGGAATGGATTCGTCCACCAACTTCGGCTTGGCGTCGTCGGGTCCGGTCTGCATAAGTTGTACGTGGACGAGTGCGTATCATCGAACCATGACGGGTTGTGGGACGTGTATGTTTGTGACGCTTCATCGGGGTATCCTGTTCGTCAACACGGCTGCGTTTCCGGGATTCATCTGGGGCATTTGTCAGCTTTTTGCCATTGGGGTCGGCGAGACGGTCCGAGGAAAGACGTTCGGTTGCGGAGCCATAGTGAAATGCTTTCATCCGGAGTGGACCTCGGGTGGGCTGGCGCCGGGTGGGCTTGAGCAACGTACGTATGCTGGTTGGCTGAGCCGATGGGCCGCCGAGTGGCTCATCGATATGGGGATTCTCTCCGTGGGGTTCCAAGGGGTTTTCGGGACTGAAAATAACGGTATCAGCAGGCGTTTCATCGGGATGATGAAGTGTAGGGGCCAATGGTTTGGGTAGTTTTGCGGCTACCGCCGGGGAGTCAGAGCCAGTCGAGGACGAATCCTCGGCTGGCTCTGACTCCGCCGGGGTCACGGCCGCTTCCAGCGCCGGCGGGACCGTGGCCGGTGTGTAAAATATGTCGGATTCTGGCGGGACCATATCGGGGGTGGATCTTTGGGAGACTATTTCCAGAGCCGACATGGCTTCCGCCATTGGGAACAGCACGCGGGCAGCGTCTGAAAATCCAGGGCGCGCGGACAAAGTTGGCGATTCAAAAGGTGAGTTCACCGCTGATGACTCCATGGAGATACTAGAGGTTTCGGATACATCGCTGGACGACGCGACCTCTGCAATTGGAGAGCGAAAGCGGTTGAACGGGGTTGGAGAACTCAACAGGGAAGGAATTGGAGAACCCAGCATGGAAATGGAACGGGTTGGAGAACCCAACGTGCAAGGTAGCATCCACGCTGATAAAACTGCAGACACGCTGGGTGATTCGGACGCAGGGGAAGATGACGGGACCTCTAGAATCGGGGACAGAATGGATGGAAAAACCAAGCGTCCGCGGCGCATGAGCGGGGTTGGGGATTCAAAGCCAAAGGGGGGGTGCACGGCAGATGACCCTGGAGAGCCACTGGGGGATTCCGGTGTATGTGGGGATGACATGTCCATTTGGGATGGCATGGCCATTGGGGATGACATGACCATTGGGGATGCCATGGCCTGTGGGGATGACATGACCATTGGGGATGCCATGGCCTGTGGGGATGACATGGCCATTGGGGATGCCATGGCCTGTGGGGATGACATATCCTGTACGGTTGGAGAAAGGAGATAGGAAGGAACTTCATCTCCAGTGCTCATGAACGGAAGAGGAGATTCAGCGGTAAAAGGTGAGTGGACCGCGGATGAGCCTGGAGAATCACGGGGGTCCGGGGATTGGGGTACACGGGGAGATGATGGGACCTCTGTCGCTGGGGAAAGGTCCAGGTCCATGACCGGGGATGGCGACGCTGAGGGGGCCAACTCTGAGGGGCGCGACGCTGGGGGGGGCGACACTGACCCTCTTCTGAGTCGCCGGCGTGCATAGCGTTCCTCGCGTGCAGTCTGGAGGGCCTTTGTTGGGGACGCAATAGAACAATCCTTAAGGGAGGCGCAGATAGAATCAAATGGGGAGGCGCAGAGAGAAGCAAATGGGGAGGCGCAGAGAGAAGCAAATGGGGTGGGAACTGACTTATCCTTCTTGGGGGAGGCCTAAAAAAACACGTCTTAGTCAAACAACTTGGACTTGCCAATTGTCTACTTACCTTCTGTGCCTTGGCCTTTTTGGCAGGGCGGCCTTCTGGGGTAGCCGGTGTTGATGATGGTCCTGGGACAGTCGCTTCCGGCTCTGACTCCTGGGCCGACGAGGCTCGGGTGCCACGGCGGCGACGGGACGTCTGCCGTTGAGCCAACGGGTCCAAGACGGCGTTAGATCGTAGTCGCATCTTGGTTTACGCGCAAGATACGGTGGGTAGGGAAGTATTCGGGAGGTGAGGAGAAAGGGTAAACAAAGTAGTGGTATCGATCACAGACGCGCTCGAAGGCGCAGTTGCAAACAGTCCAAGATTCAGATAGAGAGTACCTTCAGGCGCAGTCGGAACTGTCCAAAGGTTGAAGATCTCCAAGAAGAAAAATCAAGGGCTGGAAAGAAAGTGTGGTGAACGATGGGGAGAGAGGAAGAAGAAGAGAAGAAAAGTAAACAAGAGCGCGATGTTATGGTTGTCAGGTGGTAGAGGATCTCAAATGGAAGGAGCGGTTGCCGGGGCCGACTTCCCCTCGAAGTTGTAACTTTTTCAAATGCGGAAGTCGCGATGGGGCAGAATAGTCTGGCTTCAGGGCGGTGAAAACACTACAGAGGACGTAGTATAGATCGAAGCACACGCATGGAAAACGAGTACAATACACAACATACAATGGATCAATGCATACAGCCAGTTATTATGCAGTTATTGTATATATCTATATACTATTTACTTCATAGAAAAGGAATTTGAGTCCAAGGTCCACAGATGACAGATGAATGTTTTTCTTCGGGTGATTTACCAGTGTACGGAGTAATATACTGAGGTACTCTGTATACTACATATCATATGTAATGCCAGTGCGCCTAGCCCCAGGGGCCAGATATAATCACACAAGATCAGACAGCGTGGAATAAACTCCATATGCGATGTCTACTTACTCGGTGTGAATGAAAATACAAAAAAAAAAAGAGAAATGCTATTTGTACAGATGCTCTGCGAGCAAAAACATAAGATAGAGCCACGGACCAACAAAGTACCCTCGCTAGCTCCTGGATAGATGATACAAGGTAACACGCTGATGCTTCTTCAAAGCCAGCCAAATACAACAAGTGAAATTATAGAGAAACACAAATGACACCTCATGAGAACTATGCCCTTCATAGGGCAATCTCGCCCTTCCATGCAGCATCAGACAGCCCCAGCGTTCCCATCAGGTTCTGCCACCGGGGACCTCCACGCTCCTTCCTGCGTACATATTGCAGTAGCTTTTGGCGCTTGTGGACGAGGAGTTGCATGTTGCGTCGGTTGTGCTTGTCCTTGGTAGCGGACTCCAGATGGCGAGAGAGGTTCATGATTTTCACGGTCAAGATGGCAGCTTGAACCTCTGCAGAGCCAGTATCGGGCCCGACGCGCGGTGCGCGAGTTGGGTGAACCGGGGCAGATCCATGGACCACGGCCGATGGCTTTGGGGGGAGATTAAGGTCTGTGTAGTGTCGCCCGAAGGTCTCGACGCATTTCATGATGTTGAGACGCACCCGGTCCTTGGTGTTTCCATTGTTGAGGTTGACGATTCTGTTGATCGCCTCCTGGGCATTCTTATGCTCTTGGTCATGCATTTCCAGCATCTCCTTCTCGGCTTGAGGGTCGGCGACGTTGCGGTCAGGATTTGGGAGCGGTTCGGTCAAATTCTTGGAGAAGCCCAGGGCAGCGTCCAGTTCGTTCGCTTTCAGGTAGTAGTTCAAGTCGGTGAGAGAAGATGGGACCTGCGGGTCGGACTGGATCGCGGTCATTTCAAGGATAAAGGGTGTCGGGCTGCTCTTCACGGGATCGCCGAGCGAGGACTCGCGCTCCACCGCGAGCTCTTTTTGCCGGGACACATTGGCTGCCTTGCGCTGGCGGGCCTGGGCCGCCATGAAAGGATCATGCTTTCTGCGAACTTGAGCCTTGCTGGAGGCGGCTCTCATCGAGGTGTGGAATACATTGGGCGGAGCAGAAGCCGAACCTAGCAATCACGATTTAGCACGGTGTGGCAATTGGTCAATACCAATGAAGAATATGTACCGGTCAATGTCTTTAGAGAGGACTGGAGTGAGATGCGCAAAGGCATGATGGGCGTAGCTGGCAGGTTAATCTTCCGACAACAGTAACCGTTCACTGATTTCCACCGACCTAACCTTTTGCCGGGAAATCTTGTGTCCGGGAGTCATGTTATCCACGCTATTCCTATATAGGATATTAATGCCTCAGGTGTCGAATCTTTTTATTGAGATATGTATTCATTATTTTGTTTGTACAAAGTATGATGAGTATAGTTTTTCGTGTTTGAAGAGGCCATTGTTGAATACTGCACATCCTGCCGTACTGATTAGTCCATGTTGTCCCACGATTCCAGTGCTTTCATAAAAATTCATGCCCGAGACTGCGCTTTACTCCATACGGAGACACCTCTCTTTGAGATAGCAAATCTAGTCCAATGCATAACAGAAGTGCTTTCCCGAGTCAAAACTGCCATTCAAAATTCCCACGTACAAACCAGGCTAGACTTTCTCGATATGATCAAGATCAACCAAGAAGTCTGACTTTGAAATCATGAATAGCAGAGTACTAAGTACGGAGTACGGAGTAGATGTGATGCAATTGCATCTGGCCTTGAACTCCCGTCCATTATTTACTTCAGTAACCACATTTCTCTCAACACTACCATTCTTCTCACTTTTATTGGATGTCCAGAAGACCATATGAAACCTCCACTTAGTTCACACACCCTACTTCTCTCTTCCATCTGACCATCCATATCATTGAACTTTGACTAACTTGCTCGGAGCACCATGTCTATCTCCCCCTTCTCTCAATGCATGTCTTAAAAGTATTCTAATTCTATTGAGCTATACCACCAAGCTTCTGTTTACCGCCATGAAGCTAAATTTTGTTTGTGGCGCCAATTCTAGTCACTGATGCTGTTCTCGAATATTGCCGCATCCAAGCCCATCTCAATGAGTTGATTTATCAAGCCAGAAAGAACAGGAACATCTTCTTGACTGGGCTCTCATACAGGTTACATCCCAATGGACGCAGTTCAAAGACATGTGGGCCTTTGTTATCATATCCATGCTGATGTTGTGTCTGATGATAGTCGATGACGCTGACAGATATACTACCGGGGGACGCTTTACGTGCAGAAACTACACTCACAGAGACGAGATGTAATGATGCATCACATTCTCAAAGAGAAAGCCTAGCTGCTAAAAGCACAAATCACAAATATATCAGCATGCGTAGGTGGAGACCCAAGTTCTCGCACCCATGCTGAGACGACAACCGCTAGGAGCTGCGGAATCGTCTGATGAGAAGTAGTCCTCGAGCAACAAGAGATTTTCGGCGTTCTTCACGCTAGCGAGAGCATTCGAACTCAGCAGGAGAACAGAGACCGAGATATTATTGGAGAGATTGGGGAGCGGTTGGCTCTTTTCGGGGAATTTATGAAGAGCCCCTGCTCGTAGAAGCCAGCTTCTTACTGCGACCTTACTGTGGCTCAATGCAGAATAATTGGTAATCAAAACATTCTGATTTGTGTTAAGTAAACGCAAGCTAGGTACTGTGTACACAAGTAGATACTAGGCGTACGTGAAGATCCAAATGGATAAAAACCCCTCGTCTAGTATGTACTTAGAACAAAAGTCTACCGAGTACGGAGTATTCCGTACTTCGTAACTACTCGTACATAGTAGTATGTACCTAGGTACCTAGGTAGGTAGGTATGTAAATGGCTCTTATCAATTGATAAGGAGTGGATCCTATGGTTCTGCGCATGTGGTACTAATGAGCTACCGTAATTTAGTTGCCCTAGCCCTAAGGGCACTCAAGCGAAAAAATCCGCGATGGGCGACGGTGCCCGGGTGGCTTTGATCTTTTCCTCCATCACCACGACAAGAGCCAGACGATTGATCCTCCAATCCATCAATCCATCAATCGCCCAAAATGGCCCCTTCCCAGCTCCCCCCGGTTTTCAACCCTACCGCGCAGGACATTGAGATGCTCCTTGCCGCTCAGTGCCACCTTGGTTCCAAGAACCTTCAGGTGCACATGGAGCCTTACCTCTGGAAGCTCCGCGCCGACGGTGTCAACGTCCTGAACATTGGCAAGACCTGGTATGCGACAACTGAAATATGATTTGGGAATTGGCGATGGAATTCGGAATCTAATTGGTTTTTTTTTGCGCTACAGGGAGAAGATCGTTCTGGCTGCCCGTATCATCGCCGCCATCGACAACCCCGCCGATGTCTGTGTCATCTCCGCTCGTCCCTACGGTCAGCGTGCCGTCCTGAAGTTCGCTGCCCACACCGGTGCCACCGCCATCGCCGGTCGTTTCACCCCCGGTAACTTCACCAACTACATCACCCGCTCTTTCAAGGAGCCCCGTCTTATCATCGTGACCGACCCCCGCACCGATGCCCAGGCTATCAAGGAGGCTTCTTACGTCAACATCCCCGTCATTGCCCTTTGCGACACTGACTCCCCCACCGACTTCGTTGATGTTGCCATCCCCACCAACAACAAGGGTCGCCACGCCATCGGTCTCGTCTGGTGGATGCTCGCCCGTGAGGTCCTCCGTCTCCGCGGTACCCTCGCTACCCGCGAGACCGAGTGGGACACCGTTGTTGACCTGTACTTCTACCGCGACCCCGAGGCCGAGGAGAACAAGGAGATCGCCGATGAGACCAAGGTCCCCGGTGTTGAGGAGATCGGTGCCGGTGCCGTTGAGTCTGGCTTCGCCGGTGAGAACTGGGATGCCTCCGCCCCCGGCGCTGGTAACCCCGGCACTGCCTTCGCTGCTGCCTCCGCTGCTACCACCGCTGCCGGTGCCACCTCCTGGGAGGCTGACGGTGCCGACTGGGCCGCTAGCTCCGCTCCCGCCACCGGTGAGTGGGCTGAGGCTCAGCCCGCCGCTGGTGAGGCCAAGTGGTAAATTGCTTCGCGGATGACCGAGGATATTCGTTGAGAGGGGGGAACTTGGCCACAATAAACCAGAAGTCTGGTGATCCGGGATGATTGTGACGACTGTTTGAGTCCTTCGACAACAATCGGAGCAAGACTCTTCTTTTCTTTTCTACACCATCTACTCCATTCATGATGGAAACCAATCTCCCGCAAATTCCCTTGACATGTTTATCCTAGTCTCTGTGTGCAATGTGCTAAAAACAAAAGAAACTGCAAAACATCAAAAGAAAATGAGCTTTCACCCGGAACCTTTCAATTCTTTTGCCTCCGTGGGGTCTTCCTTACCAGCACTTTTTTTTTTATTTCCATGTTTGCTTCGGGGAGGAATTGTCATGCCAATCATTGACCTGGCGCTTATGAGGGAAAGATATCCAGATGCTTTCGTTGACGAAGCTTCTGGGGGAAAGCCCTGTGCTGTCAATTCACAAGGTGGACTTAATCGTTACCTTGGTTTCTCCCTGTTGTGTTCTAGTAATCTGAAATGGTTGTGCTTGGCATCATATCCAGTAGACTTGTAGATGTAAGTGTAGTGGACTGAGTACAACTTCGACATGGGTATCAACGCTTCGGGATCGGTAAATGCTTTTGTCCTTGAAAAAATTGTGAGGTCATCAAGCAAAAGTAATAAAGTCTTATTACTCTTATGTCAAAATGGCAAAATGATACTAGTGTCCTCGTTCTACTATGATAGACGCACAATTATTGCACTGAAAGAGCATGGCTCTAATGTTAGAGAATTATACAAGAAGTACCAGCACTCTGTCCACCCTCTTCAGTAGTTGTCATCGCCGCCAGTCTTGCTAGATCTTCGAATGTCTCTGCAAGTAGCTCGCCAGTAACAGCCGAGCATTCTGCATACCTATCACAGCGAAGCTCTTGTGCAATACGGTAGCCCTACAGGTTGGTCAGCCAAAGCCTATGAGGTTTGAATATGGTCGCCTACCTCTTGAGGATATATAATCCCGTCGCCCTCCCTTCGAAGATCCCTCTTTAAGCCCAGCATCATGACCGGTAGACGCTCACCATGGCCATACTGGAAGTACCGAGTGATGTCGTTTCGCCACTAGTAATTCAAGCTCAAGGTCAGCTTGGCCACATGATGTGATGGAGATGAACCATACGGCTTTGAGTCCATCGAGTGTAGCCCGATTTGAGATGTCATATGCCAGTACAACCACATCAGGCTGGAGACTTGACCAGTGCTGGTTTGGGTTTGCTGTGTCATACAGCTCTAGGGTAAATTTCTTCTTCGAGAATCGAATGTCGTAAATGAAAGGCTGATCTTCATCTCGCAATGGTACCATGGTGTTGGGTCTACTCCCCAGGTGTGTTTGTAGCGATGAGCCTCCGTTCTTGAGGCGACTACATCTTGTTAGTGGCTATCGATTGCTGATATATTCGCAGGGCTTCGATTGTCATGACAGGTGACAGTGATTCTCTCACGTGTGGTGTGTACTCACGCTAGAAATGTTGATTTGCCACATTCTGGATCTCCCAGTAGCAACAGTGAAACTGACTTGTCGCTGTCTGGCAAAGCAATGGCTTCTGCCATGGTGTTGAGTCACTTTAATCGGGGCTTTTAAGAGGTTAATGGCCCCGTATCCCTGTGTATATTATTGGCTTGGTAATTCGAGGTATATTCTCATCCAGAGCCCTATCTGTTGAATGATATGCAGCGTGGTAGTCTGTTCATGGCGAGTGAGGTGCGAATGATAAGGTTTATTGGGGTCGCAGATCTACAGAATATACATCCGCCTCGATTTCAGGAGCATATCCATGGATATTTGGTGCATGCGAGTCTCTTCAAACCCAAGAAAACCAACTTATCATTATTTGAACCATTATGCAGATTCGATTATTTGAGACAAAGATGCGAGATACTACATGAATACACAAAGATACGCAGGAAATGGCACAAACCGCACCATCAAACATTGACATTTACGACATAATACATATGTTTGATACGTAAAATACAAGTCCGCGGACTTTTTTTCTTTTTCAAATTCGACTTTCGGCAATCGAACATCCACACCGATTCCAAGCCCCACCAGTTGCTTGTCGTGGTATGTGGAAACCGACAAGGCTATTTCCATTGAGTAGCAACTTGCGAGTCCTCAAACACACCCGAAACCTGTGCCAATCCCGCACATTGACACAAAGTATGGAGGGCACCAAGGACCAGCCTGATTACTCGGCCTGGACCAACGCGAGTCTGATCGCTCGCATCACCGACCTTGAGCGCCAGCTTCATTCCCGCACTACGGAGTTCACAGCACCGACCGAGAACTCTGCTCAAGAGGCCGACTCCCATGCGCCTATTCCCGCGGATGGCTACGAGCCCGCGATCCCACCTCCCCATTCTGCGCAAAACACGAAGAAGCGTCCACACTCACCCCCTGAAGGAGACATCACTCAGGTTCCAGCGCCGTCGCGGACAGTGAAGACGAATGCCCCGCCCAACGTTAAGCGGGAATTTGACCCCTCCAAGTATACGACGCGCTACATTGCGCTGAAGTTTGCATACCTGGGCCAGCCATACAATGGACTTGAACACACCAATGGCAACATGACTCCTCTGCCTACGGTGGAAGAGATAATTTGGAAGGCCTTGCGCCGTACTAGGCTCATCTTCCCCGAAACCACCTCTGACCTGGAGCCGACCGATCGCGAGCGCGTCCCCATGCGCCCGTACCATCTTTACTGGGACGGGGTTGAGTATTCCAAAGCAGGCCGTACAGATAAGGGAGTCAGTGCCTTCGGGCAGGTCATTGGGTTGAGGGTACGCAGTCAGAGACCCAAGCCTAAGCCCCCTGTCGAAGGCGAAGAAGATGCCATGCAGGTCGACTCTACTACCGAAAAAGAGTGGGATGATGTAGCCGATGAGATCAGCTATCCAGCTGTTTTGAACAGAGTGCTTCCGGAAGATATTCGAGTTCTAGCTTGGTGTCCCAATCCCCCTCCTGGATTTGATGCCCGCTTCTCCTGCCGTGAACGCCGGTACAGGTACTTCTTCACCAACCCTGCATTCTCCCCAACTCCTGGATCTATCGGATTTGAAAACCGCGCACAAAACGGAAATGGGCCACGGTCTAAATTCCGCGAGGGCTGGCTTGACATTGAGGCCATGCGCGAGGCAGCTAAGCATTTCGAGGGTGTCCATGATTTCCGAAACTTCTGCAAGCTGGACGTCAAGAAGCAGATCGAAAATTTCGAGCGCATCATCCATCATTCTGACATTGAGGCTGTCAACCCCAAGACCAGCCCGTTGGGATTCGTTGGAAAACCTGGCTTCCAGGCTAAGGAGGATGCTCATCCCGAACAAGACCAGGTAACCCCGGACACGGTATCCCAGAACGTTCCGCAGGTGTACTCGTTCAACCTTCACGGATCCGCATTCCTATGGCACCAGGTGCGCCACATGGTTTCGATCCTGTTCTTGGTCGGACAAGGACTCGAGTCTCCATCAATCGTCCCTGAACTATTGGATCCTGCCAAGAACCCACGCAAGCCAACTTACTTCATGGCCGATGATGCTCCTCTTGTGCTCGAGGACTGTATTTTCCCTGACGTCGCTTCTGGTAGCCGCAAAGATGCCTTAAACTGGGTCTATGCTGGTGACGATGTTGGAAATCCTAAGGTCACCCCCAAAGGCGATGCCAAATTCGGGCTGCAAGGCACAGTTGAAACTTTGTGGAAAGTCTGGAGGCAGCGGAAGATGGATGAGATCCTTGCTGGTGCGTTGGTGGACTTGGTCGTTAGCCAGGGAAACCAGATTGTCGAACGGAAGGAGGCTAAAACCAAGGGTTCTTCATCCAAAAGACCGAACAGAGGAGCTAAGACATGGTATGGCGGCAACGACTGCGTTGTTGGTGGTAAATATCTCCCTGTCGACCAAAAGGCCAAGATGGAGACTGTCGAAGTTCAAAACGCCAAAGGACTCAAGGCGAAGCAGCGCAAGCTGGAAAGGGACGAGGCCGCGAAAGCGGCACAAGCATGAGCATTGTACATAGTTGCCAAAGAACCATCATCACTGAGTGTGTCGAACCTTGCTCGCAAGGCTAGGTAGCATATGCATGTCAGGATTTCGCGTCGTATAGGCACCGTCTTGAGCCCCTCCAAACCTGCTCTAGAATTTCTCGTTTGGGAAGCGTATGCTTGTTAATGAGTTAGCTTGGATGTGTCTTATACGGGATTTCACGTACCGGAAATACGACCACGGCATTCGGCTCGCCTTCGACAATGACTGCCAAGTAAAAGCGAACCTCGAAGCCTTTGAAAGCTTCATGGATGACAATGTCTTGGATTTGAGTGGTAGGAATAAACCTTGTGGCGGCGGTAGACAGATAGGTGGCTGAAGATGTCGAGGTCTGGATGCCGAATCCCCGAATAACCAGGAGTGATTCCTCTGTTGAACCTCATCAGCCTTGCATAGCCACATAGACACGAATTTCTTTAGCATACCTGTGTAGCCTCTTCTGAAGACACAATATATCACCAATGCGCTGACCATTGCGACTGCTAGCGGGTTGTATGAATCCACCAAGCAACATAGCTTAGACCCAAGCGTACTGGACCAGACAAGTGGCCAGCTGATAAACCCATCATCTCCTTCAAAGACAAGGTGTCGAAGGAGAGTGATGCCGACAACTACCACGCAAAGGAACAAGAATGCACGCAGCAGGACTTGTAAAGCGAACAAGATCTTGGCTAGGGAACTCGATCGCTGCGGCGCATTCGATACCGTGAAAGAGACGGTCGTCGGAGAGGGACGCTGAATCTTGAGTCGACCTGGCATTGTGGAAATGAAGAGGGTTCAACACGCAAGGCCAATATCATTGACTGAAAAGTCGCATCACGACGTCTAAAGAGGTACGAGGTACGGAGTCCCAAAGGGTTGGTCACAGGAGAAGCTCACCTGGGCACGGCCAACACCGCACTAGTCTATTTTAGGAATAATGCCCCACTACGATTGGGAGCTGTGTTTCTCACGTGCCGCAGCTTCTCCGTTGGAAATACATCTGGTCGGACATCCACCAAACTTCCTCATTTTCCCATCCACAACTATGGGAGACCGATCACGAAGCAGATCTCCCCGACCGAGGGACAATGGCGACCGAGACCGCCCCAAAAAGACCGGAGGCTTTCGGTGGAAAGACAAAAGTCGCACCGACGATTCCCGCGGCGATGACCGCAGACTAGAGCGAGGCTACCGAGACCGACCACGATCCCCTCGGCGCGACCGAGAGGGCGGCCGCGATGGATACCGCTACGGAGACAAACCCAGAGATGACCGCGACCAACGACGAGACGATCGCGATACGCCGCGCGAAGACCGGGAAAAGAAAGTGAAGAAGGAAAAGAAGGAGAAAAAGGTCATTCCACAATCGTCAGAGCCCATGATCGTTGTTCATGTCAACGATCGTCTGGGTACCAAGGCTGCCATTCCTTGTCTTGCCTCAGATCCAATCAGTGAGTCTCATTTTGGCTGTTGGCCTTAGCCATTGCCCTTGCTAACCCCGACACCGCAGAACTTTTCAAAGCCCAAGTGGCAGCCCGGATTGGTCGTGAACCTCACGAGATTCTTCTCAAGCGCCAAGGTGAACGACCATTTAAGGATCAACTTACTCTGGAGGACTATGGCGTGAGCAATGGAGTTCAGCTTGATCTGTGAGCTTCCACCCCCTCGTCTTTCCTAACTGTCACCTGGATCTTGCTAACTGTATTCTAGGGAGGTCGGAACGGGTGAATAGGGATTCCCACAACAGACTGCAGTCGGCGAGACGGTCATGCCAAGCAGATTTATGTCTTTTTTCTTTTATTAGTATCTTGGGAACCGGAGCACGGGAGTGCATGAATATGACCTTTTTCTTTTTCTTCTGAGTCGAACTTGGAGATCTTGATTGAAAATGTGTATATATGGCAGCGAATACGAAGTACAAACAGTTGCTGACCATCTACTGTTTGTTCCTGCGATTCAAGGGCCGTTTTTCTGCGGGGCCTGCGTCGTCACGACATGCGCTTTACCCGATGCGGCTCATATTGCCACCTGAGGCATCAAAACCAGGTCCGATCCACTCCAAGAGGCTTTTTTTCCATCGCGGGACTCGCAGCTACAGTCTCTCTTTTTTTTTATGACTGTACGAAGTCTTGATCCTCGCTCCGCCGTGAGGTAGCTGCTATCTACTTCAATTTCAAGATCTTATTTACCTTACTTTCTTTCCCTTACCTGAACTCGATCCCTCGACGGCTCACCGGTCAAGATCGCCCCAGATTTTCCTCCCCCTCCACCGAGTCCCTCCAATCCTGATTTCGTTTGGAACAACCGCATTCTTTCTCAATCCTCTCTATCTCAATTCTGGCAGCCGAAACACATACAAAATCCTCCACTATGGTTCGCAATCTTGTCGTCATCGGGGGTAATTCCCACCCTCAGTTGACTCAGAGCATTTGCGGTGTCCTCGGAATTCCTCCTGCGGAGGTTCTACTCTCCAAATTCGCCGTGGGTGAGACCCGTGTCGAAGTACAAGAGTCCGTTCGTGAGAAGGATGTTTACATCATTCAATCTGGTGGTGGAAAGGTCAATGACCACCTGCTCGAGCTTCTCATCACCATTTCCGCTTGCAAGACCGCCTCTGCACGCCGAGTCACCGCTGTCCTCCCTCTCTTCCCTTATTCTCGTCAAAGTGATATCCCCTATGACAAGGCTGGTGCTCCTCTCGTCAAGGCCGCCGTTGGAGGCAAGCCTACGAATGGATACACATTTGAGAGCACCCCTCCCACCCCGGGCCCCGGAAAACCCGAGGGCCTCGGCTTGATGAACGGCATGGACAACCTCCAGAAGGGCCTTGCTAAGGCACAGATCGAAGACAGCACCGGCAGTCCCGTCAAGAGGCGGGGTAACGGTCTGCCCCGTAACGACACCACGGACTCCCTCAAGTCTTTGGCCAACGCAGCCGATGACGCCGCCAGCAATGCCTCCTCCAAAATCTCTGCCTTCCAGCCGCGACCCGGCTACAAGCAGTGGGTTGCGCAGGCCGGAACTCTGGTCGCCGACCTCCTCACCTGCGCTGGAGCTGATCACATTATCACTATGGATTTGCACGACCCGCAGTACCAGGGATACTTCGACATCCCAGTCGACAACCTCTATGGTCGTCCTCTTCTCAAAAGCTATATCCAGCGCAACATCCCGAATTACAAGCAGGCTGTCATTGTCAGTCCTGATGCCGGAGGTGCCAAGCGCGCGACGGCAATTGCTGACCAAATGGGCATGGAGTTTGCCCTGATTCACAAGGTTGGTTGAGGGTGTCCAAGGAAAAATATTTTGTTAGTCTAACCATTCTGCAGGAGCGCCGCCCCACTAAGATCACAGACCGCCAAAATGCCACCATGATGTTGGTTGGTGATGTTCGCGATCGGATAGCCATCCTGATTGACGACCTGGCGGATACCTCGAACACGATCACTCGTGCCGCCAAGTTGCTCAAGAAGGAGGGCGCATCCCAGGTTTACGCCTTGGTCACGCACGGAATTCTGAGTGGCGACGCTATTGAGCGCATCAATGCGAGCGCCCTTGACAAGGTGGTTGTGACCAACAGCGTGGACCAGGTTGATCACCTGCGCCGTTGCCCCAAGCTTGAGGTCTTGGAAGTCGGCCACGTTTTTGGCGAGGTGAGTCTGATACGTCCGATCTTTTCAAGTACCGAATCTGACATACATCCAGGCTATCCGCCGCGTGCACCACGGTGAAAGCATCAGTGTTCTCTTCCAGTATGATTGATTGCTGACGGCTGACCCGAATTTCTTTTCTCTCCGATATCCTAAAATTTCATCCTATCTCTCTCTCATCCTCCCCAATTCCCCGTCATAGATCCGGGTTTGCAGTAGACTTGTTGGTCTGAAATTGCCATCGGTGTTCTGTTGTTTCTGCTATAACTCGCTTGCTCTCTCACTGGTTTTGGATGGCGCTGTCTGTTTTGTTCTATTCCTGTCATATTATACGCCACACCCTCTGCCAATTGCACATATGAGCTCCAAGTGTTGATTTGAAATTGAAAACTTTCTTTTTTCAACCCATGAGAAGCCACTTGGGGGGGGGGGGGGGGGGTTGTCCCGGCTAATTCCCCGACTGAAAATATAATAAACGAGGTTGACATATCAATCGATGTCACCCGTCCCCCTTTCGCCAAAATGCCCTGCATTCTACATACGATCGCTGTGGGAGTCATGGTTTGCGACATAGCTACACTGCATCATGGGAAATGAGCCAAACTCGTACCGTGCATGTCATAAAGTGTCATAAAGCCCTTACACATCCATTCGTGTCACTTGGGACGAATATGTTCCACATGCTTGAATATCCGGTGTAGAGTGAGTGCACTTCAATATCATAAGAATAATACTAGGCATGCACTAAACGCCTGATACGAAAGAAGAATAAGAGACTTGAGATGAAAGATGTCCGACTTGCCTCGATAGGAAGCAAGAGGTAGATGCGCTCACGTTAAAGAACAAACTGGGTACTCGATACAACGAAAATTGGCTGGCAATCAAAGCAAAATACTGGCCAGGAAATGATAAGTACAAGGAGGCAGGCGAGGAAGGAAAATCATGAAGTTCTTTGGAACTTAGAATACGGAAATGAAGTTCCCAATTCTCTCCTTCTGGTTCTGGGCAATACATTCAGAAATCCATGTCACGTTCCGAATTTCCTATAATCAATTAGTTTCCATAGGTTCACCAGATTTGGAGCCGAGCTGCTTACCTGCTCCTTGAGCTTCATCCAACCGTAGACCACCGCCGGTGTGAACTGACGGGTGAAAATCAACTTTGATAGTTCCATCTCCTTTTGATAGAAGAGATCCTCTAGACTCTTGCCATCCGGAGAGCCACCACCCATGCCGCCAAGACCGCCTTGGACATTATCAAAGAATGCCTTGTAATCTGCCACGGCACTGCAAGCGAGGGCCACACCCTCGGGATCCTCTGCTTTACCCAGCATGTAGTTACCTTCCGGGTAAAGCTTGCCAATTTGAGGGTAGAGGTTCGCTCGCTCGCTCTTTGAGAGATCGGTGCCAAAGGAGTTGAGGGTGATGTTGATTGAGCGGCGGTCTGCCTCAAACTGTAGAATCTCCGCCATGACATCTTGCGTTGGTGACCCCCGGAAATCGGGGTGAGTGGTGATGAAGTTGTAGAAGTCTTCCAAGTAGTTCTTGTACAAGGTGTTTCGGACGATCTCAATGTTTAATTCGTCCAGGTCCTGGTGGCTCAAACTGTCCTTGAAGTAGGCGGCCAACGGGGTTTCGATCAATACAATGTTGTAAAGTTCTTCAATGTTCGTCGCAGAGATCAGCGCAGGGAGTGTTTCAAACCATCCTAGAGGATGGCAACGCTCCAGGAGGGGTTTCAACTCTCGTCCGTGCAGTGTACCGGTGATCAACAGGGCGACATTGTCAATCATGTATCCGTATTTCATATACTCAAGGAACTCAGCAGATGAACCTGTCGCTTGTGCAGTCAGGTACTTGAATTCTGACACTAGCTTATCCATCATGCGGCCGGCGAGGTCTGAGGTGGAGGGGTTGGGAGGGAGAGAGGCCAGGAAATCGCCATATGAGGGCGCAAGCTGAAGCTTGACATCTGTGTGTCATGAACTGTTAGACCCAAAACCGAAGAAAGAGAAACTACAAGAAGGCCAAAAAGATCCGTCGAGCGTACCATCAATCGTCTCGCATTGAGTGAGGTTGGAGTAGTTCTGGCCGCTCAACAGGCTATTGCGATAGCCACGAACGATGCCCTCGACGTATCTAGGAGAGTCAGCAGCAGGCCTAGCAGAAGAAATAGAGAATCACGTACCCGCCGTTAACATTAAAGAATAGGCCCTCCATTGTGAACGTGGAGAAGATGGTTGAAGAAGCCTAGCTGTAGCTCTACGAGCCCCGACACGCACCGCCTTAGTCAGCCACAGCCACAGGCACCGCCACACCACCATGCTTTCGAACTTTTTTTTCTTCCGTCCGCCGTGCAAAATTTCCATCTAGTTCAACGACAACGGCGGCCGCCAACACACGCCTAATTTTTTCGTCCTTTGTTCCATCGGCTTGGTTTCTCGTTCAAAAAACCCCGGTCTTTCTTTCTACTTATTTTTCGAACCTGAACGCCGTGGCCGCGCACCATGACGCTTTTCATTCTCACTGAAACCAGCGCGGGTTACGCCCTGCTGAAGGCCAAGGACAAGAAGCTTCTCAAGCGTGATGACATCGCTCAGGAGGCTTCCACCGCCGAGGGTGTCTCTAACCTGTATGTCAATTGCCTCTCGTGATCTCGCAGACAAATTTTTCGAGTGGGATGCACGAACCCCGTTGAGCGGGCGCAAAAATTTTGTTATCAGCGACAATCATACTAACCAAGCCAATAGTCTCAAGCTGAAGAGCTTCCAGAAGTTCGACAGTGCTGCCTCAGCTCTGGAGGAGGCCGCTTCCATCATGGAGGGCAAGGTCACCCCCCGCCTGGCTTCCATGCTCGACGGCATCAAGGAGGAGAAGAAGGTTTCCCTGGCTGTTGCCGACGCTAAGCTTGGTAATTTCATCCTTGCTAATCTTTCATCGAGTAACAAGCTGACTTTGGATGTAAATAGGCAATGCTATCAGCAAGCTTCCTGGTCTTGACATCCAGTGTGTCGCTGACTCGACCACCCACGACATCTTCCGTGCCGTCCGTGAGCACCTTACCACTCTCATTCCCGGTCTGGCCCCCAGTGACATGTCCACCATGTCCCTTGGTCTGTCCCACTCTCTCGCCCGTCACAAGCTCAAGTTCTCCCCCGATAAGATTGATACCATGATTGTCCAGGCCATTGGCCTCTTGGATGACCTTGACAAGGAGCTCAACACCTATGCTATGCGTGTTAAGGAATGGTACGGATGGCACTTCCCCGAGCTGGCTAAGATCCTCAATGACAACATTGCCTACGCCAAGCTCGTCCTGAAGATGGGTATGCGCTCCAACTGGGAGACTGCCGATCTCGCCGAGATCCTTCCCGAGGAGATTGAGGGTGCCGTCAAGACTGCTGCCGACCGCTCCATGGGTACTGAGATCAGCGCCGATGATCTCGAGAACATCCAGGCCCTCGCTGAGCAGGTTGTTGGCTTTGCCGATTACCGCTCTCAGCTCGCCAGCTACCTCACTTCCCGCATGAACGCCATCGCCCCCAACCTGACTGCCCTTGTCGGCGACCTTGTTGGTGCCCGTCTCATTGCCCACGCTGGTAGCCTCACCAACCTTTCCAAGAGCCCCGCCTCCACCATTCAGATCCTGGGTGCCGAGAAGGCTCTCTTCCGTGCCCTGAAGACCAAGCACGACACTCCTAAGTACGGTCTCATCTACCACGCTTCTCTCATCGGTCAAGCCACCGGCCGCAACAAGGGTAAGATGGCCCGTATTCTCGCTGCCAAGGCCTCTCTTGGTATCCGTGTCGACTCCCTGGCTGAGTGGGATGACGATGCCACCGAGGAGGACAAGGCTGCTCTCGGTACCGAGGCTCGCTTCAACCTTGAGCGCAAGCTTGCCGGCATGGAGGGCAAGCCCATGAAGCCCCGCGGTGTTGCCATCGGCCCCAACGGTGCCGCCCAGCCCGAGAAGTTCGACCTCAAGGAGGCTCGCAAGTACAACCCCGATGCCGATGCTCTGGCTTCCGAGGAGCCTGCCTCCGCCAAGAAGTCTAAGAAGTCCAAGAAACTCGTTGAGGAGGTTGAGGACGAGGAGATGGCCGATGCCGACTCTGACGCTGAAGACTCCGACGAGTCCGAGGACGAATCACCCAAGAAGAAGTCTAAGAAGAGCAAGGGCTCAGACATCGAGGCTTTGGCTGCCAAGGCCGGTCTCAGCGTCAAGCGTTACGAGCGCAAGCTTGAGCGTGGTGAGATCACCTTCGATGCAGCAGGTAACCCTACCTCAGTCAGCAAGAAGGATCTGAAGAAGTCCAAGAAGGAATCCAAGAAGGCCGACAAGGAAGATGGCAAGAAGCGCAAGCGCTCCGAAGATGACGATGAGAAGAAGAAGAAGAAGAAGTCCAAGGGAGAGTAAGCGCTTGTTTTCAAAAGTTTCTGCAATGTGACCGGAAGGCTTTCCTGGGATCTGTATGATATCACACTTTTTTTATTTTCTGTTTCAATTTTTTTGCTATCTTCCTGTCGCTCGCATGTTTGGGGCATTTAAAGGTTGATTACCGGTCTTTCGCTGGCGCAGAGGGTGCTCGTTAGGAACAAGGCAGTACAGTTTTAGCTGGAATAATCTGTTCATACTTCAGTACTGTACCCGAAATTGTAGACTCTCTAGCTAAGCATCAGAGTTCGGCATCAGAGAATTTACTTTTAATCCTCTTTCTCGCCTTTTCTTTTCAGTCAAGACCTCAGGGCTTACATGCACGTTCTCACCGCACGCAATAAAGATAAAGACACCGCCTTCTTCTGCCGGCAATTCAAACAATTTTCCTTTCTCCAATCAGGTCACCACTTCCTCCAACTCGGATTTCCTGATTTAACAGACAAAATGAGGGTTAGAACTGATCGAGACCCAAGCAATTATTCTTTGCTGACAAGATATGAAGATAATCGACCCCCAAACCGCCGTTTTGACTAATGTCGAGGTCCTGGCTTACTTGACCTCCAACCCACCCCGCCGACCACCGAACCCGCCGGGAGGTAATTGGGTGCCAAACCCAGATCTTAGAGACCATAACACAGTGGTCAAGGAGGTAAGGAACCGTACCCAGGCTTTGTGACCCCCGCCCGCCGTGTATGCAATATTGCGCAAGTATATCGCAAACATGTGGGGCATCAAAGACCCAAGCCTCCGAGCTCTTCAAACGGACATTCAGGACCCTGGGACATTGGCCAACTGACTCTGTCCAGATTCACAACTATGCCAGCCGTCTATCGCCCCACCTTCTTCGATACCCTCGCTACACAGCGCGCCCCTCGTCATCTCATTCGCAATTACAATCACAAGCAGCCATGACCAGCACACTACAAGCCTCAAACCCCGCGACAGATTCAGAAGCCGCCACCTTACCGCCACCGGTCTCTTCTGAGGACCGGACGCCTATGGATAATGCCCTTTATGATTTAATCGTTCGCCTCCAGCCCTATGGACTCACCAAAGCCGAGGTTGTCATGATCCTCAATCTCGGTCTAGGTCTAGGCGGCAACAACGACGCCGAGGCAGCAGAAGGCGAAGAGGGCGCCAACGGAGATGGAGCTATGGAGGTCGACGAACAGAATGGGGAAGGAGAGGGTGGGGAAGATGGCGAGGATGAGCAGACACAGGCTGATTACACCGCGGAGGTACTGCTGGATGCTGTTGTTGAAGAGCGGGAGTTGCGTCTTTCGGATGATGATATGAAGGCTATCTTTGCTATCATTCGAGAGACGTTAACTGCAGATTACGAGAACGTGAAAGGGTGAGTAGCAGGACAATCATGTCTGCTCTTCCCTCCCTTTACAATCTTCATCTCGAGATCCACGAGAATATCGGTCTGTTTTGGAACCTGCAATCTTGAGATCAATTGACCCCCCCAGGGAGGCCAAACTGACTCAAAATTCTTGGGTGATTTCTATCTAAAACACTTAGTGACGACAGCCTCGATGCTTTTCGGTGGCCTTTTCATATTCTATTCATGACGATAGCCAACCAATCCAAGTCCAGAAAATGTTTGGAAAAATTTCATGAAATCTTCCCATTCTTAGACGTTGATTCTGATCAATCTCAATTTCTTCCTCCACGAACATGCATTTCCCTTCACGTCCCAAACTTCAAACTACCCGAGGGAAATCACCAAACAGCTCTCAGCTGCAGCTCTGTTTGCCACAATTTCAGAAAGCCGTTTTTACGGGTCTCAATCACACAGACTCGAGGTGCTCAGCTTTGACAAGTGTCTTGTCTGATCTCTCTGGTTCAGCCTCCCTGTCAGCATACGCCACTTGGTATACTGTATACCATGGTCGCTGAAACAAGCTATCCAATGCCTCTAAGGATCTTCCCGTTGTGTCCTACACAAACGTCAGTAATCCGGTCGCCGCATATTGCAATATAACTCACCGGCATGGCAAAGAACACATAAACAAGAGAAGTCAGACAGATGCAGCCGAAGAATACAAATGCGCCCCATTTTTGCGTCGCAGACAGCAGACTCGGCATAGCCCGGGAGCATCCAAAATAAAAGGCCCAGTGGAAGCCCATAGCGATGGACATGTTGAAGGAGCGAATTTTGGTGGGAAAGATTTCAGATCCAACGAGATATGGAATACTGAACCACCCGATACTCCATGCCACCGCATGGAAGTAAATCGCCACGATGGCTGTTGTTGATGCCCGAGACACACCGGGAGTATCGCTTATGTGTTCTGGACTCATGGAGCTGGTTCCTCCCAAATAACCACCGATATAAATCAAGGTCACCAGCTGAAGCGTGATGCCTGTCATCAGGGAACGCCTTCGACCAATGAAGTCAACAATGAACAAAGCAAATGCCAACGTGCTGACAAACTTCACAACAGCATAGATGCCGGTGGCTAGGAACTTAGCCTCGTCTCCATCAATGCCCAGATATCCAAAGATCGTTGGAGAATACTGTGTGATTGCATTGGCCCCGGACCATTGCGAGAAAAGGGTGGCCATGAATATCAAGAAGAACCGGCGCCGATTCTCCACTGGGACAAAGGTTTCCTTTGCAAGCTCCCAAATTTCTACACTGCCGGTCGCTTCGCTTTCATGAAGGATCCTTGCATCCATACCTGCAATCTCTGCCTGGAGGGTGGGGTCTTCCAAGGGCGCATGGCGAAGTCTTGACAGCGTTGTCAATGCCTTTTCCCGCTGACCAACGTACAAAAGCCAGCGTGGTGATTCGGGACACAGGAAAGTCCCCAAACCCCATAGAGCTGCCGGTAAAAGCTGAAGAAGCGTGGGGAGCATCCATTGTGTCTCAGTTCCAGCATAGGATTTCGTGACGCCATAATTGATGAAGAAGCCAAAAACAACGCCTAGTTGCTGACACGCCGCATATTGCAAAGTCAAAAGACCACGGATGGCTTTGGGGGAAATCTTATCAAAGGCCAACAAATTAGCAAGTTGTTATGGGGCCAGAGCCAGCGCTCGTACCTCTGAAATGTATACGGACGGGATGACAGTGGTTGCACCGATGCCGATACCAGAGATGAACCTGGATGCATAAAGACCGGAGATATTTCCACCGCAAAGACCTTGGCCTAGAACTCCTGCGATATAGACCACGGTCGCCACTCGAAGAGTGAATCGGCGACCAAATCTATCATTCAGAGGCAAACACTACCCCAGTCATCAGCAAAGACGCGTCATTGTGATCAAGATTCACATACCCCGAAACAACCAAAGACAGCCCCTGCTGTCGCTATCGACACAATCCATCCTTTGGTATTGGCATACTCATGGTCTGTTTGATTATCAAGTCCAAAGTCTGACATGAATCTTGCCTGTACCACCAATGATGCAACATTGCCTGCAGTTCATCAGTCCGTAAGTTGAAGCCAGTGCAGGATGATCGAACCGTTTTCCTGTCTTACCTTCATCAAATCCCTTTGCAACTCCTGGGAACGCAAAGATCAGAGTACACATGAAGATATACCAATTGAAGGTGCCCTTGGGAGCATCTTGAATGGCCTTTTTCGTGTCCGCAATGAGACCCATTTTGGCAAAACTGTTTACGAAGAGAATCTCACGGATTGTCAGGAATGCCCTTTCATACCCCCAACTTAAGATGCCAAGAACCGATATCCGGGGTAAGAGTGCCGTGTCCTAACGTTACTTGGGAATGAAAAAGACGTCGGATATTTTCCGTCTACAATACATCGAAGGTACAGACTTCCCTGGTTTGCCCCATAAAAGACTCTTTATTCCCCCAAAGAATCATAGGCACATCGAAATTACAAATTCCAAGTTTTGATGTATTTCCTTCACAATTCGAAATGAATTTCTACCCAATTCCACCAGTCATACAGGCAGATATCTTGGTTCAAATCCCACCCTCACTGCGGTGCACCGGACAACCCACCGATTGGCGAAGCGGATCAGCATTGCCTTCTTCGGATATCTTCCTAGAAGGCCCTGTGATCACTAGCGATGGTGATCTATACGTGACAGACATTCCATATGGACGCATTCTCAAGATCGATACCCAAATGCAAATCACGGAGTGTGCGAGATATGATGGTGAGCCAAATGGTCTTGTAATTAGAGAGGATGGCTGTCTGGTGATAGCCGACTACAAACAGGTAATTGATTGAACTTATAACGCAGAATTCGAAAAATTAATATTTGAAGGGTCTTCTTGTTTTTGATCCATCGACAGGAGTAATCTCACCTCTCCTTGCCCGTCGAAACTTGGAACGCTTCAAGGGACCAAATGACTTGGTGATATCATCCACAAACGCGATCTACTTTACCGACCAAGGCCAAACGGGCATGTCCGATCCTTCAGGGCGTGTATATCGGCTTTGTCCAGACGGCAGACTGGACTGCTTAGTGGACAACGGAGTTTCGCCGAACGGAATTGCACTATCGCCCGACGAACGATTTCTATACGTAGCCATGACTCGGTCAAATTCCGTGTGGCGTCTCCCTCTCAATTCAGACGGAAGTACAACGAAGGCGGGGTTGTTCTTCCAGTCTTTCGGCTCATCTGGTCCCGATGGCCTCACAGTCGACGAGGAAGGCAATCTGTTCATATGCCACCCCAGCCTCGCGAGCGTTTTTGTTGTGGATGCAGATGGAATTCCTAAAGCTAGAATTGTGACTTCACCCCAAGGAGGGAAAAATTTGACAAACTGCACGTTTGGGGGCGAAGATGGCCGTACTTTGTTCATAACAGACAGTATGGAGGGGAATATCCAGTTTGTGAAATGGCATTGTGGAGGCTCTGTGAAGCCCGAGGCAGTTAAAGTTAGATGAAATAAAGAAAAATATGAGCAATCATTCAATTTCCGCCCCGATTCTGCTAGGTGATAGATTGTCCTTGGAGATTAGAAGATATCTCCAGTAATTGAGTAGACATGTAAGTAAATGGTCGATTTTTAAAGGAGAGGTAGAGAGTTGGACTGTAAAGTCCGGCTAAGACTGACTCCGCGGAGGAAGATAGTAGAAAGCTGAGAATATTTTGCTTTACATTGAAATTGAGTTCTAGATCTGTACATTCTTCAAATAATTGTATAGGTTATTCACAGCAGCCATTGCACTGGCCGTCTGCGCGCGGTTCGTGGCAGCTCCAATGTGTGGTGTACTGATCACGTTCAAATGCTCCCAGAGAGCCCCATATTTTTCGTGTGTTGGAGGTTCTTGCTCATGGCAATCCAGCCCAGCACCCCAAAGGTGTCCCTCGGATAGTGCTCTGCCCAGATCAGCTTCATTCACAATCCCACCACGAGCTGCATTAATCAAAATAGCATCTGACTTCATCGTGCGAATTTGGTCATAGGAAATCAGGTTGGCTGTCTCTTTGGTGAGAGGCACATGGACGGAAACCACATCTGCAATTTTGAGAACTTCCTGTGCGGTCTTCACCCTTGTGTGAGGAATATGGGGCCATGCATCATCGGGCATGAATACATCACAAGCCACGACCTCGGCATCGAAGGCACCGCGAAAGATCTCTGCAACTGTTCGTCCAATGTTGCCCATCCCAATGATTCCTATGGTTTTTCCATAGAGAGTCAATCCGTTACATGTCTCCTTAGGCACGGGCTTTGACATCTGCCGAACGGTGATTGAACGAATGGATCTTGCCACGGCCATTGTCAAAGCGAGAACAAGCTCAGCGACATCTCTGGCGTTGGCCCCGGGGGTGTTCAGAATTTGGATTCCGCGCTTGGAACAAGCTTCTTGGTCGATCTTGTCGATTCCAACGCCGTGCTTGCCGATTGCAGCAAGGTTCGGGCAACTTTCGATGTCGTCTGCAGTGACATATGAGCCTCGAACTAGGATTGCTGTGGCTTTCTTCCTCCAGTCGGCGAAACCTGGGTCTTCTGGAAGAATCACATTGAAAAGGGTCTTGGCGTGGGCGATGGCCTGAGGATTAAATGCATCAAGAACATAGACTGTTGGCTTGGGGCTGGTCGTATTAGACGTGGAAGAGTGGTCTCCACTATGAACGCTGGATGGAGACATTTTGAGTGATTTGTGGTAATGTTGTGCCACTTCAAAGTTTTGATCCACCGGAATCAAAGACAACTGCTCAGGGTGCACAGTTTATATCTTCTTCGACCTCCAGGGACATCAAGGCTCGTTTTAAAACTTTCCTTATACCTCGTTAAAACACCTGATCCGTGCACCGGACTCGACTCCGTCGGCACCGGACATATCCCGCCACGGGCAATCGGATCGCCGGACAGATCTGTGTTTACAGGCAAGACGTAAATCTTGAAGGGTGACTGGACTATGCCCAACGCGGAACTGAATGTCCATTTAATGGTCCGTGATATTCTGACTGGAATAATGAGTCCAGTTGCCTGAAAACAGGAAGTCTTTGATCAAGTTTTGAATTCCTTCAGGAATCACTTCCGGCATCTCATTAAGGATTCGATCCCGAGCCGTGTTTTCTGAGACCACAGAAGATAAAGCCCACAGTACACGACGAAAGACCCGAAGTGCAGGAAACCTTTCACTCAGGATGGCGAGAGTAACTGTGCACTTGTGAACAACATCCGAGACAGAAAGAGAAAGGGAATTCTTTCTAGTTAAGCATATTATAACAACGCCAGCGGCGAAGATATCGTAAGCATCAACAAACGTTCCCATGAGTTCCCCTTGTTCGGATCTTTGATATTCGCCTTCGATGTACTCTTGGCAATTCTGAATCAAGTCACTTTCAATGTTGCGTGAGCTCGCTATCATAGATTCCCCTATGACTGCAGAGCCATTAGATTTCAAGATCTGGCTCATGGCCCTGCAAGAAAGCTGCTGGATAGATTTGGTAGGCATTCTGGTCTTGATTTCGTTGGCAGAGACAAGCTCCTTCCAGTAACAAAGATTATTGTAATGGAATATTATTCCTTCTGAAGAGGTTGAGATTGTTGCTATGAGCCTGGCATGGTGGACAATTTGGCATGTGACGTGATCAGCGCTTGTAGTCTCACTTGGTGTATATTGATCTGGAGGCTAGATTTCCATGTCAGCTTCATACGAGAGATAATTTCGTACAGATCTTGAGGCATCATACTAAAACATGGATATCATCGTCTTCTATGTTGAAAGGTCGATCCATAATGGTGCTTATAGTTCTGTTTCGATGTTAATAAATAATAATGGCCAATACTACGAGACATACCGGTCAACTGTATAGAGGCCCCAGAAGATATCTCTCCTTTCTTGGAGTTGCTCTGCGGGTAAACGAAGCGTAGGACTTGGATCCTTATAAAATCCAAACGTGATTGCCTTTTGCATTGCCAGTCCTAGCAAATGCCATGCTGAGCCGCCGAGGGAAGTTTGCATGGAATAGATAATCAATGAAAGCATGCAACGTAAGATATCGAATCTGCTCCCGGAGTCAAGAATTCCAGCAAATGTTCTCATCGCAACTGCATGAAGACTGCTGGCAAAGCCCTGCAGGCTGGCCGAGTCAGGGGAAAGAAGCATCCCTATAGCCGTGTTCATATAAACATCAAAGGACACCACCCGACCCCTTTCTGAAGATCTGGACTCATCGTTTCGTTCCCGAAAGTACAATTCGAAGTCTTCTCGTATGCACGATTCTCGGAGATGTAAGAACTGTGGCACAATGGTTTCAATGAAACGCGTCACATAAGGCAATGAGATATCCCTGGTGAGAGAGGTTGCTTGATCGCAGATCGAGATGATTGCACTGTGTGGGTTCGTCATAGATTTCGTCGGGTCTTTTCCGCAGATAGCTATAGTTGCGCGCACCATGCGACCCATGGCAAGTTCTTGAGAAAAGCCACTCATCTCATCTCGAGGCTCTGCCATAGCACTGCGCGATAGTAGCCCAACCTCTCCCATGGCCGCTTGAACAGTGGTATCAGCAGCATCCTGTGGACCACTGCTGTTATCATTTGCAGGGTGTTGCGCGGGACTTAGTGAAATGGGAAATGCTTGTGGCTCCTCATCATGCTGAAGGCGAGCCCGTTGACGTTGAACTTGAACCTCCAAGTCCTCTCTTTTTCTTTTGAGTGTCTCAACATAGCTACTCGAAAATCAGCCATGGTCCTCACATTTGATAGCTTGCCATGAATACCTGGGGATTGTGGCATGTGAAAGATGCCCACTGTTGGCGGTTGGTCCAGAGTCGAAGTTTCGCGCAATACACTCGGAGTCAATTGCCACGCAGTTTTTGCACGCGGGGATAGCCTTGTCACACTATAACTCGTCGGAATCAGAAACTTGTCTCTATGCCACTGGAGTGATGCCGAACCTTCTTTTTTTGTTTCCAACATCTCTCACATGCTTGGCCGCGTTGACGCGGAGTTGACCGAGACTTGTCGCGATTATGACTTGCCCCCATATTCCCATGCCCAGATTGAAGGTGTCAAGTCAAGTGTGGAGTCGATGAAAGTGCCCAAATGCCAGATGGGCGAGGTGTGGGGGAAGTTGCTGTGATTGGTGGATGTATGCCGATGCCCTGTGATTGGTCAAATTCTTCGACCCCAGCAACTTGAGGGCCCCGGGTCTCTAAGGTTGCTAATTCGGCTTTGCACATCTCGAGTGCTCTTGAATCTTCAACAATCACAGTCAAATCGACTGTTCTGGGCCTGTGACTGTTCATCGATATAAATTCGGCTGAGATGTGGGATACGCATATCCATTGTTTCGATCCGGAGCGATACCCTTTCAAATCAACACGCAAATACACCCCAGCGCCAGCTCGGCTTGATGACCTTCTCAAAAACTGCGAAAGCCCACGACTTGTCTTAGTGCAAGCTTCAATTGAGGACGGTTACCGGGGCTTAGTCGCTCACCTCCAACGCATTCATTCCGAGCATCCACATCTTCTGGCTCGTGGGACAATCTGCATGGACGAACACTGGGAGACACTGACAGACGAAGATTTTGATTTCTTGCAAAGTGTCGGCGTCAGATCATGTCGAGTGCATGGTGTTCATGTAGCAAGTCCGTTGAGCATAGAAGAACAGATTCGCCAGTTCGCCCGCTCTTATCCCGCCCAGAGATTCGGCTGGAGTCTCTCTGCACAACTGCCGTTAGCAATATGGGCATCTCTTGAGAAATTCATTCTATACGACCGAGAGCTCTCTTCTCTGGCTATAATTGCGGACCATAATGGATGTGCCACCCCCACCGACATTGACAGCGCCGAGCTTGATGCATTTATCAACCTGTTGCAATCTGGGAGGTTTTATGTCAAGGTTGCCGCACTATATCGTCGCTGTGCCAAATCCATTGATCACATGCAACCAATTATTCACCAATTTGCGACCCTCGCTCCACAATCCCTTCTCTGGGGCAGCGACTGGCCCCATGTCGATAGCAGCAACGGATCTCTTCAACCGCCAAATGTCAACGAAATTAAATCAAAAAGAGTAAATGACGTGCCAGGAGAGCGCTTGGCATTGCAGTCTTGGCTCACTGATAAGCAATGGACTGCAATGCTTATAGATAATCCCAATCGTCTGTTCGAACTATGACCCCAATGTGACCGGAGCTTCCAAGCACAAAGCTTACACGAATTTATCGAAGTTTCAAGGCAAATACCTAATATTTTCGGCCATCTGGTCTGGTTTATCGCTTGAAGGTCTTCTCAGAGGATCTTTCCTATCATGTTTACTATTCCAAGGTTATGAGGTCTAAAGATAAAATTGAATACACATGAAAAAGGGAGATAAAAATAGCAGCCTATGCCCAATTTGGCGGCTTTATCCAAATTATTTGAGGACGCGTGCTCTGTCACAAGTGTTGTTTTGCTGTATTCCTACGGTGTAATTTTTCAACAACCCGTTGAACATGGCCCATGGAAGTTCTCCGACCTCCGGACCTGTTTCCGTGCCAAGCAAAGGAAGTGTGGGGGAAATATTTTTTTTCTGGGGAACATTGTCCGGGGGTTGTCAAAGCGAATATTGTCGAATTTCACATAAATAAAAGCTAGCCCGACTATGGAGTTTGAGTCGAGCCACGCAGAACCTATTGGGTCATTCTGTTTCCTTCTCCAGCATGCCTTCTTCAGACTCCCACACCGTGAAATCTACCAATGACAACCAAGTCAAAACTGACAAGAACGATGTCTGGGGTGAGAATTCCCAGGAAGAGAATTCTTCCGATGTTATGAGCATATACTACTCTTATGATATTGAATATCGACAGAAAGTTGAAACCGAATTACGACGAAAGATCGATACCCGAATCCTTCCCCTCATCGTCCTGATCTATCTCTTGAACTATTTGGATCGCAATTCTATCACCCAGGCCCGTCTTTACGGTCTCCAGGAAGACACAGGCGTGAAAGGAGCACAGTATCAAACTGCAATCTCTATCTTCTCGGCTGGTTACATTCTCATGCAACTGCCATCGACGGTGCTGATGACAAAGTTCCGCCCTTCCGTCTTTTTGGTGTGTATTGACTGGACCCTTTTTCAAAAAGAACAATATTTCTAACATACTAAAAGCCAAGTTATATCGTTTTGTGGGCGATCGTGAGCGGGTGTACTTCTGCTGTCAACAACCCTGCAGGCCTCTTGATTTTGAGGTTTTGCCTTGGTTTTGTCGAGGCACCTTTCTTCCCCGGAGCTATTTACTATCTGAGCTGCTGGTATACAAAGCGCGAGATTGGTGTTCGAATGGCCCTTCTCATATGTGGAATTCTGCTGTCAAATGCGTTTGCTGGTTTAATCTCCGCCGGGATCCTATCTGGAATGGGTGGAGTGGGCAATCTTGCTGCATGGCGGTGGCTTTTCATTTTGGAGGGCTTAGCAACCGTCGTGATAGGCTGTGTCGCCTTTTTCGTCCTTCCAGATTTCCCGGGCACAACGAAATGGCTCACCGAGTCAGAAAAGGTCGTTGGCCAGGGCCGCCTTGCTGTCGACGCTGGAAGCAGCACTGTTCTTGATGCCGAGAAAGTGCCAATAACCCGTGGTATTATCTGGGCCGCCAAAGATATCAGAACATGGCTTTTCGCTTGCTTGCAGATGTCCACTACTGCGTCGATTTCTTACTCACATTTCTTTCCCACGTTGATCAAGGAGCTTGGTTTCAAGAACAACACAACAGTCCTGCTTCTGACCTCTCCTCCCTACGTTGTTGCCTTCTTTTGGGCAATGAGCTGGGCATTCGTGGCAGATAGAAAGCAGATTCGCTCTGTTCCCGCCGGTATATCACAATGCTTGGCCATTGTGGGCACAGTTCTTATGATTGCTATAACGAGCTCTCTGTGGGCTCGCTACGCTCTGACAATTTTGGTTTGCTGCGGTACCTTCGGTGTCTATTCCACCACGTATGCGTGGTTATCCTCTACGATTACACAGCCACCAATCAAACGTGCTGTGGCAATCGGACTCGCCAATAGCTGTGCCAATATTGCATCTCTTTTTGCAAATTACTTCTGGTTGGATCAGTACGAGCCTATGTACAGGCAATCCTGGGGCTGTCTCTTGGGTTTTCAAGTTCTGGGGCTGTCCTGCATTATGACAATACGGTTTTTGTTGAACCGAGCTAACAAGAAGCTGGAGACTCTCGCTACCGAGGCCGAGCAAAATGATACTCTTTTCATGTCTCGCCTGGATGAGGATGCTAGAAATGCGGTTCAGAATAATTTCAGATATGTTGTGTAAATGATGTTGAGAATTCGATCTGAGACGCAATTTATCAAAGCTTTATCATGTTGGGACCTGTCTGGTTCTGTCAAAAATATCTAGGATGAATAAGTAAAAGGTCACGTATAATAGTAAGAATCTGAATCATTATGCTTGAAATTTCCTTCTTTGGCATGTGGTTAGCGGGTAGCATTAACTTTGCCCCGGAGTTTAGGGCTTGCGGGGGTGGATCCATCACCTGACCCCGGGGCTAGAGCGAATCTCAACCACTCATTTTCTTCTTCCATTTTGCATCTCCTGAAAGCTGAGAGTTATTATGGTCTTAATATCTTCGAAGAAACCCATTACCTCCATTCTGACTGAAATCTGCTAGGAACGAACACTTAGCCCTTGTCGCGACAAATAAGCGCGGCATGGCGCACTCTGTTCCTAGCCAATCAACATCCACCGGACCCCCTGGGTTTCAATTCCCTCATCTCCCGGCATGTCAATTCTGCCATAACCGAAAGATCAAATGTGATGATAGCCGACCAAAGTGCGGGCCGTGTACCAAGCATGGCGAAACCTGCGTCACACTGCGTGTAGATGATTCGAATCCTGTTTCCAGACAGTACGTGTATTAGACTACTTGGAAAGATGACTTCACTGACCCTCGGAAAAGATACATCGGTGATCTTGAGGACAAGATCAAGGAGTTTCAATGTCAGCTGGCGGAATCCAGTCATGAAGGATTCAGACCAGGGGAACCAGCAGACCTAGCACCCCCTACCGCCGAGGCTGTAGAAGCCAACAACAATGATAGGGCAGCTGGTTCAAATCGAGTCAAAGATTTTAACAGGCAACATCATGCACACTCTCCAAGCTTTACTGAAGGCGGTGGAATTAGGTAGGTCTAGTCGGCACTTTCCAAAGCACGTTTACTGATCAGTCGAAAATACAGCTTTATGCGTCATCTTTTCACGGACTCCTCTTGGCGAGATCACGATTCAACTTTGTTGCAGAATCTTTCCAAAACCTCCGGCCCAGCCGAAGCAGGAATCAAGCCAAATAATCTTCCATCGGCCGCAGAAGCAAGGATTCTGTTTGACAAATAGTAAGTCGCTGCTACAACACGTTTGCAACTGGGAGAATCTGTGATTTTCCAACCGGAATTGACATTGAATAGTCTTAACGGATCCAATGTCCAAAACCCGTTTCTTCTTCGAAGTGATGTCCAGCAACTGTATCATCTCGTCTTCTCGTCAGTGGAAAGACAAGAACAACAGCATGTTGCGTCCGGCAATGAAGCCCATAATTTATTCCGTACTTTTATGATACTTGCAATTGCGTCCGTTCTGCCCTACCGCCAGGGAACTCACTCCCATCACCCTTATGGATACTTTCTTTCCGCCATGCAACATCTTGACGACGGTGTGCTTTCAAGGGGGCTTCGCTCAATTCAAGACCTTTTGCTTGTTGGGAGATTTGGAATCTATCATCACATCGGTAAGCTTGTATCGTTCCTTTCATTTCCCATCCCAAAGAGAACACTATGCAGTCCATAGATACCTTTGGTCTCACAGGCCTGTTCCCGAATTATTTGTCATGTTACTAATTTTTCAACCAAAAACAGGGATTTCTATCTGGGAAATAACCAGACTATGTATGCGCATGTGTATCGAGCAAAATTTACACAAGCCACCTTCCGGCTCTCGAAAAGTGACTCTCCTAGAGGAACAACTTGAACGCCGAGTGTTTTGGGAAAGCTACATGATCGATCGCTATAGCTCCATTACATTGGATCGACCATTTGCCATGACTGACGGTGCGATAAAGGTTGGTCTGCCGGCAGATGCCAATGATGAAGAGCTAGACGCCGCCGATACGACTGGCTCGTTTCCCGACCTAAACTCATTCTGTGCTGCATCGTCGCTCGCGGATGTGGCTACGAATACGAAAAGAACAACCGATATCTCCGTCTTCTCAGCTTGTGTGCGACTTCGACAAATAACCTCTAGGATTCATTCGACTTTCCAAGGGAGTGTCATAAGTGCATCTAATCGAAATTTTTTAACAGCAAGAGGGGCTGTATATGCCAGCTTGGATCAACTTCTCCTTGATTTAAAAGTTTGGCGTCAGTCAGCGCCTGTCTTTGAAACTCCTGGCTGTCTATATGAGATGCAGGAATGGTATGATCTATTGTGTTGTCGTGAACGGCTTTTGCTAAGCCGAAAAGCCTTGGACCTTGTCCCCAAGCCAAAGAACGTCCCTCCAAAGGACCTGGTAAACTTATGTTTAGAGTGTGCTGTTGGTGCAATCACTGGCTTCTGTCAACTTTTCGAGAGAAGGCAAATCACATTTACTCGAAGCTACTTTCAGATGCTCTTCACTGGTGGCCTCTCAATCATGTTCTGTCTCTCTGTTGTCAGAGACTTCAACTCCTTCACCATTCGTGAGGCAATCAACGCAATCACTCAAGGCCAGGTGGCCCTACACAAAATGGGCGAGGAGTTACCTGACGCCAAACGCTATGTCGCAGTCTATGAAGCCTTGGGTGCCAATGTTCGTCGCAAATGCAGTCGTCACCTACACGGAGAGTCAGACTTGGCAAATCTGCAAAATGCTCATCCTAAGGATGCGAGCCAAACTCCCCACATTTCCAACCTGCTAGCAGGAGCAGCAGCACCCCCAGATCATTACCAGAACCTCGATTATTCTTCTCAATTTCCTGTATCGGAATCATTGCTGGGTAGAGGTGATACTACCGGCATATACCCCAATGCAGTGGTTCAGGATACCCCTGTTTCAGACAATTCACTTCTCCCATGGGACCTTCTCAACGATGATTCACTCTGGAACATGGAAGCCGGCTTGAACGAGTATGCGTATGGAGATCCACCCGCTACACTGTACGTTAATGATCCTTTTGATCTTTCTGTGTTCCAATAATAGCAATCATTAGTATCTATTCAACCGTGTACAAAGCCAACTTTAGACTCATAATATATACATTTTATTTTTGAACCTTCCGCACTCTCCGGTTGATCTCATCATAGTTCTTTGTGATCTGCTTCATACCATTTTGCAGGATTGCCCCATCAGCACCACTCAATGACCAAGTAGCGCCGAGGGAGAACCATCTCTCCAGGATATCAAGCCGGTCACCAATCCCACCAATTCCCACGGGCTTTCCAACTTTGTTGGCAGCCTCAATGATCCTGACAACCGAATCCAAATACTTAGAATCATCATACTTTCCGTGAATTCCAAGATCAGCACAAAGATCATTGGATCCCACCAACACGCCGTCCACTCCCTCCACGGCCAAAATCTCCTCGGCCAATTCCACGGCCACGGGGGTCTCAATCATAGGAATCAACATGGTTTCCCGGTTGAGCACTTCATTCTGCTTCGTCGTCGGGACATGCTGGAAATTAAAGATTGGGAGATTGTTTGTGCATCCACGTGCGCCAAGCGGCGCATATTTAGCATGGTGGACTAGATCACGCACTTCTTGGATACTCTCGATATGCGGAATGACGACAGCCGCAGCACCGGCATCGAGCAGTCGACTTATGTGCCAGTGAGACTTGGAGGGTGAGCGTACAACTGGGGAGACTCCCACATAGTTGCAGGCTAGAATCAGCTGCGAAACAGCGTGCAGGTCCAGAGAGGAATGTTCCATATCAATGAAGAGGCCGTGAATGCCGGACATTTTGGCCATCATGGCAATTTCATTGCCGGTCATGTACTTCACAGACAGGAGAGGTGTGATTTCGCCATTCAGGATGCGGGTCCTGAATGGGTTCGAGATTGAGAGGGTTGGTTCTGCGATGGAGCCCATGGTGATTGATTGGAATGAGGATGTTGCGGTAGATTGCTTGAGTAAATGCAAAGAAGTCTTTGAGATACAATCTGCGGTTTTATCACGTTAATTAATGTAGTCATATTCGGAGTCAAGTCCGGAGTCACGTCCGACACGGCTGACACTTGTTGCGGTAAATCTCCGGTCAATGGGGAAATTCCGTTAGGACGGTCACTGTGAGGCTGTGGCATGTGAGAAGTGACCGCTGTTGGCGATTGGCCCAGAGCTCAACCTTGAAAGCTGCAAGAAGTGCATTCTGAATCTTTTGCCGTGCAGATGTCTCTCGTGACGGACGGTCGGCTTGATGTAGCATGAATTAAAGACGCGGTCCCAGCCCTCCCCGCTCTCGGTCTCGGTTTCGGTCTAGCTCTCTCCAAAAAGGGCTATGGTATAGATGATTTGAAAAATCCAAACACGATTGATGACTTGTCGTCAAAGGGGTATCTATTGTTGTTCTTTTGAGATATGTACATCTATTTCATGCCCATCCTGCCAATGTCCAGCTCGACCGATCACCACCAGATCGCAGGCCCGATCGACGATCAGGAACAGGGTGCTCGATGTCTCGAGTGGCTCCAGCCAACCCATGCTGAAGGAATTTCTCTCTTTCGATTTCCACCATACCACGGATCTTCAAGCTAGTCGTCAAGCTTGCACCGGCCCAAGGACCGAGTGATTCAACTTCACGCAACACGCCTTGAAGAGGAACTGGAATGTCTTTGTTTTGTCGGCGTAGCTTTTGTTCCACAAAATCGATTTCCGGGACTTCCTTCGAGGGATCAGAAGGTCCTTCATCAGGAGATGAGCCTTCTTCGTTGTTTTTCGGCGCTTCGGTCTGGGCAGAAGGTCTCTGGGATGATAATTTCAGCTGCTCGAGCCTCTCCCGCTGTCGTTCAAGTGCCTTTCCTCGGATGGGACTCCACCCATGACGATCAATAATGCTGGAGACTTCGTGAAGAACGCGCTGCCGCAGACCAGGGATCCGGGAACCCCCACCCACAAATGTAATGCGTGCCATGCAAGTTCCTCGTGCATCGGGTGGAAGTGAGAGTAGGATATTATAAACAAGTAGTGGCAGTGATTTCTCTTCGTCATCCATCTCATGTTCTGGGATATCTGACGCAAAGAGCACCTTTTCAGTGGGTTCAGCGAATCGCGCAAACGGCACATCCATGTATTCTTGCTCCGGGTTTGCAGGTGAAGGGATTGACAAGGTCTGGCTAAATGTAGAAGAAGAGGTATCTTCGTCACTTCTGGACTTGCACCATGCAAATCGACTGGATATTTCCTCACAATAACCAAATCCAACAGAGATCCCATCATTGGTCTCCGTATTGTCTTGGTTGTTGGAACCCAGTCCAGTGAGAAGTCGCCCGGTTTCCTGCATCAGGTGCTTCATTGATCGAGTGGTCCTCCTCGTTGCGATCTCTCGGTATTCGTAAATTGCTGTCGCCGTCGTCTCGGCCCAGCCCACGTCAACCACTAAGGCCGACCGCAATCCTGCGGCCGTGGCTGACATGGTCGCACTGGATAGAAGGGTCACGCTTGGGAATCGCCAGCGACTAAACAAGGTTGATAAAAGAGACGACAGTAGTGGGTGGGGCATTAGAGATGGCACAACAAGCACGAGGCGAGTTGTGCCTGCGTCAGTCAACAGGAATTGATTATATGTTTCCCGAAACGCGCGCTCGATCTTGTCTTCGACCAAGCCTAGGTCAGCCTCTCTTGAATCCAGGCGCCACAGCTCATATGCTCGCGCCCAATCTTCCGCATCAACAGGTTGTGGTAGTCGTGCAGCCCCGGCGCTACCTTGTATCCATCCTCGATAGTCCCCCGCTCTCCTCGAATCCTCAGGTCCGAATCCAACCACACACGCAGGCGTGCTGTTTCCTTCAAATCCCGCGCGCAGCCATCGTGCGCCTATCTCAAATATGATCGCATCGTCCTCGCTTCGGAATGAGGAACTGGGGGATGTGTTGCTGGCGAATGAGGTGCTTCCCGACCGTATTGGTTGCTGCGGGGTATGAGGTGAGGCTGGTCGTGTTGCCTGGCTGTGTCGTAGGCTGGAGGTCGCTGAGTTGCGCTTACTCGCATTCATTGATTGGGTGTCACTCGCCATAGTGCTTTGGGCGAGCTCGGCTGCCTTCTCCTTTCTCGGATCAGGATCAGGAATATTGTGTGACAATGGGAGATCTGGTCGGCCGACGCGCAGGTTGAAGATCCAACGCCATGCAACTGATTAAGCGGAAATTAGACCGAGTAAGTTTGTGTTGAATGGCGAGATCTACTCCGTATACTGAGCTCCGTGACGTTGGGAGCTCCCGGGAGAGCAAACGGATCTACATCGGGCCGCCCATTTTGCTTCACATCAACAACTCCGCAAAACAAACACAAGCCCACCACCGAAGCTATATGGGTGGGCACGGTCTGAGTTCTATTCTTTCAGGTGGATTGATATTGTTGAGGCCGTCATAATGGGTATTCCAGGGTAAGTTCGAGTTTTGCGGGCATTCGTCTGCAGCAATGTATCCCTTCTCTTGACGAGTGAAGCGGTGCTCCACCCTTGCGCAAGCTGCAGTCCTTCTCTGGACGGCAATGGATATTTATTGACTGAACCTCTAGACTTATCAACGTAATTGGCCCAGGAGAGCGTATTTCACTGGCTAAGTTGGCAGTTACGCACTTGGAACGAACAGCAAGACCCATCCGCATCGCGGTCGATATTTCTATTTGGCTCTTCCAGGCCCAGGCAGGTCGCGGGGGGAGAAACCCAGAGCTGCGCACCCTCTTCTTTCGCCTGCTGAATTTATTGGCATTGCCAGTCCATCCTCTTTTTGTTTACGATGGACCACACAAGCCCGCCTTTAAAAGAGGGAAGGCGGTATCCTCGCGCAGCTACAGCAGTGTGCCGATCATTAGACGATCCAAAGATCTTCTTGAAAAGTTCAGATTTCCCTGGCATGAAGCGCCGGGTGAGGCAGAGGCAGAATGCGCACGACTCCAGCAAGCAGGCATTGTAGATGCCGTCATGAGCAACGACGTTGATGCCTTGATGTTTGGCTCATCCATGACGATTATGAACTTCTCCAAAGAAAGTGGCAGTGGAACGTCATCTGCAACTCATGTCACCTGTTATGCGATGGAGCAGGACGGCCATCCGTCAAACATACCTTTTGACCGACCGGGCATGATTTTGTTCGCCATGCTTAGCGGGGGAGACTATCTGCCATCGGGCGTTCAAAAATGCGGTAGTAGCATTGCTGCGCAGATTGTCAAAGCTGGATTTGGCGAGGATCTTCTACAGGAGATTGCACTGCCCTCAGACAGTAGTGCGGGATTGAAGGAGTGGAGAGAACGACTTCAACTTGAATTGGACGAGAACAAAAGTGGCTACTTCTCAAGGAAAAATCCTTCTGTTAGAATCCCAGACACGTTTCCCGATCAAACAATCCTCGAATACTACGCTCGGCCGAAGGTCTCCAGCGACGAAGACATGGCATTTCTGAGGAATCGCCTCCGAGAAGCGTGGGATCAAGATATCGACCCTCTGGCCATCCGAACTTTTGCTGCAAATCACTTGGATTGGAAGTATCGAGGTGGAGCAACAAAAGTGACTAGGCTGTTGGCTGAACCCCTAATATCATATCGACTACGCCTTCAGAGACCACTTGCAGCCGTTTCCTCCGATTTTTCCTTCGTTCCTGATGCCCCACCAACTTGCCAAAGGGTCTATAAAACCCGATCGAGCTTCGCCACGGACGGAATGCCAGAGCTTCAGCTTGATATGCTACCTGTGGATGTGGTGGGCTTGGATATTCTGGCCGAGGAATGTTCCCCTGATGCAAACGTGAACAGCGTGCCATCTCAAGGCAATCTGAACGAGGACTTCGAAGACGAGGACCTGGATTCGGCCAATACAACGGCTCCCCAGACAGCGTCTAAGTCACGAGTAACCAGGGCTTACGATCCTTTTTCAATTGGCAAAATATGGGTATTTGAAAGCGTCGCAAAAATTGGTATCCCCGATGTTGTGGCCAAATGGAAGAAAGAACAGGCCGAAAAAGAAGCAGCAAAGGCCGAGAAGGCCAGGGCAGCTGCCGCTAAAAAGACAGGCACTCGGCGAGCTGCTCCCAAGAAAAAGGGACCTCTTGATGCAGGAATGAAACATGGGAGCATCTTGAAATATGGAACCTTGACAAAAGAAAAACCCGAGCTCTCAACTGCCGGAAAAGCGCACTTGTTAGATGCTGCTACGTCAGGGAAACCCCCCAGAAACCCACTGTCTAGACTTGTTGGGCAATCCGAGACTTCGCCCATACAGCTGGACCAGGAAGATGATCATCTGACTCCAAGTATGTACTCTCGACAAGGTTCGTCACCAACGATGAGATACTTCTCGCAGCAGGTGGATGATCTACTCGAAAGCTTCAACTCCATGTGCAATTTATCCCCGACTTCTAGCGCGAAGCGCCGGCCCATGGCAGGCCAAGCACTTGTCCGATCAAGGCAGATTATTGGGGTCACTGGTGAGACTGAATTTGAAGGATCAGAGACTTCAACGCTAGAAGTCGATGATTTCCAAGCCCCGTCAACAACACTCAAGGGGCTACGAATCAGTTACTCGAACCCAGAGTCATCTTTTGATGAATCCTCTAGTGTGTATTTGCCGACCGTGCCCTCTCGCACCAGAAAGACACGCGTTCAGCCGAAGAAGGTTGCTGTTTCGGAAACGGAAGAAGAGAGCAATGAAGTCCAAGATATTGAAAGGGCGATCGAGTCTCTCTCTCTATCAACACCAGCGAAAATTGAAATTGCCCATGACACGTCAAAGCCTGCCCAAAAACTGCGTCAAACCAACCCGCAAAAAACAGTGCAAAAAAGCAAACCACCCGTTGTGACCCCCGAATCTCAAACTGTGGAGGCATCCGACTCTTCCAGGATCGCGAAGACCGACCGTCACACTGCGTCAGAGCCGATCATCCTTCACAGTAAGGAGAGCCTATCTGGCGAACAAGAAATACCACTGAACACTAAGTCTTGTGCCAAAAAGCACCAGCAGAAGGTGGGCAGCTCTTCTACAAGAGCCACGGCAGCACTTAGTCAAGACTGTGAAACCAAAGGACATTTGGAAAACGTCATAATACAAGACGGTCTCTGGTCGATCGATCAATCACCATTCGATGATCTAGGCACAGCCAGTACCCAAAATAAAACACGCAGGCAAGCCCAAGGAGGCAAGAAGAAGCGAATTCCGCGCGTGAGCATTGTCGATCTTACTTGAGCAATTTACGATACCCTTCATTTTCGGTTAGCGAATCATAACGGCGTTTGATATGGTCTCGGTCTCACCAGGCCTGGGAATTTAAATTATGAATAGTACAGTTGTGTAAAGATGTGCTTCGGAGTTTCCATCTGAATTCCGGAAGCACTACCAATGCATTGTTGAGATTTTCTGGACTATGACAACCAAAAAAGATTGATTCGATGTCAACATCCCTTGCGTCTGCGATATGGGGGATCTCTTCTTCGGTTGTGGGACAAGCAAAAAGAAACATGAGAGAAGAATAGTAGATGTCTACATTACGGACAATCTACCAGCCCTCTCAATCAAACAGTATTACAAGAGCTTCTCAAGGCGTTGATACCCTTGAATCAACAGAAGCAATTTGGCTTCAAGATTAATTCAAACCATCTTGAAACCAATTTTCAACGTAAAATTTCCCGAAAGCGTCTCATTGTTAATATTCTAAGGATGGCTATTTCCGTAAAGCTCGGTATTGTGAAAGCAGCATTGAAGGCTCCAGGATACACCCATCCTAGAACTTTCGATCATCCTATCGGAAAGAGGTCCCGGCAAGAGCAGATTGCCTTCCAGTTGCGATGTGATCATAACTCAAAGGATGACCGGGTTCCGGTCTTGTCGGGTATTGATAATATGCTCTCGAAGACTTGTGCATCGCGACCTCGATATCCATCTTGACAGACTTTTAAGGGGTTCAATTAGTTAACAGTATTCAAGTCACAGTCCAAAGACTACTCACAGTTCCAAAATTGTTCCAAGCCAGATAGACAGGCTGCAATTTGTGGTCAGGGCTCCTCTCCTTCCTCGACCAATAGCTGCGCATCGGTATAGTGGCAGGAACCTGCGCAATGCACTTGACACCTTCTGATTTTTGCTTCTCGCAGTTACCGCAAGGGCTTGAGTTAAGGGAGCCACTGAAGTTGTAGATACTAGCAACAAAGCCCTCAGACTCGGGTCCACGGAATTTTTCGTCACTTGACGCCTCTGTTTCATCCAAGAAAAGGTTGATCTTGTAGGGTGCACCGTTCAAGGCGAATCTATAGAAGTCAGTAATACAACCAAATCGAATCGTAATATAGAGCTCACTTGTCGTAAATGACAGTGATGACATAGTCATCGTTTTCACCATCGGGGCCTGTTGGAAGTTTATCAAGCCTGTTCTGGACAGGTCTTCCATACAGCGAATTAATATCATCCAGGATTTCCTTTCGATGTTCTTCGCCATGGCCTCGTCCCTTGAGAATCTCGTAGTCATAACCAAGCTTCTGCCATTCTCTCACGTCATCCGACTTCCAGAAAGTACCCGCTGAGTCTTTGTGGAAGGGTCTTAACTGGTCGTTCTTGGCCCCTTGGCTGAATACATCATCAAACCATTTTTCCCAGTTCAGACTTTGCCAGATGGCAGTCAAACGGTCAATGTTACTTTCGGGATTGTCAACAGTGCCCAGAAACATAATTGCAATCGAACATACTTGTGATAAATCCAAAAGATAGGATCAAATGCAGCCATGTGAACACTGCTCATATGACCAGCACCCCAGAGCTGAATGTGTTCTTTGTCTGGGCGAAGGAATTGGGTTCCTCCCACGAAGTTCTATATGGCGTGTCAGACCCATTTTTTTACTTGCCAGCACTGCCCAGAAACTCACATGAATGTTATTGTGGATGAACTCTAAATTCATCGCATTCTTCACATTCTTCTCATCAAGTTTCAATTTCGGTAGTGTAACGGCTGCAGATCCATCTTGTTTTGGTGCTTCCGGGTGTGGACTCGTGTAGCGGGAGCTTGAAAATGCCCCCCAGTGGTCAAGACCATAGGTAAACAACCTGTTAATCAGATCTTGCACTGTGGGAATATCCCTTTCCCCATCGAAACCACTATTATCATAATAGGCATGCTCGTTAAGGGCGTAGTTGGATCGAAGCCAGTTCTGACCTCCATCAGCCCAGATGCTGGCATCGAATCCATCTAGAATGCCGTATTTGGTTGTCGCACTGCATTTGTCCCACTGGGCAGATGTCAAATTTTTTTGATCTCAGTAGTGACAATATTATAAGACTTACTGGATATGTGAAACCTTTTTGCTCCTCTCCAATTATCTTGTAATCATGAGGGAGATCGCCCATCGGCCCATCCATCACGTATTTGTAGAGCGGATTGGGTATAGACTCAAGGGCTGGGTCTCCTTTATTAAACACCGTAATGCGAACATTGGGCATCATGCAAAGAATGGGTAGTCTCAATATGTCATCACTGAAGCCGGGCTTAGAAGCGTCATCAGTCGATGGCGGTCGATCAGCTTTGCGCGCAAAGTCCCAGTATGGAAGACGCCATTGGTCGGCTTCTTTCTTCCATGTACTCTGAAGTTTGGCTGGAACGTTACCACCGATCCATTCGTACATGGCGTCATACAAAGTTCGCTGTGTCGATTTGTGAGTGATCTACACCTTTGCCCTACCAGCCACTGGAGCTTACTCACCTCATAGAGCATCATGTAGACCCGGTGCCACGTAGGGAACGTGTAGTCATTGTGGACGCAGTACCCTCGAATCCTTTCTGGGTCGTTGGGTGGCTTGTCGGGAGGCTGTGGCACACCATCCCATTCGCACCATGGAGCAGAGTGTATGGCAGCCAGGCGGAAGAATGACAGTTCCTCTTTCACTTCGCGTCGTTGGATCAGAGCTAACGCCCTCATAAAGAGAGTGAGCTGGACTCTGTTACCTTTCTCGTCAACCTGCTCAGCGTACCATTTGTCGATATCTCTCCGGACGTAAGGATCGCCCTTTTCATCGACGGTCTCGATGCCCTTGACGGGGAAAGTCATCTTGAACAGTAGATTCTTGATTTAAAGCAAAGATGAAATTTAGAGTGGCCAGTATCTAGTCTGGTTGATTGATGAAGAGAAAGAGGCTTCAGAAAGCGAGGAAGTGTTATTTATATGACAAACTTGAGTCATTTCTTTACCTTTTGGCTTGGGTACTTTTGAGTGCAGCTGAAAGATGCCTCGGTCTTGTTTCCAACCTTGGAAGTACCGCATGAATGTACACTTCATTTCTCTTACAACATAAGACATATCTCTTCCTGTCCATATGCATCACCAAGTAGAGATCAGCCGATCCAAAGCCTGTCTTCGTAGCTCCCGCAGGTATGTACATATGGTCCTCCTTCTTATTCGAGAATCCCATTCACGAATACGCCGCAGTATGCAAATGCTGGCTGAGGCCAGTGTATTTTCACGTCATACTACATGGTATAACAAATCGTCTTTGCTTTCTGAGCGCAAGCTCAACCTCATATCTGCTAGGTCCAAGTTCAGGGCTTCTAGGATCAACCATAAATCTACTAATCACGCAGTTATGAGTTGTACAGTCCAAGCATGTTATGATTTAGATGTGCATAGAAAATTTCCACAAAGGAAACGTTTGTACCTATTAAACTGGACACCGCTTAGTTGTTGTTGCTGCTTCTTGCAGGCATCAAAAAATATTTTCGTAATTCTTTGAGAGCAACGCAGACCCTAAAATAGGATCGTCGATGTCGATTTCGAATGTAGTACTTATCCTGCTACAACGCACAGAGCTATCTGGTTGCTTTGAGATTCATGTTAAGCCCGTCTTATCTTTTAGATCACCAACAGTCAACATCAGAGTGTGAATCTCTCTATTTTAGGGGAAGAAATATCACTTACTGTATGATTATGAAATCAAAATGGAATCCTTGATAGTAGTTGCGATGAATACAAGAACCCATTGGCTGAACTTGGAGTGCCGGCTTCATTCCATGCATTAGACTCAACAGTCATGCATACCTATAAATCTGATTTATCACACTTGAGTACTATGCGGCCACTCTTTACATTGCGCCTACGTGGCAAATATCTAACACTTGCAGCATGACTGCGAGCTCAGCTGACGGTCGAGTAGCTGAATTTTTCGATGATTTAGATATTCACCGAACATATTCGACTTCGGAACATGCACGCCGCGATTGCGATTTTTGGTAAAATTAATGAATAATATGCCCAATTTGTATGTCCAAAGTAATTCCACTGGGCGAAATGTATGGCTATCAGATTTCGTTCAGCTAACACTTTGATGAGATCGTCTCCAGAAATCTCGTACAATCCTGCAGCTCGTTCTGGGTGAGAGGGGTTGTACACAGAGTACTTCATGCACCTATCTGCGAAGTGATGTGGGCAACACTCATCATAATGGAGATCTCAGCCTATTACAATATTTCCAGAAATTGGGGGCAAATATCTGGATCTCGAATCTTCGCCAGGAATGAGTATGTTCCTGACCTTATCTTGTTCTTCAGCCCTATTTACGATCTATCGGAGTAGATCCACTTGAGCACATTTCTGAGCACGTTTTTGAGCACATTTTGTAAGAGATTCAATGTTCGCAACAAACTGCCCTGCATTTTTGAACTCAGCTCTGTCGGTGACTCGATTATCGGTCGGAGCAGCTGCATCAATCCCCACACCTAACACCTGTTCTTGCATCCACCGTACTCCGTGCATGTTCACAGCATATGCGGGTCTCCTTTGGGTGGGGCAATCGCCTTTTCCCATTGGCCACTTGGGCTGGGCGGGCCGTTCCCGTGAGAAACCCACCCGCATGTTGAACGGGTTACGGCGCCTATAGATTCATGCATGCAAGACTTTTAGTAGTAAACAAGACTGAATATCAGATTCAAATCAAGTATTGGGTTAAGTTACCCATAATCCGCTGTGGCAGCGGTCCGCTCCGGGCGCAAACCTAGGAACTTTACTCCGTAAGTAGAGCCTTCAGGTTTCTCACGTCGCGGAAAAGACGGACTATACCTAGGTCGCGCGCTGGCAGTGAAGATGGCCCTATAGATGAGTCCTCTGAGATTGGTTTCATTTTGGACAAATATACTCCGTGCTCTTACTTGGTTCTCTTTCTTCCTGGGTAGGAATTAATGTGTCACAAAGAAATCAGCCTCGGAATCAACACAACTGTGTTCAATCGCTATCAGCAATGCGTGGTCAATAATACTTAAGTAAGATCCCACTATAATAGCTAGCTAAACGGACTACTTTTGTTCTCAGTTCTCTCTTCCCTCTCCATTCTGCACCCGGGTAGAATACGATCAACCACGAAGTTACTGTATCTTCTGCTTTTATTTCATATCAACGCTTGCAAGGTAATCTACTTTGCCCTACATTCTTCTTTCTCATGAGTATGAGTCTGAACGCAGCTACCAATGTTAGTAAGTTTCTAGAAGACCACGACTGGCCGTTCGAGAATACCGTCTCTTTTGCTTGGCAATCTAAATTTCAGTAACAATAAAGCACGTGAGAGAAACAGTAAGAAACATCGCACAGGGGGCCAAATATGTCCGTCCACTCTAGATACATCGCTAAAAAGCACCGGTTTCTATATTAGAGTGTAAACGACAAGGATCCGCGCCAAAGCGAACAAGACTATTTAAACACGGCACAACCACTTGCATGTGGACTGGATATTCGTTTCGCATTCATTGCGCAGAAAGTAATCCTTGTCTAGCCTCTTGTTACGCCAATAAACAAGTCGAGATGGCGCTGAGTACTTATTTCTATCCGAGGGCCAAGTGGAGGTTTCGCTCAATTCTCCCCCTCTCCATATTCCCTGTCCTCTATTGTGCTTCAATATGCAGGAAAAAAGAGATATGAAAAGCGAGAGTGCTATTGAATCAATGCCAGCAGGGAATGGTAATGATTTTCCTGAGAATGTTCCATTGCAGCAGAAACAACAACTGGAGGTAAGGATTGGGCACTCGATCAGCCTGTGCATACTCTCATTTTTTAATAGAGATATATCAACTTCTTCTCATCGATTGCATTTTCCACCTGCCTACTTGCTACGTGGGAATCCGCTGGGGGTAGCTTGCTCTCGGGGCTATACAACGGAGGCCCCGCAGCAATTGTTTATGGGATCATCTTGAGCACAGTGGGAAATCTTGCTATTGCATGCTCGTTGGCCGAGCTTGCCTCCTTGTACGTGCCGAAATGAACTCGATGTGACCACGCTGATTTGTGCCGATAGACACCCTACTGCGGGTGCTCAATATCAGTGGTGCTATTTCCTCGCGCCTCGCGGTCGTCGGTTTATCAGTTTCATACAGGGTAAGCGCATATCATTTTATTCTTCTTCACTCACATGCATATTCTTACTGAAAATACCAGGTTGGGTCACTGTCTTCTCCTGGTCTGCTCTTGTCTGCATCGCGCCTTACTTCATCGGGACTCAAATCCAGGGCATGGTTGTATTGGCGCACCCTGACTATGAGCTTGTGAGATGGCGTGGCACCCTTCTCATGTGGGCAGTTGCAATCATACCGATCATTATCAACGTATTCGCACGCCGCGTTCTGGTAGGCATCGAAGTGGCTGCGGGTATCATGCATGTCGTCTTCCTACCAATCACCATTATCGTCTTTGTTGCCCTTGCTCCTCCAAACCCTGACTCATTTGTATGGAACACTTTTGTTGGCGGCCTGAGTGGCTGGAAAAATTCAGGTGTCGTATTCTCGATTGGCCTTCTAGGTGTTATTACTCCCTTGGCTGGTACAACTCCTCGACTACCAAAATTTGAAAGCAACTAATCTTTTTCAACAGGCGTCGACGGTATAATCCATATGGCCGAAGAAGTCAAAGATGCCAAAGTTGTCGTTCCCCGTTCTATGATCTATGGCACCCTCATCAATGGAGTCCTCGCATTCAGCTACCTAATTGCCACTCTCTACTGCATGGGAGACTATACTGAAGCAGTCACCAGCCCAACAGGCTACCCCATAATTACAATTGCCTACCAAGCAACTGGATCGAAGGCCGCTACCTTCGTCCTCATGACAATGGGCATGCTACCTGGCTGGATTGCCCTATTCAACGGCCTCGCTTCTGTCACGCGTCTCACTTGGGCTTTCGCTCGAGACAACGGCCTCCCCTTCTCCGAGTTCTTCGCTGTCGTCGACCCGACCTACAAAATCCCTATCCGGGCTTTATTCCTAGTCGCATCGTGCATCTTCGCACTCTCGTTCATTCAGATCGGGTCTACGGCTGCATTCAATGCCATTTTATCTCTTAGCACGCTCGGTCTCTACATCTCCTATCTTGTCCCTCTCACTCTGCTTGTGTTGAAGCGATTAACGTCGCCGCAGGATATTCCACAGGGAGCATTTAGTTTAGGGAAACTTGGTCTCCCCATGAACCTTCTTGCCATTCTCTTCGCCACTTACTTTTCTATATTCCTTCCATTCCCCGCTACGTTGCCGGTGACTGGGGAAAATATGAACTATGCCGGGCCTGTGCTTGGGTTTGTTATACTATTTGCCTGTGGGGATTGGATTGTTCGCGGCCGGCATAAGTGGGAAGGCCCAGGCACGAAGTCTGATGCTGATAGTCAGTGAAATCTGAGCGGTTCAAGATGTACGTGTCCCGGATGCAATTCTAAGAGGATGGATCAAAGAGAAGACAGAAGATTGTAAGTGATGCATGAAAGCAATATCCCGTAGGATACAAATATTCGAAGAAATCCAGGTCTTGAAAGTAGGAATGACAATGTTGGGGGACATATCCAGAGGAAAATTAAGTGTTGAACACCCGAAAGTAATGTAGAATCGAAAAGCGTGAATGTGCATTTACCACCAAATCGCAGATATATCATTTTTCCATCTAAGCAAAGACCTTCAGGAAGCCCCAAAGTCCGACGCCACTCAGAACAGGGATGGTGAGGTTGTCATCCCAGCTGAACAGATCGATGAATTCGCTACCGGCAGCAACAACGCCAGAAACGACGCTCATGACACCAAGAGCTAGGGGTCCAGTGATGACCGCCGAGTCGCTGGCTTCCCAGCCCAAGAGACCGCGTATGCAATTCGGCAGCAGGTTCAGGCGGCCTGTGAACATAAAGGCATCTTCCGGGTCATTAGGGAAGGCACCGATGTAAGGCACGAACCAGCCCCAGAATGCAGCGGCGGTGACCACACCGACGAACCAAGCCGCCAAAGTGCCAGCTAAACTCTTGCCTGGCCGGAGGCGAGGGGTATAACGACCGAACAGACGGCCGAATGTAGAGGCAGCCGTGTCACACCAGCTAAGTAGGAGTACGCTCATGACACCAACATCCTTGGGGAAAAATCGAAGGGCCACATACGCCCCAAGGAGGTACCAGATCACACCATTGTAGCCGCTAACCTCGGTTTCACGCATGAGAGCACCCATGCAGCGGATGTAAATCTTATTGAGCTTCTCAGAGCGATGACGCATCAGGTCTGTTGCCGCAATGGGTACTAACGCGGTGAAAAGCACAGGTGTAATCTGTAATGTTTGGACGCCTTGGGTATACAGGGACAGGGTGAGGAACCCTATTGACACATGCAGCAGCTTGCGCGGGATTTCATGGCGGTGAATGAAGCTACGGTAGCGCGAGTGGAGAGGGATCAGTCCGAGGGGTGAAGGTGACCTTGACAAATCGCGCAGGGCCTCCGGGATATTCAATGGTGATAGATAATCCTTCGAAGCGGTCCCATTTGGTGAATGCGGTGGTGAGGCGGGTATCTTAGGGTTCGAACGGCGGGTGCGTGCGGATGGTGTTGTAGAGGACCTCGGTGCACGCGAGGAGCCGGAACTTGACCCTGAAGGTTCAGGCTGGCGTTGCCGGCGCGCTGCCGATCGTGTCACTGGTGCGAAGTATTCGTCGTGCGCCTCCGACGGGTCGGAAGCAGAGGGCGTCGGAGAGATCACGCGAGGTGTTGCCGGGACGGCAGTTGGTGAGGCCATGGCGGGTGCTCTCAAGGTGAATGGTGGGAGTGGTGCGACTTGAATTACACCGTACAGTGATCGTGTGGGGCTATTCGTATTGTCGAAGGGAAGTACACCGCAGTGAATTAGTGGGTTTGCGAGCGAAGCAATTGTGGGCGACTGTGACGGGCACGGTACGGTGCCTCGTTGACAATTAAGGGCGGGAAAGCTGGAAACAATAGAAGAGATCCCGGTGCATGATGCGATGATCACGCGCCTTTTGTATTAGATAGAAAATATGCAACGAAGCTGAGTTGGACAGGCGAAGGAAGATCGCGATCTCCGTTTCCGCTCAAAGCCGCAGTCACGTGCTCCATATCTAATCGATAACGGTTTTTTTTTTTCTTCTGGCGATGACGATTTCTACAATCCGACAAGCTTGTGCTTTACGATAAAATGCCTCCCAAGTCATCCTCCCGAGCATGGGATGCTCTTGATCCAGCATTGTCGCAATGGACTCTCGACGCGGTGAGCTCAATGGGCTTCACGCGCATGACTCCAGTCCAAGCCTCGGCCATCCCTCTGTTTATGCAACACAAAGATGTGGTTGTGGAAGCTGTCACAGGAAGTGGAAAGACATTGTCATTCCTGATCCCAATTGTAGAAAAACTCCTCCGTCTTGATGAGCCTCTGAAGAAGCACCACGTTGGAGCAATCATCATTTCCCCCACCAGGTACGTTGTGATCATGCGCAGGCCCACAGAACTTATGGCTAATGTTGGTCTCTAGAGAACTAGCTTCCCAGATTCACCAAGTCCTGTTGTCCCTCTTGGAATTCCACGCAGACTCAGCGGCAGCTATCAAGCCCGCTGAAGAGGGTGCTCCTCGTCAGAAATCTTCGACAAAGAGGGTCGTGCCACAACTTCTTCTGGGAGGTGGAACATCCCCGGCAGAGGATCTGAAGCTCTTCCTCAAGACCTCGCCCAATGTCCTTGTTGGTACTCCCGGAAGGCTGTTGGAACTTCTTTCATCACCCCATGTTCACTGCCCCCAGTCAACCTTCGAGATGCTTGTGCTGGATGAGGCCGACAGACTTCTGGATCTTGGATTCAAGGAAGACCTACAAAAGATTCTGCGCCGCTTGCCTAAACAAAGGAGAACGGGATTGTTCAGTGCCAGTATCAGTGAAGCAGTGGATCAAATCGTGCGCCTTGGTCTGCGAAACCCAGTCAAGATTGCCGTCAAGGTCAAAGGAGCCGGTGCGGAAGAAAAGCGCACTCCAGCAAGTCTGCAGATGACGTATCTGACGACACCGCCGCTTCACAAATTTGCTATTCTCAAGCACATTCTTTCCACAGTTCAACCTACACCCCAAAAAACCATCTTCTTCGTATCGACATGTTCCAGTGTTGATTACCTTGCCACAATACTACCAATCATCCTAGGAAGTGACTTCCTACTTGTTCCCCTGCATGGAAAGCACCAGGCAAATGTCCGCCAAAAGAACTTCACCAAATTCACCACCTCCACCACCCCCTCCATCCTCCTTACCACCGATGTCGCCGCTCGCGGTCTTGACATTCCCTCAGTCGATCTTGTGGTTCAGATCGATCCCCCATCAGACCCTAAGACCTTTATTCACCGATGTGGTCGAGCCGGCCGCGCGGGTCGCAGGGGTCTCAGTATCGTTCTCGTCCACCCAGGCCGTGAAGAAGATTACGTCTCGTTCTTGGAAATCCGGAAAACGCCCGTTGCGCCATTCAACCTTACCGAGCTCTCTGACGAAGAGGCCATGGCCTCTATCGACAAGGTTCGCCGAGCCGCGATGAAAGACCGTGCCATGTACGACAAGGGCCAGAAAGCATTTGTCAGCTGGCTGCGCAGCTACAGCAAACACCAAGCTAGTAGCATCTTCCGAGTCGCGGATCTGGACTGGGAAGCTCTTGGCAAGGCCTGGGGTCTCCTCAGACTGCCCAAGATGCCGGAGTCGCGCTCATTCGAGGGCGACAAGTCTCTTGGCGTTAAGATGGACTGGGACAACTACGCCTACAAGGACAAGCAGCAGGAGAAGCGTCGCCAGGAGGCGATTGCAGAGGCTGCCAATGCAACCAATGCCGAGCAAGGCAGCAAGCGACGGGCTACAGAGAGTGTGGCCTGGAGTCAAAAGACCGAGGATCGGGACCAGAGACTCAAGAAGAAGGAGGCCAAGAAGGCTCGCAAGGAGAAGGATAGGTGGGATAATTTGCCAGAGGACCAGAAGCAGCAGGCTCTTGAGACAGAGCGTATGATTGAAGAGATTCGGGCCAGAAATGAACAGCAGCGGTTGCTGAAAGCGGCTGGTAAGACGGAAGGTGCCGAGGGTGCTGAGGGTGAAGAGTTCAAAGGCTTCGATTGAAGAGAACTGTAGAATATATATACGCATATTGATACCATGTTATGTTGGATCTGGATCCACTTATTAACAACCCCCAGGGCTTGAATTACCTAGTACACGTTCTAGAGTTTTTTACTTCTCGAGTTTGTAATCAACTCCCAGCGGTGGATATCTAGATATTGAGCTCAAATGTTTCCTCCCAAATGGCATGCATCATCTCCAAGCCTTGGACGGTTTACCATATCATTTTCACGAGTCAACTTCCCGAAGCTTTCTACAGGCTTTAGACCCGGCTGAGGGTTTCCTCCAAAAAAAGGGAGCCATGGAGCGTAATTGATTCTCATGTTCCTTTGTGGTTACTTTTTCGCGGGGCATGAAAAACAAAAACAAAAACAAAAAAGAAATGTGCATCATCCGTGAATCGAACACGGGCCTCGTCGATGGCAACGACGAATTCTACCACTAGACCAATGATGCTAGTTGATGTAAGAGGCTGCCATTTATGGATCTATGAGTATGCATTCGAAACCCAGCACTGATGCAGGTCACAGATGGTGACTTTAACCCCAGGTTCTGATCACACGATACCCCCTCCTTAATTTACTATAGGTTTCCTGTATGACACATAACAAAGGTCATGGAATCCCCATCATCCCATCGAATAGTACGAGTAGGTCCTACACAGCCCGACACCCCAAATTGGGTTTGGCACTGCCCGAGAAATCCGCCTTGGGGCCAAGCAGGGCCAAGTACAGATTTGGGGGCCAAAGGACCGTACCGACGTCACTGATTGTCCTGATTGGCCTTAGCCGTGCTTGGATTATTGCCCGATGTCTCCAGAGCTTCGGACGTACTCGTTCTCGCATTCAACTCATGTGATGGTTCATAAGTGGAACCATGACCTTGCGCCTTGGTGGGGACATGGAAGACGTCTAGAAAATACGGAATAATGTAGCTTAAGCTACGGAGTACGTTCTACAATGTATAGGTTGTAAGTTTGCGAAAAAGGAAAGAAAGATGTGTATTCAAACACAGAGCATACAGTGTCCGAAGCTCTGTAGTATGGCGATGCCAAGGCAAGTCAAATACGAGTAGTACTCAGAGTGAAAAGAGTCATGACGATCACGGTAACTCGGCACCCCAATGCGCCCGAAAACGGACTCAGCCCTGGCGGCTCAAAGCTAACATCGTTGATCCAATGGGCAGGGGCCAAGGATCAAGGACCCGTGGAAAGAGAGGTCCACTGCGGAGTGCAGCTTTGTATTTACTTATTTAAAACACGGCAACCCCCTCCCTTCTCTTGCCAACTCGGTTTATCAAACACATCCTTCTATTATCTCAAAACAATGGATATGTCTGCGAATGGTACAAGCAACGGCAAGGCTCCAGCTGAGGAGCCTCGCAACACTCAACACTTGATCAATGTCCAGCCGGCCCGCCCAAATGAACTGCAACCCAAATATGCCCAGAGAATCCAGCACGACGATGACAACCCTGATGCGCACGGCTGGTATGCCGCTATGAGTTAGTGACATTTATCAACACAGTCAGTTCTTAAGGATCTAACTCTCTTCTAGTTCACAGCCTGGGTGAATGTATCGGTTTCTGTGGTGCTATCCCCTGCTGCATCTGTTGCCCCAACCCCTTCAAGCCTGTCGACCAAGGTGCAGTTGGTCTCATTTCACGATTCGGACGGTAAGTTTCTCCCTCCCCCCTTATTGCGCACCGACTAATACGGCCCCCACTTTAGCTTTGAGCGATCAGTTGATCCCGGTCTGGTCAAGGTCAACCCACTCAGCGAGCATATCACCACTGTCGATGTCAAAATTCAGATTGTCGAAGTGCCCCGTCAGGTCTGCATGACCAAGGACAACGTCACCCTCAATCTGACCTCCGTCATCTACTACGAAGTGGTGTCCCCCCACAAGGCCGCATTCGGAATCTCCAACGTGCGACAGGCCCTCATCGAGCGCACACAGACCACCCTGCGCCATGTGATCGGAGCTCGCGTCCTGCAGGACGTGATCGAGCGCCGCGAGGAGATCGCACAGTCCACATCCGAGATCATCGAGGAAGTCGCGGCTGGATGGGGTGTGAAGGTGGAGTCGATGCTCATCAAGGATATCATTTTCAGCAACGACCTGCAAGACTCTCTCTCCATGGCTGCGCAATCCAAGCGCATTGGTGAGAGCAAGGTCATTGCCGCGCGCGCCGAAGTCGAGTCTGCCAAGTTGATGCGCCAGGCTGCCGATATTCTATCCTCGGCCCCTGCCATGCAGATCCGTTACTTGGAAGCCATGCAAGCTATGGCCAAGACTGCCAACAGCAAGGTTATCTTCCTCCCCGCGCCGAACCAGACTGTGCAGTCCTCACTCACTGCCGCTGAGAATGCCGGTGAAGGTCCCAGCAACTACGGCGCCACATCTCAAGTAGATGATGGTTTCCAGCGCGCGATGAACGCGCGTGTTGTGGAGGACATCTAAATGCCTCGATTCTCTATTTCTAATTAATTGGTCTATGCCTGATGAAGTATATGACCTTTGTGATTCCCCTTTCGCCCTGCAGTTATGATGTGGCCGGGAATGCGATTGGACGACGATACCCACCTTCGTTTGCTGCGATTACTGCGGCCATCTAATACTACGTTCCTATACCTCTATTGCTATTGCTATTTAATTATGCCAATGAAATTTAATCTGAAGTTCTCATGCCAACATCTCAAAAATCAGTAGACCGCCGTAATCAGACCGCTGAAACCAGAGCACAACAAACAGGGTCAAACGGGACTAGAGGGCGGGAAGCAGCGCACGTCCACTTTAATTAGCCGTTTGCCAACTGATACGAGGATAGGTATTTTCGGAATAATTATGGAGTGAGCGGTCAAAACTGCCTAGATGCATATCTAACAGACACCCTCCATCCGACTCTGATTCGACACTGTCTGCATCTTTCTTGAAACAAGTGGCTTTGCAGATTACCAATAAACCGAGATATGGCGATAGATTGGCTAACCCCGGCGCTAGGATCTAAATGAGGCTTTGTGTGCAGATCGTGAAGAAACCCTTTGTTTAGGTGAACTATACGGAGTACGGAGCACAGAGTATGGAATACCTTGTCTCACTCCCAAGACCCTGAGCGGTTGGATAACAGACCCTTCGAGATACGAATGCTAAATTTGGGTGTCGGGGCAGTGTCTGGAGAGTCTGGAGGGAAAATTTCGAATCCATTAAAATAAGCACTAGGCATATAGTGGGGGCTGGAAATTACCGCGACAATACTTAAGTCCAACCCAACTCCCCTGAGTGCGTTGGGGGCCAAAACGCCGATCATGCAATAGTAGTCGCATTTTGATTCTTCTGGACTCCGTACTTTGGCATCCTGCAATACTCTCCGCATTCGAGATGACGTCCACCAAGCCGACTCTGGTCGCGAGAGCGACGGACGATGCGAGCACAATCACCACCCTGGCGATGTCCAGTCGCTTCACGGCCCCCGCGTCGTGTTCGAACTCATGGACCTTTGAACCGTCAGGCGCAAACGGCATTTCGAATGGTCTGCTGTTGCAGAATGCTCACGCCAGCGACAATGCTGATGCGGCATGCTTCCCTTCTGGATACAGCCAGTACGAGAGAAATCAACCTTCAATCGTGTACAGCCCTGGGTATTGCCCGGGAGGTTACACCTCTGCCGATCTGGTCATCCATGACCCTATCACCACTGCGATATGCTGTCCCTCGTATGTGAAGGCCCCGAACCATTGGAAAAATGCGCGGCTAACCAGATTGTAGTGATTTCGAGTATCTAACCATCCTCACGAGAGGTGGAACTTTCGCCGGATGTACAAGCATGTTCCCCAAGACAAGCTCAACCATCGTCACCGTGCGCCAAGTGAGCGCCGAAAGCACTCAAGTTAGCGGCCCAATCACCATGTGGGCGCAACCAATCGAGGTCCATCTGCAAGAGTCGGACTCAAGTCTATTCGTCTCAGCAACCACAACATCCAACTCAGCAAGTCCAACGGGAACTCAAACAAGCACCAGTGGAAGCGCAACACCAACCGGTGGAGACTCTGGTTCTGGCGACTCAAGTTCAAGCGGTTTGTCAACGGGGGCAAGCATCGGCATCGGCGTCGGTGTCGGTGTCGGAGCGCTCATTATCCTTGCTGGATTGGGATTCTGGTTCTTCCGCCGACGTCAAGCCAAGAAGAGCTCCGTCTCAAACCCTCCCTATGTCTCAGTGAACCCTGAGCCGAGCGAGCTCGGCGGCAGCTCACAGGCCGCGGCGTCCAGCACACCAGGCCACACAACCATGTCTGAAATGGACGCAAACAACGGCCCCAAGCCTTTACACGAACTTGCATAGTCTTCTCTTTTGTGATGCGGAATTATACCCCCTTTTCTTACCTTTACTCCGCTGCAATGTCATTCAACGGCACTAAACGAAGCCTTGTCCTTTACGCAACCTGAACATATGCATTCCGAACAAGAAGCGCTACAATACAATATCGGTGAATCTTCGACATGAAACGAGATGGGATTTGACTTTCGGCTCGGATTTGTTCCATGTACCTTTTTCTTTTACTCCGATTGGCGATTGGCACCCTGTTTGAAAGACCGAGGCTCTTTGCCGGATGTAACTCTAGCGCAATGCAGATTTAATACATTGTAATATGTCATTTGAGAATTCCCTTGCTTACGCAGTTCGTCTTTCGTGTGATTTTCACATCTACAGTGCTGTTGAGCCCAAAATGTGTCGGGTCGACAACTCGAACGATCTATCAAGCGTCTTGGCTCTCATCGGTATTACACTATTTGCGAGCTTATCAGAGTCTACCTGCTACTACCCAAGCGGCGTCATTGCTGGAAATCCTATATACCTACCATGTGTCATGTTCGGTGAGACAACCAGCATGTGCTGCGCGACTAATCGCACCAATCCAGCCGGTGGCGACAGTGCAAATGGAATCACTGCTGATCAATGTCTACCAAACGGGCTTTGCCAGAATGTCCTCAAATATCGCAATACAGAGGGAGCATGGTCTACGAATGTGACGTATTGGCGAAATCAATGTACAAGCATGGTCTGGACGGATGATGGCTGTTTGAACATCTGTACCGATATCACAGTATGCGCAAGACATTACCCCTTTGCGTCCAGAGCATACAGATCTCCAAGCTTGCACACAAACAGTCAGCTAACAGAGAAACTTAGGCACCTGGCTCTGGATCGAAAGATACAATCAGCATGACACCTTGCGATGGAACAGCCAACTCGACGACGTGGTGTTGTGGAGATAGAACCGACTGCTGCAACACGACATCTGCGATCTCCATAGCTCAGAGACTGGGTGGGTCGATGACAATGTTGACAGTAGGAACATGACTGATGCTCAATACAGCTTCGATGTCAACCTCCATCCCTGGCTCGAGTTCAATCACAACTTCCATGTCGCCGATAGTATCTATCACCACCGAGATATCGGGGCTGCCCTCGTCTCCAGCACATCGTCCACATCTTTCAGCGGGTGCTTTAGCCGGTGTCTCCATAGGTAGTGTGCTAGGAGGCATCGGGGCCTCTGCTGTAATTCTTGGATTTTTCGTTTCAAGGAGGAAGGTGAGAACAGAAAAGAAGGGTGCAACTGAGCCGGTAGGTTCTCGATTGACTTCTCTGCCTCGAGAGTTAGGGGATCATACTCGGACTGTTGCACACGAAAAGCCCTCTGGTCCAGAAGATGTAAGAGCAGAGCTTCCAGGAGATTCTGTGCAACCAGTCTCTAGTTGAGGCATGCTGAAGTGCAAGACATACCTGGAACGTAGCTGATAGCATGAACGAAAGATGTCAACAAGTGACGGTTTTCATGCGGTTGGAGAATTAACCACGAGAGAGATAGAATGAGGTAAATGGAGGTAAGCCCAAGTTTTGGAGTGTGTGGGCTTTTGTAGTGTGTGAGCTTTAATGATTGCTTCATTGTTTACAGCTGTATAGATCGCGGGTATAAAGCGGCGAGAGGTTGATCCTGAATAGGCAGGATTTAAACCCAAAGGGGCAATAGAAGGCGGTCGGGCGTGGAGATATCGAGTGTCCCCGCGGAGGCTAGCCCTGGAGCACTTCTTGAGATCGACCTTGAGAAGAACAACAGAGCTCACACCTAATGGCCTCCCAAATATCCAACCCATCAAGCCGAGGTGGCTCTAAAACCTCAATTCAGCCCAATTTTACCGACCCCAACTTTGACCCTGCCGACTTCCTCAATGCCTCCCTATCACCGTTAACCGTGGCATCATCACAACCGAATGCCTCCCGCACACAAGGATCAGTTCCTTTGACAGAGCTCTCTACACAAGTCCAATCCCTTCTCTCTCAAATAAGCGCCCAGAACATTCGCCTCTCGAGCACATTATCGCAACTCACAGACGAGATCCTACGAAGCGGTGGACGACTAGCCTATGAAGTCGAGGTGCTCCGAGGCGAGACAATAGGTCTTTCAGAAACATTGACCGAAGTCCTGCGGGATGATATCGCCAGATTTATCCCGGAGCCAAGCGAGCGCAAGCCAGAACAAGTCGAGAATGCACCAGAGGACGATATCGAAATTACAGACCAACCAGCGCCTACTGTTTCAACGGACCCAGAATATGTGACGAATCTCCGCACCCTGAACCAAGTGCGATCCCGCCTCGAAGAGGTGGTTCAGACATTCGGCGACGCAATGGGGTGGCCTCTCCCTCCATCCGAGCTCTCATTCTCCTCATCGTTCATCTCGGTCTCTGGACCTGATCTCGGCGAAGATGGTCAAGATCGCGAAGAGAAGGGTCAAGAGATGATGAAGAATTTACGAGCTGAAGTGACGGGTTTACTGGACAGTGAAGGTGGAGGGCGCAATGGACTGGAAGCCGCTGACCGTCGTGTCGAAGCTCTTCGGACATTAGCGAAGGTCTGGAACAGCTCTGCGGAGGAAAAAGCTCGCAATCGTTTCGTGGATAGTCTTGCAAAGATCGTGGATGACCGGCGTCGCAGTCTGGACCAGGCTGCGGATCAGAGCCAGCGCACCTCTTCGAGGTCCAGACCTGAGGCCCGTCGCGATAGTGATAGTGGTGCGCCGGCTGGGGGGCTTTTCCGAAACCTGCAGCGGCTTCGTGAGGAGATCTACTTGGAGTGAGAGTGTACATGTACATATGCGTGGCCTTGGGATGTTTATTGAGCTGGTTCTTTGTAGACAGAGCCCACTTGTATAATATTATGTTCATGCTTGAACATATTCTACCTGAATTTTTCCTAATCTCAGCGCGTTTACCTAGTCGAGGTACATGCCATGTCATCTAACTGCGGCGAAGACGTAACTACCGGAAACGTTGCGCCGATCGCAGCCCGTGGCCTCTCCACTCCACTACACAGCACCATTGCGTATTTCCCGCGTCGCCTCTTGAATCCTTTTGGGTGGTTCTTTTTCACCATGTTCCATCTTGCTCGATTTTGTACTTGATTTGATACCCCTGCATGATGGCGTCGGTCGGCGCGTCACTGCCGCTTCATGATGCCAAGTCGACTGCGACGACCATGCTGTCGGCTTTCCGCCCCCCGCGAACACAAAGAACAAAGACAATTGCGCTAGCAGTTCTCGCATTATTATGTTTCCTTCTTATGCTGCGGTCCTCTTCCAAGGTAAGCGCTGATCGCTTTCCCCTTGCGAGACATACCAGGATCGCCGCAAGAGCTGACAATCTACCCAGCGAGTCGAACCTGATTTTTGGACCAAATTCCCCTCTCGTCATCCTTTTCCTGAGCGCCCGGAAGACGCCCGGGTTGTTCTCCCTCCGCGGACCGATATTGATCTGAACCATACCCTTCCCCACGACTTGGACAAGCCAAACCCACGCCTCCATGTCCTGGTTCCAGCCCTACAGGGCTCGCGCGGCGTTTGCCGAACCCTCACCTCAGCCATGATCCTTGGATACCCACCCCCGACAATGATTGGTTATGGCAGTGATTCTCCCGGAGCGACCGAGGCCGAGCGCATGGTGGACCGGATCACGCGAGCACGCAATTACCTTCGCGACAGCAAGACCGTACATGATAACGACTTCGTGCTGATGGTAGATGGGTTGGACACGGTTTTTCAACTGCCACCGCAAGTACTGATACAGCGGTTCCAGAGTATCATCCGAGCGAACAACCAGAAGTTGGAGAACAAGTTTGGGTTTATAGATGTGCAAGGGGAGAGGCCCGACACTCCGTTCGAGAGGATACCCAAGTATCATCAGCGAGTTCTGTTTGCTGCTAGCAAAACCTGCTTCCCGGGACTACGGGATGATCCTGGTTGCGCGAGTGTGCCAGAATCGTCTTTACCACCAGATGTATATGGCTGGAAGACAGATGACGATGACGACACTTCCTACAACCGACCTAGATGGTTGAACCCTGGAGCAGTCATCGGACAGGCTGCTGATCTGCGTTTGATCTATGACGAAGTCTTGCGGGAAGTTGGCCAGCACCCAAATAAGACCGGAGACTATAAGGCCCTAACGCAGATTTACGGCCGACAGGAGGTAATTCGAGAGCTAGAGCGCCGGCGAACCGTCAATGGATTCAAAGATTGGGTCCATCGCGTGGTTGGCATTTCCGACGCATCAAACCTCACCGGAATCACTCTCCGGCTAGAAGCTGGCCATCGCTACGAGTACGGAATTGGTGTTGACTTCGAATCTCAGCTCTTTTTCAACCAGATGATGTCCCGCAAGGATGTGGAGTGGATGAAGTTTAACAACATCACCAAGATGTCAATGTTGCAGATGCAGCACGGTGTTCCGCGTGAACACCGACTCCTTCTCCCACATGACATTGCGGCTCTTCCCAACCCTTTCAATCAGTCTCGGTTCGCAAAGGAGTCAACACTGAGGCCAGTGTGGAATGCAACACTGGACAAACTGCCCAACCCAAATAATCATTCTTGGAACAATGTCCCATTGATGACGAATCCACACTCAGCTTCTGTGCCTGTGCTAGCCCATTTAAATGGCGACTCCAAGCTGCGGAATGCGTGGTGGGAGAATATGTGGTTCTTCCCATGGGGCCGCGCGCTTCTTAGAAAATACGTTCGCAATGCGCACGGATTTGATGCAGCGCAGTCCGCGCTCCTTGGCGGACAGGACTGGTTGGAGGTGCGCGGGGGCCGGGGCGGGTTATGGACGGATAAGGAGAGTTGGGTCACCCTAGCGGAGGTTTGCAACGGCCAAGAGCGAGATCTCTTTGATGATGGCCTCGGTCTCTGGTCAAAGGAAATCGATGACCCAGATGCCCCGGTCTACAACCAGTATGGCAATCTGGTTAGCGGGAAGGAAGACCCGAAAGACGTGAATAAGGATTCTCCTGATCTTTGGTTCTAAGCCACGTTGCTTTCGGAGACACGCTTCATGCTCGGCCGGAAGACACATCACACACGTTGATCGGAAATACTCATGGATGGAAATGCCATTGAATATTACTTCATAGCGCCGGGCTTTCAACTTTCGCTATATACCATCAGGTATGGAATGGCTGTACATTATCCAGACCGACTTGCATCTTGCATCGGTGCACCTTTTCGTTGGCGTTTCCCCATCCTTTTACCTGGGGATTTAGGTATGTTTTATATCACAGGATTGACGCAGTACCAAGAGAGGGCTGGCCTTTGACGAGACTCGCGTTGATAGAAACACAATAAACTAGGTTCATTGTTTGAATCTTTAGGGAACTCTCATTTTTACATCGTGAATGACGACCTTAAAACTTGTAAATGTGTTCCAATAACAATTCGTAACAGTAAACTCGCCATCGCTTCTCAGTATTTGCCAATTTAGCAGTAAAATAACCTATTGGGGGATTTTCAAATCTTTAAACTCCTCCGTAATGCCGGTAATTGCTGTCTCAACAGGAAGTCTTTCCATGGAGCTTGCCCCATAGAAACCATGCAGGCCACGAACCCTTTCGAACATGAACTTCGCATCTCCCGGCGCAGCAATTGGGCCGCCATGACAGAGTACAATGATGTCCGGATTGATTTTGACAGCCGCATCTCTGATAGCCTGGACCTCTCCAACACACTCCTCGAGCGTCTTACCGGTCTTAGCTCCAATAGCCCCAGAAGTCGTCAATCCCATATGAGCAACAAGCACATCAGCCCCAGCTTCCGTCATAGCAACCGCATCTTTCGCATTAAAAACATACGGAGTCGTAAGAAGCCCCAACTTCGCCGCAGACCGAATCATTTCTACCTCCTTACCGAAACCCATTCCCGTCTCCTCCAAATTCGCCCGGAAAGTCCCATCAATCAGTCCAACCGTCGGGAAATTTTGAACACCCGCAAAACCCAGATCCTGAAGCTGGCGGAGGAATTGCGGCATCAGCCTGAAGGGATCTGTACCGCACACACCTGCAATGACAGGAGTATTCTTCACGATGGGGATAACTTCGGCAGCCATTTCGACTACCACGTCATTGGCATTGCTGTAGGGCATCAGACCCGCTAGACTGCCACAGCCTGCCATGCGGAATCGTCCGCTGTTGTAGATCACGATTAGATCGCCGCCTCCGCTTTCCACGGATTTGGCGGAGAGGCCGATGCCTGCCTGGTTAGCGGGGCTGCTGTTTTGGCTCCCTTGGTGGCTTGGCTTACCTGCTCCGGCGCCAACGATTGGCTTTCCATCTTTGATCTGGCTGCGTAGTTGGGCTACGATCTCTTTGCGGTCGGTTGGTGGGGCCATGCTGTAGATCTTATGGATATTGATCTGTTTGTTGCTTGGGTCTAGAGAAGTGAGATGGCGATACGACTCGATACTTGTAGCAAGGTAATGTATGCAATGAGGAATGGTTTACACAATAAGAGAGAAACCGGTTCGATTAGACGAGTGGAGACAGGAGCCGAACGCGTACTTTAGCGGGGTTCACTTCCACGGTTCACTTAAGCATAGATAACGCCCGTGGCCATGCGCTGCACACGTGGAAGTAATCGTCTTTTTACAGCCCTGGAGTGTATACTCGAGTACAATAGGGGATAAAAAGCAGGAAGAGCATCTTGTCCTATTTGCTATGTGATAAAGAAAACTGCGACACCCCCATCTCCTTTGGGTAGCTTTTTCTGCGTAGTGACGTAAAATAGATTGAGGAACAACATTTGAACTGAAATTACCCCCAGGAACTGTACCTTATGACATGTGTGGAGCTCCACTATCAATAAAAATGTGAATGCCGAGTTTGTGATATCAAATTTGAATAGGCTTACTCGTATACACAGGTGACAGGTGAGTCTCAAAAAGACGCCATGTAGTACGGAAGCTCTTGGTGGAAGCTGCCTAGCCTAGCAGGCATACGAGCTTTGATTGATAAAAACGTCGTGCCTGGGAAGCGGAACTTGACCCTGTACTTGTAAAATCGGAGCTTGATAACATGGGATCGGATTTTATTCGTCTGCAGATCTCCGAAGATCAAGAGTCGCGGGTACAAGCAAGTAATGGATGTCGCGGGGGTCGCGGATACGTGGATCCCATACTCCGTATGCCCCGCCACTTTGCCCTTCACAGACTCAACTTCTTCAATCACCTATGATATTATGCCACACATCATTCTTCTTGGAACACTAGACACCAAGCATGCCGAAATACTATACCTCCATCACCAGTTGAAGCATATAGCTTCTCGATTATCGCAACCACTTCAAGTCACCCTGATTGACTGCGGCTGCCAAAACATCATCGACGAAGCAATCAACGTCACTCATTCAGATTTGATCAAAAAATATGCACCCTCCAGCAGAGAGATCCGGGGGCTTCCCCGAGGAGAAGCGATCGAATTGATGATCGGCTATGTCACTCGTTGTGTGCAGGATTTGTTGAAAACCAGTACCGTCCACGGGATAGTAGGTGCGGGGGGAAGTTGTGGCACGAGTGTGATCTCCGCAGTGATGAGGACTGCACCGATCGGTCTTCCCAAGCTCATTGCCAGCACAATTGCTTCCGGGAATACAAGTCCGGTTGTTGGAGAGTGCGATATCACCTTGATGTACTCTGTGGTCGACATCGCCGGTACCAATGGCCTTTTGCGTGATGTTCTCGACAATTCCGCTGGCGCCATTTTTGGGATGGCTTTGGCATACCAGTGCCGGATACCAGATGCCAAAGTATTGGCAGATCGTCAAGAAACGCCGACCCCGAAGACACGGGTTGGTATCACGATGTTCGGTGTTACAACTGCATGCGTGGACCGTATAAGAGCCCACTTAGAAGAGAACTATTCTGTGGAAGTTTATGTGTTCCACGCCACCGGTCATGGCGGCAAAGCCATGGAGCGTCTGGTTGACGAAGGTCGCCTGGATGCTATTCTGGATGTGACAACCACCGAGATATGTGACTTGGTCGCAGGTGGAACTATGAGTTGTGATCCTGATCGTCTTGAGACTATGCTCAAGAAAGGAATCCCGACTATTATCTCTGTTGGAGCCACCGATATGGTGAACTTTGGGCCGAAGGAAACAGTCCCACCCCAATACCAAGACCGCAAGCTGGTGGTCCACAATCCTACGGTCACTCTGATGCGGACATCGCCTGAAGAATGTCGACAGGTTGGAGAGTTTATCGTTGATAAAGTCAAGCGGTTCGCTCGAGATCAGACAAAAGTTGAAGTTTGGCTTCCTAGTGGTGGCGTTAGTGTTCTGGCAACACCAGGTTCCCCGTTTGCAGATACCGATGCCGATTCGACCCTTGCCAATGCTGTGCAATCTGGCTTAGAGGGTACAGGGACCCTTGTGGTATGTGATGACCGCGATATCAACAACAGCGAGTTTGCTATTGATATCGTAAATCGTCTTATGGTCTTGGTGAATGGGAAGAAGAACTTCTAAGCATACAAGCCATTCAACATACTTCAAAATAGAACTGCATAACTTTTACGTGATTGAATTTGCTAAAGAGAGCCCCCAGCACCTCTAGAGGCGGGGGATCTTCGAGTTTGACGTGTTTTGCGCAGCTAAATATCACATTGCTAATGAGTCAACGTGAAAAGATACCATGCTTAGGAATTTGAATCCCAGCGACCAGTGAAATTACAGAGGCGCCCAGGTGCGGGCCTTGAAATATCAAAATGTCATGTCAAAGGCAACTTTGCCACCCAGTGGCTGTCGGCAACTTGAACTGCGATGCTGGTGAAACCTCATAATGTGATCCACTTATCAAGCAAGGCTCGCCTAATTCTGCCTAGAAGCAGAACTCAGCACATCACACCTGAACAGCCGAACACCTGAACACATGCATGCGACCCACACGGGGACGTGGACGTTGAACATGCCCTCACCAGAGCGATCGAAGCAACAACAACCCACGGCAATATGGCGGAAATTCCAGAGTTCTCCAATCTGTCCCTTCAGAGACATGGAAATGTTTTCATTCTGACTATGCAGAAGCCCCCAGAGAACCGACTCAGTCTATCCTTTTGTCAGGAGATGATCCGGGCGTTTCGCACAGTGGAGAGCATCCTAGGCTCTGACTCGGAGGGGGCGGTAATCACACGAAGCAGCGATCCCAAGTTCTGGTGTACAGTATGTCCAGACAAGCTTGACAGAAAACTATCAAATATTGACGTGGATCCTTAACCAGGGACTCGACATGGATGAAGTGGCTACAAACCCATTCGCCAACACAGATGGTCTCTTTCCGGTCAATTGCCTAAACAATCAGACATTTTCTCAAGTATCTCTGACAAAGGAATCCAGCTCCTTCATACAATTCTCGACTTCTCATTCCCGACAATCGCCTTGCTCACTGGGCATACATTCGGCGCCGCCTGCCTACTGGCACTGGCCCACGACTTCCGCATAATGAACTCGCGCCGCGGCTTCATGTGTCTACCAATTGTGGATATGGGTCTACACTTCGATGGGATTGGAACATTACCTCGCCTCAAGCTGGGTGCACCAATCGCTCGTAAGTTACTTCTTGGAGCCCATAGGTGGACAGGCCCAGAAGCAATGGAGGATGAGGTCGTGGATGCCGTGGCACCGCCAGAGGAGATGCTTAACATGGCTCTTGAGATGGGAGCCAAATGGGCTCCCAAAGCAAAGAAAGGGTGCGTTGAAACCAGCCCAAGTTATGCAAAGGTACTAACATCTCGCAGAGTATATGCTTTATATAGGCGAGAGCTTTGGGGTGAGGCTATCAAGACATTCCAGGAGATTAGTTATGTCCATGGTCGGCCAACTTCAACTCTTGTTAGAGCCAAGGTCTGATTATTTTGTGGCTTGAGTATACCAATTTGGGGTCATCAGTTTCCAATCAATGTAGCAAGTTTGAGGGCCTCGTGTAGTATCGGTTGTAGGTCCATGGCCATGTCTCCAACTGCGCATTTGATTCTAGAATGGACTACCGAGGCATCGACCCCGAGTCGCAATATATCATTACAGTCTAGAGGAGACCTTGGTATAGAATATACGCATTGTGCATGCGTGAAGAGGTATTAGTTGATTTAAAAGTAAAAGCCGAGATATCATGATATCTAATCAGTACCAAACTGGTAGGTAGCCCAGTTTACAGCAGGGCCATCTTCAGGGCCGAAGACCTGGTAAGGGAGACGTCCCCACTGGGGTTGGTTGATACCATCAATCCAATCCTCGGTCTCAATGACGAAGCAACCGTACTTGTTGACATGGGTGGCACCAGCGTCACCGCCATCGGCCTTGTTGCGCTTGGCCTGTGACTCCTTGGTGCCGATATACCCGTTTTGGCCACTGCAGGTGTAGATCTGGAGGGCAGCCTGGTTGGTGGCAACCTCGAGGGTGATACCGGTGGTGCTCGATGATGCACGCAGGGCAGTGCTCATTGAATCAGCGGAGTTTGTGGAGGGGCGGTCGACAAGGAAGCAGGTATCATAGCCCGTGCAGCCGGCTCCACAGAGACCGGTGGTCTTATCAATGTCTTCGCCAATGAGCTTGGAGCTAGTGAAGTCGAGGGCACCCTGGAAGGAGGTTTCGACGTCATGGATTGTGCCATTGGGAATAAGAATGCTATCCCCACCAACGAAACGGCGGGAAAGAGGCAGCTGCAAGCTGGTATCATTTAGCACCGTGGACTCCTTGAACGCGTTCAGGTTCCAGTAGATGTGGTTGGAAAGCATGATGGGAGTCTTCTCCGTGAGAGCAAGAGCCACAATCTTCGAAGTGAGCTGAGGAAGGCCCTTCGGGTTGGCAGCGCTCTTCTCGGTAGAAACGCTGAAGGTAGCATGGGTGATGACATCGCCAGGGAACTTCTCAAAGCCTTGATCAAGCAGAGTGAAAGTGATGGCAGAATCGGTGTGTGCGGTGACTGTCCAATTTTGCATATCATAGCCAGTGAAGCCACCATGGAGAGTATCCTTGCCATCGTTCTCATTCTCAGGAACGTGGTAGGTGTTCTCATCAATGGTGAAAGTACCGTTCTTAATGCGGTTGGCATAGCGACCGACAACCGCACCAAAGAAAGTGCGGTTGGTTTCACTATCATGAAGATATTCCTTGGGGTCATCGTAGCCCACGACCACATCTTGTACCTTCCCATTGCGGTCAGGTACTAGCAAAGAGGTCAGACGCGCTCCATACGGAATCAGCTGGGCAGTGATGTTTTCCGCTTTGATGGTGTAGGTTTTGAAGTGATCGGCCTCAGGTCCGGCGGAGGGCGAGGAGGTGGAAGCCGAGGAGGAAGGGGATGGCGCGGCAGACGTCAAAGCAGGCAGCCCATACAGGGCGGCCGTTACATAAGACTTGAAATGCATGTTGAATCCCAATGTGAGAATTGAGAGAAACACAAGGAGATAGATGAGTGCAAGACGAGGGGTGATTCGTGCAGGGCAAAAGAAAGAGCGGACGAAGCCGAGGGGTCCAGGCATTTTATGAGCTACAAACATTCCCCCAGGAACGCTAAACTACACATGGCCCCACGCTAGGGGGTGTACGGAAACCGGGGTAAAGCTTTGTCCAAATTTATCCGCGGGCGTGATCAAGATGCAGGTCGGCCATTGGTTGCATGAAGGCCGGGGCCGGGACAAAGTTGAGGCTGGGGAGTGGTAATAGTGAGGGGAAGGATCTGAGCCCCTGTTGCGGAGGGTTTGCGGAGGTTGCGGGATGTAACTTGGGGGGGGCCAGGTCCAGTCAAGCTCAAAGGTGGCGCCACTGACGCGGGACCAAACAAGCAATTGAAGGGCAAAACTCCGGTGGAGTAAGGCTCCTTTGTGTCGGCTCTTTCGCCGAACGAAGCGAGCGAAAGACTCACTACGGAAGAGTATAATGCCCATCTCGGCAGTGTTAGTGCCTGAATTTAAAGGCCAACAGTAATCTCAATGTTGGCCTGATTTAGATCCATGGATGCCTGGCTTGAGTGCCTGAATGTGGTGCCTGAATCCCCTGCACTTCCAACAAACATGCATGTACTCTCGGTACTAACTGCTTCAACAATTTTGGCGCGATCAACATGCGTCCAAATGACGGGCCGTCCCATATTCCATCTCAGGGTGGTTCGACTCAAGACAGTGCCCAAAACCAGCTATGTTAGGGTAGTACATCGAGTGTGATGGAATGCTGTGTTTCGACATATGGCGCCATCCGAGAGCTGCAAAGTTGAATCAAGCTAAATCATCATCATCAACCAGCAGGCCGTAATAAAGTTCCGTGGATATACATGGGTCCATGGATGGATGCCAATGAAAATCTCGTGGAAAGTATGGGCATGACCCGACACCTAAATGAGAAAGCGAGGTGGGGACTGAACACTGACTGCAACACATACCCCTCAAGGGTAGGATTTCATCCTTGTCACTCCCAAGAGTTTCCTTTACAAACAGTGGACGGATATCATCAAAGTAACCAAATGCTGTTATCTTCATCAAAACGCGGCCCAGCCGCTAGTAAAGCAAGACTGGCCGCCCAAATTAGAACGAGGGAAAAGCCGCCATCCGACGGAGCGCATTGGATGGGCGGCGATATGACCGACACAGATATTCTCCTGGAAAAAAAGAGAGATATCCATGCTCTTCAGCGGCACCGATATCAGGATTACTTCGACAATCTATCTAAGGTTTATGTTGATGGCTGCCCCAACCTTCTGAATACCGAAGAAAAGCTTCGCGAAGTCGTCCAAGAGGAGATAGCCAATCAAGAAAAAGGGTGCCCTTCGACTGGGGGTTCCAACCGTCTTCAGTTCTTGAATGCCCGATATTGGAGTTTGTCTCAAGAGTGGTGGCGCTGGCGGTCTGCACTGCATCCCGGACCTCAGTTGTGGGGGTTTGAGTTGTGGCGGTCCCACCCAAGATGGTATATGCATCGTGATCTTGTGAATGATTGTGTTGGTCGTCAGGGGTGCTGTGCCCGTGGTTGTGGTTGTTGTGTAAACCGCAAGATTGACGACTCGCGTATCCTTGGGGTCGGACACTGTACCCTTGGATGCGCCTGTTGTGAAAGGGCTCGAGGCTTCAAAGTACCCGAAGAAGAGAAGCAAAGATTGAAAGAGCTATATAAAATCAGCCTTGACAAGGGGGAAGATTTCCGTTCGAGAGCGATTGTCCGAGTCTCCATTTGGGGTATAACCGGAAGTAGTTGGAGGGATCCTTTTGATATGATTGAAGATGCGCCGCCGAGCTATGAGGAGGTGTCGAAGATCAAAGGGATTCTGTAACGCCCTTGAAGATTGTCTTAACAAGGCGCTAGTTGCTATTGCTATTGACTTCTAAAGTTATGCTACGATTGGTATTATTACAATGAATTTACCCTTTTCAATTGATATTTCCTTGCGGCGGATCCACATGGCACGCAAATTGTGAACACGCTCTGGATTCAAATATTACTTCAGTATTTGTACCTCGGTGACTGGTGGTAAGCAGTGCATCCATTACTTAAGCAATGATACTGGAGTCGAGTCATATGCTGAAAGCATAAATTGATACGTTGCATTATTTGGTGACTGAGACTAATTCCATGTTCTTAATAGAGCTTGTTCAAGCTTCACCCTTCTGGCTGTTTTGGTGTCGCCAGATCTCAACCTCACCACCGCCGCGGATCACCCCAACTCGCATGGAAGAGAGAAGGTTATGAGCAGCATTGGTATGCATGTAAACACCACCGTTGAACATGGCAGTGGCATCTTTTCCAATAGCCGATGCGATAAGAGTCTTTCCACCAGGATGTTCCTTGATGAAATCAGTCACGTCGTGAACAACACCGGCAATGGCAACGAGAGCCTTTCCGTTCTGAGCCTCAGTGACGAAACCATCCCAGTCCATGACAGGCAACTGGCCCAAGGGAATTCCCCAATCAAGCTTGGCACGTTTTTGGTCCACCTTCTTCTGGAGTTGCTGTACGCGGCCCTTTTCGATTTCGTTCGCACGGAATTGCTTGAGGTTGGTAGCGAAGCCGAGTTGCTTCCATGTCCAGATTGACCACTTGGTAGGGTCATATTGCCACCATTGAATCGCATTGCGGTAGTCGGAGGGGAACTGATAAGATGTAAGTATTAAGCCTGGCCATGGTCTTCAAGGACAAATCGTGTTTACCTCATGGTGAAAGTTGTGGTAGCCCTCGCCGCAAGTAACCAGTGCAGTAAGAACGTGATCGCGAGGTGAGTTGCGGTCATCAAATGGCTTGAACCAATCAGTATTAGAAAAGGTCTCTTGATGGGAAAGGTAGGACTCACCTGGTCACCCAACCAATGGGCAAGAGAGTTGACACAGAAGGTGGCTTGCTGGACGAACAAAAATCTGAGAATGCCAGCATACACCAGACCACCCTTCCAATCACCCCAACCCAAGCCAGCGACGATCATTGGGAATATCATACCGAAGAACAGAACGACCTTTCCGTAGTTTCGGTGCTGCCAGACAACGACAGGGTCTTCGTTCAGGTCAGAGATCTCCGTTCTGCCTTTGTTCTTCGGGTTCTGATTCAAGACCATCCACATGAAGTGTGCATACCAAGCCCCCTTCATCACACTATATGGGTCCTTGGCTGTGTCGGTCCATCGGTGATGCGCTCTGTGCTTGCTGCTCCACCATCTGATCGATCCTTGCACGGCACCACCACCGGCACAAGCCAAGAATATTCTCAGAGGTAAGCTCCTGTTATTCCTGATAGTTAGCGAACACCCTGTCCCGAGAGGCCTCACGCGGGATCGAACAGCAAACTCACGCTTCGTATGATCGATGGGCCCACAGACGATGATAGCCCGCAGTGATGCCCAAGGCAGTCCAAAAGTAATATAGAACACACCAAGCGGCCGTGGCTGCATGTAATTTGGTATAGAACGCGGCCACACAGCCACCGAGGGGTACGATCAGGATGAGAGATGTGTTGACCCAATTGACATGTTGATGCCAGTTCCCGAGGGTGACAGGCTGCTCACTGATATGCAATTTCGGATCTTTTGCTTCAGTTTTGGCCATCGTGAGGATACGAGGAAGGAAAAACAAGGAAAATTGTTGGATATCAAAGTCGATCTAGGAAGTTGAGTTGAGGAAGACTCAGAAGTTGAGAAAGGGAAAAAAAGTAGACTGATGATGGGCCCATTCTCTCACTTAAAAGCACAATTACTTTGAACATCTTTTTTTACACAGCATGATTCATACATTGCCTGTTGTTTTACAATATTTTCCCAGCAAGAAAATGTTGAACCGTTGGGGGTCAGACAAACTACGGGAACCCTCCGATCTCCTAGGGCTCTATGGATCACCCCTACACCCATGTTGTTCTAGAATTTTCTTATTGTGCCACCTTTTTGTCTCGATCTGACAATCACAAGCAAATTAATTGAACCTACGAAAATATTGACCTCGGTGTACACTCTCACCTCAAAATGCTAGGGCTCAACATCCAGTAAACATCCAATTGTTCCAAACCTTGTGTTCTAAAGTTCAACAAATCCCGAGATCATCAATTAGAGTATATTCAGATGGCTAAGAATTAATGGTGGGTTGTACATACTCGTAGTTTGCGTTACCACCTACTATGTAGGCTATTGTGCCATCGCGTTAGATAGGCTATTGAAGGGTTTTGGCAGAGTGGGGGCTACTGCCGCATGGAAATGACATCACAGAATTCCGCATCTATGACTCTTTGTAAGGAAAACGTTGACTGCACAATTGAGCAGAACTCAGTTCAAGAAACCTCAGTTTCAGAAATAATAGTTTCATGGGCTCAGTGTCCTTCACGGCCACTTATTTCTTCCCCGGAAATTTTACATCCACATATTCCGGAAACCGAGAACCAGCGAGGTTAATTCTGCAACATACAAAATTACAGATTTGGGCTTGAGTCAGTCGAGAAGTCCTGTGGGTAGGCTTTGTGCTAGCAAATGACTCCTTACTTCGTCACACCGCGCAGGAAAAGTTGGGGCGAGACCAAACTTCCACGCATCTCATCGATGGGGCGGTTTCTTCGAGATAGCAGGCACCTGAGCTTGACCTCCCCTGACCGATATTGCATCGGTGGCTTGCACTACGTTCCTCGCATGGAGACTTCTGCTGGCATCATAAGCTCAACCACGAGGATGCCAAACTAGTATGCAACTGCGGATTGGACAAAATTCCAGTGCATCTTGCCCTCTGCCGGCTTGCGCAGAGGAGCTTCCGTCGGTGGCCAAGCAAACCACCGACGCCCCCCCTCGAGCAGGCTGGAGAGTATCCGCTATCTTCGCAGCTTGGGTTCTACGGAAATCAAAGAGCTACTGGAAACCACAGGCTTCTACGTCCAACACTGCATCAGATAAAGAATGATATTCCTCCTTTCCAAGAATTTCCTATCGTTATATTCGCTCTGGGAGCGCCGCACTCTTTTCTATTTTTTCTTTCTTTCTTTGTTCTTCAAAGCTCCTCGAGATGGCAGCAGATCGAGCTGTTTTGCATTGGATTTGCCACCGTTGTGGTCTGCACAATGACGAAAATACAATTCTCTACGGATCGATCGTTCGATGATGAAAAAGGGAAAGCCAGCAAACCCCCTATACTCGAATGATCGTGATATGTGGCAACATTTCTCGAGATCATGTTGTGTAGACGATCGGGTACAGGTGCATATCTCGATAAGGGGCTACGATAATGTTGTTCTGTCGAGGTAGGAGGAGCAATGACAGAAGAATGGCGCACACTGCATCGACGAGACCAAGAACTGGTCATTCCGAAACCCCCTTTATGACATGGGATATCCTGGAAATACCGAGCCGAGCCGGAAAGGGCCGACTGAAACCATACATACCAAGTGAACGCTCAACATGCAGGTCAACAGAGAACATGGAGAACTTGCATCCCGATGTAAAGTACTCCGTGTTGTGCGTGGCGATTTCAAATTTTGACCACAGAATGCCTTGGGTCATATCGCGAGTACGAGTTCAATGCAGAATACTCTACGCCTTACAAGCTGATCGTGACCATGCGTATCTTGGTCAGATTGGGCGAAATAGGTCTGCAGGTCGCCCCTGGCTTTATCAGCTGCGTGCTTTGGTCGCACAAGAATGATTCATGCATGCTATATGAACGCCCAGTCCTACGCGCAGTAACCGTCCTTCTTCCTTTCGAGTCATCATTGAGCCTTTTTTTTTCCAGCACAGAAATGTCCCGCTTCCGTGTGGTTGAACATATCATTCCCGCTCATAATGTGCTGTGATACCTGGACATCAACAAGACTTACGACTTGCAGTCAAGCAGTACATTCCATTTGACAATCCATCACCGCAAGAAGGAGATGTGACATTGATTGGGGCGCACGCGTGTGCATTTCCAAAGGTTGGTTACGTTTCCGACATTATAGAACAGAGCCCCAACTGACTTGAGGTTCAGGAACTTTACGAACCACTCTGGGATTATATCTATGACGGCATGCGTGGCCAAAACCGATAGATCCGATCGATCTGGATCGCGGATGTTGCCCAGCAGGGTCAGAGTGGTGTCTTGAATGAGTCCATCCTAGGCAATGACCGTAAGTCTGGAAGACAAACCAGAACTCCAGGTGAACTAAATAAATTCAGCCAGTCTTTACGACCACGGACGTGATCTGCTCTCTCTACTGAATTACTTCAAGATTCCGCAACCTTTAATTGGTGTCGGGCATAGCATGGGCGGAGTTCAGCTGTGAGTTTTGAGCCATTTCCATACACAAAATATCTCTTGACTCATAATGTCTAGCGCTCATCTCTCTTTGATGCACCCATCATTATTCACAGGGCTGATATTGATCGATCCCGTCATTCAACCGGATAATCCGAGCCATAGATATGCCCTGCCTTCGACATACAGGCGTGACATATGGCCCTCCCGCAAAGAAGCCGCCGAAAAATTTCGGTCAAGTCCTATGTATCGGTCGTGGCACCCACAGGTGCTAGAGAACTGGATCAAATTTGGACTCCGTGATGTTCCTACAAAACAATATCCCATTTCACAAGGTACAACTTCGATGGCGGTTACATTGACCACACCAAAAGCACAAGAGTTGTTCACCTACCTGCGGCCTTCATATATCGACAAGCGCTCTGGGGTCAGATGGGGAAATCCCAGAGATGAAATGTTCCCAGAAGATATTGATGATATCCCATTCTATCGCCCTGAGCCATCTCATATCTTTCGTCGAATACCCGAATTGAAGCCCATAGTTCTCTATATTTTCGGGGGAAACTCCGATATCTCTATTCCGGCAGCACGCAAAGAAAGAATGAGAGCCACTGGAACTGGGATAGGAGGCGGTGGGGGCGCTGCTTGTGGAAAGGTTCAAGAGGTCGTTCTTCCATGTGGTCACTTGGTCCCAATGGAACTTCCCCAGGAAAGTGCAAAAGCTTGCACTGCCTTCATCGATACAGCGTTATCTTATTGGACCTCGGAAATTGTCAGATTCCTGGAAGCTTGGGAAAGAATTCCGAATGATGAACTGATCAGGACTGATACGCAATGGGAAGATAATATTGGCCATTTACCAAAGCGACCCAAGCTCTGAATGAATCATGTTGTCTTCATCTATATTGTAGTAAAGGGAGATAGGAAATGTGAGAAATCGAAAAACACGTCATTGACAGTGTAGTCACCAAGCAATATTTCTCTATTCACCAAGCCATGCTTTCCTTTCCGCACCCAACGGCATTGGCATAATATCCCACCCAACCTTTACTCCCTCGACTGAAGCTGAGTGTCGTACGGCAGTCATGTCACCAAATCCGGTCTTCCTTGTCTCCAAGTATTCTTCCGGCACATCTTGAGTGGACGTGAAATCCTCTGTCTGGAAGCCGGTCTTGCCTTCAAATTGCCCCAAGGATCGAAGGTATTTCATAACCCCAGCGAGAGAAACGTCGACTTCCCAAGATCCACCTTCGGTTGCTTGTTTGTACAAGGCGGCCATAATTCCAGCGGCTAGGAAATAGCCACCCGCATGGTCAAGAGCTTGACATGGCGTCGGCCGCGATGCAGCGCCAGCACCGAAATGTTCCGCCTCCGAGACATTCATGCCAGAGCATGTTTGAACGATAGAATCGAATCCGCGCTTACCGCTCCATGGGCCACTCGGTCCGTATGCAGACATATTTGCACAGATGATTCCGCGACCCTGGAATCTTTTGGCAAGCTCTGCCGGGGAAAGACCTCGTGATGCCACACTCCCGGGTCTGAACCCTTGTACGAACACATGAGCTCCTTCGAGGAGGGAAAATATATCACGTTGGCCATCTTCTGATGATAGATCCACGTGAATCGAGCGTTTTCCACGACCAAAGTCTCGATCCATAGTCGGAAGATCAGGTAGATTGGGACTGGTCACCCAAAGAACGTCAGCGCCATGGGCTGCCAGCGTCTTACCGGAAAGCGGCGCAGCAATGACTCGAGAAAGCTCAAGAACACGAAGTCCACGAAGACACTTATCCGCATTGGCGAACTGCATCCCTTCCGGCAGCCCAGGCGGACCATCAGCCAATTTCCGTAGCAAGATTGGGAAATCAGAGATGGCTCGGGCCTGTGGAAGAACATCCCACTCTGAATATGTCCGCAAAGCAGATATCACCAGCTTAGAGTCAAAAGCTGCGGACTCGAGGTCGATGGCACGCCAGGCAGCCATTTTCGACGCGACTTCTTCTCGGTCTGCGTCATCTGAACATCCAAGTAGTGCTTTTGCGCCGTCACGGTGGTTAGGGAATGAATCATGAAGTCGCACATGGCCATCTGATGTTTTGTGAAGGCCTCCAATAGGACCCCAAGGGGAGGGTGCGGGTTTGCCGTCTAATATGTATAGTCGTTCCGACTTGAACTCGATTGCTGCATGTTGTAATGGCACTGTCACTGGTGGTACCGGGATGGAGTTTCTGTGGGCGTGAATCTGTGAGGCTAGAAGGGCTGATATTCCAATAGACGCTTGAGCTAGGTGGGCAATCTTAAATGAAGATGGAAGACCCAGGCCTTCGCCGGGAAGATGAAGTGCACTGAGAGCATCAGGCGGCAATCCAAGTCCTTCCCAGATATGAGCCACGCTGTCTTTGGCGGAGAATTCAGAGCGGTCTTGGAATGGAAGGGATGTTTTCTCATATCCGACCTTTGGCACTATAATTGTCAAGAGAGGCCCATGCTGCTGGGTCCCTAGGGTGTCTCGCTCCCCCACAGTACCTTGTTCCCAGGGACGTCGGATTGTGCATTTCCAGGCCAAGGCAGGCTCGAAAAACATGTTTGTGATTATATCTTCCGCCTTGAGATGATATAGTCGCATCATGCGATCGTTCGTGAGGACGTTCGCATTTTTTACTCGCAAGTAGGCCTCCTCACTATCAAACATGATGTCGAACGTCAACTCAAACGGTCCCGAGTTTTTTGATCGAATGATTTTTGCTATATCAAGCATCTTGCATTCCCCCTTTGGAACTGACTTCGCAGTCAGAGGCTCAAGGCCTTCCGATTCTAATTTTTGCATGTCCTGATCGGTCAGGATTGGTAGTGGTGTGTTGCGGCGAGGATTCTCAATCGTCTTCACCCCGACTGGAAAGAGGCTAGTCTCCTCTCCCTGGGCAAGATTTACCAGGTGGTATAGATTGAATCGAAACACGGGTCCTGCTGCAGTCTCGTGTGGTGAGAGCGGAGAAGCAAAGTTACCAGTCGTGGCAACCTGCCGTTTATACGGCATATGTAAGATCGATGCTCGCGCATTATTCGCAATGGTGTATGAAAGCTCCTGAGAAGGGGCTACGACTTCGCCCAGAATCCCGAGTTCATGACAGGGATCTGTTGCCGAATTCGGCTCTAGTGGCCCCATTGTTCCATTTCGTCCATAGAAATGGAAGATGAGTTGACATTGCGGAGATTGATCGAGCTGCGGAAACAAGTTTTGTGTGTAAGATCGCACCTCGGCCAGAAATTCGTCGATTTGACTGATCAGTATCGGATCTCTGATGCCTCCGATGAAGATAGTTCGATATCCGAGCTTTTCGACACCTTCAATCTTCACTTGATATGTCGGAGTTGGAACAAACTTTGCTCCTCGCACGCGCACGGTTTTTTCTGTGATTTGTTCATAGGACGCGTCGTCCAAAATCAGACAACCTCCCGGCCCTGGAAGACGATCTGGTCTCGTTTTCTCATAGAGTGTATGTGCTGCAACGGAGAGGGGGGTACATCTTTCCTTCGGTGCCAGTGGGGTGAGATCGAATGAATCCTCGCGAAGGGTCGCAATCATTGAGCGGCCTTTTGGCACAGCGCAGATGCCACCGCACTCCATGATTTTGCCCATATGCCACGCAACACCAGGCTGTACACCATGATACATCGAGAAAGCAGCGAATGGGGCAGGGTCATAAGACCTCCCACCGATGATAATATCCGGTTTCAGTTTCAAGGCTTCAGTAAAGCTGGTTTTGGTCAAAAAGGCTGCTGGGACAAGGAGTGCAATTTCAATGCAAACTCCGTCAAACTCTGAATGAAGACACTCACGGCTCTGATCCCATCTGGGCAACAATATCAATTGCACGCCCCGCGCTTTCCACAGTCAACTCTTCCACCGGGCCACAAGGAGAGACCTGATGGCCGGCAATGCGCTCATTCAACAGCTGTCGATCAAAACCCGCAGCGATTGTAGCAACCTTGAACGAGAGACCTTCCTTGCTAGCAATCTCTTCAATGATTTCCAGCATTTCTTGAACGTGCTTATCACTTCCATCCCCGCCAGCAGATCCAATGAGAACCTGGATCTTGCGGTGAAAGCAGGCCTGAAGGACAGGTGTGAGGTCTCTGATATATGACTCGCGCCCGCAGGTCATTTTGTTCAGCCCAAGCTTGTAGGGACCCCCATCTGTCGAGCCGCTGTCGACTATGATCGCCTTGGGTGCGAATTTCTCGATTCCATACCAAAAGTGCTCGGCGCGGTAGCCGTAGCCGAGCATGGCATTAGGCGTCAAGATATTGAACTCGATCATTATCGCGATTACTTCCAGTTCGGGAAGAATCACCACATTTGATGATTATATGCCCTGAAGTGAAGTGTGATGGAGGTTTTAAGGCATAAAAGGCATGGTTGGTCCCCGGTATCTTGCCGAGCCTACCCCACCGTGAGGGGAAATAGCTTCCCTTACTTCCACTCTCCGAGGCCATATATCCCCGGGGGAATACACAACCTCAGGTGCCAACTTTGGCAGATCTTTGATCTTTATTATTTCGGCGACATGACTAGTGTATTTCCTGAACGTTGGCTCTAGTGGACTGCTTCCTGTGGGCTGGTCTTGCCGCCAAGACCATGACTGGGAGGACAGGCAGCCCCATCTCAATGTTGGTCAAAATGCCAGATCCTGCCCACAATCTTGATTTGAAGGGCTAAGCATCGCATGAACACAGCTTATTGTCTCATTAAGTATATCCAAAAGGACAGCACGGATTGTGCGGACCGAAAGTATCGGCATCATGCCGTGTCGATCATTGTGGACCGTGCCAAACGATGCGACCCCAGCCTTAGATCGGCGGCCCCTAGTTTGGTCTGGACCCTGGGGAGATGGGGATGTTCCACTGGAACACGATCGCTCATTTTCGAGTCTTGTATGCCCGTTGAGCGAAAAGAAAAACCGACGTCTTTGCTTCATCCTCTCAGTTTGACACTCGGCTCCCACGATGGAAAGCGGGAAGAATTTGGAGTCGGCCATCTCCAGTGGCAACACGCAAAGCGAACATGCTTCCATTGACAATCAGCTATCGCAATATTCGGAAGCTCAGAAATCAAAGGCATTTCGGAAACTAGATTGGAATCTGATATTATTGTTTGTGTGCCTTCATGATTCTTTGCGACTATCAGGCTAATAGCGGCAGACTCGGTGTTCTGTATCTGCTGTCATATATTGACCGCGGCAACGTTGGCAATGCCTACACTGCGGGCATGGGAAAAGAATGGGGTATCACATCAAATCAATATTCTTGGGTTATCACCGCATACTACATCGCCTATATCGCGTTCCAATGGTTTATTTTGCTGTGGAAAGTGGTCTCGCTCCCCGTATGTCACCCCCGGCGTCGGTCCCGGTGATTGCATTCGCTAACTTCAACAGATCTGGGTGGCTTTCATGGCATTTGGCTGGGGTGCTACAAGTATCTTACAAGCTGCCACCAGCAATCTTGCTGGCTTGATCGTGCTCCGTTGTCTGATGGGAGCGTTCGAGGCCGGATTTGCCCCGGGCGTGGCCCTATATCTCTCCTTCTTTTATCGCCGGTCGGAGATGGGATTTAGATATGGTCTCTTCATCTCATTTTCGGCCATCGCTAATTGTTTCGCTTCTGCACTGGCATATGGTATCGTTCATGCAGATACATCTATCGCCAATTGGCAGTTATTGTTCATCATTGGTATGTGCTGATGTCATTTCCCTTTTCTGGGTTACTTTCTAATCTGATAACATCTAGAGGGCATACCTACAATTTTGGTAGCACCTCTCGCTTGGATGTACTTGCCTAAGGGCCCTGGAGAATGCCGTTTCCTCACGCCCGATGAGAACGAGATTATACGCCTTCGTGCGCTTTCAGGTCGCGGCTACGAAGAGAAGGGGAAACTCAACCTCAAGCAATCTTTTGCCGCGCTAACCGATTACAAGAACTATTTCCAGGCGGTCATGATCTTTTGTTTAAACGTATGTGTGGTCCCTTTGTTCGGTGAATATTCTCATACTAAACAGAAACACAGGCGGCTTTTGGTGCACTCCCTGCATTTCTGCCCACGATCATTGAGGAAATTGGCTACTCCTCGGTCCAGGCGCAAGGCCTTTCTGCGCCACCTTACCTGGTAGCGTACTGCATCTGCCTGCTAGCCTCTTTCCTCTCGGATCGATTCCAAAACCGCTCTTTCTTCCTTAGTGGATTGAGCATCATCGGAGCGGTAGGGTACCTCGTTCAATCGCTCGTCAAAACAGACGGTGTGCGTTACTTCGCGTGCTATCTCATCTGTGGTGGCGTTTTTCCTGCTGTGGCATTGACATTCACATGGGTCACCGACAACGGTGGCTCGGCATCAAAACGTGGTGCCGGGCTGGTAATCTTTGGCATGCTTGGCCAGACGGGCTCTATCGCTGGCTCACGATTCTTCCCCAAAGAGGAGGGTCCCTACTATGTGAAGGGCATGGGTATCAGTGCTGGCTTGTTGTTCTTCGCGGCACTCATTGCTCAAGTCTTGGGGCTTTTGCTGAGACGTGAAAATAAACGACGAGACGCGATCCACGGCTCTTCGAATTCCAACAAGGAGGATGCCGTGGTTGATTCTGGTGATGATCATCCCTCATTCCGATTCATTGTTTGAGTTGGAAATGAACATGAGGTAGGGCCTGAGAGCGTTTCACGGCTATTCCCTTTCACTTGGTCAAGTCCGTTGGCTGGAATAACATTCGATCACACTTTTGGTAAAACAGTCAAGGTCAACAACACTTTTTAAGAAAGCCACAATCAATAAGCTATTTGTCGAACCAGAGTTCCTCCGAACCAAGGATAAGAGCATGGAGGAGCAGAGATCCGTGGGTCGCCACTATACCGTCTCAATGCGTCATGGCAGAGCTTTGTAGGAACCCCATCTCAATTCATCTCAGTTCTCGCAAGGCTATGTCGCGAAGATCATGGCCCAATCTGACACCGACCTCGCAACCATCGAGCCGAAATGCCTCCAACTCTTCTCTACAGTCGAAGCCAAATTCCGAGCTTCTGGTCTCGACAACGACAAATGGTATTTGACGGTGCTGAGTGCAGTGACGACAACACCTGAATCCCAAATTTGCGGCCAGCTATACCTATATCTGATTAGCCAACATGCATATGCAACTCAGGACGCTCGGCAGAAGCTGATCCGGCGCATGCGCGAGGCACTATTCAAGGACATTGGCCTGATAGGGCTTCCACGGCCCACAGAATCTTTGATTGAGATCACAAAGGTTCTTTCCGAGGAAGATGCGGAATATAGCTATAGTCGCGACGGGTGGAACTGCGACCATTTGAATCATACCCGCGGGATGGAATGGCTGGAAAAGATCTATGCACACAATACCACGGCGCTATTTGAATTATTCAAGAAGCATCCGGACTTTGGCTTCTGGGTCTCAGATATCACGTACGGGCTCCTGTTGTCCGACCGGCAGGTCTTGGATGACGTGGATACGGAGCTGGTGGTGCTGCCGGCGGTGATGGGCCAAGACTTGCCGCGGATGACATATTGGCATATTCGAGGAACACGGCGCCTAGGAGTTTGCAAGCATGATTTGCAAATGGTCATGGATTGTGTGCATTTGGTGGTAGAATCCTGCGGTGGAACCTTGAAGCGAATACCTAGTGTGGATGATGTCGACAAAGACTTATGAGATTCGAAAATCACTCTACCCAGATAAAAGGAGCACGAAATAAAAAGAAAAGACCAAGTTATAACGAAAAAGAGGATATACCTTGTAGAGGCATTGAAGCCAAAGAATTCCCAAAATAGTTTCCCGTTGTTTGTTTTGAGAAGATTACCTAAGACCGTTTTACGAAGAGGTCTTTGCCCCGCGGACTCTGCTTTGTATTTACACATTTGAGGTTTTGATTCCCTGACTAATTCTTGCATTTCATCGCATTCCTCAGGGCCGTTTTACCCCTGTGGCGGCATGCGAGACTTCAAGTCATGTCGACCTCGTCGCGCAGCCTCAGCTCCTCCCCCGATGTCCTGGGTCCACCAGGCGACGCGCAGTATCTAATTTCCTCACCAATCAAGCCATTCGACGGGCGCCAAAGCTTCATGTCTCCGATGGTTGGAAGATCAGGCTCCAGGGCCCGAACCCCGGCCAAACGATCGCGATCGCGCGTCAGCCTGAGTCCCGCGAAGAGCGCGCATTCGATCCAATTCAACGATGTCATACTCCCCGGTTCGCCGACAATGAAATTCAATGGAGGTCGCCAGAGGTCTATCTCCCCGGAGAAGCTCCTGCAGGATGGAAATGTCAGCCCGTGGCGCATTCGCCTCACCCTCGAGGCGACGCAAGATGAAGACGAGAACCACGGTAGCCCGTCGCGCAAACGAATCAAGCCCTCAACCGTCACGACGATGATACCTTTGAAAGATGAGAGGAGCCCATTGAAGGAAAAGACACCCTTGCGGCGAAGAGGCCGCCCACGCAAGTCCGACTTGGCTGTTTCTCCTTTCCCCAACCTCAAACAAACACCACGCGCTGGGTATACCCCTGGACCTGGAGACACGCCTGGCCCGGGGCACACACCGGGTCCAGGACATACACCGGGTCCAGGGCATACACCGGGTCCAGGGCATACACCGGGTCCAGGGCATACACCAGCCCTGCGTGCCCAAGAATCCCAACCGCGAAAACGAGGCCGTCCAAGAAAGCAGGATTTCCAAATGGTCGAGGACCAACCAACTCCGACCGTGGAGCATACTGAGACTTTCAGTCCGATGGACATTGTTCCGAATAGTGATGTGGTTGTAGATGAACAGCTCAGCCCGATGGACACCAATGCCAGTGACACTGGTCTGGAGCAACGATTCAGTCCAATAAACGAGGACTCACATGAAACTCGTTTGGATCAACATCATCAGAGCCCCATGGATATTGCCAACAGTGACGCAATTCAGCGCGAATCTTTTAGTCCCACGGACTCGTTCGCTGGAAGTAATGCCCATGCTAGTCCAATCGACCTGGTTGGTGGTGGTGGTGCCGACTCTGACGACGATTCCTGGGGTAACTCCGAGCTGTCTATCGCAGACCTGCGTGACCCGACAGAGCACATCCCTGAAAACATCGAGCAAAATCGCCGTGAATACGGCCGAACAAGCCTGGAAACTCCTGTCATCGGAGCTACAGAACATCACTTCCTTGATGACGAAAACATTCACTCTACTCCATCCAAAATGCCTTCACCTACACGCGAAAGAGCAATTCAATCATCCAGATCTTCTCACAACACCAGCCCACAATCAGGCACATATCCCACCCCTACACCTACCTCCTCGCTAGCAGATGAAGAGAATGCAGCCCAACAACATGGCACTGATCAGCAATCGAGCACAGGTGCTCAACATGCTGAGCCGGAACCAATCGAGGATTCCAATGATGATCATGAAGAATACGAAGAATACGACACCATCATGGAAAGTGAGGGCTTCACTATGATCTCGCTTGATACACTTCCGTCAGCTAAGCAGCACGGCTTTGGCTCAAGCGCCCAGACCAATCACCCTACGCAGAAAGAAGTTGGAGATCGTTTGAAACGCAAGCTTCCTGGAACCATTGAAGACCTGCGAATCAATTCCCGTGCGCGAAAGTCCTCCAGTCCAGTCAAAACAAGCCTGGCTCCAGAGAGACACGCTGGAGTTAAAAGTAACCCCACTGGCTATGTTCCTGCTCATACAAATGGCGAATACGCTGCCAATTATGTCAAGGAAGTCACCTACCCTGACCTTTTTTCCTTATCATCCCCCGCAAAGCCAGCTCCCGTCCCAAAGAAGAGGACATTGACGAGTTTGGCCAAACTTGTTCGAGTTGCGCTTGCGCTGAAAGGCCCGTTCGGTCCCCAGGCGCACGAGTGGTCTGGCGGCCACAATGCTCTACACAAGCGACAACGTCTAGAAGGCATGTTCGGCACTTTCAGACCAGAAACGCAGCGAGAACTACGAATCGCAATGAGACTTGGACAAGAAATCGCCACACGTCGAATGTTAGCAGACGAAAAGGAGGCCATGGCGATAGCAGCAGAACGAGCAGCATCTCATGCCGAGGAGCAGCCCGTTTACGCCGATTTTTCGGACGTTTCAGAACAATTCGAGCAAGATCAATCACTGGAAGAGGAGTTTGAAGCGCAACCCTTTCAGAGCGCTGCAAAGAGTCAACAAAGTTTCTTACAGTCCCCGTATTTCAAGACGGGAGGCACTATGCAGCAGAGTCCGATGTCTCATCAAAAACGACAGCGGGAGACTGAGTGGCAACTCGAACGAGAGGCGGTCAGCCGCCAAGCTGAGATGCAGTCAAACTCGAAGTCTGTAGTCTACATCAACAGCGATGGCAGCGCGCCAGAAGAGGAATTTGATCATCCGGAAGCTGGACTTGCATATGAGGAACCTCTAGCTGGATCTGAGGAGCCCGAGGATCTCGAACCTGAGATTTTGTCTGAGTCGACACCTCATGTTGAAACGGCACCTGAAATCGAGCCAGAGGACGAAGACGATGATGGCTATGATGATATCTGGCAACTTGAAGCCAACGACCACAGCCATGTTCAGCACTCCGAGGATGAAGACATGCAAACTGGTCCTCCGGAACCCCCAACACCTCTGGGAAGCCTGAAACCTGTCCCTGCAGGCCGGGAACAGCTGAGTTCGTCCCCCAGTGTAGCGTCAGAACATGAGTACGTCGCACGTTATGGTCGATCCAAAGTGCGCGAGCTCCGCGAGCAGCAGGTTGACCTATCTGCCCTGCTGGCGGAGGAAGACACACCAAATCGCGCACGATACTATAACGGGACCAGTACCCCCCGAAGCGTGATAAGCCGTCAATTAGGACCACAGCCCTCCCCACTCAACAGCTCTGTGAAGCAACCGGTGTCGCGTACACCTGCACAGGTCAGGCTGCAACCTCTTTCCCAGTCCAGCCCTGAAGTTGGTAGTCCACAAATGTCCTTCCAAGAATGGGAAAATTCTCCAGGGGACATGCATCAGCATTCACCTGACGGACAGCCTGTGGATAACGGCCGTACTATGAGTCCTACTGTCGCTCACAATCAACCGGAACCTCCTCAACCGGACTCTTCATTCACTCCAGGACCCCGTCAGACCAAGGAAGACCCTCCTGGTTCTTCTTGGTACTCACGAATCACCAGTCTTACGCCACAATGGTTGAAAGCCCCCACTCGTGCTCGAAGCTCGAGTATCACAACCATCCCAGAAGAGCAATCTGACTCTGAGCACGAAGAGGAGTTGGCCAGCGTTGAATCTGCCAAGGAACTCGGTGGTCAACTCCGTGACGAGCCGCTCTCGCGGGAAGCGAGTCAGTCGCCCGCGAATCACTGGAAGCAAGTGTCTCAGTCTCCCCAGATGCCTCCATCTCCCGAAGCACGGCAGTATGTTCAGCCTACAACGGAAACCAAAGAAACGCCTGCATATGAGAGAGAGTTTTCTGAAGACAATATTGGCGAGCCTGAGGAACAGGTGTCTGAGAAACCGGTGTCTGAGCGGATTGCTTCGCTGGACGTCTATGAAGACGAGGCTAGAAATGCAGTTGCCCCTCAAGTCCAGGCGCCTTCCGGCCCACGACCACTTGCCACGTTTGGGTACTTCTCCGATGATCATTACATTGCTCTTCGTCGGGTTTACCGCGTCGCCAAGCAATACCCTGAGCAGTTCGAATACTACGATGCCCCAGGGCGGGCAGCCATCATCGGTGATTGGATATGGACTTCAGATGGTCATCACGGGGTACCCATCACTGAGATTCAATTTGCTATCATTGATCGCTTTGCCCAAGAGCTGTCCCGGGCTGACATCCAATATGGCGGCAGTGGACGGGTTGATTGGACCGAAGCGGATCTGCATCGTCGATTGATCAGTGTCATCATTGGCGAGCAGATCCGAGGGGAGCGAAAGGCCAAGGCTAACCGGGGAACTTCGGTGGATACATGGCGATGAGCGGCTATTTGATTTTCTTCTTTTTATTTGTTTATTATTGCACGAGGCTTGATATCCCCATCCCTGCGAGAAGGAACCTTGTTTTGCATCCGTCTGTTCTTGATTGAATTATGATATCCTCCCGGTTCTTGGGCAAATGATTTTTTTTTTATTGCGCTGGGCTATTCCGAGGCGTTGTTGAGCCTGTCTTTTCCTTTGGGCCTCTGGCCTCATCTTTTGGACATCCATGTACATCACGGCACTATACCATGCAATTTTTTCCCCCAGCATCAAAGCATCAAGTCCCGGAAGGGAATCCCTGGTATTTCCCTGCGAACACCCTGAACTGGTTGTATATTGCAGATCAAGCATAGTCTTTCGACCAACCACGGGGTCTTCCTGCGCCCAGAGTCTACATTTCCCCGAGTATCCGATGAGGTGGCGATGTATACATTGGTCTCAAGTCTGAACTCCCCCAATCTCTATCAAATGTGAAAATACTTAAATAAAACACACTATTGTAGGAAAGGGTCAGGAACAAATCCTTACCATAGCATACGCACTTTGTACGACTATCACCTCCCACAAGCACAAGTACAATTTACGTAGACATTGAAGTTCCGACCAAAACCTGCAGCTCGCCATCTAGACCAACCAGCGCTGCATGATGTCTTTTCGCGTGGCCAAGCAGAAGCCGGAGAGCCTCGCATCCCCCACTTCCGTGCGAGGTGCCCCTGCACGCGTTTTCGTTTGGGTGTCGGTCTAGCTGGGTCTCGAAGTACAACCTAAATGAGTCCGGGGTTTATATACCATGGCAAAGATGTTTTTTTTTGTTTACTCCAAGACATCAAACATCTTCTTCATCTTCATCTATCCTTTCCCCCCCTCCTGAAGTCCTTTCATTTCATCTACAGGGTTGATGTCACCAACCATGTCTGTCTTCACCATCGTCCATCGAGCCCTCCCACCCCTATCTCTCTGGAAGCGGCGTACAAGCCTCAAAGGCAAATCCCCTTGCACAGAGATCGAGATCAGCGAAAAGAACAACCTTCCAGAACCCAACGATAATGGCTTGATGCACCATGACGTCCACACAGTGCAGGTAGCGGTGAGGGGCAATGCAGACGAAAAAAAGACCCAGCCATCACCGGAAGATCTCCCCGAACCCGAGTGCCGTGCCTCATCCAGCGAAACACTTCCCACGCGGGCCCAACTCGCCCGTGCTGTCAGCTGGGCGAGTATTGTCCGCAGTCAGGATCGGTGGACTGCCGAACAAGAAAAAGAGCTTGTGCATGCCCAGAGACAATTGGAGAAATGTCAAAAGGCCTGGAGCTCTGAACAGGAAGTCTGGTTGGTTTATGTGTGTATAATCTTTTTTTTTTCTATTATTCTGGAAGAATCAATCGTTCAACGCGGTTATTCTTCTAAACTTGTGTGCTGTTGGCTCTCATAGTTCCCTGCTAATACATGTCTATCCAGGTCCAAGCCTTGAGCGAAGAAAAAGAAGCACATACAGGCTTCCTCTCAGCTCGCCACCGACAACAAGGCGACGAGCAACATCAGTTCCGCAAGGCCTGGAAACGACGACGATCATCAGGCGATGAAGAGGCACAGCAATCTGACACCGAGACCGCAAATCGACTAGGAAAATTGCGTCGCTTACAGCGCTATTCATATTCAGGGCAGCAGTTGGGCGCCGGGTCGACGGCGTTATCGGTTAAAGCATGATGTAGCTAAAAACTAATGTAGTATTTTAATTGATCTCAGATTCATGCAGCCCATATGCATATCTTGAATCAGTGTCATTTGGCTTCACTGCCAAGAATCATGCTAAGTATCGTCACTTCACTGCAATCCGATGTGGCCAATCAAGTTTCTACTTGGCTGTTCTTGGCTCGTATCGAGGAGAGACAGGTTCTATCGCTTCTATGAGAATGAGAAAGACACGATGTTACATGTTCCCAATTGTAAATTATAACCCCTCTTTTGTGACTCTTCATATCTTGCTTCATATCGTCATACTGCCTTCTACGGTTGGCGCCATGTATGTTATCCTTGCTCCAGCACAATTACCTGAAATCATGCGTATACTTGTGTCCCAAATGTAGTTTCAGTTGAAGGACAGCGTGTCAAATGGACACAAATCTCAAGCAACTTCCCCAAAACAGGTGTATAGACCTTGACCACCTGTAGACCCTAACCTTTCTTCCCATCAGGCCATTTTCGAAACAGATCCGCCACTGAATCAATCGGCGCCGTAATGAGCCCAGCAACACTCTCAAATGGCGGTTTCACAGGAGAATGCGGATGCGATCTAGACGGGACAAAAACCTTAGTCCTATCCAACGACTTGGTCATCTCCACACTCTCATCTTTAGAAAGCATGCTCTCAAGACGAGGCAGCTCCACATCTTCCTCATGTCTAGCATGGATGCCAAAATCGTCCATCAGTCCCCGGAGAGTTGGCACGAATCTTGGATCTGTAGATGCTAGATCCTGGAATATCTTCAGCTTCTCTTTGATTCCTTGGTGCTCCAGTCTATTTCTGTCGGCTGCTTCTTGACCGTCGGAGAGAGAGGCTATGATGGCTGGGTAGACGACTAATTCTTCGCCGATTAGGTGGCGGGCTAGTTCCCAGGTGAATTGGTTTTGATAGCGGGTTTGTTCGTCTGGGTTGGTGGAGGTGAAGATCTTTTGGCTGTGGTAGACGAGTTCCTGGTGGTCGTGTTTGATTGTTGGGAGGATACGAGTGTGGAAGCTTGGTGTTGAAGCTGTAGATTTGAAGGTTCGTTCCTGGGGCTCAATGTTTCCGCAGAATAAAGGTTGCTCTTTTTTCATGGCCATGAGGTGTGGTTTTGGGGTGATTTGAAGACGAATGGTCAGGATGCGGAGCATGCTTGTACTGCTGGGGTTTGTTGTAGAAACGTTATACCAAGGCGCATCTTGGTGAGAAGAGTACTCGGTGGTGATTTCCGCTGCCATCATGGTGATGGCATCGGCTTTGGCCCTAATTTGATGTCAAATGCACCGCGGACTCAGCAGAGTTTCTTGTGTTCAAGTATAAGATAAGCATCACAAACCACGATCTTTGCCCATTTGGATTGGCTTTGATTCGTTGTATACAAGGATCAAGGCACGTTGATAGATTTGCCCTCTGGCGGTGCAAAATGTGTAGATGTTGGATTTATGCAACGCGAGATGCGACAGATGGCAGCGTCCACGAAAGACCGTCTCACTTCAACATCCTGAAGCCTGCAGCGTTTTGGTCTAGCGTGAGACCCTTACTGATCAAAATTCACCCGGCAAAGTTGAATGAGTCCTACGAATTCCTCGGGCACTGAACGCTCCTGAGCACCTACAGAGTTGTACTACAAATCAGCCTAGGACACCCTCGACTCTACGCTTTCTCTACGCTAATAGACTGCGGAAAAAGTTGCCGAATCAATAAAAATAGATTATGCATGCCATGGGCTTGAGCACCATAGCTTAAGTACTATGTATTCCTGTATCAAGGGCCAGCATCAGTCCGGAGACAGCAGACAGACACCAAAACCGAACGCCTTCATCCATATAGCTAATATGATCACATGACAACTCCCCAATCCGTATCCTACGGTAACAACACCATCCTATTCCCGTCTTAACGTACATCCGAAAGCTTGCGCATCCGATTAATGGTTGCGGGTACGCTTGCGATTGCGATCCATGGCTGCAGGTGGAAACATCTCCAGGCCAGCGTTATGAGCCCCCGGTGTCCAGTCGATACCCATGGAAGGCGAGAAATCGGGATGCAGCTGGCTGTAGATGGCAGGGTCGGGCGGGTGGCCATCGATCGGCTCCGTTGAAGCGGGAAGAGGTGCTGCAACGAGCTCAACTAGTGATGAGTCGATCCAGGAATTTGGCTTGGCGGTGAGTCGACTGATGCGGGCGCAGTCGTCGTCGACTTCCTCGTTCATCAGTGCTGTCAAGGGGGGTGCGTTGCCGTTGGGTCGAGCGTGGTGATTGGAGAGGACGTGGTATGGGAGGTTCGGGCGGGTGGCGGGTTTATCAGCCAAATCAGCGAGGGCGCTGAGGGCACTGTGTGCGGCAGTGGTGCGCGTCGACCTGGTAGCGTGGAAGTTGTGGCTGGCAGTGCGCATCATATCGGCGGCGCTCGGGGTGCCATTGTCTTCATGTCCAGTACCTTCGGGGGTGTCCTCGGCATCGGTATTGTTACCATTGGTCACCGCACCAGATCCGTGATCTGGGCGCTTAGAGGTGGAGAAGAAGTGGACTGCCGCGACGTGTGCTTGGTTTGCGTGCGCACTGAGTTCCTTATCGGTAAAGAGCGAGTTGATGGAGTAAGTGGGTGCCATCTGCTCCTTTGCGACCTCAACCTTATGGCGCTTAGCGGGAGTGGCATCGCCCGCGTCCCGCGGGGGCGTGCCTGCTTCCTCCTCAGGGCCCTTGCGCTTGCGCTTGTTCAGCTCCGAGATCACACCATTGCCAAGTTCGTCCAGATCCACGCGGTGGCGAGTGTGTCGGGTCTTGCGATTGCTGTGGATGCCGCCGGGGCTTGCAGGGTTTGTGATGCTGAACTGGTTGGGGTGGTGAAGGAGGGCGTTGGTATCCGCGATATCAAGCTGCTCCTTTTCGCGCATGAGACGAGCGCGCTTGCCGGAGATGGTCTGCATCAATCGCTCGCGTAGAGTCGAGGAAAGCTGGTTGAATTCTTCCTTTGCGAAGTAAACACGGAAGTCGTGCTCCCGGCCTTGTCGTTCAAGGATGTCGTTGTATCCATTCTGCGAAGCACAAGGATATAGATCAGTGTCTGCTGTCGAGAAAGGGGAAAAAAAAAAAACTGAGTAGACTCACCATAGTTTGAACCAGCTCTGCATCCCTCTTCTCCTTGATTTCATTGATCTGCTGCACAAACCTAGAGTACCAGGTCCCAGCAAGGCCTGCCATCTCCTTGGCGAATTTGCTGCCACCACCCACAGTCTCCTCAATGAGCGAAGCAATGCTTTCTGCAGAGTCCGAAAGTGGCCCAGTAATATATGGGTCGGCATTATTAATAAGGGTCATATCACACTGGAGGGCATGCAGTTGCTGGCGGAACTGAATGTCGCGGTTATTGCTGAATTGCCCAGTGAGTTCCTGGAGTCTCTCCTGCAGCGCAGTGCGGCGCTTGTCACGCTTCGAGGGCGCCCCGCCAGCCCCGCCGCCAGGGCTGAGGGGGTGATTTGAGTAAGACATTGTGTGTGGTGCGAGTAGGATGTTGTAGATTCGGGATAGTTGATCGGAGGAAGATGAGAGGGGTGGGTCGTCGGCTGATTGTTTCTCCGTACCAAAGTACAGGTGACAAGATGCAGCGTCGATCTAACGCTTTTTTCCTGCAAATTCGTTGGGAAAGGGAAAGTGAAAGTACTGAAGTATGATGGGATCCAGATAAAAGTATGAGGTACGGAGTAGTGTGATTGAAACTTTAGAAATCTTTTGATTGTCCTAGGTGTAAGGCAATTGTCGCAATGTTTTAAATATGGAGACCACATGTGCACGAAAAAATATTTGGAAGTTTGCACGTACAGCTCTGGAACTCACATAGATCCCATTTTCTGTAGTAGATGATTCCAACAGCTTGAGTAAATAGATAGATGATAGCCTGAACCTGGACTTTTATGAAAACAAATACAAGATAGCTCAAGGTCCAAATCCAGATATCAAAAAATCAACTGCTCACCGCCAAAGACCAAAACGTCGATCTACACAGCAATCTCAGTAACTAGTGTAAAGCCACAAAATGGGTCGCAGGAACCTCAAATCCCGATGAGAGTAGTTGAGACCCCGAAGATATGCTCAAAGCATAAGCAGCAGAGAGGTAGAATGGCTGCATTGTAAATGTAAGGTGTATTAAACTTCCCAAGATAAAACAATGGAATTAGTTAGCGCAGAAGTTAGCGCAGCATCCTGACAAAATGGCAAAATGGCCAAATGACGAAATGACCAGGATTCCAGCAGACAATCAGGCAAAAATATCGGTGAAGCCTAACGTCAGCCTGGCCTTAAGAGGAACCCCCTATCTGACCCCCCTATCGTACTATTGATTTACATTCGAACGGAGTGGTTTATAGCAGATGTGTTCCCACTAAATTGTGTATATCTATATCTATCGTCAAGATAGAAGTTCATAACCCCCGCGCCAACAGCCAGGGTATTCATAGTTCATTCAAGATCCCGCGGGGGAACCCATCCCCCGGAACGAGTCATGCAAGGTACGCAGTTCGCACCAGAAGCCAAAAAAAAGAAATATCCAAAATCCCAAAATTCAAGATCCAAGATCCAACACCGGGGACGCCTCCATAGGGTCCCATATTTTGGGGGAAGGCCGTTTGTGTTTAAAAATATGCTAAGGGGGTAGAAAGGAGGGGAAGAAAAGAAGTGAGGTGTTGGGGATAAGATCACGGATGATCTAGTTGGATCGACGAATCACAAAAACACCAAGCTCGATGCCATCGCGAGGCTCATTGTCTTCGCCATATCGTCGTTTGCGGATACCATCGCAGATCTCGCTCAGAAGGCCAGATGATGTGACTTCTTTGCTGCCCATCATGCCGGAACCCATCGTCTTGTGGGGACGACGGCCATTCTGCCAGTATATGCTGAGGACTTCCTTCATGCGGGCCTTCTCTTGGTGAATAAACCATTCAGCCCACTGGTTGCGGTCGAGGTGGGTGCTTCCGCGACCGGCGTCTGCGACGTGGAATCTGGAGGAGGGAGAGCTGAGGGATTCACAAAGAGCCACGATGTTGGCTTTCATGGTGGCGAAGTCGTCCATTTGGGAGACCGAGGAGAGCTTGCCAAGGTAGCGGCCTACGTCGGCGGAGAGCTCGTTTACCACAACCAATTGACGGAGAAGGGGGTCAAGGATGGGTCCCAGGTATTGGGATTTGAAGGTGGAGGCACCCTTTTTGGTAGGGTACACGAAGAGAAGAGAGCCGCCGTTTGGCGACAGTTCGCTCATACGGTCGACGAGGAACGACGGGCGGGTGGGGCAGAACACATCACGGTATTCTTGCGCTGAGGGAGGAGGAAGGTAGCGCTCGAGGACGGAGATGTGGACGCTGTGAGGAGGCACGATGGGCATGGGGGCATGCGTCATTTGCCGTTGGAGGGGACCACGGTAATCGTGGTATGCACCAACGACTGCCGCACTGGAGAAAACGGTGGCATTGAAGTAATCCTCTGCGGCAGTCGGGGAGCGAGGAGTGCTGGGTGGAGAGTGGGGTAGGTTGGTGAGGCTGAAATGTTCCGGTACGGCGTGGGTGACGTTGATGTAGGGGGATTGGCCAGGTTGCAGGTGGTTGTGGACGGCCTGGACCATGGAGGAGAAGACGCTGTCGGTTTTTGGTAATGATACCGACTGGTCGGATGTTTGAGGGTATGGGAGTGTTTGGGAGACGATTTTGACGGCCTCACCGCGAGGGTTGGCGAGAGCGAGTGCTGAAGCTGGACACACACGGAAGTCAGCGGTTGATCGAGATTGACGAAAAAACACCATTCCAAACTTACCAGTCATATTGATGCCATGATCCAGCCATGACCCCATATCGTGCTGACAGTCCATTTCATCCTGAGGTCCTGGACTGCCGCCAGAGCTGGAGGATCTGTGAGATAGCCCATCTGACGGGCTGCTGAGAGTATCTGAAGCCCCGTTTGTCGAGGAGTTGTCCACGCTCGGTGTTTCATCCATCATGGACATTGAGCCCGGTCGATGTGTGTCGAAGAGCAGCATCTCGGACTTGGTGTCCCAGGCTACGGGGATGTCGTCCTCTGGCGGCGTGGGGGGTAATGTGGCGGGGTATTCACCCTGGTATGCGGGAGGTGAGTTCCACGAGGGGGAGGCAGTCAGAGGTCTCGGCCCGCGAGACACGGTGGTAGAGAGGCGCAGGCGAGAATCGGCCGATCTGGTGCGTGATTCAGACCGGGGCGACCCATGCGAGGAGCGATGTTCCCAGGACGGGAAGTTGACGTTCACGCTGCTCTTGGACAAGAAGCGTGACACAGGAGATGGTCGTGTCCGTAGAGAACCCTGTGAGGCTCGCCGGCGAAGCTTGGCGGGGTTGGAAGTCTCTTGTGTGTCGGTATAATGGGCGGCAATCTCGTTTTTCACTGGTGCATGCATGGTCCGATCGTCAACAGGAGAGATGGGCCAATTTCCATTGCGATCCATCCAAGAGTGTGGACGAAGAGTGATGGCACTCGGCATGGGAGAGTGACGTGGAAAAAGATGAGAAAAAGGGTTCGAAGGTAAGGACAGGAAGAAGAGTATTAAGGAAACGCAGAGAGGGAAATCGGGATGGGAGCTGGGAAGGTATCGGGTACATTGGATACTTATGGAGAGTCAGGCGACAGGACAAGTACTGGGTACAAAAGGGCTAGACTCGGGACGGTGGGCAACGGTCTAGACCTTCAAAGTCATGGAGTCATCGGGTTCCGCTGTGGAAGTAAGGGATGTCCTCGTTTTATCGTATATTAGGGCATGGTGTGTTATTATATTAAACATCTATCTTCTTTCTCTCTCTATTTTACTCTGTTATTCCCCGTAGAACTGGCAATTTCCTGACTGAACAGAGTGTTCTATTATGTCCGGTGCAGTCTAGAGCGACCGGTGGCTTGCCCTTGGCTCCACGGGGGGGCGATCATTCTCGGTTGGTGCATCGGGTTGATGAGTACATTGCCTGAACCAGACTCCAGCAGATTACCTGATGTACTTGTACTATTCCATACTAGACTTCAGGAGTGAAGAGTACGAGTACCAATTCACCCATCCAAAATAATCAGGTTATACTCCCTGATCCTGGGATATATCCCGTCTCAGTCCTACCTAAGGATTGCCAGATCCAGCCTGCTGCGGCCCGTTTCATGGAAAGAAAAAAAATGTCGCCTGTACCACACAATGCCGGTGGACCGTGGGCCTAGACGAAGTATTCAATACTTCGAAACCCTCTCTCTCACACTGCGCATAGTCCCGTTTCCGGTCTCGCCACTGAGGGGTTGGGCATCGGCAACTTCGTAATGTAAAATCTAATTTTCATGCCAGCGCATAGTACTCTCTGTAAGGCATGGCATATTTCAAAGTCTACTCCGTACTCCGACTAGTTATGCTGTGTGCGGTGACTTGTGCGGTTGACACTCCGAACAGTCCCGCCTGGACAGCTGTCCGGTCTAGCCCTAATAAGTGCTCAAGTGTGTGACTCTATCTCTAGTTCGCAGGAAGTTCGCATTCCGGAGACCCTGATTCCCCGATAAAGTGGCATCTGACAGGCCCCATACTCAGATCTAGCATCATCTGAGGCCGTTGGGACTTTAATTTCCACCCTACAACCCAGATCTGGTTCACTGCCCTGCTCCATCTCCGGATTGCTCCACCGTCTCACCTAGAGTGTCTTGCCACTCTCCGAGATCCTGTTCGGCCCTGCGACTGGATGGAAATCCATAAGCTTTGGAGATTATACAATCTCACCCTGGCACGGGATTTATTTGGGACAATGTACGTGGCGGGGTGCGTGGCTCCAGGGCTGATGAAGTCTGAGCACACGGATGTCACACGCGTTGACTTTGAATAGTTATATTGTGCTCAAGTGGACTCCATAATTTACTCCATATTGGACTTCGTATAGAGTACTCCATTCAATTTACTACTCGTACGTAAGAATGCACATTTACTGAAGTAGTGACATGTCTGGCAAAACTTTGGTAGTATTAAGATTAAGATTATATAGCCAAAACCAGATCATTCTCGACCCCGGGAACAAAGTCCGTGGTCTTCTCGAATCGAGGTGTGGAAGCTTTTTCCAACCCACGGCTCCTAAGCTCATTGCATCATGATTTGCTTCAGAGGCGTGGCGACCCTTGCATGTCGAGTTGGATCTCGGTCGCGTGCTTGGCCATGCTAGGCCATGCTAGGCCATGTGCCAATGGGTCGGGAGAAGGTTCCATGTTGTCCCTTGGCTCCATTTGGTCTAGAAGGAGTTTCTAGACATTTTCCAGGATGCTTGGAAGGGGGAGGGCCGTTCGATGTGAAGAACTGGCCCGGTCGGTGTCGATCACCGTGAGAATAAGAATCAGCACATGACGATCATGCCATGGCTTTGAAGAAATCGCCACTTCATGAAGTCAGCGACCGGCGCCGGGACTTGGGTGCAGTGGTACAGCCGGCCAGCGGCTGTCTCATTTCCGAGCAGGTCCACAGGGACGAGCGGTATCGTTGCTCTTCCCGAGTGAGGCGAACCTGCTTGCGAGCAAAGCTAGAAGGCTTCAGGGGAATAGTGCAGGTCGCAGAGCGGTTGGCGTAGACGGATCCGGATGTCTTGGCGAGGGGGACATGAGGACTCTCCCGGTTTGCGGTGAGCTCGTAGCACTGTCGAACGAGTTGGCGTACTCCATCGGTCAAACGCGAGGCGCGCTCCTCAATATCTGGCCAAAAGGCATCGCCCCAGAATGGATCTTCGCAGACGGCGGTCTCAAGCGCGGCCAACCAGCACTGGAACCCGGAACGGGCGCCCGCGAGCTGCGATGCGACCGTCACAAATCGGATGGTTGGCTCGGAGTGGAGGACGTGCTGGACGATGCATGCCGGGCAGCGGGCTGTGAGGTACCAGTCGTGTTCTTCGGTGAGGATGCAGTTGAGCCAGGCGAATGCTGAGCGGGCTTCTCCCCGGAACGCGCGCTCGGGTTCGGCGCCCTTTTGACTGGGGAGGGTTCGGGCTGCAGTGCGCTCGGCTTGGTGGTTGATCAGGAAGAGGGGGACGAGGAGGGTGTGGATAATGTCGCGGTGGAAGCGGTAGGTCTCTTGTTCGTCGGGTGTGCAGGAGAGTCGGTGGCCGGCGCAGAAGCTCGGTCGCTCCATACCGCATTCTTGGCGACGCAGTTGCTCCCGCATTGTGCTGAAGGCTTCATTGTGTTCCAACTCGACCTGGTCGTAGTGGGAGATGTGGAATGGTGAGCCCATGGTGTATGTCTTTCTCTTTCTCTCTCTCTCTTTTTTTTTGGTCTGGGAATTTGATGCGAATAATTATAAAATTATAGAAGCATGTCGGAAGTCAAGGAACCAAGGCCAAAAAGCATATATAGAATATAGAAGATAAAAAGGGTCCTGAAAATCGCCGGAAACAGGCATGTTATAGTCTCCCCTGGGAACGTCATGGGCCCAACAGTGAAAGGGCCTCTGCATCCCGTTTTGGGCCGTTCAAAAAGGGCACAGGAGATGATCCTAATGGTCGGATCCACTAGCTGACGAACACTCTGCGTACAGCGACGATCATTGGCGGATTCCTCGGAATGGAGTGGAGGGGTGGAGATTGGAACTGAAGTCTGGACTGTTGCACGCCTGTTACTCTACTCCAGACTGTGCCTACTCCGTATCATTAAGCATTTGCGTATGGCCTACGTAGTACTTAGCATTGGCACATTATACTACCTTCTCTCCCCACTTCTGGAAGTATACCAGAATGCTTCCCATCTACTTTGAGTATCTGATATCACCAACAGAATAAACCTCCTATCTCGCAGAGACCCCGTTCTAGCCCTCTCTGGCGAGCGCCGAAAACCGCCCAGTGGGGTAGCGTGGCTGTCTCGTGGCCCTTAAAAAAGAGTAGATCGCATGGCGTTATCCCTAACTACAATTATTGACCGGTTTAGGGGTCTTATAGTGCGCTATATCGCCTGATTGTAACCTTGATTATTTTTTTGTGCCCAACAAAGAAAATAGGAAATCTAGATCGCACACATCGTAGGGTAAATCACTCAAAATTTCATCGCCGATCGATGAGAGAGTACGAATCTGTAGAATATCTTTTCCACCTCCAGAGAAAGTGGGGATCAGGGGTCCCGTCTAAGTCAAGAAGAGCAGTGATTGACAGGGTTTGGGATGGGGTACTCCGGGCCATTTTGCCTGCACTATGAGTACAGAGTATCAGTAGAAATCCTATTAATATGCCCTCCCTACCCTGTACCATCGCAATGAATCGATGGATCGGATGAGTCTGCTATAATAATAGCATCGTGAGCCTCAGTGGCAACATAAACATGTCTCAAGCCTCATTTTATTTTTGATATTTTGATCTTATTTATAGTCGGTCTGTGGCGGATCTCGGTAGATTCCGGGAAAAGGGATACCCTCAGATGTCACTTGAGCAATATTGCAGCAACCTGTACTCCGCACATATGGAGTACAGATCGCTCAAGCTCAATATTGCATATCTTTGAATATGGTCTAGATGCACACACATAGGAAGATATCAGGTTTCAATGCCACATATGCGTGTGATATCTGCAACTTGCCAGACTGGGACTAGACTTGAGACTTAGGGCTGGGCCCCAACGGTAGCCAACGGTTAGCCGCGCTAACTACGGAGTACAGACTGGTACAGCCATCTGGAGTACAAAACACCAGATTACTCGGTCCTCCCGGTTCCTTTGTACAGGTACAAAGGGAGATAGAGTTAGGCATTTAGGCAGTAAACATTCAAATACAAACTTCTCGGAATGAAATGCAAACATTGAGCCTATCCCTGGCATGTTGCACACAACTGGGAAGAATGAAGCACGCTAGTTGGAAATAATAGTCCTGCAGGAAATTTGGTTGCTACAGTCGCAAATCAAGGAACGGTCTTTTTAGCTTCAAATTCTCTGTTCGGGATTCTGCGTTGTGTTTTTTTTTTTTCTCCCTTCCATTTGTGTCTTGCTGTACCTGCCTTCATTCTTTTGGGCAAGGACGACTTAGATCAGAGCTCTGTACTCTGTAGGGAATTGACTTCTCTCTCCTCTCTCTTTATCTCATCAATTTCCATATTGTATTCGATTACTTTACAGACTTAATCATGTTGTCCCTGACACTGGCAGTGCCATTTCTGCTCGCTGGCTTGCAGGCCACGACCGTGAGCGCCATCCCGAGTATCTCGGCTGTTGGGTCCAAGTTCTTCTACGAGAACGGCACGCAATTCTACATCAAGGGTATCTTCCCCTCCGATATGCCAAGTACTTGGCTGACCCCAGACAGGCATTGCTTATCAGCTTACCCCGAGTGACCCACTTGTTGACACGGCCCAATGTAAGCGGGATATCGCTCGCATGGCCGAACTGGGCACCAACGCTATCCGTGTGTACCATGTGGATCCCAGCGCGGATCACAAGGGCTGTATGACGGCTCTGGCAGATGCAGGTATGGTCGATCGTATTCGGATCTCGACCGGAAATACTGATCGCCTGACGTTGTAGGAATCCACCTGTTTGTTGATCTCGATACCTTCACCACTCAAATAGAACAGGTATGCGACCCAACTTGTCCGGCCTGATGGCTTGTGCTGACCCTCGCAGACCGACCCTCACTGGAACCAGACCCAGCTTGATCGCTTCACGGAAGTACTCGATGAGTTCCAGAAGTACAAGAACACGGCCGGTGTTTTTGTCGGAAACGAAGTCTTGACCAACGCTGATGGCTCTGCTGCTGCTCCTTACGTCCTGGCTGCTGCCCGCGATGTCAAGGCCTACCGTGACAAGAAGGGTTATCGCGAGATTCCCGTCGGTTACTCCGCAGCTGATATTGCTGACTTGAGACCCATGCTGCAGAACTACATGGCGTGTTCTTCCAATGCCTCCGAGCGCTTGGACTTCTACTCGTTGAACGCATACGAGTGGTGTGGATCCTCTAGCTATACGCAGTCCGGTTACAGCGAGCTGCAGAAGAACGCAACTGACTATCCCATTCCTATCTTTTTCTCCGAGACTGGCTGTATGACACCCAAGCCCCGTTTGTTCCAGGACCAATCTGCCATCTTCGGTGAGCACATGGTTGATACCTGGTCTGGATCCATGATTTACGAGTGGATCGAGGAGACCAATGACTACGGCTTGATCAGCTACGGAGCTTCCGTTGATCCTGCGACGGCTACTGGCACTCAGATTGAAGACGGTTTCACTCGCCAGGGTACCCCGACGCCTGTCTTGCCTGACTTCAACAACCTCAAGTCCCAATGGGCTACGCTGCACCCCACCGGTGTTGCTCTGTCCGCCTATAAGAAGAGCATGTCCAGTGCCTCGCTCAAGTGCCCCGCTTCGACCTCTGGCGGCTGGGCAGTTGACCCCAGCGCGCCACTTCCTACCCTTGGCCAAACTTACAAGAAGGGCGATTCTGGTTCCACCGCGACCACCAGCAACAGCGAGGCCACTTCCACCGGGTCTTCTGCTACTGCTTCTTCGACCAAGGGCGCAGCCAATGCAATCACCGCTAGCTCGCCCGTCACCGAGCGTCTGCTCGCTGGTTCCCTGGTGCTTTCCGGTCTGGTCGGAGTTGTTGCCTTGTGGCTGTAGAGCTTTGTCACTGTCATTCACCGGATTATAAAGGCGAAGAAGCCATTGTATTGATATGCATCAGGATTTGGGATAGATGGGCTTCATCACATTGCATCTGCTGGACCCGCGCATACAGGTTATGCTATCTTAGGTCTGTCTTTTCACGAAAAACGAAGTGTACACAAGAAATGAATTATTAGTGAACGATATGCGGTCTATAGACCTTCTCAACAAGTATACATCAGCGATTGAAATCATTAAACGTCAGCCCCTCAATGCCCGTGATATTCACATCCAACTCCGGCAAATAAATCTGAGGCGAATCCTGTTGGACCCGTATGTCGGGTTCGGATTCATACTCGGATTCATAGTGTTCATCCTCACTCTCCGTTTGTACCCCATCATCCTGAACCCCCATATCCACAACCACTTCCTCATCTTCCTCTTGAATATAATCATCCACGTTGGATTCCTCATCCATATGTTCATCATCCTCAACATGACTCTCACTCCCACTGGCATCCCCAAAACCAAAATCAAACTCCGAAGCCGACTCCGACGGAACAACAGACACACCAACATCACTATTTCCATTTCCACCACCTTCCACCCCATTCACCTTCTCACCACCCTTCTTCACACAATGAAGCCCCAAAACACCCTTCCCCCCACCCCTCTCAACAGCCGAAGCAAAACACCTCCTCACCCGTCTGGCAAGCGGCCTCTTCCCAGCCTCACCATCAAGCATAGCCCTAACCGCAATCAAAATCCTAGGCACAGCCCAAAACACCGCATCAGACCTCCTATCCCTCCGACACCTCTTCAACGCATCACCCTCCAGCAACGCAATCCAGCTCTGCACCTGCACCGCATTACGGGAGAGGTGGAAACTCGCATCTGCGATTCCACCGCCCCGGCCGGCGGATCTGTTGCGGGCGCTGCGGTGTGTCGCGAAGGATTGCAGGCTGCGTTTGTGGAGGGTTGTTAGGATGTCTAGCGTTATGGCTGCGAGGGAGAAGAGGTCTGCTGGGGATGTGGATGGGTGAGGTGTGGGGATTTGGTTTTCGGGGATGGGGCCTGGACTGGGGGTGGGTGTTGATTTGGATCGGAAGGATGAGAAGCTTGTGAGGGATTGGGCGGAGATGGAGTGTCGGAGGGGGATGGTGTTTGGGGAAAGGCTGTTGGTGTTGGTGTTTGTGGGACTGAGGGGGCTTTGTGGGTGGAGGGATGATGGAGATGGGATGGATGTTGATTTGGATGTGGATGTTGATGCTGATGTACAAGATGAGGATGAGTTGATTGATGGGGGTGCATTGCGACGTGACCAGAGAGATGAGATGCGGTGTTTCTTTGTGTCAGGGGTTGTGGGATTCCTGCAGCCAGACGAGGCTGTTGAGGCTGTCGATGATGAGGATGACGAGAAGGCTATGGAAAATCGCGATGGTGACCCTGGGAGACCTATGCGGATGACTGTGCCTTTTGAGGCGGCTGAGTCTGGTCGTGTATGGTCTGGAGATGAACGCGGGCTTTCACTCAACGGCGCCAGGGCCAGACGTGCTGGCTTCTGTCTGCGTTTTGTGCGGCCTCCGGATGCTTGTATTGTTTGCACTGGTTGGGGCTTTGGTGGTGCAATTGGTGCTGGGACGCGAGTCCATCGCTCTGGCGCTGAGTAGTTGTACGCCTCCAGGTCGTTGACATGAGGTGGTGCGAGGAGTGAGTCGAGGGCTTGGAACTGACCAAGACAGATGTGGAAGTCGGCATCGATGAAGATGTTGGAAGGCCTGATTGCGCCGTGGGAGTGACCCCGGGCATGGAGCCAGGATACAGCTGATGCCAGACAGTGTGGCCAGGTAATCAAGATCTGACGGCGTTGTTCTTTCAGCAGGCGCTTGAAGGGGAGCGGCTCATCCGTGAGGAAACTGTGAAGGCTTCGCTCCGCCGTTGCGCCGGTGAAGAGGATGCACACGTTATCCTCCTTGAGGTATGAACCATACACGGAGATGAGATGCTCATGGGACAACTTCCGCAGCTTGCGAATTTCAGCAAGAACCTCATCCGCCGAGAAGAAATGGGGCGCGCCGCCGACCTGGACCTGAGTCCGCATATAGACCCGGCAACGGGAGCCGGCGAGAACCACGCGGTCGACTGTATCATCTCGGCCGTGAACACCACTGCCAGTGTTGGTGCGTACTGCCTCAACCGGGACGCCCTCATTCTCGGTATAGACGATGTGCTCCCCCTCGGCAATTCCACGGACCAAATACCGCCATTGTGCATGGAAGAAACGGGTATCGAGCGCGAGATCCTCCCCGTACGGTGACAGATGCAATAGATCAATGCTATGCTCGGCGATAGGCAGATCGTCGTCGTCGCACGATTCGTTGACTAGCGCGAAGATGCGATCGGGGATGCCGATCGCATCGAGAATCAGGAAGACACGACCGGCTTTGAGCAGGATCCACTCCATGTATGTTTCACTGGTCAAGCCTTCTCCCCAGTCCGGGAGTTCGAAGAGCCGCGGGATATTCTCCGGCTGCAGGCGGCTGACGATATACTTGGCGTCGAGGGTGGCCTTGATTCGTTCTTCGGGCCACCATAGTGATGTCTGTTCCTGCAAATGAGCCATGGCGCTGACCATGACAAGGACAGCGAGAGAGGTCTAATATATGAGGTCAATGATTAACAAGATGGCTGTCAGCCCCCCTGGGTCCACTTAGGTTCGGAATAGCATAATATCCCACAACTGGCTTATCATAAAGCAAAGACATATCTGATGTATACCATGTGAAGTCGGGGGATTATCTGACCCGGGAATTGAAAGGGAAGTGATGAATCGTATTGTTCGTTGGCCAATCTAGGGCTGCGGGCTTATCTTTGCACAAGAAGATAAGCTTGTCATCACTGTGGTGTTTTCGAAAGAACAACTAGAGAACACTAGAGAATTTACTATTGATTATAAGATTTTGCAAGGAGATTTCAATTATTGCTTGCTGCACCTGACATCCCTTTGTCTCTTTCACAATTGGAATATATCATTCTTTCACCTGGGCACAACTAGGCCCGGAGTGCTCCGTGCTCCGTGCACTTAGTTCCCTGTGTGCACTAAACAATCTCATTGCAGCTGCGGGGATCCTAGCTCTTGGCCATATAAGGGGACATTCAAAAGATGATAGATTTCATGAGAGAGACATTGAAATGGTACTTGTGTACGTCACAGCTGCCGGTCTATCTCAGACCTTCATACTCTAACATATATTAGAGTGAGAAAAGTGCGACGGCAGTCTGACATAGCAGAGGTCGACAAGTGAATAACTGGAATTTGACAAGCATCTGAGCATATTCAGCGGGCTATACAGCTGGTCCTTTATCTGTAAACATGGCAGTTTTGTGAGGGAGAAGGTGGATGATACTCATTTCTCTGCAACTGTAGCTCCAATAAACTCACTACATGGCTAATTAACACTATATCAGATATCATCCATAGGTAGACTGTTCAAACAGTGAGGATACTTGAAGTGGAAGGAAGTCACGCAAAGGGGAAACTGCAACTGGTCCTTCCTATTTAGGAAAGCACCTGTTGTCATCGCCGCGGCGATCGCGCGTCAATTTCCATGTCAACAAACCCACCTTTGTCAACCACGACCACCAAAATGATCATCGTCACTGGGGGCGCCGGTCTCATCGGCTCGAATCTTATCAAGGAGTTGAACCGCCGCGGTTTGACCAATATCCTTGTGGTAGATGACATGGACGACGATACCAAATTCCGCAACCTCCTTGACTGCAAATTCGCTGACTTCATGGATTCCGCTCACTTCCGTGAGTTTATCAAGGGCAAGCTCACCTTCCACCCTCGTGTCCTTTTCCACTATGGTACCTTTCCTTCCGTCACGGCCACCGGTGAAAGGGACTTCCTCGATATCAATTTCACCTACCCAAAGGAACTCTTCAACTGGTGCAAGACGCAGCATATTCGATTCATCTACGCCTCCTCTGCAGCTGTATACGGCAACAGCTCATCCTTCTGCGAAGACGATGGCAAGGAGACACCTTTGAATACCGCGGCGTACTTCAAATTACTTTTTGATCAGTACGTTCGCCGCAGCATCGACTCTCGCTCCCCACAGGTGGCGGCTCTGCGCCTGTTTGACGTCTACGGGCCCAACGAAGGCCACAAGGGTGAGAAGGCTAGTGTGCCTTACCAATTCTACCAAACCCGCAAGGAGTTCAAAGTCATCCAGCTCTTCGGTGACCACGATGGATACAAAGGCGGACAGCAGCAGCGTGACTTCGTCCATGTCGAAGACGTCGCCCGTCTCAACTGCTGGTTCCTCGACCACCCAGAGATCAGCGGTATCTACAATGTTGGCACTGGAGTGGCTACGAGCTTCCACAAGCTCGCTACTCAGATCGTGTCTCACTTTGGTCAACCCGAGGCCTACCTGGGCACTGTCGACTTCCCAGTTCACCTGAAGGGCCACTACCAGAATCAGACCTGCGCTGATACCACCAAGCTGCGTCGTGCCGGCTCCACCCTCCGTTTCCGTGGCGTCGAGGAAGGTGTTAAGGAGTATATGGCATGGCTTGAGGACAAGGAAGTTATGATCAAGTCTTCCCCCATCTCTCACGCCAAGAAAAACTCGGCATGACTGGGAGCCTTTATGGGTGATTGCAAGCAAGGCCAAGTCTGGGTACAAGTCGCTCGCGAGTTGACAACTGCAATAATCAGACTCTGGAGATGAAGAGACCTTCTGTTGCGCAAATTTCTTGTTTATCCGCATGTTTAACACGTCACTGTGGCTCATTCCACATATGAAGATTGGGCGATTTTCCCAGGGAGCCGAAATTTAAAAGCCAAAAAAAAAGTTTACAATTCTGCAAAGGACATACCATGTTCTAGTAATATCATAAGTGCCCACCCCACTAGAGGATATCACTTTTCTTATGAACAAGCTTGTAATATCCACACTTGTCACGAGGAATGAGATTTATAACACCCATTTATCAGTAGACTTGAAGCTACTGGAGACTGCACTTATCTTTGAACCTCTATCATAGAGTGAATCCCTCACCATTTCTTCTCATCGTCATATCTGGTACACTGCAGGTCTTCTACTTTCATTCAGAGTCTTGCCGATGTATCTCCCAGAGCTTCCCCGTTTTCGAAACAGCGGCTACACCTTCGTCACGAATAATGTTGGGTCAGGCGTCTGCTATCTGGACACTCTAATCTCGCCACCTCTCACCAAGAGGCAAAAGAAGTTTCAGCGACAGATGATCTGAGTTAAAAGCACAAATCTCCCTGAGTGAATCACTGGATCGAATTAAGATGCTGACATGGTACTCCGTAACCAGGGAGCAAGATGAAACCGGTGCTTCTCAGAGTCATTCGAGCGAAAATAATCATCCAATTGAAGGATCACCCGAGAAATCCCAATGTACAACGTACACTTCCAAAATGATACGCGATCACGTGCCGAGTCTTGGCGATCGCGATCCACATACGCGACAAAACTTTGAAATTATCCGCTTGCACTGTCTCCAAAATATGTCAGAAGCATGCCATTCGCCTCCTGCAGCGCCTGCAGTGGAGCTCTCCAAAGCTGAGCGCTTCAAAGCCACTCACCTCGCTGCGCGCCATGGCAACTACCACCAATACTACACCAAATTCCGAGCGCCCACCGTTCCAGACGAGCGCCTTTCCATTCTCCCAGCAGATATCCTCCGCAACGCGCGAGTCATTGACCTAGGCTGCAATGCGGGCAAATTGACACACGAGGTGATGGCGCACTGCGGCGCAGCTGCCTCAGTTGGAGTCGACATCGACCCGTGGCTGGTCGAGCAGGCGAAGGCAGCGTACCCGGACGGGCCTTGCACATTCGAGCACTTTGACTTCGTGGATGCGTCCGCGTACACGGGTACTGCGTTGGGTAAGTTCGACGTTGTCCTACTACTCTCCGTGACCAAGTGGATTCACCTCAACAACGGGGATTCCGGGATCTTGAAACTATTTGCGCACATACAAAGCATCTTGAATGATGGGGGCTATCTTGTCATGGAGCCGCAGCCTATGAGCAATTATGCAAGAGCTTCCAAGAAGAATAAAGAATTGAGAGAGGCGTACAAGACAATTCAGATCAGGCCACCATTTGAGGATGAGCTGAAAGCGCAGGGATTCGAGAGATTACTAAAATTTGAGAGGGACGAGGAGGGATTTGCTCGGCCCGTACATGTTTGGAAAAAATTATCATGATACCAATGATTGCGCTCAATAAAATAATGCATGGAGCGAGCACCTATTTGGCTGAACGTACGCAGTATAGCCTAAGCTTATCCTCACTCAGTCTCAGCATGGGCCTCGATTTCCGGAAGATAGTTTGATTTCTCCTATCTTGCCGTATCCTACTTTACCTCCTTTGGCTCACAACATCCCCCATCAAAATTCCCATTGCCTGACCCTGCCATTTTGAGTACTGTAGGTGCTGGAAGCGGCAAGATTCCAACGTAGATAGACACGGGGCGACCAAGTCAACAATGCTCGGGGAGAGCGAGAGACTGGCTGCCAATTCTTCCAATCGACTATGTAGCTGAAGAAAGCATCTGTCAGCATGTTGAGGAAAATGTGACATTTCTTGAGTTACCATGTCTGCTGTTCACGGTTCCAAATGAGATTTCTGGCCCCTGGATCGTGGTGGAATACTCCACATGCAATGCAGTCGCTGGTAAAAGAATCTGGTAAGCAAGTTCTCCTAGAGAAACAGCGACATGTCACTTACTTCCAGGCCACTTTGAATGCAGCCCGAAGCTCGGTTCGCTCCTTGATCGACATCCGACACCGTCTATCATAGAAAGGGCAGGCTACCATGCCCGGTACACGCTCCATAAGAATGAGGTCCATATACCCACCAGGAACCCAATCTGACTTTCCCTGGACTTGATGTTTAGATGCGAGGAGTGTGGGCGTAGATGAACATTTTGCTTCAGTCAGCAGTCTGAGGCCTTCGATTTCCCTCTCTGCGAACTTGTTCATTCCCGGCGATGGCGATGCTTGCTCAGCTCGAACTGCCGGCGACTCAGTCCATGTGCTCCACCGAGGAATCCTGTATTTGCTCAGAAATCATTCAAAGAAAGCCATGGAAAGAGCCAACTTACTGCAACAGAACCTTCAGCACTGCTTCCTGAGTCGGGGTTTCTGGGTTGCAACACACGAACACAGCACATGCTTGGCTAAACGTATCATCGAGAGCATATGTCTCTTCCCAAAACTCCTCCTTCTCTGAAATCTTGCTCGTAATTTTCCAGCGGGTCACTTCGCAGTCCGAAAATTTAATCTCCGACCCAGGCGCTTTTCTCTAGCCAAGTAATGTATGACTCGTCCTGGCCCATCGGAAATAATTGAGAAAGATTCGGAAAGTTGAGACTTCAGGCGAAAGGGGATCCTAAGGAAGACAGACTGTGTGTCTTTGTTCCTTGGCAGGGTATCAAAGAATATCTGTGCCGCTGTTGCAGCAGTTTCAAATTTCTGATTGGATCACAATATCCAGGCTGCCAGAAGGTGTCTAGGTTGGTATAAGCCTTCATTCTTTCAACATTGGGAGAGCTAACTTCAGTCATAATTTGGTCACACTCTAGGCGCTCGCAAAACTTTAATCCGACATTTACTTAAGACAGACCTATATTGTCCAGGCTGCGACATTGGAGCCCATGTTCTAACCAACGGCGCTTTTCAATATAGTCAAGTCCCCAACCCTTGGAATTAATTGTGTCATTATTCCCGAAAACAACAGTCTATGGAGTTCGTGAAAGGTTCAAAATGACATGTTGGGCATGTCTAAATGCTGTTTTCCGCAAGTGCTCCGGTTTCCAATAACATTCACCCCCTTAAGTCTGACCAGCGGTAAGGCTCTTATTAAAACCCCAATATCGAATGATTCATATTGTACAACCATATCCTTAGGAGCCAGGACGCTAAATCGCACATGACTATACTCGACAACCACCAACTAGACAAGCTTGCAAACCAATCTTCTCATCACATCTATAGATACTATTGGAAACGATAATCTGTGAAATATGAAACTCATCAACAAGGGAGGAGTCTTGCCCTAAGAGAGCCACTCGAGGATTCAAAGAATTATTGCGGAGCGTAGCGAAGCCATTACTATTTCATAGTGGCCCCTGATCACGTGATCTTGTATGTATTGGGTCCCGACTCCCTATTTACAGAGAAAACAGCTTTTGAGATGTAGCTCTGTAACTATGTAGTGGCAGAATAATATTGTGGCCTCACTAGTTCTGATTAGGCCACATTCCACGTATCATATGCCCCAAAACACTTGAGTAAAGAAAAGGAAGGAACACTAAGCGCTGCGCTCACCTAGGGACCTGCTATCTGGGGACCACAGGTCCCCAAGATCCCTAGTAAATTAAACACAGAATCATGGCTTCTGAAATTGTAACTGGATCGAGCCTTTTGGAAGATCGCCTTCCAAATTTGAGATATGGAACCGACAAAACCCATGCACCCAGCTTGAAAGGGGAATATTGTCTACTTCCTCTGGCGGTATGGGACAAGTTTGAGTACCGGGTGCGAAAGCATTGTGACGGACTTCAAAAGATGGATGAAATGGTGAAATGCGGAGATGAGCATTCAGTGGTTGCAAGATTCGGCCAACATGTGGGTCAGGTTATGACAACAATCTTCCAACAAACCGAGTCTGCAAAGAATGTCTATTTTGGCGATTACAAAACCTATAACAACCCGACTGGCTCGGGAAAATGCCCGGACATTGCTGTTCTCGAACGTGATCAATTGCTTTTTGTCGGAGAAGCAAAGACCCCATGGGCGCATAAACCCGGAGATTTGGACACTGTGAACGACGTTGAATTCAGAAAATATCTTGGTACGTAGCATACAGGAAATGCCAATTTGGGTTGAAACTGATATATTGAAATCAAGGCCAGATATATCGATACATGCATCAGCACCAGTTGAAATATGGGTTTTTCACCACCTACGAGCAAACAATCTTCTTAAAGCAAGAACACCATCCTCGTGGGAAAAGGATGGTTCTGTGGTATTCTCCGATAATATCACACGAAACAAAATCGAGGAGCACACCCACAGAGCGGGAAAATTATCCTGAGTACAGGGGAACGGTCAGCGTGAGAGAGTGTTTCCTGTACTTCGTGTCTCTTGCCCGGAAGGAGACTCATGCAGTGAACCCAAAGAACGTCAGATTGTGTGTCAACAGGGCTGTGAAACCAGAGAAAGTAGAGGTCCTAGAGTTGGAAGACTCTTCTTCCGATGAATCAAGCTCTAGGGCAGGATTCGATGAAGACCAATGAGTCAAGGACAGTTGTTGTTGTTGTATTAAATTATTAATTAACGTCCTACGCGCTCCAGAAGAATTCGTCTTTTTTGGCCCCACATCGTGCTGCTTAAGGATTATTATATTAAATATTAATATCAATATATTATACTTGAGTATGTTATATGTTTGAGGGTGTACTTAAGTATAGGATGTGTGTGTATACTTAAGTATATATATAGTGTTGAATGTAGATATATCTAATAGTATCTATTGGGTGGGGCTAAAATTGGGCAGAGACGAATTCTTTTAGACTCTGATAGTACCCTTGAACAAAAGGTACCCAAAATCGCAGATGATTGTAAAGATGCGAGTCAAGGACGGAGAGCGTCCGCAGAGGAACCTAGATGCACAACAAAGAAAGAAGTGATTCGAATATGAGGCCTTGCCGGAGAACCTATAGGGACAATGGTGGGGGAGAATGTTGAGCTAGCGGGTCAAGGCCAATCAATTTGGATGTCAGCTTGCTTTCAACCTGGCGTGCGAGGCCTCATGGTTTGCGTATAGGTGGTTCTGGGGAAAGGGGAGCTTGCCGGAGGCTTGTAGCTCCCTGAGTCAATGGAATGACGATCAAGCCAAGTTGATTCCATTGACACAGGAATTTGAGCATCAATGCCAGGGTATTGGAGAGGACTGGTTTGAATGTTTTATTCTCTTTATCTGGGTCATAGGAAACGTGTGACTTGGCAATTTTTGGTATTTGTGATCGAACTGGCGGAGGGATCCTGTGCTCAACCACAGTGGCTTGTTGTCTACAATGTCAGGGTTACCTAGGTAGTGATTTTATATTTGCAATGAATGCATTCCGAGAAAAGCTGAATCATGTAGCTCAAGGCTCACATTGCTAAATTGTTTTCTTTCTCAAACTCTTTCAAAATTGATTTTTACGATCGCCGCTTGCTCGAAGCTTACACACTTCAGACAAGTCGCTAGGGTTTCTGGATGTATTCGCTGCAAAATTCAAGGATGGGTTGTATATATACGTCCCACCCCGGAATTTCGGGGCTCTAAATATTTGATTAGCACATGTATTCCATGGTCCCAACACCATGAGTTGCTCACAGTATACTTATGATCGAAGACATGATCTTCATGAGGCTCGTAGCTTTCGATGACTGGTACGTTAATTGCTTTGAGACGCTTAGCCATCGCTTGGCTTTGTGCCAATGGAGCAGCACTATCATCCATGCCATGCAAGAAAGCCGTGGGCGGATACGATGTCTTCGTCTCGAGAAGTGGAGAAGGTGACATGGATCGCAGGAACGCAGCAAGGCCTGCTTCATCCGCAAATCGTTCAGCATGTAGCGAGCCGAGGCGTACAGATCTGACAGTGGAGTTGATGCGCGCATTGATATCAGATCGCCATCGGTGAAGCTCGGCCTGAAGTCGGATCCGATGGGTGAAGCGAACATCGGTCCCCCAGCTTCTACTCAGCGCCTGCTCGGACGTAGTTATATTCTCATCATGCCAGAGCGCATCTTTCAACATGTTGGATTCATCTCGGTCCTTAAGAATATCCTCTAGCTCAGCATCAGAAAACTCGCCAACCCATGGCGGCGCATTTCCATCCTCGGGGATGGGCTTTAGGATTGGCCAGGCCGCCGCTGGATCAAGAATTCCATAAACTAGAATGACGGCTTTCGGTGGTGGTGAGAGGTGGTGTCCCATGAGGCCAGTGAGGAGCGCGCCGCCTGACTCACCGCAGAGGATCAGCTGGCTCACGTCCACCTTGTATGTGCCGAGTATGGACGGGAGATTTGCCCGGCACCAACTCACTGCATCCAACGAGTCCTGCAACTGCATTTCATAGTTCGCTTGCGGACCAAGTCGGTAGTTGTGTGATACTATGTGGTAGCCTCGCTGGCGAAAGCCTGGTTGCATCCATGGGAGCGGCGCGAAGTGGTTTCCTGCAAACCAGCCGCCGCCGTGGGTGTAAACCACAACTGGAGCTGGCTCATGAACTGATGAATCCGCGGGCCAGATTCGTACATCGAGTTCTACGCCACCGTTGCTCTTGAACGTGTGGTCGGAGAAGCCTGGAGGGCAGGTGCGAGGCCCATATTCCGTGGTGGTGTGGTCTACCGACATCTCACCCATTGCCGACACTTCCTTGTATCAAATCAATACTCTCGGTCGAGGGGTCAGCAAAGAGAAGAGAATCAGCGGTATTTGTGAAAAGATGGTTCACTGCCCACCAGGGGGAAAGGAGAGGGGAGAGTCGGACTTCAAGAGAAAGGGAGGGAAGAAGATGACAGCTACAGGGTGCGGCATGGCTCTAGTAGTCCTGAACAAACGGGTCACTTGATTCATAATCACAATACTCTTTGATGCATCAGCAGCACTCGCGGGGGAAGACTTCAGGTGCAGTCAATTTTGCCGGCCGGCTAATATGGTTCTCGGCATCCTCCGATAATCCAAAACCAATCTTGGTGGATTGTATATTTGTGCGCAGCATATTCCAATGTTTTCCAAAATGAACGTCAGAGTTTCCCCCAAGAGATGAAAAGAAGATTTTTAAAAGCAACGAAGTCGTCGCGCCAAGGCAAATTCGCCAGGCAACAAGCGGGTGCCTGCTGTGTTGCCTGAACTAATCGGACTAATCCCCTTTAGGCAAGGAAAAAGCGGCTTAAAAAGACCTCGAATACCCTCTAGAACAACCACACCATGTCTTTTATAACTTTACCTCTCGAGATTCACTGCCAAATTATCTCTTATCTGCTTTCCAACAGCGATGTGGCTGCTTTGTCAATTCAATGTCGCACCCTTCACTCCATATGTGATATGGCATCACGCAAAAGATATCACCAGATCGACATCTCGGAAGCCGAGCTCAGTGTGGATGATTCGTTCAATTTTCTGATGGATATTCTGAAGCAGCCTCATTTGGCTCTTTATGTGCGCCATCTTAAGTATCGCGTACCCATGTCCCGGCATTCGGATTACAAAGAAGCAGAACCCATGCGAGAGCTAAGCAGTGAAGATATGAGCCTGATCCGGAACGCAGTCAAAATGGGTGGCTTCACAGGCCCCAAACAGGATCGAGTAGTCAATATGCTTATGCAAAGAGTGGACTACACACTTAACCAGTTTGGTTGCTACAGGTGAGCCCGTCGAATACCAACACCAGAGGTCTTCTTCTAATTCGAAAAACAGAAAACGGGAGAGCTTTCAAACATTTATCACGCAAGCCCTGGCTGCTATTATTCTTGCGGTATCCCCAAATATCGTATCTATTACTACGACAAATCCTCACCCCAGATACTCCGCTTTTGAGTTTCCGCTTTATCAATTTCTTCGTCTGGAAAATGAAAGCTCTGGGAGTAAACGTCATCTCTGCAATCTTCGCAGTGTTTACATGATCAGCAAGACCGACAGCACATGGGAGGATGGGCGTTTTTACATCCCCATGAAGCTTAATACCTTCATCAAATTATTCGACAAACTGCCATCCATTGAGTCAATCAGCACCGATGTGATGGAAGAGGATGAAAACGAGGATCCCGGTTTCAAAAAAGGATCTTCCAACGTCAATATGATCTCTGTCTGTCATTCCTCGGTCTCATCTACCTACCTGGCGGGCTTGATGTGGTCGTGCAAGGCTCTCAAAGAATTCCGCTATTCCATCGGAGGGAGATCGACTAATGATGGTGGACATCCCATCTTCAATGCCAAGGCACTGATCAAAGCCATGTGTGGCCACAAAGAAACCATCGAGATTATTGATATCGATGCCGAAAACGACATCTACGTGTTGGAAAGGAACGACGCCGAGGAGATCGAGCGTTCATTCAACAATACCGGGAGCCCGTACGAAGGCGGCCTTGATGACGATGAATGTAAAATGCTCAGATCAATTTGGAAAAACAGCGGATCTATGAGTGATTTCAAGTCCTTGAAAAGCTTGAGCCTGGGAGTGAAACTTCTCTCATATTTTGCTAAAGATGTGAGCTGGTCTTCTGGTAAGATGACGGAAAGGGTCATCGTGGCAAACTGTTTGCCAGATACCTTGGAGTATTTGTGTGTTCGAGGGTATGAGAAAGGCAAAGACGCGGAGGATGACGAGCAAATGAATGCGTTAATGGCTTTTTATAAGTCAGGCCAGTCTCATTTGAAAGAGCTTTGGGGAATCGAAGAGCTCATCCCTCACGCCAGCTATGTCGATAACCCAGACGAAGACGGACATCTTCTATGGCCATTTGAGCAAGAATCTGATATCGAAGATGAATCAGACAGCGAAGAAGAAGAGGGAGAAGAAGAACAGTAAGCGAATGAAGGGCGGATTACAAACATTAGCGTTGAGAATTAATGGAATGTTGGGATGACGGAGACGGAGTGCGTATAGACCTCTTAATATCCCTATACAGTTGTTTACCTAAGAAAATTTCCAAATTACAGATTCATCACTGCGGTAACACGGAGCACATCCAGGAACCTCCACGACTCAAAGCACAAATTCGACCGGGGCCACTTCGCCAGAGTCCAAGGCCCAGGAAAGCGCCATGCGCGACATGGAATGTCCCAACGAGAGGAAAGCACCCAGCGGCAGAGTTTTCCTCCAGCAGAACATCGTATCTCTTTTGTTGGATCTTTTTTTGGACAACATGTGTTGTCTTTCCGCGTCTAAGATGGGGATCTCGCATGGCACGGAGAAGTGAAAGCCATTTCTTCTGTGACACCTGATCTCCGAACAGAATTCCGCTCCCTTTACCGCCGCGAACAGGTTTGAGTAGGTAATTGCTCCTTGTGGCAGCCTTCACATTGCAATTCAACATCAACTGATGCAAGCTATCGGATCCGGGAATAATTGTGTGAGCAAGTCCTCGACCAAGCAAGTCGGATTGTTGCACCGAGAGGACCTTTCGCGCAACCAAAGAGTCGAGCTCCTCTCTGACCAACCCTAGCATGCGCTTGTCGTGAACAAGGAAAATAGTGCGCAGGTCATTGAAGCACCTCAGACTGATTTGCTGAAGCATCTCGAAGCTCATAGTAAGCAACTCTCGCTGATGGAGCTCCAGTCCGATCTGATGCACTTCCTCCAGGAACTCGCTGGCCGCACTCGATATTTTTGTCTGTTGAGATTGGGGTTCTGACAGACAAAATAGCTTGTATCCTCCTGGGGAAGCCGCAGGAATCAATCTCAGATTCCCAGGGGAAATGACCTTGACATCCATTCCCAAGTAGCGTCGTAAACGCGGAACGAGCATGTGAATATCGAATCCATGTTCATCTCCCTTGACAATATGTAAAGGAAGTGCAGGATCAAAAAGACTGTTTATTCCAGTAATGATCTGTTTTCGATCAGACTTGCTCTCTCGAATCAAAAGTACTTAAGTATGCCTGCAGGCGTCACTCACCCTATGCGGATCTGTGGCTCCTTTAAGGCCACATTTCTCGAGACCCATGTTCAGCAAGGCCTGCTGACCAAAAGCAGTGAAGAAAAACCCATTTGAGAAGAACCGAGCGTTGATCTCACAAATTCTAAAGTTCTCAATTCCCTCGGGGTCATCAGAGGATTCGAGCAGGAAGTCTGGCCTCCAAGAACCTTGGCAGGACTTGTATGGACGAATGATATGCGGTTCCAATTGATCCATCCACTAAAGGCTTGTCAGAAGTAGTTCTGATTATTTCCAAATTTGAATGTCGAGTTCACCTGCAAAAGTCGTTCCTCCATTGGTTCGATCGGCATGCGCTCCGGAAAACGAGCGCTAGTGTCCACCCACCATCGTTCCACGATATCAGTGATTGCTATCACTAGAGCCTCACTGAGGTCTTGCAGTTGGATTTGGTGCACTTCACTGCCAAGTATCGGATAGGGTGTCGATTTCTGGTGGGCGTCGCCAACCCATGTTTCTCGAGGACTACACTGCTCGAGTTCGTGATGATACTTCTCAAGTAGGGCAGATCGAATCTGGGGGTCAATTTCTGCTGGGTGAAAGAAATTCTCTGTACTTTGAGGAAAGCATATGCTCTTGAAATGGTTCACTTCTATCCTCATTTTTGAAACTGTGGTGTTTTCACGGAGAATTCTAAAGCTGAAGGAAAACCCAAGACGCTCGGAGACTGTACGAGTACTTCTTGTGAAAAGGCCCAAATGCCACTTGGGTACCCTTGTTGTATATAAATCAACGCTTCATTGACTCAGCTGCGGCTGGAAAAATTCCAACTTTAGAAGGCTACCTGTGATATTGAATTATGCCCAAGTGAGCACTGACAATTGATCAGCGTTCTATCTGCCTACCAAACCAGGGGGGTTCGTGGTCCCAATCCATAGATGTACGCCCGCAAATCTATGACTTATTGAGTAGGCACCTGGGCATCTGCAACACTAGTCATGAATAGTGCGCCACTTTTGCTTTCATCACACTTGCTTCCCGAGGCGTTCCGAGATACCACTTGGGCAGTCTCCGCATATCACGGTTCAAACTGTGGGAATTTGACCTCGGAGCCTGTAGACAGGGCAAAACGAGCATGTATTACATCATCTTTTAAGTATGAGTATTGAATAGGAAATGAAATTCGCCAAGCTGAATGTTAGATGATCCTCTTCTTTACATAAGTCCGTGCAGGGATTAAGCCTTGGTTTATATGCTTCGTCTATACTTAAGTACGTAAGTAGTACACTCCCAAAATTTCCCCTTTCGACAGGGGTTAAATCTCTCAATTGTCTTGTCTTCAAGATCTTTCAGGCGTTAAGTTATGAATCGGCCTGCTTTCGGTTTTTATAAACAAATCCTTCAATTGGGAATGGTGGGTGCATATTCATGCAGTAGATGCATAGTACATAGGCGCTTGTGGAGAACAAACACTTGGCGTCTCCGGGGGTGAGAGATGCGCATACTCCAGATTTCCGAGCATTGACCATGCTTAGGAAGCATAAAATAAAAAGTTCCACCAGAGCCCATCGAGAACTATTTAATTTAATTGGTTTTCCAGATTATTGAATTGACGTGGTCATTTGATTTGAGCTGTTCACGACGAAACCCATTTTCAGTCCAAAGACATGGCAAAGGGGTTTGACTTGAGAGATATTCTGACTATCGCCAGCATCCATCCCTTTTACTCTGATGTGGTGTATCCACCGATGAGTGGAGATATGCCTGGCCTGTTGGTAAAGGACCAAGAGTCAGCAAAGGAGCTCGAGCTGTCATCGTTCTCATTAACCTGGAAAGATTCGCTGTAAGAACTAGCTCGCCTTATTTCACTCGTCTGTATCACTGAAGACCATAGATACAAGGAGATTGCAAGGTTGACAGTCGATCAAGATCCTCAGAATGGATTTCGACATGAAACATATATCAGTACCACCGGTGGGGGATCGGGTAAAGGTCCCCCAATGGTCTTTGCAACAGATTCGCAGGAAACACGTCAACAGCGGGCTGCCATTGGCTCTCTCTTGCGATCTTGTGGCATTACAGGACCGGGGGACTGGGTCATGACAATGCATGTTTCAGGACATCTTTACAGGTAAAGATCATTTGAATTTGCAGGAATCTGGAGAACCATTTAATGACTTGATCAGGGCATTGGACCTCATGTCTGAGGTGTTCGAGGGGTCTGGCGCTACAGTCCTTTGTGCTGGTAGTCAGATGGAGCAGGATCAGATGATAGAAGTGCTCATTGGATATCAAGTGAATGTCATTTCCGGTGACACAGGTCAAATTATGCAGCTGTCGCGCTACATTTCCACTCTCCCAGAGGAAAAACGCAGGCAGCTGGTGATCAAAAGAGTGGTATACACCTCCGAGCCAATGACTCCGGCCCAGCACAGCTTTCTGAGCGCTGTTTTTCCTGGTATATGTGTCTCTTCGGTCATCGGCAGTGCGGAGGCTGGGCCTTGGGCCGTGTCGCCAGCCGAACTGACAGAAGTCACAAATGATCAGCACTACGCCGACTTTGTGTATGATCAGCGGTTAATGCATCTCGAAGTATTCCCTTTTGCCATCGAGGATCCTCAAAATCCACGCATTGTCGACGCGAAACCTCTTCCGGATGGTGAAAAGGGGCTCCTGGTGCAAACTTCGCTGCAGAGAATGCGTCATCCTCTTGTTCGCTATGTGTGCGGAGATGTATGTTCACTCCATCCATTGCCAGAACTAGTCAAAGCGAAAATTTCAGCGGAGGATGTGTCTTATTACAGAATCGCACGAATATATGGACGCGATCGAAGAATCAGCTTCGATTGGTACGGAGAATACTTCGAGTTTCCGGCCATTCAAGAGGCAATGCGAACCGAGTCCTGGGGCATCTTGCAGTATCAGATCATCCGAAGGTCTGGCCAAGGAGACCTGACCAATATTGACGTTGTTCTCGAGATCCGTGTCCTTCGGCACAGCGAGCCGGGCACCATCAGCCAGGAACAACTGACGGGGGAGTTACGAAAACTGTTCTGGGTCTTTGAAAACAACGAAGCTCTTTTCGATCTGAAATTTTTGTCAGGTTATGCCGGATTTTCCAGAAGTAGTACAGGGCAGAAGGTGATCAATTTCATTGACCAAACACAGGGTTAGATCAGCTAGCCGAGGCCAGACAATGTCATCAATTTGCTTTTTTTGCAAGGGCTTCTGTCATATTTTATTCTGGCTCTCAGCTACACTCCATACTTCAACAAAGTACTCCGTACATCACCACACAACACACAGAGAAGAAACATTTGAAAAAGTAAACAAACGGTGTTCTCCCAATGGATAGAAACAGGACTTACACCGCCCGTTTGGCAGGTTTGTATTTGTGCCTGATATTTCAGGCCGGTAAAAAGGAGCTACCTCCCACATTTGAGTTTCGCGTTAGTCCCTTTTGAAACTTGGCTTTCAATGAATATCATCACCAATTTTCTAACTTGATTTTGGAGCGAATCAGCCATTACTATCAGGGCTCCATGAAGCTCTCGCAGACCCCCCACCGGCCGACCCTAGCAAAAGTCCAACAGAGGCTGCAGAGTGCTCAGCCCATCACACTTGGCTTGACTAGTTCATGCACGGAGTACCAAAGACTGATCCTTGTCTTTGGTTTTCATGGCTGCACAGAGCTGAAGACCATCATCATGAACACGGGGGATCCATGATCCACACGAAATGAGTCTTCCATTCGATGTTCAATGTGCTGACCAGTGTGATGGCCCTTTTTAGGGCAGATCTCCACTGAGTCGGATCTTCCTGCTCACCTATTACCTTCATTCAATATGAGTAATATGTTTTCCAATGATGGGGCAGTGATATTCAGCTGGCGGTCCTCGAAATGGTTTGTCCTATCGACGATTGCAATCGCCTTGTTTGCAGGTTCGTGTACTCTGTGTTCCAACGAAATTCAGTCTTGAGAATGGCTCACAGTGTAAAGAAACCTTCCTTTATGGATTTCTTGTGCCCATACTACCGTACATGCTTCGAGTTCGATTGCATGCCAATCAAGCCGAACTCCAAGAATTAACATCACTCGTTCTCGCCATCCACGGAATTGTCTCGGTCTTCTCGGGTCCCATTATTGGGCACTTCGCCGATAAAACCTCCAGTCGCAGACTTCCTCTCCTCCTATCGCTTGGCGCGTGTATAGTGGGTACCGGAATGGTGGCCTGCTCAACTTCACTTGCGGTGCTCTTTGCGGGTCGTGTAATGCAGGGCATTGCTGGATCTTCTGTGTGGATCGTTGGGCTCGCCACCGTGGCTGATACAGTGGGTAGGAATGATATGGGCAAAGTCGAGGGGATAATGATGTCTTTCCTCTACACTGGAATGATAGGCGGGCCATTCATCTCTGGCCTGCTCTTGGAGTATGCAGGCTATTGGCTAACCTGGTCTTTGCCGCTTTTCCTCTTGGGCTTAGACTTTATTGCACGTCTTCTTATGATCGAGACCCGAGTGGTGGAGACCTTTGTGCGCGGCCAGGAAACGACATCAAAGACTGCACAGGATTCTCGCCCCTTACTCGCATCATCTACAACCTCCCAAGCTTGCACCGCTGAAGGAAACTTCTGGCTTATCGTCCTATGTGATGCTCGAGTTCTGACAGCGTTATTTGTTTCTGTCTCAACAACAACAATTGGCACCAGTTTCCATGCCACTCTTCCCATATATGTACAAGAAGCTTTTGGCTGGGGTTCCGGAAAATGTGGTTCATTGTTTGCTTGTCTGATCATGCCAACTCTCGTCTTTAGTCCCTTGGCTGGATGGTTGCGCGATCGTTTTGGAGTCTTATACCCTGCCATGGGATCTGCGGTTTTTCAGGCGGCGATGCTGGGGCTGTTGGGCCTTGCTGGTACTGATTTTCTTCCTTGGACTACCCCTGAGGCATCGGGCGGAGTACTGATGACGGTCTGCATCCTTGCCATCGGTGCAGCGCGGCCCTTTACAATGAATGTAGGGCCTGTTGAGCTTTCCAGTGAGTTTGGTCTTATCCTCGGACTTGCTTTTGCCACTGACTCTGGTTAAAGCCATAGTCAAAGCATATCAAGAGAGGTTTCCGGGCATATTTGGCCCTGAGGGGGGCATGTCCCGCGTTTTCTCCCTGGATGATGTTGCGGCCTCGCTTGGCACAGTCCTGGGGCCATTGATTGGTGGCTTTCTCAAGAAGAATCTAGGGTTTGCTTATATGTGCTGGACATGGAGTGAGTCGGCTCTTCGTCCCAAAAGATGCATACTAAACCCTACGAAGGCATTTTGTGTATTTTGATTGCTATTCTGGTGGCATGCTTTCTTGGTGGCGACTATGTCTCCCAGCCGCAGCCTTATGACGGAATCACAAGGCAAGATGTGTGAGATCAGAGGTTGGAAAAGGCCGAAGTTTTCATAACGAGGAATCTAAGGAATGGCTAGTTAGCACAGCTCACTCCGTATATAACGCCAAGCCCAGAATAAATTTCGCGGGTAAACTGTGAGGTGGCTTGTACTAACCCACAAGTGGACTAGAAGATATGCAATCTGGGGGTTTTCACGCTAGGGGTGCAATTGGGATAAAAAAGTACAATATTTGGCTCCACCCATGAACTGAGCTTGATTATATGAGTGCAATAGGTGAGGGTCTTTGCACACAGTGCAATCCTTGACTAGGGGCACAGAAAGCTTTTCGCTTTTTAATTCTAAACTTGTCATCTCTCAACGTCAACCTAAAATCAGGCCAAAATCAGGCACCAAGACTTATCAACAAATACCCTTTGCACCCCACTACTTACCTCTGGACATTTTTGTCAACCTCACCGCATCAATCCACATCAAAATGTCTGGAATGAATGTTCCCCTCCCTGATGGCTGTGGTGTCTGTGGGAAAGAAGACAATACCCGTCTATGTACTGGCTGTAGAGTGATGCCGTACTGCAGCGTGGAGCATCAAAGTTTTCATCGCCCAGAGCACAAATCCGATTGCAACAGGATCAAGAAGTGCAGTGATGCGATGAAGCTACAAGAGAAGATCTTGCGTTTCAATCCTCTCAATGACCTCGATGTTTTCGAAGAGAGTCGTGGTCGCTTCTGGGAAATATGGGCGACTCGACCCTACATGGACGCTCGTCTGGATTATCGTGCTGCCCTGACATTCATCCGGAATGCTACATCGATTAAATTGCAACTTGCGACCCTCATGTAGACTATGAACCTCTACCCAGCAGATTCCGGTGTTCAAACTCGCGAGATTATCCCTGCTGTGATGATTCGCCTCGACAAGGATCAAGAATGCTACGACTTTTTGAAACGGTGGGCGACACACGGCAACGTCTACGGAGAGCAATCGTATCATGATTCAGAGCCATTCCTCAACATCAAAGACGCCAATCCTCTTGAGCCAGTCGAACCATTTCTCAGGAATATGGAGGAACTCCCCCACATCGTTTGCTTGACCCTCATCAAGATCAGGTTGTATATAATAATGATGAACAAAGTCGGACCCGCCCTCGCGAATGCCTCACCAAAAGACCGCGAAATCGTTGATGGTATGTTGGTACTCAACAAGTCTTCCATCGCTACAAACCCCAACATTGCTAGTCTGGAAGGTCTCGCCCTTGCCGATGCCTCCATGACCGTCATGTGTCAGATTCAGACCTTGTACGATGCAGTCAACGATTACAACCCGCTCATCTGGCCGGAGCTTCTCGATCCCGATGAGACGGTCGGTAATGCGCCAATGGGTAAAGGGCTTTCGCAGAGGGAGCAAGCGAACGCCGTTCAGCTGTGGACCTGGCTGGCGTGGGCCGAAACGTATGGTGCGACCCAGTTCCTTCATGGTCTTTTCACCAAGCAGGATGCGTTCTTGTGCCCGGGAATATGGAATTGACTCGCTACGCCGCGGTGCCATTCTCTTGTCCATGCTCAATACTGTTGACTCGAGCATTAGCAATATACGCTCTACCTTGACCCCTAGCCAAGACTCGTACAAGTGATAGCTTAATTGGATATTCGAAGACCGGGTCACCGACATGGCCTGTTTCCCTTCCAGATACCTTCGGAATGCCTGCTCCTACATGTTTCCAATGGATTGTTCTCTTATGACTGTCCAAAGTTGCAACAATTTATTCCATGTGGCTGCTTTCTTCAACGTACAAATGAGGTCAATATGTTTATTCATTCAAGTATCAAAAAAAATTCTTTCACGATAATTATCACTTCTTGGGTAGATTTCGAGAAGATTAAGAATGCCAGATTTCTTCGGTACACTCGCACTGGATCGTTGCCTATGAAAGGAGTATAAGCAATAATGAGTGAGTAAAGTGAACAAAGTACAGCCTTGCTTGCTTTTGTCAGCGGTCTTTGTAGTAAGCATTCTTGACACGATTCCAAACTCCCTGCTGATTTTGTGGCTCCTGTCTCTTGGGAACTTCAACAGGTGCACCATCAAGTCCAGTGTTGGTAACTGCGTTCTGCTGCTTTCCGAGGTAATAGTCTGCCACGAATTGTTAAAATCAGATCTCGAGTCCATAACATCGCGCCTCTTACCTGGCATCATTAACGAAAAGATGACTGGAATCACAGCAAGCAGAGTTGCAATGGTGAAAATAACCCCATTGGTCCTGGTATATGCTCGAATAGCACCCTGACGGATCGGGTCGTCCCATTCATACTTCGTGCGAAGCACTTTGATGGACCCATAGATCTTTTTCAGGATGCTTTCAGGGGTGCCAGCAGGGCATTCGTCTCTCATATAAGCTAGCATTTTCTCGGTCCAAATTGATGAAGCAATTGTGTATCCAACTGAGCTTCCCAGCGTACTCCACAACGACAGGTTGGAAATGACTGTGGCCATGTCCTCGTGCGGCACAGAAGCTTGCGAGCCAACTCGAGCGCCAATAACAGTCAAAGCTCCAGTTCCGAGTAGAATTTGAGAAGTAACAAGAGCACCAGTCTTCTCGGTACTTCGATTGGAGCCGGTGATGAGAATTGCATATCCGATTAACTTGAGCACAGCTCCTGTGACCATTAGTGTCTTGTATCGATGCGTTTTCGCGTGCAGCAAGCCACCAAGAGGACTGAACAGGCAGAGACACAAAGTTGTAGTCCCCAGGAACACAGTCCACACATAGTTGGACCAAGGTTTGATGATGTAGATATACGATGAGAAATAGTTATTCCTTGTCGCACTGGCCATCTGATTGAAGATATCAACCATGACAGCAGCAAGGAATGCTTTGTTCTTGAGGATCCGTCGAGTCATGATGGGCTTTGGCGCAAACCAGACTTCGAAAATTCCGAACAACACCAAGATGACAAGCCCACAAACCAGCATAGCTATCATACTGGCATTACTCCAGCCCCCCTTGGCCGATTGGGCTAGAGTGAAGGGGAGAAGAATGAGGGAGAAAGCAAGCCCCAGGAGGACAAGTCCCGCAAGATCGATCTCAATGATTCCACGCCATGCCAAGCTAGAATATGCTGAGACACCATGGAATTGCTCCCCATGTTTGCGGGCATTCCCACTGTCTCCCATGCTGATCATGCCAGCTTTCTTGGCTTTGTGCTGCATTGCATAGAGATTCCAGATCGCAGGGATGAGCAGAACTGGAACCATAATTGCAAACATCCCCAGGCCCCACCTCCATTTCTCGGGGATGAAGCTTTCTGCAATAAATCCATTGACAAACGTAGTGACCAGAAATGGAGTACTCAGCATGCCACCCCAGAAGGCGCGCCACTGGAGTGTTGTCAGGTCACCAACGATAATGTCACTCAGGAGATCCAGGCCAGATTTGCCAAATGCTGTGAAGCAGATACCAACGGTATATGCAGCGAGATTGGTGCAGCTAGCAGCCACGGCGAACCCGACCGCATAGAAAACAAGCACAACCAAGTATGTTGTCGGTCTGGAAGTGATATCCGCAAGCTTTCCGATGAAGGGCTTTGAGATGGCTCGGATGATTTGGCTTGCAGTATTCACTGCTCCAAGTTCGGCGTGCATCGAAAAGGAGGATGTGGCCATGGTGTTGAACTGGGATGTGATTCCCTGATCCAAGGCATATGCAAACATAGTGAGGCCGATCGAGAATACGAGGGTTATGAGCAGCACCTTTCCCTTCTTTCCTGAGTGATATAGAACACGGTTGAAGGCTTCCACGCTGCTGACGCCAGATTGGCCATGATTTGCTCCATTACCGGCCGCTGATTCTTGGGAAACGTCGTGTTCAGTTTTGGTCTGAATGGTGTCGCGCTCTAAATCCGCCATCGGTACATCTAGGTTCAAATGACTGATCAGGTTAGCGAGGCTCGAACAGAAGCACACAGTCATCCACTGAGATCATACGTTTTCTGCTCCATCTTGCCAGACTCTCAGAATCCGATCCGATGAGTATAGGTCAACCCTGGATTGAACTCAGGGACATATCAAGCAAGATACCTAAGTAGCGATGTGGTGTGCTTCAATATGGCGGAGATGAAGCTGGATCCTGATCATGTCCCGAGACATGCATGTCCTCTTGAAAATTTCGATCAGATAAGATCGGAATTTCCCCGTCGCCCCCAAATTTTAACTTCGATCCATTTCCCAATGTGGCATGCTTACACCCCCTTTGCCAGTCCCTGGGCCTTGGCAGGTCTTGGCAGGTCTTGGCAAAGAAGTGTCATGCCACCCTTTTAAGTGCACGTCTGGGCATCCAAATTCCCGCTTGTCGCTTCGATTTCCCCCAGTGTGATGGTACCGACTTTACTCAGTACCGGTACAGCCACAGATCCGCACCGTCTTATCAAATAAAGATACAAAATCCCAAGGTTGTGTATTTGCCCAAGTGGTTCGGTTTATTGATCATCGTGTACGGAGTAAGGAGTCCTCCGGGAAAAGAAGTTCCTTGTATGTCTGCTATATATTTTCAATAGTAATCACGGAACACGGAGTACAAACGGTCACGCCCTCCAATCCAAGATCAGATCCAAACATGTTACTTAAGTACTCAAATCTAAATTGTAATCCGCCCTGGAGTCGAAGCCTTGAACAAAAATTACTTTAAGTTATGGTGTTAACTTTGAGAAATTGTTGTGTGGAATCTGCCAAGGATTCAAATCGGAAAAAAATTGTCAAAAAAAAATAAAGAGCGACATGGGGATCGAACCCATAATCTCTTGAGAATCTGAACCGAAATCAAGCGCCTTACCATTAGGCCAGCCGCCCCCTGTATATGCTAAATGGAAGAATTCAGAGCACCGTAACGAGTTTATTGTGAGACTGTTAATACGCGTAATTAACGCCCCGGAGAACATTCTAAAGTTTGTGTTAAGTACAATCCAAGCCCAAGCACACTGTATGCATACGCCCAAAGACTAGATAGTAAAAAGCTGTGTTCAGATCAACTTGACAGTGCGCTTCTTAGATCAATCACAGGTATGACAAGAAAGGGCACATTTGTTTGCACAGACCTTAGAAGCTCTTGATCAAGGTATTAAGTATCCTTGGGGCCCTCCTTGGTGTCAATATGGGCACGTTTCTTGCACTCAGCCTTTTTTAGAGCTTTCCATTTCTCAAGGCGACGCTTGCCCTTTTTCATCCGCTGAGTCAGTCCTTGCTGGTTCTCAATACTGGCATTTTCAGCCCAAGCTCGTAGTCCTTTTTCATCCGCAATGCACCGGATAATCACATTACGGATTGCAAAGGTGTCGAGCAGAGAGGTGTGTCCAGTAGCCTTGCTTTGGATCTCAATTTTCAGAAATTCCTTGCTGAGGACCATATGATAGAATACGTATGCAAGAAGAAGTATGATGAATGCAATAGTATTCATACCAAAAAGGACGGGGAAAAGAAGGAGAGAGAGGAGAGAGCGAAGTCGATCTACTCTATGGAGGCAAACAAGCCCTGTCATCCTAAACAGGGTCGCCAAGCAGATCCCAACACCATCACGAGAAAAGTTACGAGACCAATACCAGAGGACCCTCAGACTCCATTTGCGGCGAAGTTGCTCGTCCTGCGATGCGGGGTGTAGGACAGCCTCTGAGGTCACAATCGCAGTGTCCACAATGTTTCCATGCATGATTCCGAGAACTTCAAGGCTTTGTACGAGGGTGTGACCGATCAATATGGTCTTCGGATCCATGAATTTCCAGAGTTCTTCACGGGCGTCTTGCCATTTCTGCATGATGGTTCCCGAACGACGGGCCGATTTCATCTTTTTCTGTGTCACACCACTCCGGTGTGATAACCAGTCCACAACTTCGCCTGCTGGCTCAACAAGACTGTTGACAAGGATCTCCTTCGTGAAGAAGTCAATAGCGCTCACAGAGGCAAGCATGCGAAGATTGTTCTTGTTTTTTACCACCTCACAATCAACAACCAGTACCGCTCGAATGCCTGGAGTATCACGAGGGACTATCGGAGAGTATTTGTATTGGTGGCGTGGAATGGTGCTGTTGTAAAATTTCGGAGGGTAGATAGTATGCAGGCGATAACCTTCCGCTTCAAGACGTGGCCCATAGTGACTGAAATCAAGGAGTTTTTGAAGAACAACTTCTCGGTCCATTTGCATCGGATCAAAGGTAGCAGTTGTTGGATCAAAGGGAGGAATCGTGGAATCGAAGGGAGCAATTGTAGAAATTCGCATATGTTTCCCTATAGTCCCAAAATTAGTTTAATGGATTTTCAAAGAAAGCAAAGCCCACAAAACTTACCATCTGCGTCGGCCTGCGCCTCTGCATCCTTTGGGGTCTGCGCCTCGAGGTTTTCTGACGCCTGGACCTCATCCAAGACGGTCTTGTCAAGTGCTTGCTGAGGAGTGGTTGGGCTGGTGATCGACGGGGCTCCCTGCTGCATGGCCCGCTGGTCCATTGGCTTTGCAACCGGCTCGAAGGCTCGTGGGACTACCGGTCGAATGCGTGGGCGGATTGGAAGCCGCTTGGGCAGCTTTGGGGAGTCCATTGCTCTGGTCCTTGGCGTAAGAGAAGGAAAGACGTGAAGACGAAGTAAGTATCTGGGATCAAGGAGGAGTTGAGAAGAATGAGCGTTTCACGATGAGATTGGAACGGCAGTAATGAGCCAGAATACGCATATCAATATTAGTCGTGCTTTACGAGTGATCGATTGATCAAACGACGCGATTGGTCGAGTTCTAAAATTATTAGTCGTGGCTATTAGTCGTAACGAGGCGCCGGCGAGGTAATAGGCATTTTTTGCCCCATCAAGCTCTGCATCACATGAAGCAGAGGGACATGCCCAAAGCTTTGGGCTGTCAATAATCAAGTAAAATGAGCGCCCACCGCCGGATCTAGTACTCTTACAAGGGAGGTGAAAAGAAAGTTTCTTCATAGTATGATGGGCCTATTCGGGCACTCAAAAGATAACCTGAGGAGCCTGGAAGTCACAGTTAAATGATGAAATCCATACAGATAGGACAAATGAGTTCGTTCCCTTCATATGACGTGACCAAAATCACCTGCAGTTAGCAACATAACACAAAGCCTTTGATCGACCCAGTCCGTATCGAAATCCTAGCCTTTCGCGCCTTGTGATTCATTGATCAGAGGTGCGCCTTCTGTGAAATATTCAGGAGTTTTGGCCATGTAGCAGCATTTATTGTCTGCTCTCAAAGTTGCTGTAGTCATTATTTTATAGGGCTCGGTTGGAGCACGTGGTACACGTGGCGCACGTGGCGGCGCACGTGGTCTGTTGTTGAGCCTCAGGTCGAGAGGGTTCCCCCTTTTGTTTTCTTAGGATTGCTTCTCATCTAAGATATTTATTTTTCTGTTTGCAGATGTATGGTCTTGAATTTTTGGGATAGTATTATGGGGTGACTGGGGACTGAATATGAGAAGCTTGGGATATCAAAAGGACCAATTCCAATTCCAAAGAGTGAACTATGGTCAATTTATTATTCAGCCTCCAAATATGGAGGCGGGGGGTCCAATAGATAGTCTGGCATTGGCTGCGGGGGCAAGGGAGGTGGCCGGGTAGGGATAGCAGGCCTTTGAGTCAATGTCAAGATCTCAGTGGCTGGTAATTCTACAGGCCTTTGGTCGTCCGGAAGCTCATACAATCCTGGCGAGTTCGGAGGCCGGGACCGTCTGCGCCAGGCAGATTCTCCCTCTGTCGAGTGTAGCTCGACTGGCAATTGTTCCGAACGAGATTGGCCTAGCTGGGCTCTCTGTGTTCGGGATCCTAGTGGAGATGGCAGCTCCACAGGTTGTTGCTCGAGATCTTCGAACTCAGACATCGAGATGTTTTCGCCGAGGTGGCACTTGAGAAGCTCATGTGTGACGAAACGCTCTGGCACAAGGCCCTGGGCTTCGATGAATGACATACGAGGGTTTAAATCAGCCATGCGCTGGAGTCTCCCTGCACGTCGGTGATGACGGGGACAATCATCAACTCCAATAAGGAAGATGGTGATGTAGGCCCAAGATGCATCGAGGAGAGTCAGTTCAAACTCATCCATATCGGCAATTTCCCCAGCGAGCATCAAAACAAGTCGTAATCTGGGGGTTTGAGGTCCAGCCTGCCATCCGTACATCGGATGATAAGTTGCTGTCCCGGAATGCTTCTGAAAATGCATCTCCTTGATATTTTGCCATCCTAGCATAACGCGACTGCGGCCTCCAAAGTGGATTCTGCTCCAAACTTCATCGAGATTCCACCGGTTGACCATCTCGACGTATTGAGCTTGGTCGCTGAATGTTACAAGTTGGTATCCATGTGTGCTGTTGTCGTGCTTACTCAGTGTTGCGACAAAGCGCCTTAAAAGCGCCTTTGTCAATTCTATAGTTGCAGGTAAGCCTCTCGACAACGGAAAAATAGAAGTACTCAACCCACCTTGGTGTTTCGGTTGATTGGACTTGGAAAAGGCCGTGATAAGGTATTGGTTATACTTGGGCTTCAAGGAATTGGAGTCCATAGAGCCACAAACATCTAGCATAATCATCGTGTTGTCTGCTGGTGATTTGCGATCGGAATTCCCTCTGGATGGAGGCTTCATCTGCTTTGAATACGTTTCAGATGGGTACTGGATATGACAGATATCATCATGATCGTGATATCGGGGATGTGGCTGCACTGTCGATGCCATTCGTTCCCGCGCCATATCAAGTTCGGAAATCAAATCTGGTTTTGTCGGGCTTTCGCCTCCAGGTCGGTGTTTTAGAGTCCAGTAGAGTCTCTCTTCGGCCGTGTCTTTGTAGCCCCTCCATGCTGGCGTCAATCCTCTCCACCCAGCAGAGGAATCGATGCTAAAGCGCAAAGGATTTGACAAGGGACCCTCCCAGGCAACTGGGATAGGCTCGAAGTATCCCGCTTGTAAGAGATGGAGATATTGAATTGGGCTGTGTGTTCGAAGCTCTTCAACGCCTCGGAATATCCCAATACGCTCCTGGTAGCGTGAAACAAGATCCTTATCGACTTCATCTGGCCATCGATGCTGCTCTTCTTCAATGATCTCGCTGCGCAATTTGAATGACCCAGATAGTCGCTTCTGAATTTTAAGTGCTGTTCTCTCGTCCGAACTCTTCAAAGAGAAAGCTTTTCTGAAGGTTGAACGCTTGGTTGACCTTTCACCGCTCAATTCACCAATCTGCGATTGGCGACGGGTATGAGACATGTCTGATACCAGGGACTCTAGCTGCTCAAGTCCCCAGATATTGACCGATGGTTCTGCGCTTTGGACGGCTGCCTCTGCTTTCTCGTTGAGGCTCAAATCAAGAGCTATCGTCTGTTGAACAAACCTAAGGTGAAACTGTGGATCAGGCTTTGCAATCCCACGTATTGACGAGCCTGCCAGTGTGTAGGATGACAAGATATTTGCATATGGATTGTTGTTGGAAAGGCGTAAATGTGAGAAATCATGATATGGCTTTTCACCTGGGTAAAGCACTGCTTTGGACCACATCTCGAGCACCTCTAGCCGCTCAAACTTTCTTTTCCAATATTGATGAACAGGGCAGTCACACAGCACGTGAGTCTCGTGCTCAGGCTCAATTTCAGGGTTGTATATCCGACATGACAGCTGAACGCTGTGAAGCATGTTCTGGATCTCCATCTCATCTTGGGCGCGGACATGCGCAGCTTTCACTAATGGCGCTTCATGGGAAGAGCGACAGGATGATTGGCTGCTTGTTGTTGCGAATGATTGTCTGGAGCTGACTTGACTTCCTGCTGATGTAGGAGGGCTTCTTACGGCCAAGGTGTACGAAGGAGGCTCCGTGGGGGAGTGGGTGATTCCTATGGTGTGACTTGGATTCTGAGGACTTGTAGGATTCCCCACAGAGCCTGAAGTAGAACAGTTCATGGTTGAAATTTGTTGGCTTGAGTATCGGTAAGGGTCTTCGTAGTACTGATCGACAGCTTCATTGATACTATTTGTAAACTCCATACGGTTAGTGCATTGTTAGCTTCAATTGGGTACTACTGCGTACTTCCACAAACAATATAGCTGTTTCCTCGCTCGCATATGGAACAAAAGACATGAAATTCAATATGTTTGATCTGGTAGGACGCATCGCTGTGATAAACTGATGGGAGCGCATAACCCCGACATGACCTAGATATTCATAGTGGATATTCTGGGTAGCATGACATGTCTGACATCCATGGATCTCTCACACAGCCCCCGTGGAGCGCCAAACACACCTGGGCAAATACCCCAGGCCGAGACACGTGGGTCAAGGAAGCAAATAAGTGGACGGGACGCTCGGACAATTTAAGCGAGCTTATCGGTTTATACTCCTGCGGCTCCCTGCTGAGTTTCATTTCGCGAGCTTGGACTGGGCGCATCAGAGGTACCTAGAAGGGTCACCAGAGAAAGGATTTGTTTGTGTTGTACCTGTACATACCTGAGGGCAAAGGCCGGACACGCACCCCGTTTACACTGCTTTCCTACCACAATGTTCTATCCCTCTCTCACCTCTTTCCATTTGCTACTTTTGTCACTTCACAGTGATATTGCCATTGAACAGTTAGGAGATGTCACTATTAATAAAATTGGTATCTTCAGGGGTTAGAGGGTGTCAGAGGGTGTCAAAAATACAGAATCAAGCTCTCTGCAAACAGAAGGTGTTTGCAGGTAAGAAATAGTAGCATCGAGCTCTCTGAGAGGTGAGAAGACAGATAGACGATCAATAGGGCTGAGGCATCAACGTCTCAGAATATTTATCAGGATGTGAATCTTTGTTTGGGGAATAGATTCATTTTGCCGACATTTTGCGGGACAATGTGTGGGCGGTGTATCTGGCGGTGTAAGAACAGGCAATTGCTCAATTGCCAGGCAGAAATCAGGCAGAAATCAGGTAGAAATCAGGTAGAAATCAAACACGCCCCTTCCAAGTGAAACAGACTTCAATGTTGTCAAGTACGGCATCATCAGCCCTGGTGATAAGAGAGAATTGTGTTGGATTATCTTGAAGACTCTACCTAGGTAGGTAAGACTTGTTGTACTATATGAAATGTTACAGAAATGCCGATTATCCCCCCCCGATTCATCGAATGAAGAACTCAGTGTCTAAGAGTTCCACATTCCTTCCACGCGTCAATATACAACTTCATTGTGTCATCGCTGATAGGTTCCAACTCTGCCATCGTCTTCGAATGCGCCCTGCTCTGTGTTGAGTCTAGAGCCCGCCCGCACATCAGAGGCACGTAATAGCCTGAATAATAATCACCAAACAGAGATGCTGGGTTGGAGCTTCGATCCAACTTGGAGGTCTTGACCATATTGACCCACTCCTGAACTGGGATGACACTTCCGGCGGGGATGTCAAGCGCCTTGGTCATCACCGGGATGTAGTCCTTCCAGGTTCTGCCGACTGGGTGTTCGATATGGTAGATAGTATTGGGGATAGACTTGTCATCAATAGCGTCCTCCACGTGGATGAGCTCGGTCATGGCGGATGCAATATGATCAACAGGAACCCACAGGACATGTCCATCGAGATCGGGCCAAGCGCGCAGATTTTGGGCAGACTTGATCATGAATGGCACGTGTTCGTTGCTGTTGAAGAATCCAGTCTTGCTAGATCCTCCAATCTGACCACAGCGGACTGTCATAGCGCGGAAAAAGTCTGGGTGCTGGCGCAGAGTGGCCTCGAGAATGTGCTCACATACCCACTTGGCCTCGGAGTATCCCATGGGCTGTGTGCACTCGATCCCTCGAAGCTCCTCTGGAACAGGGTGCTGTTTGGCAAAGCCAACTACACTAATGGAAGAAACAAACTGGAAGCCAACTCGGCGCCGCTGGTCGTTCTGGCTGGGCTGGTTACCAGCCATCTCCCGTGCGAGGTCGATCAGGTTGCGCATCACCGCGTATTGCTTTTCGAACCCCTTCACTGTTTGGGTCGGGCTGAGGGGGAAGGCGCAGTGCATGATGTCAGTTCCGTTGTTGGACAGCCAGGTATAGTCTTCCTCGGACAGTCCCAGCTTCGAGTCCGATGTGGTGGCTTCCAGAACGTGGATCTTCTCAAGAGCCACGTTCGACATTTCGATGCCCTTGGAGAATATCGCATCTTGCTGGCGGTTCAATGCCGAGTCTGCATTTCCAGGCCGGTTGAGACATACAACTGTTCCAACTGAGGGACTCTCGGCCAGTCTGGCGACAACGTGCGACCCCAAGCTTCCTGTCCCACCAGTCACGACCACCACAGCCTTCCTCGATGCATCGCCGCTTGCAGCTTCAGCCGATAGGACAGGAGTAGTAAAGTTGGCCGCATATTGGTCGACAAAGCCCCGAACGAGACGCCGGCGCTTCTTGATATCCCCTCGGTTGAAAGGCATAACATCATCAGCAGACGACTGGCTATTGGAAGAACTGCTTTCTTCGTCATCAGTGAGCGACGAGTCAGTCAAAATCTCCACGGCCGAATCGCCCCCGCCAATCGTGTCCCAGATGACCCCGGCCAGCTGCTCCACACTCGTTGCATCCATCATGTCTCCCTGGTCGAGTGAACACTTGAAAGCGGCCTCCATGTCAGATCCCATCTCGACGCCCATCAAGGAGTCCATGCCCAAATCGGCCAGCTGAGATTCCGGCTTGACATCGGCCACAGGAACTCCCAGGAGCTTTGAAACCATACTTTGAACCTCGGCCAACACATCTTCATAGTTCTGGCTAGATGCACGTTCTGCCTTCCGTGTGGCTGGCCGTGGGTCGTTGCCTTTCGGGTTGAAAAGGCCATGATCATGTCCGTTGCCTTGGAGTGCAGATTTGTCTGTGGTAAGCGAGCTAAGAACCTCATCCCAAAATGTCCTTGGGACCTGCACAGCCTGCGCCCCAATGATAGCCTGTGTCAGTTGACCGTTGGTGGGGTCGAACACATAAATATCCATCTCATGGATCCGGTCTGTCTTCGCCCGGTGATGCACCAGGACATGCCATGTCTCCGAGCTTCTAGTGTATGTCGGGGAGACGAGCTGTTGGCCACATTTGTTGTGGGCCCAGATATTCTTGGGTGAGATGGCTTCGGTCATGCAGTTGATTGCAACGGCGCCAACTTGGCAGAATGCATCACCTAATCCAGGATCATAGGTTGAGCTGATGGGCTTCCGCACGACACCGGCGGCGATGCCAGCTCGGCCTACGATACGTTTAGTCCAGCGGTATATGCTCCCGTAGGACACCAGGCTGTCAATGACCTGGTAAACCGTTTTTCCCTGCACAACATGGACATTCTCATCGTCTTCCAGGCCTGCACCAAGGATTTCAACACATTCTCGGTGCGAGATCGTTTTTTCCAAAGCCTCGAATTTCGTGTTATACACGTCATCATCAGGGGGGTGGATGTGCAGACTGCCTTCAACATGTACCAACTTGCGTTCGGCCTTCTCGGCCTTGTCTGTGCTGGTTATTGCCCAGCCCCAGATAAGTCGCTGATCATCTGACACTGAGAACTCCAACCAGAACTTGCGTGAAGGGTCAACGCAGATATAAGTCTCACTAACCATGTCGTGGACGGAATACTGGAAGCGGCCCTTGGTCCACTGTGGGTGGATGCTGTACAAGGCGACAACTACCATGCCAATCTGCGCAGAAACAGGAAGCACGGGGGCCAGCTTGCCCAACACATGACCGTTGATCAAATCCTGGTAGAACTTGGATGTAGTATCAACGGCAAAGCAGGGCCCAGAGCCAGAGCCTCGGCCTTCCACTAAAGAAACCAGGTCGGCGATCTCCGCCTCCTTCACCTGCTGGGGGCCAGTCGAGATTTCTTTGTGTTCCAGCCAGTGCCGGGCATTGTTGAATTGATAGGGTGGCAAAGAGAGCGGCGTAAACTTTGCATTCTGAGAGGTGTGGTGGCCCCAGAAGGTAACGGGGATGTCCTGCTTCCATAGAGACATAGTTGTAGCCACAAGGCTGTCCAATCCTCTTTGACCGTCAGTAATGTTGAGGGAATGGAAGGAATGAGAGGATGCGGCGGTGCCAAGAGCCTGACTGGCCATAGAGGTCACACCGGACCCAGATCCTGCCTCAAGCCATACGCAGGATGGGAAGTCCTCAGCGAGACGATTGACGGCATGGTGGAAGTAGACCGGCTGTCTCATGTGCTCCCAGACGTTGAACGACGCGGTGCTTCGGGACTCAGTCGCTCTTTCGTGGCGAATAGCGGGCTGCTTCAGTGAAATTCCCTTCGCAATACCTTCCACGTGTTCCTGAAGAGGCTGGACGAGAGTGGAATGGAAAGCATTTGTGACTCGAAGTCTCTTTGTCTTGATCCCTGAAATGGATTCGCAGACGACACCCACGGCATCAATAGCCTCAGTGGATCCGGCCAGAGTGAAGTGGTAGGGTCCATTGTAACAGGCGATACCGGCAGGGAAAGAGCCCTGGTAACTTTCATTGGCTTCCTCGAGCACCAGATTGATGAGATTCTCATCCCCATTGACCATGAGCATGGCTCCAGGATCTTCACCCCACACATCACGTACCAGCCTTGCTCGGGCAACCACCAACTTGACAGTTTCTTCCAAGGACAAAGCTCCAGAGATGCAGAGTGCAGTGAATTCACCAAAGCTGTGACCCACGACTGCAGCAACTCTACTTGACAAGCCACTGTCTAACCAGGAGCGCGCGGAAGAGTACTGCATGGCAAAGAGCATGGCTTGCAACTGGGCCTGATCGGTAATGGGCTCATTGGAGAATATTTCCGGGAGAATGCTGCTGCACCCAGCAGCCTGGATAGCAGCATCGCACTGGTCAAGGTGGCGGCGTAACAGAGGAATGTTGTCGTAGACTGAGCGATGGAGACCGATGTAGGAGTTTGTTTGGCCACCAAAACAGAGGATCACAGGGCGTTCCTTGCCAACACTTGTTATTTCCGCCTTGACTGCACCGTTTGAGAATTCCTTGAGCTTCTCCTCCAGTTCCTGTCTGGTCTGGCAAGTGAAAAGAACACGCTGAGGTAAGGCACGGTTGGACTGCAGACTGAGATGATAGGAGAGGTTCGAAAGGGTAGTCGAAGGGTTGGTTTGGAGATAGGCTGCCAATCTTGGACAGTACGCGGTGACGCTTTGCTCGTCAAAGCCTGAAACCCAGAAAGGAACGGCATGTTCCTGTTCTGGCTGCGTTGACTTCTTCTGAGGGCTCGTAATGACCATGGCGGCATTGGATCCGGTGGCACCGTAGTTGCTGATGAATGCTGTACGGGGTCCTTCGGGCCATTTTTGCAAGGAAGTAGCAATCTCAATCATATCGGCTTGCTTGAAGTTTAGATGGGGGGATATTTTGGTAAAACTGGCCTGCGGCGGGATGAATTCATCCTGTATCATGGTGAGGATCTTTATCAGAGAGATGATGCCTGAAGTGCCCTCAGCATGGCCAACATGACCCTTGGCCGATCCCAGAAACAGGTTATTTGCTCGCAACGAACCAACCACACATTGCTTGATACTGGCATACTCGGCAGCATCACCGACCTGGGTGCCTGTGCCGTGAGCCTCCATAACAGAGATATAGGAGGGGTCAATATTTGCCTTGCCAATGACCGAATCATACAATTGAGCGAGCGAGGCAGAGTTGGGAACAAAGAATGGAGTGATGTTCTGGTTCTGGAAAATGGCAGTGCTGGCAATGGAGCCCAGAATTCGGTCTCCATCACGCACGGCATCTGACATGCGCTTGAGATACACGGCACCACTTCCCTCGGCACGACAGTAGCCATCGGCGTCATGGCTGAATGGCTTGCATTGGCCTGTGGGGCTGCTGAAGTTGGCGACAGCTAGAGCACGGAATGTACTAGGGAGAGTAATCAGATTGACACCGCCGGCAATAGCAGCGGAGCACTCGCCAGAGAGCAAACTGCGGCAGGCGTAGTGAAGAGCAACCATTGACGAGGAACAGGTTGTATCGTAGACAATGGTTGGTCCCGTCCAGCCAAAGAAATGGGAAACTCTAGCAGGGATGTAGCTCTTGGGGGAAGTCGCAGTGAAAGCAGTGGGATCGTGGCAGGTGGAATGGTGCTCGTAGTCATTCATCGTCGATCCCACAAAAACTCCGACGTCCTTTGGGGCTTCACCAGTGCGCACGACAGAGGAGAAATATCCTGCGTTCTCCAGCGCCTGGTATACAGACTGTAGGAAAAGCCGCTGCTGGGGATCCATAGCGGCTGATTCACGCGGACTGCGCTTGAAGAATCGATGATCGAAGGCATCAACATCGCGCATCATATTGGCAAACCACTGGCGAGAGGAATCCGACTCAAGGTTGAATTTCATACGGTCAGGGCTGATCTCCGCATGCTGGGACTGACCACTGCGCAGCATCTGCGAGAACTCGTCTACGTCGTCTGCACCGGCCGATTTGATGGCCATTCCGACCACGGCAACCATCTCTTCAACGGGATCGGGAGCCTGGGGAAGAGGGGAGGGAGGCTTTACGTCGGCCAGATGCAGGACTTTAGACTTGATGCCATACAAAAGAGATCGAGGCACACACTCCGGGCCGTACGATATCACATATGGGTCATCAAGACAGGCCCAGACGGAGACGAATGTTTCGTACCAGTGACAGGGTGACCTGAGTATGCCTTCGATAGCGGCTTCATGCAGACTACCCTGAGTCAAGGGCGTCTCAGGATCAAAATTGTTGTATGTCGGGATTGCCACTTGCGACGCATCTGGAAGTCGAAGTTCGGGCATTTCTTCGCACAGCTGGAGCAGGATCGAGATGACACGTCCTCCCGCGTCGGTTGAATTATGGACACGGCCATGAAGGTCCAATTGCAGGCACTTGATGCCAGCGCCACGTGCCTGCTCTAAGAATACGGAGGTCACCCTCTCTGAAACACAGACAGTCCTGGACCCAATATCATAGGAGGCTGCGCTATAGACATGCGGAGATAGCTCCTTCATGATACGACCGAGCTCCTCTTCCAGTTTGTTTCCGTGGCAGATGGTGGCGAACTGATTCGAATTGCCATTCAGAACCTCGTCGACATCGGTCATAGCACTGGAAACCATGGCCAAGCGAAGACCAATGACGGCATGTTGTTCCAGTTGATGCATATTGTGAGAGCTGGCCACAACGAATGCGGGTAGAAGACCAGTGCAGAAGCCCAAAGTAGCCGTTGTGCTGTCCTTGTGGCGTGCGATCCAGGATTCCTGAGGATCCATTGATTCATCTCGGCATTCCTCTGCCATCTGCAGATATTGCCAATGCTGTAAAATCTGCGCGATGTAGTCCATTGTAAGACAGAGCATGTTGTATGGTCGCCGCTTCTCCTCATTCAGTCCATGTGTAAGAATACGACTCAAGTCTTCGAGGAGACTTCTTCCAGGCAAAGTCTGCTCTATCTCAGGAGCTTTGGCAGCCAATGCATCCCAGTAGATAGTGAGGTCTTCCACTGCCTGCATGAAGAATTTAGGTCCATTTCTGATTCCGGATCGCACGATATCGACGGAAGCTTTATTGAATGACCCGGTTTGCGCTCCGAATACTAGTATGGTGTTGCCTCGGGCTTCTAGCAGTTCTCGGATTTGTTGCGGTTCCATTGTAGGATGTGTTAGGAATGGAAAGATAGATATCAAGATGGCTGGCTTTGCAGATAGCACAAATTCTTTTTCTGCGTTTTTGCAAATAGTCCTGGGACAGATTCACACGTCGTCACGTAGTGTTTCCCTTGATTTTCTTCCGTTTTTCTTTTCTTTTCTTTTTCTTCACCTAGGCGTGGGGCTTTCCAGTCTGTCAAGATGACACCGTATTTCCAGCTAGGACCCAGGTGATATCGCACATAGGGAATATTTTCATTATCATTTTCACTTCCCTCTTCGAGGTATGGAGTACTCCGTACATATTGAACACAGTTTTTTTCCAGTCAGTGGGTCTTTGCTGTACACTAGTTAGGCAGTGCAGAACTTTGAGCTAAATCTACATTATGCAGCTCTAGAGAGATCTATGACACGTCGTTTTGGCAATTTTCCACCCATTTACGAAGTGAAAACCTTGGAACCTTGTGTAACTAATCTGTCGGAAAAAGCAACCACATGTGACACAGATCTTGTTTATATTCTCCTTGTAGAATTAAGTAGCCAACAAAATAGCGGTGTATGGTAAATAACTCCGGTCTGCCCAGGTGGGCTTCTGCAAACTCCGTCACCCCAAAATACTCGTATGCTCCCTAGCTTTGGGCTGGAAAATACTTAAAGTTTGTTGTCAACATGATTCATGCAGTCGTGCATGGAAATGGGTTGAAATTAAGATACTACTTAAGTACTTCCAAGGTTGAGTACGGGGTCTGGAATCGAGCCAAGAGAAGCTGATTGAAGTAATGCAATATGTTTTGTCAATATACACGGTTGTGAATTTACTACTTGGGAAATAGACGGGAGCTTTTTGGCGTAAATTATACGGAGTCCAACGTAGATAATTTACCAACGCCACGAGCTTCATGATCCGTGATGTTTACTTAGGTACTCCGCACGGAGTAAACTCTCGGGCATAGAGCGACAGTATCAAGTCCTAGCGTGTCGGCGATCGCGATCGACATCGGGATCGACATCGGGAACCTCGGATCGGTATCAGAAACGAGAAAATCGATAGATCAACTCTTCAAAACTCTGCAACGCATGAGCAACTAGTTACCCTGTACAAGTATGCAATCCATCATCGTACCCAAGTACCTCCTGAGGTCTACAGGCAGGTACGTAAAACAAATGTATGTATGACTTTCTCTTACCTTGGCACTCCGTATTGTTTGGGTTCTCCGGACAATAACATCGACTTCCAAGATCTTGAGGCAGATCCCAAAACCCTCAAACCCACTAACAATAATACTTCATTCATTACCGAGATCATGCCCTCCAGAGTTGCCAAGCCAGATACCCTTCATCATCCCCGTCTCCTGTGTCTCCATGGCGGTGGCACAAATGCAAATATTATGAGATTGCAATGCCGTGCCCTTCGACCGAAACTCGAGGCCTGCTTCCGACTTGTCTACGTTGAAGCACCATTTCTCTCCCAGGCAGCCCCTGGAATAGACGCCGTGTATGCGAAATGGGCCCCTTTTCGCAACTGGCTGCCAGGTGCTGGCGACCCAGATGAATCATTCCCGGGGGTCGCGTCATATTCTGGCTCAGCAAAAATCGATCGGCGTATCGTCGCCAGTATTGACCAGGCCATCAATTTGGCGATGGAAGAGGACGACCGTGCTGGTGGTACTGGCTCGTGGGTCGGAATGTTTGGGTTCAGCCGAGGCGCGCAGGCCGCAGCCAGTTTTCTTCTTCGACAGCAGGAGTACGAGAAGAGTGGATTGGCCACGACTGATTTCCGATTTGCACTGCTCATGGCTGCTCCTGCGCCTCTATTCAATATGGCCATTGGGTCGGATTTCCAGATCAGTCGGGATGCCCGGTTGAACATCCCCTCGGTTCATGTATACGGGAGTCGGGACTCGGTGCTGTGGGACTTCCAACACACCTTGCATGATTGCTGTACGACCGAGAGCGCCAAGCGATATGACTGGGATGCCGATCACCAAATCCCACTCAAGACGATCGACGTGGATGCTATCATGGCCTTGGTTATGCAGGTGGCGCAAGAGACGGGGGCTATCGCTCGCGGTTGAGCATTAGTTCTGAAATTGCTTTTTGCTTACTCGTAAGCTACAGACTCAAGACCCACACAGCTAAACCACAATTCAGTCAGCTTTTTTGAATTTCCTTCAATTCTTCTCCAAAGCCCAGAGGTAGTCCTGCCGCTCTATAGCTTTCAATGTGAATTGTAAGTCAGACAATGTTTCTCTCGTGGCATAATGGAATGCCAGCGAAAATAATTAAGCTCCTTTACGAAGTATACAACATCCATGGAAGTGTAGCCTCTTTTGCCAAGGAATCCCGGGTCCTGTTCCACTTTTCTTAAGTGCCTCAAGGGGATCTGCACAATATACCAACTTTAGAAAGAACCGGTTCACAAGAACTGCCAAACCCAGCATGATGTACGGAGTAGATCTGGAGTATATCTCGTACTACGGAGTACTTGAGAATGATCTGTATCTTCGTCAACTTCCTGTCTCAAATGCACCCGTGAGGGTCTTATGCCGGCTTGCAGCTAGTCAAAGTTCTCAATTAGCGGTCTAACTACGTCGACGCTACACTCCATAGTGGCTAATTTAAGTGGGTTAAGCATGTACGAGTAGGATAATGCAAGAGCTGTGAATAGAATCGAGTCATATTTGATAGATTGCCGGCTTTAGCTCCTGGGCACAGTTTTATCTCGTATTCGTGCGCCCACTCAGTGGATTTCTTCATATTATATCTTACGGTGAGCTCAGCTCCCAAGGTTGTGCTGTAAGGGATATCTCAGTAAAGCCCAGGTGCGTCTAGTTGATATCTCAGAGATCGGGCTCGTGTCTCCTGTGAGTAAGACCACCAGAAACTTTAGCTCCTAGAACAACTTTAGAACTAAGTAGAAGATCTCAAAGTCTATTAAGGTAAGGGTTACTCCACATGGACAGGCAATTGTCGGTAAAATTTAGATATACATGAATTGCTCAATCTAAAAAATATCTTTCTTAGGTTTCAACGCTAGTTGTGTTTAGATTTGATGGGATGGGTACTTAAGTAGCCTGTTAGGAAGCAGTCCAGCATCAAGCATACATACAAGGAGTCTGTGCACTACCTCAAACTTTCTCTACTCTGTGATGAGATTCAAAGTGGATCTAAGAAGTGTCGTTCCTCGATGGATCGGCAATTCGCTCGATGTCTGAGCCAGAAACTTGGAAGCAGAGGAGGTAAGTCGGAGATCAGCCATCTTGCCCCCAAACTCGCTCTCGTGGTCAGCTGGGCAATTCTATTGTTCATGTGGGCTTGTGGACACATACGAAGCCCGGAGTACTCCGTATGTTTGCTTCATTAGGGAGAAAAATGCATCCACTCTTGAAGTTTCGTTCTGTCATCCAACTCAGCCAATGGGAGAGTGAAAGTCTGTCATATTTGTGCATATTACATGTCTACCGGTAGCACTTTTGAGAAAATTCCTCGCCGGTGGGTTGTAACTTATAATACATAGACTGACTCCGGATTTCCCTCATTTTGGTATTCCATATGGTCAAACCAACCCAACCTCCTCAATGTCCGACCACGAAACCCCTCTCCAGCCGGTCGCAATCGTCGGCTATTCTTGTCGATTGTCAGGGCACGTCACCTCTCCTCAAGATTTATGGGAACTGTGCCATTCAGCCCAAAGTGGCTGGGGCCCGATTCCAAAAGAGCGCTTCTCCTTTGAATCGTACCACCATCCCAATCCCTCCAAGAAAGGAACATTCAACCCCTCAGGGGGATACTTCTTGAACGAGGATGTTGCTCGCTTCGATGCCCCATTCTTTAATGTTACCGTGCAAGAAGCGATTTCGATGGATCCTCAACAACGAATGTTACTCGAATGCTCTTATGAAGCGTTTGAAAGTGCGGGATTCCCCAAGGAAGATCTCACCGGACGCAGTGTTGGTGTATTTGTGGGTGCAAGTTTCTCCGACTACGATACCAATAACATGCGGGATCTGGAAACTGTCCCCATGTTTCACTCAACCGGCTGTGCCAATGCTTTGCAGTCAAATCGTCTCTCTTACTATTTTGATCTACGCGGTCCCAGCTTTACGGTTGATACTGCGTGTTCTTCCTCTCTTGTGGCCTTGCATCAAGCGATGCAGAGCTTGCGCAAAGGAGAATCTCAAGAAGCTTTGGTTGGGGGATGTCACTTGAATATCACCCCAGACCTTTTTGTTTCCATGTCCGCCTCGCAGTGAGTCTTCCTCTTTGCTATGAATTTTACACACACTAAGAAATTAGGCTATTTAATGATGAGGGGAAAACATACTCCCTGGACGAAAGAGCCAAGTCTGGATACGCTCGCGGTGAGGGTGCCGGTGTGGTTATCCTGAAGCCTCTTGACGCAGCGATACGAGATGGCAATACCATTCGAGCAGTGATTGTCAATTCAGGTGTCAATCAGGATGGGCGAACGCAGGGAATCACACTGCCGAATAGCGAGGCCCAGGAGCAATTGATCCGGCGGGTGTATCGCGAAGCTCTTTTGAACCCACATGACTGTGGGTTCGTAGAGATGCATGGAACTGGCACAAAAGCAGGAGATCCCCTCGAGGCAGCCGGTGTCCACAGAGCACTTGGCCTCGGAGCAGGTCGAAGTCCGACTGATCCCCTGTATATTGGTTCTTCCAAGTCCAATTTCGGGCATCTCGAGGGGGCAAGTGGAATGGTGTCAATCATCAAGGCGGCAATGATGTTGGAGAAGGGCCAGCTACTCCCCAATGCAGACTTCCGTGCTCCAAATCCGGAAATTCCAATGAAAGAATGGAACATGATTGTTCCACCAGCTCCGCAACCCTGGCCTTGTGACAAAAAATATGTCAGTGTTTCCAACTACGGATTTGGAGGCACCAATGCCCACGTTGTCTTGCAAAAATATGACATTCCTAGCAAGGAATCAGTCTCCAATCAGGATCAAAACCCCAAGCGGAAGCTATTTGTGATATCCGCCAACGACAAGGAATCTCTGCGCACTCGAGTGAGCCAAATTAGTGCCTACATTGATCAGCATCCCAATGATGCTTTTGACAACCTTGCATACAGTTTGGGCACTAAAATCTCCAATTTGTGCTACCGAGTTGGAGTATCAGCTAGCTCGCCAAGTGAATTGACGACTCTCTTTTCCCAATTCAAGGGCTCCGCTTCACGGGTCCGGGGTCCCCCCACTATTGGATTTGTGTTTACTGGCCAAGGGGCACAGTGGGCACAGATGGGGGTTCCTCTCATTGACGAGTACCCCGTATTTGCTTCAGCCATGTACCGCGCCGACCAGTGTCTGCGCGAATTGGGAGCCCCATTCTCTCTCCTCGAGATCCTGCGTGACGATGCCGAAACTTCTGAGATCAACTCTCCTCATTTGAGCCAGCCAGCTTGCAGTGCGCTACAGATCGCTCTCGTTGATCTACTCCAGTCCTGGGGTATTCGGCCTGCCTCGGTGGTGGGTCACAGCTCAGGCGAAATCGGCGCTGCGTATGCGGCCGGGGCGTATGATTTGGAAACGGCTATGACACTCGCATATTGCCGGGGGGAGATGACCCAGTTGTTGAAAACTTCCTTCCCAGATATCAAGGGCACCATGATTGCAATTGGTGCTGGTGCTGAAACAGTGAAGCTTATACTGAGCACTCTCACTCGTGGATATGCAACTATTGCCTGCGTGAATAGTCCGTCCAGTGTCACTGTGTCTGGTGATGTGTCGGCAATTGATGAGTTGGAGACAATTCTTCAAGACAAGGATATGTTCAACCGACGACTGAAAGTTGATGTGGCCTATCACTCTGACCACATGAAGAATATTGCTGGCCAATATTTGAAATCGATTGAGTCTATCCAGCCTTCTTCCAACTCGGGGGCAACAGTCTTCTACTCCTCGGTTACGGGTGAACTCACGCCGATTTCCCATCTGGGCCCCGATTATTGGGTCTCGAATCTCACCTCGCCGGTCTTGTTTCCCAATGCCCTGGGCAATATGGTCGGCGACGAAGCGATCAGACCGAATCTCATCATCGAAGTGGGGCCTCACTCTGCCCTCAAGGGCCCTATACTGGATACCTTGAAGAGCCTGGGGCCTGCACTATCCACGATCAGCTACTCCGCCACAATTCTCCGGAAGTCAGATCCAGTCAAAAGTCTATTAGACACTGCTGCAACATCAAATGCACTGGGTGCAGCTCTTAACATGAGCAACGTCAACTTTCCCTCCACCGGTGCCCGAGAATGTGTCTTCCTAAACGACTTGCCACGGTACCCCTGGCAGCATGACACTCGCTACTGGCACGAGAGTCGCATTTCACGACAGCATCTGGCTAGAGATGATAGCAGAAACGATATACTAGGTGTCTTGGCGAACTATTCCAACGAGCTGGAGCCCACCTGGCGCAACATTGTCCGATTGGAGGACATCCCGTGGCTGAGCGAGCACAAAATGCAGGGATTAGCTGTTTATCCCATGACTGGCTATCTTTCCATGGCAATTGAGGCCGCTAAGCGACGGGCGGTTCAAAAGAATATTCAATTTTCTCATTACGAACTACGAGAGATCGTCGTTCGAGCTGCTCTGGTTCTGAACGGTGAAACTGACGTTGAGACCACCATTACCCTCCGGCCCTTTACCGAAGGCACTCGCGGGTCATCCGATGTCTGGGATGAGTTCCGCATATGCTCTTGGACGACGAGCCGAGGGTGGACTGAGCACTGTTCTGGTATGATCAGGGTTCGCGCGGCGCCTAAGGAGCAGGCAATCACGATTTCGAATTCTACAGAGAACGAACAGGAGAATGTCACGGCTCTAATCAATGAGATACGGACTGGTGCCACCTCCAAAATTGATTCACAGTATATGTACCGCATTCTCACGGAATTGGGAGCCGACTATGGACCACTTTTCCAGGGCATTGAAAATTGCATGGCCAGCCCAAGCTTTTCCTACGGTGACCTGTTCATTAAAAACACAAAGGCTGTGATGCCAAAGGAATTTGAAGCTCCTTTGGTTATTCATCCGGCCTTCCTTGATTGCCTACTGCAAGTCACCTGGCCTGTTCTTGGCAAAGGTGGAATGGACATTGAGGCACTGCACATGCCAACGTCCATAAAGAGGATGGTTTTCAGCTGCAATCAACCATCCCAGCCAGGCCAGTCTGTCAAGGCCTACGGCATGAAATCCGTGGAGAAGGGTCCCATGAGATTTGACATTTTTGCAACTCCAAGCACTTCCAACACTCCACTGATCACGGTTGAGGGCTTGACGATGACGCCGATCAACGATTCCGGCGTAGATGAGACCAAGGTATTTAAGAAGCTGTGCTACAAATTCCAGAGCCACAAATTGTCCGAAATTGAACAAGAAATTGCCAAAAGTCATGACGACGGCTATGTGAACGTTCAGGCCACTGGCAGCACCATGGACTCTCGAGATATTACCCTTACTGAGTTCGGAACGTCCAATGGACTCGCCCAAAAGCTGAAAGGTGCTCTCAACGAGACATCTTCATGGACCCCATCCGTGACGAGTTTAAATGGACTCCTCGTGAACAACAAAAAATACATCATCATCCTGCAAACCGGGTCGCAATCTTTGCGGGATCTCACCAGAGTCACTTTTCAAAGTATCAAACGGAAGCTTCTCGATGCCTCGAATATTCTCTGGGTCTACAGAACCGATAATCCCGATGGACAGATGGCTGTCGGTCTAAGTCGCACGTTGCGGCAAGAGGCATTGGCCCAATTTGCCACTCTTGGTTTGAGTTCTGCCGACTTTACCACCGATCCTCTGGTGCCCATTCTAGCTGCAATGAACGCTCTTTGGCCGTTTGATGGCACAGCGGGATGTCGCGATGCTGAATTCATCAGCCAAGGCTCTGAGCTACTTGTCCAGCGTGCCGTGGAGGATGATGCAGCCAATGCTTTCGTTCACACTCAGACCCATGCTATGGCCATTTCCACGCAGCTATATAGCCAACCAGGACGACGCTTGAAACTACAGATTGGAAACCCCGGCGCATTGGACTCTCTTTACTTTGAGGATGATCACAAGGCGGGCCCCTTGAATGATGACGAGATTGAGCTGGAGGTCAAGGCAACCGGTGTCAACTTCAAGGATATTGTCGTCTCGATGGGAGAACTTTCCCAACCATATATTGGCGTCGAGTGCACCGGTATCGTTTCCTCGGTAGGAGCTGACGTCAAGGACTTGCAGGTTGGCCAACGGGTTATGGCCATGACCGAAGGTGCGTATTCCACGTACGCCCGCTGTCGAAGTACTAGTGCCGCCGTTATTCCCGATGATATGTCCTTTGAAGTGGCGGCCACCGTCCCCGTGGTATACTGCACTGCTTACTATGCCTTGTTTGATCTGGGAAGACTCACGGCGGGTGAACGAGTTTTGATACACGCTGGTGCGGGTGGTGTTGGACAGGCCGCTATTATGCTAGCGCAGATGGCAGGTGCAGACGTCTTTGTCACCGTCGGTAGCCTTGGAAAGAAGCAGTTCCTGATGGATACATATGGTATTCCTGATGGCCGAATCTTTTACAGTCGAGACCATTCATTCGCCCGCGGAATCAAAAGAGCCACCGAAGGTAAGGGCATAGATGTTGTGCTCAACTCTCTCGCTGGAGAACTTCTTCGAGAGTCCTGGGAGATCGTTGCCCCCTTCGGTCGCTTTATTGAGATTGGCAAAGCGGATATTACGAAGAACACCCGTCTGGACATGAACCCATTCGAATGGAATATCACCTTTGCATCTGTGGACCTGACCAAGGTTGCTGAGTTTAGGCCTCATTTGATGAAGCGCCTGCTCAATGACGTATGCCGCGAGCTGGCTGACAAAAACACTGTGAAGCCGATTTCACCAGTGACCACCTTCAGTATCACCGACATCGAAAAGGCTTTCCGGACCCTCCAGACTGGAAAATCCATGGGCAAGTTGGTAGTTTGTCCTCAGGATGGCGATGTTGCAAAGGTATGCATACATCCAAGGATATCACCCTTTATGCTCCACACATCAATAGCTGACTGGCTTCATTTTCTTATAGTGCACAAGCGCCAATCGCGGCTCTCTTTTCCGCCCGGATGCTTCGTACATTCTTGTTGGTGGCACCGGAGGTATTGGCCGAAGTATCGCAAAATTCATGTCGTCCAAGGGGGCGAAATGTCTCGTACTTGTATCACGCAGCGCATCTCTCAATGATAACATTAAGGCTTTGGTAAAAGACGTCGGTGCCAACGGTACCCAAATCGTTCTCAAGGCATGCGACATCTCCAATCCGGAATCTGTCAACTCTCTCATCAAGGAAGACATCAAGGACCTTCCCCCTGTGCGGGGTGTGATTCACGGAACTGTGGTGCTACGTGTAAGTGATCATTGTTATTTATTCCACAGGACAAGAACTTACCCACAAGCAGGACATGATCTTCGAGCGAATGGCATTGGAAGACTTCACAGCAGTGACTGCTGGCAAGGTTGAAGGGGCTTGGAATCTACATCATGCACTGGTGGACTGTTCACTGGACTTCTTCGTCGCTATCTCATCAGTTGCTGGGGTTATTGGAGGCCGTGGACAAGGGGCCTACGCTGCTTCCAACGTGTTCCTAGATGGTTTTATGGAATACCGTCGCAGACTGGGTCTGCCAGGTGTATCAATCGATCTGTCCGCCGTGACTGATGTGGGATTGATGACCCAGGCTGATGCGCAACGGCAAGAGAATATTACCAGAAACTATGGGAGCTCTTCCATGAATGAGTCAGAGGTACTGGCTATGATCAGTGCTGCCATTTCGGGTGCCCTCGACTCCTCGTGCTCCGGGCAGTGCATAAACGGCCTGAGCTTTACCCAAGAGCCAGCCTGGGCTAGCGACGCCAAATTCGACATTCTTCGCGATGAATTCAAGACCAATCAACTCAATGACAGTGGTGGCCAGAGTGTTGTGATTCCGCTCCGGGAGCAGTTGCAGAGGGCTTCGTCTAGACAGCAGGCGCTTCAGGTGTGTTTCGACGCGCTGGCCACAAAGATCGCGCAACTGCTTGTTGTTCCGATCGAAGAGATGGATCCCTCCATCACGGTCTCCGCACTTGGTATCGACTCGTTGTCAGCACTGGAGATTCGAAACTGGATTGGCCGTGAGGCTGGTGCTAAGGTGCAGGTCCTGGAGTTGTTGTCATGTGGGCCCTTGATGGCTCTGGCTGAGATTATCATCGCCAAGTCGACGTTTGTTGCCAACATGTTTTAAAGCTATATCTTTAATTCCTTGGTGATTTTAGCTCCGCTCAAGCAAGATTATGAGATCATCTCACCTATCTACATTCATATTAATTAACTGTATAATTCTTCCATGGTAAATATACACATTTCAGAACTTTCCCGGGGATGCCATCCTTCCCCTTCTCATCACTTGCCATACTGCTTCCCATGGTCCGGGGCTGGTAGCTCGGCGCTGAGGGTTCTCGAATCGAGTTCCTCTGGCGCTGTACCAGGGCTGGCACTTCGAGGCTTTCCGAGGGTTGAGTCCTTGTAGCCCTCCACTTGCGAACCTTGAAGTTCCCATGCAGATTGGCCGGGAATGAAGTTTGGTGCAGGCTGGTACCCATCTTGCCCTGATCTAACCGATTGATCTTGCTGGCGCTGCTTCCTTTTCTTCCTCCAAAGCAGGAAAAAGACACCAGCTCCAATGGCACTAGCTCCAGCAACACCCCCAACAACACCACCAGCGATTGTACCAGCAGAAGTCGATGACCCTGAGTTGCCAGAGCTGGCTGCGGTCGATTGTGCGGCGGTTGTGGTCGCATGTGTGGATTTTATAGACGACGCTTGACGGCTCGGCTTCGATACTGAGGTTGACACATCATACGAAGCAGAATACGCGCTCAAAAAGGTGTCATCCGTGGTTATGACATATTGGGTCGCTAGAAGTACTGTCCCATCTGCAGTTCCTCCCCAGGTTCCCTCGGTGTAAATATTGTCCAGGTGGGCGGTGCTATCGCACCCGAAGTCAGTCAGGTCAGCATTCACCCATGTGTACGTCGCACACTCTCCTGCTTCTGAATCTGTGCAGAAAAGTGCAAAAGCTGTATTGCCCGAAAGCACTGAAGGGGATGCAGCGACTTTGGCGCTATTGTAACAAGTGCTCGAGAAACCACACGAATCGCCTGAGCAACATCCTGCCATACCCGGGAAAGCTGTGTTTGATTTGTGATACACACAGGTGTGATCAGTCTGGCACGCGTACGTATTAAGATCATCTAAAATCAGGCTCAAATTTAGCCAACTGTAGTCTGAACAAGATTCAAGCTGGCAACGGATACTGCGTACCGGTGTTTATGCTGGTGTCGAACCATCCACACACAGCAGGTGTGTCGGTCAGAATTGTATTCATGGTTTCCAGTGCAGTGGATGAATCGCGGCGATGCAGCTGCAATATTGGCGTTGGCTCTGGTGGCTCGGAGACTACATGATATGTGCCGGTAGGTACAAGAGTCGAGAAAGTAATTGCATGCGCGAATTGAGTTATCGAGAGAATGTACAATGCGGCTGGCCACGCGAGCCTCATCTTCACGGGACCGAGAGACAATTTGACGCCTGCGTCCTAGAGTCAGGGCTGTTCAATTCATAGAGTCAGCAGGAGATCAAGAGACAGAAGTGGAGAGGGGGGGAGGAGACAATACTGTATTGATAGGCTTCAAGGACCCAGAGATTCGAACGCCTCAATTAGAAAGAGGAGAGCACAGGAAAGCCGAAATCTCAGGAATAAAGTCATCTTTCCAAGGTGGGAGGCTCACTCGCGTAAATACGAGGACGGCCCCCAATCTCACCTCGCAGCCTCGTTGATACCATCTTTTTCCACTGCTAGTGTAAAGTTTGGATAAAGCGGCTTGACAATTTGAAAAGCTAGGGCCCAGTAGGGTTTGCTTTTGACGATCCGATTATTCAAGGGTGGCTGAGATGCTCAAGTGGCTGGCTGCTGGATGCCGCCCTACGCCCGCGGACCTGGAAAGTCCCAGTTTGTTGCAAGCACTCGTCTGTGCAGAAACCAGAAGATCTGAAAGCAATTCTCCTTGATGATTTTCTTGTCCGTAGCTTTGGTTGAAAAGGTAGTGCATTTAGTGCATTGATCGCGCTGCTCATTCCCAACCGAAGAACGCGCCCTTTTCACTTCACCCGGTCGCGCGGCCCGGCCATCACCAAAATCTCACCCGGGCTATTCAAACGAATACCCACCGCACTATTGGCTGCACATACCTCCATGCTAAGCCACAGGCTGGGAAAAGAAGAGGTCAGTGATTTGGAATTGTGGACATACATCTTACAGCACTCCGTGTGTGGTTAATCCTACCAAGCCCCGGGTGCTGGGATCGGTGGGTCCAACACCCCTGGCCAAAGGGCATTCGGCATCTTGCCAAGTGGGAACTTCTTCAGACTTCATGAGGAGTCTGATAGAAAGATTAGATAAAGCAGGGAACTGGCCTCGGGGCGTGTGAAGAAACATGTCTATGTATCTACAGACTACTCCGTACCATTCGACATGTGTGCTCCCGGTGTCAATGTCTCTGCTGGCTGGTGCGGAGTATAGTATTCACAGGTCAATGATACAAGAGAATCATTGATACTCATGTCGTGATATAGACAGAGTCAAGGTATTCTGCGCCTGGGCGGTCCGAAACAGACTAATAGGGATAATCTCCGAATCTAAAATTCCAGAGAGTCTTTGCCGAGTCATCAAACCCATGTCCTTTCGAGCTTATAGCTCCAACATGCTGCAGTAAGGGCGGGATCACCGCCCAGCGCGTCCATCCTTCGTCGTCTGCGACCTTCTCGATCATCATGTCAACCAGCCAATCCGTTGTCAAGTCAGTATGCTCCAGAAAGTCGGGTATGATTGCGCGTGTGAAGACGAGACCCTGCGAGCAGCATCCATATTTATTCATCTCATGAACACCCGGGGATATCGGCCACATTGTCTGTCTTCCCGCCATGAAATGGAGCGCAATAATAGCTGGAATGAACATGCAAGATGTAATCCAAACAGCGCTGGTTGGAATAGACTTCAGCTCGTTCTTGAAGCCTTTTTTAGCTGCCATCATTATCCCTGTAAGTAGCGCCCAGATCAGAGTCGACAAAACCAAATATCTCGGCCACTCTTCTGAATTCCAACCGAGAAGCTCATCGACATAAAAGAGTCGCAAGTATATCCATTTCCCTTCCACTGCGCGTTTCTTGACGCTATCGAGAGAATGCAAGGCGGACGGGAGCCAGTCCTTCACTGCCAGAGTATCATCTTCAATCATTGCCACATACTCAGCACCAGTATCGTAGCAGTCTATCAGCAAGTGTGTATAGTCGTAGATTGTCTTGTTCCGATAATATCCACCGTCCTCCCAGTATTTGATACGCTCGAAGTCGGGATTCTCTTGTCGATACGTCAGTACCCGGTCTGGTAATGTCTCAATCCACTTCTCGGAGTATATTGGATGTTTCGATGCCTCTGTATTGCCGATGAGAAGATTCAGGAAAATGCTCTTTCTCTCGAGTTCGTTGAGACCGGCCAGGAGAGATGCCACCGTCAATCTCACATACTGCTCCCCCCGGCGGGCAACAGTTGCTATTCCGACACATATCGTAGGGGTCCAGTCCTCGGGCTGTGCTGGTCTCAAAATGCTATCCGCGCTCTTCAGAAACTCCGCTGCTTCTGCAATCCTAGTTGACGAATATCGACGCTCGTAGGCACGGGAGGGGTCAAAGAAGTAAGATGTGGGATCTCGATGGCTGACATGATGGTAATACCGGAAGAAGCCAAGGTATAGGAAACAAAACGAGGCGAAGAGGAGGCCGGTTGGTGAGAGAGAAAATCTGCCTGCGCAAGAACGACGCCAGATGTCAGCCATTTTCGCTTCCGGACGCTCAAGCGGAGCACGTGGATTAAAAATAAGATCTGGGTAGATTGCACCCCTGAACTGGCGGCGTATCTGACCTTACCAGGCCAACATATAGAGCACGAACGGAGGCTAGGCAGGACTCGGCATATGTAGTTCAAGTGACGGGTGAATCAGGCCAGTGGGCATTCTCGGACAGGGGGTGAAATTTTGGTTGGAGTGGCATTTGTGTAGGCCTGAATCCCCCATGCCTAATCTAGAAAGAAGTCTCCGTACTATTGTGAATATGTATCTCGCCCCGAAGATCCGGCTCCCGTTAGACGGCCCGACCCCTGTCCTCTTGGCCAATCGCAGTGATCCTCTAGCCGCCGCGTTTGCTCCACATGCGATGAGCTGCTTCATCTCTCTGTTCTCTCTCTTCTGGTTTCTCCCCTCATGTAGCGTATGATAAAGAAAGGCTTGCTTTTACAAATGCTTCTAGGGAGTGCCGTATATTGTCCCTCTTAAGGTGTCAACGGTGCCTCTTCCGGAATCGTGAACCATATCGAAAGAATGCGAAAGTGGATTAAACGTGCGGGTCGTTGTGGCGTCTTCGAATCAGCATTGAGAGATACTCCGTGGGGAGTATATGTTGCCCTGGAGTGCCCTGTTACCCTGGCAGGGCCATACTGTAGATTTTACATCGCTCTTCAAACAAAAAAAGTTACAATAGAAAGTTCTCAAGTTGACGAGAGACATTCAGATCAGAAACAATGCATACATAGACTTGGATTTCAGATAGCAAGGCCAATACTAGCTGAGGCTACGAACAAGAGCGAGCAGAGTTCAGTTTCACTCAATTAGGGTGAAAGGTACTTCAATTGAACCTTGAAATTAGGTTGATAACCTGAGATAATGGAATAGTGGATCAACACCACGCAACGCCAAAGAGTACTCGTCACTGAGCCAGGACATACATCTCCCACCCATCCCCATCTCCTCCACTCCTCCAGATAACTGACACAAAGATCCCATGCGAAGAACAATCAAACTTCTTCGACCGCTCATTTGTAGCCGTATCCTCCTTGCGCTTGAGGAGGTGGCTGCTGAATAGGCTGCTGTTGCCAATGGGCTCCAGGAGGCGGCTGGATGCCATATTGCATACCTGCTGGAGGCCTCGTTTCAGGGGTGATATCCGGCCGGTCCCTGAAATCGAAGTCAGTAAGAAATCTTAGGTTTGGTCAGATCTGGAAATGCAGATCCAGGCAATGCTCACTCCAAATCTTGGGAGACGCGGCATGTGTGGCAAACGACCTCCTATAGTTGAATTAGTAGAGTTCAATGGTGCGTCGAAAAAATGTGCGACCGGGAGACATACCTTGTACTTGTGGAAAGAAAGGGGAATCAAGGGCTGGAACGTGTTAGTTAGATGTGGAAATATTTTTGGAGACACTGAATCGCGATCATACAATAAAGCAAACGGTGAAAAATGGCCTAGACTTGTCAACTGGGTTCAAATTATACATCAAAAGAAACATACCAACGGGTGATGCAGTGGCCATTCCAATGTTGACCTGGAGGGAAAGATCCGTCAGATTGAGACGGCGAAGGACCAGTGACGTCAGAACTCACAGTTGTAACAGTACGCGCGAACATTCTCATAGCCCTCGAGCTGAGAGGAGAACTCTGTGGGTATGGTCAGTATCTTTTCTGTGAAATCGGACCCAGCTCCGCCAACAGCAGTCCCCGCAACGCGATATCCAGGGACCGGATCCACTCTGGTTCCTGAGTCGAGTCAACACAGGATCACTTACCATGGGTTCCAAACGTGATGCAGAAAGCCATGACCGCTTTAAAAAGATGATCTGGACTAGTAATTCCGGAGAGATCAGGGCAAAAGCTATTTGAAGGTCAAGGGTGAAGGCAGCGGCATTGAGGTGTGGCGGCGCTGTGGCTTGGCAACTTGGCAGCCCGCACGTGACGTCAGAGATTGGGACAGCTGATTGGCTCAGCCCATGTCTATATTCAACATGCATCCTATTTCTGTTCAGCGAGATATTCAATCGAGTGAGATGAGCATCGGACATAAGAAACTGATACTAGTGGTGTTTATCATCACTTCATATGAAAAATTTGGGTAATTCCGTTCAAATTCGGCAAATTTCAAGACGACATGAACTATATTTATACATGTATGCTTTCGTGAGATTAATTGGATATTTGAAAAACATGTCAGATCTGATGACGCCTTATCTATACTTAAGTAGAATCAGGGTGCCACATGCTATTCGATGCTTTGAAAGCTAGAATGGCTCCAGGGCTGCCTCCAGAGAAGAATAAGAAATGCCACTAACATCCACAAAGGCTATCATTCGGCCCACGCCATATTACATGGAGAACTTTAGAAATGCATATATTTACATTTGAAGTATGATCCCGCCGAAGGCAAAAAGCCCGGAAGCTCCGTATACAAATTGTAAAGGCCTATGCCCATGCTTTTGTTTTATTATTGATGTGAGTACGCTTTATCTCACAAATGGGTATTCATTTTAGCAAAGCAAGCTCATAGATTTAGAATTGTTTGAAAACAAAAAGAAGTCGCTTGAAAAATCACGGTTGTCGGCAATCCACCAATATTTAGAAACCGCGGGGTATTTACTGGGTCTTGAAGAGGAGGATTGCGCAGTGGCCGAGGTAGAAGTAGATAAAGTGCTTGGTCTCTGCAAAAAGATTAGTGACTGAACCACCACGGCGGACATGTCAATTCGAACGAACCGTGAGTGACGAAACTGCCAAAGTTGCGACCAACAACACAGTGCCAGGTAGCACCCTTGCGTGAGTCAAACTGAAGTATAGGGTTAGCGACGGGATCGGGGCGGGGTAGGGCTGGCGGACCTCTTTCTTGATGTACTGCGCGATGTCCTGGAACAAGTTAGATTGCTTCACCACAGAGATTGGAAGAATTGAGACTCACCTTCTCCACGCGGAACTTATCCATGGCTTCAATAGCTGATGAGTGGGTTAGCTAGGGCTGCTGACAGATATCACTCCGGGTGATTCATACCAAGAGCGATGGCTTCCTGCTGCATATCCTCGGTCTGGAAAAAAAAAAAAAAGATCAGCTTCTGACCCCTAGTAGCGGTGTCTCAATGGTGCTTACCATGTCTACGGACTTGACTTGCGCTGTAAGAAACAATCAGCATGTGTGAATACCTGAGGGGGGAACTGGTCGTCTTACCCTCCATCTTCTCCTTGCTGTCACTGGCAGGAAGGTTGGCCATTGTTGTAATATGTTCAGTAACAAGCGCTTGGGTTTGAGATATATGATTTGCTTTGAGATTGACGAGGTGTGGTGGAGGATAAAGTCAATCACGCGTCGTATCGGCTGCTGGGGTAACTTTACTGCCAGAGCCCACTCCACACCGCCATACTCACCGCCCACGGCACTATGTAAGAAGAAAAAAAAAGTTTTCGTCGGACCCTCTCCAAGCTCTTACTTCTTCACAACAAAACCTCAATATGGAGAGTACAAGAGTATTTGTTGGTGGTCTTCCACCGACATGCTCCAATGATCAGCTCAAAAAGCATTTTTCAACACGCTTTCAAGTCACAGATGCCCATGTCCTGCCTAAACGTAGGATGGGTTTTGTTGGCTTCAAGGATCATGAGGCAGCCCAACAAGCTGTGAAGCACTTCAACAAGACATATATGAAGATGTCGAAAATCTCTGTAGACATCGCTCGTCCGGTATGTCACACCTCGATCCTCTTGCTTCAGCCACATTCCTTTCGCCCGTGCACGCTGACCAAAGAAGGTGGTCTTGAGACTGACCCGTATTTTAGATCGACTCAAATGCCGCTGAGGATGCTCACCCCACCCGAAGACGTGATGCCACGAATAATGAACACTCGATGGACAGCAACCTCAAGCGGAAGAGGGAAGACAAGGCACAGGATCCCAAACTGCAGGAATATCTCTCTGTAATGGGAGGCACATCTAAAACCCGGACATGGGCCAACGATGATGACATGATTAAGCCGTCTGCGGAACCTGCAGCCGTTATTAACCAGCCTACCCAGGAAGAGGACGAAGAAGAGCTCCAGGAGTTGCCCTCGCACCCAAAGAAGGCCAAGACAGAAAAGCCCGTCGTTCCCCAACCCCCCCAGCCTGAGCCCATGGTCATTGACCACAGTGAAGAGGTAGAAGACCAAGATGCTCAAGTGAAAGAACAGCAAGCAGAACCAGAAGTTCAAGCAGCTCCTCTCTCTGATGCGGATTGGTTGCGCTCCAAGACAAGTCGTCTGTTGGGCCTCCTCGACGAGGATGAGCAAGATGAGTTCGAGCAACACAAGGCTGATGCACCACCCGCTGCGCCAGTTGCCACTACTTCAGTAGCTGCTGCCCCGGCACCTTCGTCTGGCGATGAGTCGCCACAGCGCGACGAGGAATCGCGTAACATGGCGTATGAGAGTGTTGTGCCCAACACGACTGACGATGACAGCAATACTCAACCAGGACCTGAGGACCCCAATGTTGATCTCATTCGGAAGTCCGCACGTCTGTTCCTCAGAAATCTTGCGTACGACACCACTGAATCTGATCTTCAACCGATCTTTGAACGATTCGGCAAACTTGAAGAGGTTAGTTTTTTCCCTTTCTCTTTCTTCCTTCCCCCCCACACCCCCACCCAATTGGGCTTTCGGCTTAGCAGCCTGATTGCCCCGAGTGCTCGTATGATGATTTTCCCGATAGGGACATCCGATGCAAATTGCAAGTGATGTGAACTGGACAAGAGATTTTAGTAGATGCTTCTTGACTTTCTGAAGAGCCCACTCAAAACCCACACATTGATTCAAATCAGTCATTCAATTATACTGGATACTAATTGAATACAGATACATATTGCCTTTGATACTCGAGTCACAGCCAGTAAAGGGTTTGCTTATGTGCAATACTCCGATGCTGAGTCTGCCGTTGATGCCTACCAACAGCTCGATGGAAAGCATTTCCAAGGCCGTCTCCTCCATATTTTACCGGCGACAGCCAAGAAGACCTATAAGATTGATGACTATGAATTGTCCAAACTTCCCTTGAAAAAGCAGAAGGAAATTAAACGGAAACAAAATGCCTCTTCGTCCTCCTTTAGCTGGAACTCCTTGTACATGAATGTGAGTAATTGTCACAGATTCACCAGAAGACCAAAATCTAACCTAGTTGTAGGCCGATGCTGTCATGTCTTCAGTTGCTGGAAGACTCGGAGTGTCCAAGTCCGACTTGCTTGACCCCACATCTTCAGACGCTGCTGTGAAGCAAGCGCATGCTGAAACGCACGTTATCCAAGAGACAAAAGCTTACTTCGCCAACAACGGAGTCAACATTGATGCTTTCAAACAACGTGAACGTGGTAACACAGCTATTCTTGTCAAGAACTTCTCCTATGGCGTCAGGTCAGAAGAGCTGAAGAATTTGTTTGAGCCGTACGGCAAGATCATTCGAATGCTCATGCCTCCAAGTGGTACCATTGCGATTGTGGAGTTTGCGCGACCGGACGAGGCCCAGAAGGCTTTCAAGGGTATGGCATACCGCAAGTTGGGTGATTCCATCTTGTTCTTGGAGAAAGCGCCCAAGAACCTGTTCGAAGGCGCCGCAGCTCCGCGCGCATCTGTTACTGAAGTTCGGGGCAAGGATTCTGGATTCTCGACGGCCGATACCTTCGCCGCCGATGAGGCTGACGATGGTACATCAACCGCGACATTGTTTGTCAAGAACTTGGACTTCGCGACCACAAACCAGAAGTTCGTGGAAGCCTTCCGTCCTCTCGATGGTTTCCTTACCGGTCGCATCAAGACGAAGTCCGACCCGAAGCGACCGGGCCAGACGCTCAGCATGGGTTTCGGTTTCGTGGATTTCAAAACCAAGGCTCAAGCTCAGGCTGCCCTCACGGCCATGAATGGCTACAAGCTGGACCAGCACGAACTTCTCATCCGCGCATCTCACAAGGGCAAGGACGCTGCCGAGGAGCGCAGAAACGAAGACAATGCCAAAAAGTCTGCAGCAAAGCGGACAAAGATCATCATCAAGAACTTACCGTTCCAGGCTACCAAGAAAGACATTCGATCCTTATTTGGGGCTTATGGCCAACTCCGTTCTGTTCGTGTTCCGCAAAAGTTCGATCGCACGGCTCGTGGTTTCGGTTTCGCGGACTTCGTCAGCGCTCGCGAAGCGGAGAATGCCATGGATGCGCTGAAGAACACACATTTGTTGGGCAGAAGATTGGTGTTGGAGTTCGTGAACGAGGAGGCCGTCGATCCCGAGGAGGAACTTGCGCGCTTAGAGAAGAAGGTAGGAGAGCAGGTGGACAGGGTCAAGCTCCAACAGCTTACCTCTGGTGCCGGGCGCAAGAAGTTTACTGTAGGAGGGCAGGAGGAAGAGGCATGAGGCCCTCGTCCCTTCTCCCTTGTCTGAGTCTACGGCCATGGATTGGTTCGTGGAAAACCCCTTGCAGAAGGTGGATTAATGTACCATGTACGATTACTTGCATACTACCAAAAAGTCACGGCAGAAGCCCCAAAAAAGATACCCCCGAACACTTTCGAACACGTTCCTGCGGCTGTCAATTGACTTGCAGTCCCGTCCTCGTGCATCTCGTGTCTCTGCCATACAGGCATAATCGTAACCCTACGTGACCCTACAATTCCCTTTCCCCCAAAATCACACCTAAACTTCACCTTGGATTGCAGGGTCATCTGGCGCTAACTTTGCTCCATCTTTCCAATGGTACGTAGGACGGTCGCCGAGAAGGATCATCCAAGCCTACATTCTTGTAGTGATGTTTAGGCGGCGGAGCATTCCATGTCCCGCCCGAAAAAGCGCTGTCGTTGGACCACCCGCATTCCTACGACGCCATCATTGCCACTGATTATTGTTGGTTATTGTCGATGATGGTCCAAACGATGGATCCTCAGGGTCACTTCGAGCTGCACAAAATCTCCGAGTCGCTCATGACTGGATCGTGCGGTTGAGCACCCCTTGCATCCAGACTGACTTCCTTCATATCGAGCCCTGTCTCGACTCCTGATTTGCTGCCGCAAGGACCGCTTGTCGCTGTCCTTGGGTCCTTAGCTCCCCACACTGTGTCTGGACGCGCGCAGGCCAGGACCGGGGCCAACCCAGGAGTATGGAGCAGGCGTTCGAGGGACGTGGTGCAGGCAAAGCAAACCTGTCGGAGCAATGCTGCTACTGGGGCTACAGTACCCCTCTCCGAGGGGAGTTATGGCTTTCTATAAACACCATCTTGCTCGCTCTCACATTCTCTTTCCCAGGCTCTTACATTCTCTTGACCTCTAGCGTTCTTGGGTCGTTGTTCGTGACTGTGCTGCGTTCTTTGCCAGACAGCAAGCATTCGGCGGTGCCTCTCAATCCCCTCCTCCTTGGAATCTGTCATTCTTTCTGAGAAGCCCGTCCTTGGTACCACCCATGGCTACTGACTGGCAACCCGAGTGCCTTGTGCCTCAGAACCAGCCGTCACTGGATTCGGTGAGAGCTCATTCTGATCGGGCTCTCCAGAATACCTCCGGGAATGTCCAATCTTATGCAGACCACCTCGCCCATGGTGATGCTGCTGCCCGTGAAGAACAGCTGCAACAGCTTGGCTTCAAGTATGCGCAAGCCCCTCATCATTCCCAGCCTATCCCCGGGCACAACCTCCAACATCACCAGCATGTAGCACATCGCATTCAAGCCCGAAAGATGCGCCGACTTCATTCCGTTGGACCTCATAGCTCTCAGTCCCGACGGGCGAGAAGCAGCTATCTCAAGTCCCAAAAGTACTTGGAATACCGGGCCCGACCTCGACGGGATACAGGCAAAGATGGTGAACCAGTCTGGTCTGATGAGTTGGAAGATGCTTTCCAGCAGGGTAAGTGCATAACTGAGATATCACGACTACCTCCGGTCTAATTGTTGAATAGCCCTCGAAGCAAACCCTCCCATGGGTCGCAGAAAGTGGTCCGAACGGGGAAAGTCGTACGGCCGCAACGAGCTCATCGCTGAGTACATCTTCAAGTTGACTGGCAAGAGAAGAACCCGCAAGCAAGTCTCTAGTCACCTACAGGTCCTGGATTCTTTCCTCAAGGGAGATCCCGATTGTGAGTTGTGATGCATCATACATTTGACTACCTTTTATTAATACAGCCTGGCAGGGGAGCGACTTGTTCGAGAGACTTCACCCGAGCGGTCGTCTAGTGTGCACAGCTCAGCACCAGGGCCCAAATGGCGAACATCAATGGAGCACCCTTCCTCATCCAACCCTTACAGCAGCCACGCCCACTCTTCCTACCATGACAACATGCGATCCATGCAGCCCTATGGTGGCGACCTCCCTCCGCCCAGCTATACACTTGCATCCAACATGCAGGAAGCTGCTGCTAGCTCCATCAGTGGCTTCAGCTTTGACATGTGGGTGAGCGCCCCTCATCAAGCCAACAATGTCGACAAGGCACTGCACGCATACACGCGTCTCCAGGGTGATCCGCACCACCCCACTGCTTCTCCCATGCCTCTCGATAGTGTGCCTGATTGGCGAGGTTCTTTCCCTCAACTCGCTTCTATGGTTGACGATATCAGCAATCCGATTGATTGCGATATAATCTTATTGGAAGTAAGCCTCGAGTTGATGACCGACTTCCCTCCTGCAGGATCACGTCTGGGTATCCAACTTGACCTCGACTATGGTCACCCTACTGCTGGTGACGTCCTGGGAGTCAGTCAGATGGACAATTGGACATGCAGCACATATATCAATCAGGATAGCCAGCAGATTCTCGAAACAAACCAGGAACTTCCCAGGACTAACTCCACAAAAGTCAAGCCTCTCTTTGAATCTTCTTGGTGGGCTAGGATGTTCACGCAGTTGACCCAAGCCAAACGCGTGGCTGAGAACTCAGGCCATCCCCAAGAGGTCCAGAATGCGGATGATCACACCCGGCAGTTCTTCCGGTCCATGTCTGCAGTACAGGAGCTTCGCGCCACCCCAGCCAGTTCCCGCCTTGCAAACCAGTATCAAAGCCACGGCGATGACAGCAAGCGCATGGCCATTCTGGCCTGGAAGTTCCGTCAAACTCGTCCCGGTCAAGTCGGCACCACCAGCTGGAGACGCCTCCTCACTGCGCCAGACCGCACTAGCACCAACAGCCCTCGCACTGCCACTAATGTCGACCTTCCCCCACTTTCTCTGGACTCTATCCTCCTCAAACAACCCTCTCACCAGAGCGTCTATCAGCCTCAGCCCCAAGACCTCATCCACCAGGGCCAGTCTCAGTCCCAGTGGCCTATGTACACCTCCTCCCACGACAATGTGGCTAATCTATTTAATTCTAATGGTCCCCTCGACTTCATGAGCTCCATCTCCAAGCCCGAAGATGGTCTCAACGACAAAACCGCCGTTACCTCAGTTCTGGACTCATACTCCACCAGTCTTGCACCTGAAACCGCCCCATCCACCAGCCTCCATACCTCCAGCGGCGCTCCCGTCATGCTAAATGTCCATGACCTCTCAATGGCACACCCCGGAATGGGCTACAACCTTGGTCCTGACACATCCCACTATGTGCCTGCGCAGCAGCACCCCGTTATGCATGACAGCAACAGCGTTCTTAATGGCTTCTTTGGCTCGAACGCCCCCTCTCTCGAAGACCTTGGCCATGGCCAGGGCTCATGGGGTACCCACTCTGCCTCTATCCCTGGTGATGTTGGCAGCAGTTACCACCACCTTCCTTTCCAGGAGCACCATGGCTCTGTGCCTCGCGAGACGCAGCAGTCCCATCACTTCGATATGACCTTACCGTCAGATGATCTGATGGATAAGATTGTGGGACGCATGTCCAACGGTCCTAATATGCATGGGGCGGGCCCCGATGCCAATACAGGCTATGGAGATAATACCTCTGTGGACGCGGTATAACAATAATTGACACAAAAACATAGTAATAATGATAATCATTCTGGGAGTGGTCTTTTGTATTCTATCTTTGTGATTTTTTTCTTTTTTTTTTCTCTTGACTTTATACTTCTTTTGGGTGGGTTTGGGCAGCTTGGTGTTTTGAGGGGTTCGATATACGTGATAGGAGTTTTGAATATCATTTCTATACATTCTTATATTATTCACATTTCTTCAACCCATAATCCCTCTACTTTCCATCTCGGATTGGGAAACTAATGCCCGATTCCAGCTAAACAAGACTAAGCCCAGTTTAGCCGCCAGACAATCTCCCAATAACCGGTGGGGCGATACTGGGGATTGTATGGACACAGCAGAATTAATTAGCTAGAATGGAGTAGAAGACCACAGTTCCATTGCGCCATTTAGCCTGGACCTGTACAATTTGCCCCAGGCTGTATAGGCTCTATTTAAGGGGACACGATGCCCCAGGACAGTAGATAATTCTAGCATTCATAAAATTCATTCACTATGGCTGCCCCTACCGTCAAGCTGAACAGTGGTTTTGAGATGCCCCTCGTGGGCTTCGGCCTATGGAAGGTCAACAACGACACTTGTGCCGACCAGATCTACAACGCTATCAAGGCTGGCTACCGCCTGTTCGATGGCGCTTGCGGTATGGCATTAAACCTAGACCCTACTTAAGTAATTGACGAGAACTGATTAGCCCCATAGACTACGGTAATGAGGTTGAAGCCGGCCAGGGTGTCGCTCGGGCCATTAAGGACGGCCTCGTCAAGCGCGAAGAGCTCTTCATCGTCTCCAAGCTCTGGAACAGTTTCCACGAAGCCGACAAGGTTGAGCCCATCGCGCGCAAGCAACTTGCCGACTGGGGTGTTGATTATTTCGATTTGTACATTGTTCACTTCCCCATCGCCCTTAAGTATCTCGATCCCTCCGTGCGATACCCGCCCAGCTGGACTACTGCCGATGGCAAGATTGAGCTCGCCAATGCACCCATTCACGAGACCTGGGGTGCGATGGAGACTCTCGTCGACAAGAAGCTGGCCCGTAGCATCGGTGTCAGCAACTTCAGCGCACAGCTGCTCATGGATCTGCTGCGCTACGCCCGTGTTCGCCCCGCCACCCTGCAGATCGAGCACCACCCGTACCTCACACAGACTCGCCTGGTCAACTATGCCCAGGAGCAGGGTATCGCTGTCACTGCTTACTCCTCCTTTGGCCCTCTGAGCTTCATCGAGCTCGATCTGAAGCATGCTAAAGATACCCCGCTGCTCTTTGAGCATGCGACTATTAACTCTATTGCGGAGAAGCACGGCCGCACTCCCGCTCAGGTTCTGCTTCGTTGGTCTACACAGCGTAACATCGCTGTTATCCCCAAGAGCAATGACCCTACTCGTCTTGCTCAGAACTTGCAGGTCACTGACTTTGATCTGGAGTCTGGTGATCTTGAAGCCATTAGCGCTTTGGACAAAGGCCTGCGTTTCAATGACCCCATGGCTGTAAGTTTCATCTTTTCCAGTTTTTTTTTTTTTTTTTTTTTTTTTTTTTTTTTTTTTTTTTTTTTTTTTTTTTTTTTTTTTTTTTTTTTTTTTGAATTCATTGTACTGACGATTTTAAGTATGGCCTCGGTATCCCCATTTTCTAAGCTTGTGCCATCAGAGTCGACCTGGGTACACCAAAGACCTCACGGAGTAAATAAAACCCTCCACATAATGACTATAACGCCTGGAATAAATTCAAAATCAATTGTTCTATCTACAGAGTATTCAGTAAAAGCCTAGTAGATATCTCGTACCTGAAATGCAATGCACCACTTAGGCCGATCAATGGCAACGCGCCAAGAAATCCATAATGCCGATCCCGACTGACGTTTTCCAACGTCTGCACGGCACAACCACGCAACAATGGCTGCAAATATTGCGCGCTTGGCAGCACAGGTCCATATTACAGCAACCCCTGGGCCAAAGAATCTAGCAGAGAGCAGATTGATCCTGGGAGCGCTCCAGAAATTCGGAGAGGTACTGACGTACCGCAACCTCAAGGTAAGATCCCTCTGTCGCCTTTCGGGACCTAATTGACATGATCATGTCTAGTACGACACAAGCAATACCTCCACGCACTCTAATCGGCCTATTGTTGCCATATTTGAGACTGCCGATGCAGCAGAGCGTGCAATAGCATCTTCTCCCATAACGATTGGCCCCCCAACTCCTCCATCCACGCACACCACGCCTAATACTGCCCTTTCGTCCGAACCACAGTCCCTTACATTCGAAATCCAAACCTCACGCCACAACCATGCCTCGGCCCTGAAACGAAGTCCCTTCTATTCCACATACAATCTCTTCAAGAATAATCCCATCTATGAGGATCTGATCAGCAGCGAGACGGGGATTCCGCTCAAGGAATTGGCTGATACCCTCGCAAGTAAGAAGTATCCCATCGGACCCGGTGTGAAGAGCAATATCCAAGAGGAGAATCGGCAGATGGGGGCCACGAGCCTCGCCAATATGTGGAAAGAAGGAATGGGCATGGACGTGGATGGACATCCGTTTGGTGAAGGACAGGGTGCAAGTATCCGAGAACCTGGGGACATCAATGAGAAGCCAGCGGACGCGGCTTGATCCAGACTCTTTTTGTCCAGACTCTTTTTGTTTCCATTATCGACCTCCCATCGACATGCAACAAGATTCATTCTTTGTATCCTCAAACGTTCATTGGAGATTGAGCAGAGCTCTCTCCAATGGACAATCGGATAGGCATCGAATGTCATGCACGAATGGCCTGCGTTGTCACATTATCGCGTCGTTGCATCATCGCCTGTAATACCGCACGGATTCTTGTCCACTGTGCCGAGCTTTGGGGCAACGACTGACCACAAAGTCAGCCTGCGGCCTGCTATTGATGGTATTGATGACTGGGATCTGTCTGTCACAATCAATGCACAATCAATGCAATATCAAATGGACATTGGCTCAACTTCCGTGGTCCTCTGGCGAGGCCATGCACGATGCCATATACGCGACAAGGCTGCAATGAATGGGGCTTGTGCTCATACCCAAGGGCCAAATCACGTTCAATGCACTTATGAGAAGGTCTTGTTCAGAATAACATGGTATTCTGGGGCTTTGAACTATCTTTTCTGTCTTCATGTAGGGACTACTTAACGAACCATTAGTGTCCACTACGAAGTCATGAATGACTTTGCGTCATCAGGTCACCGGTTCTCAGAATACTGTGTGATAAAAAGGCAACAGACTCTAGACACATCTTCTACATCAATAAAGACCCGTCTTGATAGGGAGCCTGAGGAGGCATATCGAAATGTTGTGATCCCTTCATCAATGTGACATCGCATCCTGAGAATCTCTTACACACACCAACATAAGCACCTGGAAACCCCCACATAGTCGACCAACAAAACCTTGGAGATTCAAAGACAAAGTTCTTAGCCTTGGAAAGATGGGGAAGTTGGCTCAAATGGCCAGATGCAAACAATGCAAACAGAACAAACAGCGCAAACCATATGTACAAACAGATCACGTGGTGCCCCAGAAGCCCTGAGATCAACGCCCATCTAGCTGACATCGTTCATGACCAAACCGCCTTGCAGAGCTACATATGCATTGATTCTGGATTTTTGAACAGATCTCAACGTGTCATAGGCATAGAATGAATCGTATTCACAAATTCTAGCTAAGTTCCCCCTGGATCAGGGACAAAATCAGGCAGATCGATTCTCAAGCATCATGATGCGGCTAGATCGATCTCCCAAAACGATTCACGGTCGATTCCATGGGCACCAGCAGCAGAGAAACAATGATCTAGCTACAGCCATTGCTAGCAATCACGCCCGTAAGCCCCTAGAATCTGGTAAATCGATATCGGTGCCTGGGCAGATCACGATCGTGAACATCAAGTGTCTGACACCTGAGATCGACCCAGGATCGCGAGGTCAACTCAGGATCGCGAGGTCAACTCAGGATCGCGAGGTCAACTCAGGATCGCGGGGTCAACTCAGGATCGCGAGGTCAACTCAGGATCGCGAGGTCAACTCAGGATCGCGAGGTCAACTCAGGATCGCGAGGTCAACTCAGGATCGCGAGGTCAACTCAGGATCGCGAAAGTTTCCAGATCGTGCGATCCTCGCGGGCTCCTCCTGCTTAAATACAACTCTTGAGTAACTTCACTTTTCCTTCTCTTCCCACGCTCTCGCTCCTCTTTTCTGTCCAAAGACACCGATATCCGGCTTAATCAAGTGCATACAAACAGCTTGTTTCCAACTTCTACTCGATCAAAATGCCTTTACCTCACTCGCGGGCTGGTCGATTACTCGCTGCCATGTCTAAGACAGGAGCCCGGGCCAAAGCCCACCTCAAGTCCTATGTAATTTACACTCAACAACCATCCTGCTTACGGTCTTGACTAACAATCACAGGCCGGTGGCCGCGTCTTTTCCAACTGGCGTGGTATGCTACGCGGACAAACTCGGCTGCCACAAACGTGCGCCCGTCACGAAACTGATTCAGAGGAGGAGATGTTGTTGGGCGGCCTTGAGGCAAGTGACGAAGACGCCGATGGACAAGAGATCTCGGATTCGGATTTATACCGCCGCTGCATTGGCGGCATTGCTTAGGCACCTCCCTCAAAGTGCATCAGTCCATCAGCGATCAAATCCAACTTATGATAGCTTATGATGAACCAATCTTTGCCGACCTCTTCATGACCCTTCCACCTATCAGCACTCTCAGTCACCACTTTCTGATCCATCGTTTGTTACATTCCGTGGATAAGATCAGCTCCCATTTGTTGATGGTGGTAGCTGGACTCGTTCTTACGCTTGGTTGTATCTTGGTATCAAGCCTATCCGCTGGAGTGCGACGGGGCAACTGATATCAAATATCCCACTCAGCATCATTGAGATCTTTTTTCTGGTCATCCTGGTCATGGATCAAGACGATGCAGACGTGAAAGCTCGTATCGAATTGACGAGCATTTGTTGAGGCTACAGGGAGAGAAGAAGATGCGGACAGAACCGATTGAATGAACTCTTCGGGGAGAGAGAGGGAGCGAAGGAGAAGAATGAAGAAGCGGGGGAAGAAGAATAAGAAGAAGAAGCGGGGGAAGGAGAAGAAGGAAGAAGGGGGGGGGGGGAAGAAAAACAAGAAGAAGAAGCGGGGAAGAAGAAGAAGCGGGGAAGAAGAAGAAGAAAGAAGAAGCGGGGAGCGGATCTATAACGTGAAAGCTCGTTTCAATTGAGCACAGTTATCTTCTCCCAAAGTCTGCTCGCAGCATTGACGAACATTTACCATCGACAGCGGGGCAATTGATATCAAATGTTCTACTCAGCATCATTGTGACCTTTTTTATGGTTATACTGGTCATAGGTCAAAACGATGCAGACGCGAAAGCTTGCACTCATCACTTGTCAGATTCCATGGACAAAATTAGCTCCCATCTGGCGATGGTTGTAGCTAGATTTGTTCTTACGATTGGTTGCATTGTGGTATCGGCAACTGATATCAAATGTCCCACCCAGCATCGTTGAGAACTTGTTCATGGCCATCCTGATCACGGGTTGTAACGATACAGACACGAAAGCTCGCACTCATCGCTTGTCGAGTTCCATGGGCAAGATCAGCTCCCATCTGGCGGTGGTGATAGCTTGATTCGTTCTTACGGCTGGTTGCATCATGGCATCGAGCTTCATGGATTGGTGTGACGGAGCAATTGATACAAATGTTCTACCCATCATCATTGAGGCCGTTTTATGATTATGCTGATCACGGGTTGAAACGATGCAGACGCGAAAGCTCGTACCCATCGTTTGTCAAGTTCTATGGACAAGATTGGCTCTTATCTGTTGATGGTGGTAGCTGGACTTCTTTTTACGGTTGGCTGCGTCGCGGCATCGAGCTTAATGCATTGGAGTGTGACGGGGCAACTGATATCAAATGTCCTATCCAGCATCATTGAGATCTTCTTCATGGTTATCCTGATCACGGGTCTAAACGATGCAGATGCGAATGCTCCCATCGAATTGACGAGAATTTACCACCGGTGGCGGGGCAAAGGACCATCCAGGGATGGTTTGCGAAGTTGCAGAGAATCGTGGTGGTGGAAGTGCATGGATAGGGTTGTCAATCTGGTTTCTTGAGCGTGTGCTGGGAGCGATCTTGTGCATTAAAAAGAAAAGAAAAGAAAAATTTACCATCGCGCACATGCGCACACACCACACAACCTGCCATTCATTTGTCGTAGGGGTTCCCAGTGCATAAGACAAGTCCATTCTCTCCATCAGCGTAGTGAACCATTCCCCCCGGCTGCTTGTATACTTAGCAATTGCGTTCTTACTACTCCGTAGTCAGATGCCATTGCAAGGGATATCCAAATGAGCGCTCAATGCAGGAGAACTGAGATGATAAGGTCTGAGACGTGTATTTGGTATCCCATATGAAGTGAGATACGATGGTACCTGGAAGTGATCTTGATGACAGTATTGCGCATCCATTCATCAAAAATACATAGCAACGGGCGTAAGCAAGCTCTCTCTTCGTAAGGTCCCAAGTACAAATGAATAGCTGAACAGCCTGATTCCAACCAAGAATTAAATCGTTCCCATTTGATTTCTCATGCAAAGACTCAAGTCAATCCCATTGCATCAATGAGATGCCACCACCCGCGAACTGAGGCATATCGTAATCTGGTCAGAGACTGCCGGTGGGCACTATACTCGAACGAACGCTAAGAACCAACATGTTAGTCCGGTCTGAAGTATTTTTGTCAAGCAAATGGGGAAACTTACTAGCATCGATCTGTTTGATATTCGGTAGCGCCAACCGAACTTTGTTCCGATAAAGAGCAGGCGCATTCATCTGCAATGGGTTTCCCTCGAAGTATACAGTTTCCAGCTTCTCTTTATCCTTCAATTCACGCTCGACTTCCTCGAAGCTGGCAAGCTTGTTATTGGATCCCCATAGTTCCTCGAGATTCTTTAGTGAGGAGAGGTGTTCCAGGTGAGAGACCTGGTTGTTAGAGAAGTCAAGAACACGCAAAGTCTCGTTGGATTCTAGTCCTGAGAGATCGGTAATTGCGTTGTGTGAGAGGTAGAGCTCCTCAAGGTTCGGGAGCGCCGAGAGGCCCGAGATTTTGGTCAGGCGATTAGACTGGATAGAGATGATGCGCAGATTTGACAAGTTGTCGAGATTCTGGAAAGTGTTAGCTTTGTTAGCCTTACGCGCGTGCATGGGGTGTCATTGCGAACCTTCATCTCCACGATCTTATTCTTTCCGAGCCATAGCTCCTCAAGTGCGGCGAGTTTTTCCAAGTTCTCAATTTCCTGGATTCGACTCCATTAGAAATCGCACGTGTAAGCGGGGAAGAAATCCTATCACGAACCCGAATCTTGTTGGCTCCCAATTCCAAATTCTTGATCAAGGTCAATTCATCCAGGCCCTCAATACGGGTGATCTTGTTTTGCACAAAGAACAGCTCGGTCAATTTCTTCAAATGTGACACATTCTTGATATGCTTGATCTTGTTGAAGCTCAGGTCCAGACTGGTCAAATTTTGGAAATCCTCCAGGCCCTTGATGTGCGAGATGAGATTATCGTAGAGATCGAGTTCGGTCAGAGTTTCGGCGATATTTGAAGGGAAATCGATGCGCGATATTTGATTCTGGCGCATGCATAGTCTCTAATTAAGGGAGTGCGTTAGCCTGCTGCACATCTCATATGGGTAATGAGCCGGATTGCGTTGGAGAAAAAGAGGTGTCACACGGCATCTTCTCCAAGACTGTATATCGGGGGCGAATGCGCTTTACCTCAAGCTTAGTGAAGCGCTCTAATTTAAGGGCAGGGATCGACGATATCCGACAATGCACGATGTCAATTTCCTATATCCGGGTGATTAGCAATCGCGTCATTGCACTTGGGCTGGACACTCAATCGGAAGCCCAAGAGGGCTCAGGGCTGCGTACCTTTGAATCGACATCCTCATCCGCCAACAGATCTGAACGTGTTGTAGCCCATCAGCTTGCTGGTCTGCCGTGAGCAGCCGTTCCTGCGGGGTGCATACCTTCGTCGGCTTCGATCTCTTCCACCGGCGGCGCCTCTGGGTCTGAATAATCAGAATCTTCCAGGGCCTCTGGATTCGTGATGACAGCTTTGGGTTCGACCCTCATTTTCCCGTCCCAGCCCTCCGAGTTCTTCATAATTTCAGCCAGCGTGACGATGTGGAATGTTTGGAGGTTGCGGGCGGTGGGAGATTCGATTGCGGGGAGCTTTCTGCTTTCTGCTTGTTTTTTTTTTTTTTCTTGCGCGGAAGACAATTGACAATCTCAAGGTGGGGAGATCGACAAGACAAGCGTTATGAATTGAGTAGAAATGAGGTTACAGGAGCTGTGACAGAAACCCTGGTTGGGGGGAAGTTGACTACATCATTGTCTTAATGCGGGACTGGCCGGTACTCAGGTACCACCCTAACACTACTACAGGGACTACAGGGACTACTACATAGAATGACAGCACTACAATCTGATTGATTCCTTTCCTAATACTCCATACCAGCCTAATGACTATTTTTGGGAAACGCCTTCTCGAGGGCTATGTACAGCATCGGGACTGCTCACCATATACATTGCATGAAAGAATCACCGGGAACTTAAAACAGCGTAAAGGGGATTATTAGACACTGCTCACTAGAGAAATTTATGCTGCTCGACGGACTCGGCAAGGAAGAGAACGCAGGATGCATACTCGTCTATTGAGGAGATCGCGCCAGTAAGACCCTGTAGCAAGGCAAGAAATGAGAAGGAAAAAATGGGGGGAAATAGGGGGAAGATACAGCGGGGACATAACCAAGAGACGCCTGCAGAATGCATGAAAAGCGGACTTGTTGTAGGGAGGGAAAATACACGACTGGATAAAATAAGAAAAGGAGAATAATAAGATAAAAAAAAGTTCAGGGCATGAGGGGGTGTTGATAAGCATAGAACAAGGCAACAGGGTAACAAGGGAATGGGCTCGCTCGGAGCGTAGTGAGACAAACAGATCGCAATGCAAAAGGTCGAAAATGGCTAGTGATGGTAGCTATCCAAGGACGACGACAGATGCGGACGAGCCGTGGGCCAGAAGGATACCAGTTCCATCTGCGCCATGCGGTCGTTGAGAAAGGGAATCAAATCGGCATAGGGAAACAGGGTGACTACCCATCAATGGCAGCAATGCTGAAGAGGGACACAAAAGGAGAGGCTTTTCTCGCGTAGAAAAGAAAACAATTCGCTCAAAATGGATATCTCAGGCGTGAGGACCAAGTAAGGACCTTTATAAGCTGACGTCCAGGACCATGCTGACATCTTGTACTTGTGGACCTGCAAGATCCTCGAGGACAGGGATCAAGTCGAGCAGCTCGTTGTCGTGAGCGTCAGAGAACCAGCTACTGATAGGGATCGCGTGCTCAGGATGGAAGATATAGGAGGTGGGGGAGTTGTCGATGATGATAGTTTCCTTCAAGTCTCGACCAACTTGCGAAAGATCCTAGATGATCATTAGCTGGCTTCGGTTAATCGGTGAGGTCTGAATCATACCTTGACATAATTTCCCTGGTGGTTGTAACAGCTCTCACGGAACAGACGGTGATGGACGACATTGTGAATATCCAGTTGATCCAGAAGAGGATCACCATACTGTTGGAGTAAAGTCAGTGTGTGTGCCCTAGGAGGTTTGATGATTGATCTTGGGCTGTCAACTGACCTTTGAGACTGAAGCGGTGAACACCACTACTTCATAGAGTTCACCGACGCGCTTCATGAAAGCATCCACACCAGGGCGCTTGATCACATAAATGTTATGATACTGGCCTTCAATCTCAACTGGAATGGTAAAATCGGCGCGTTCCAAAACCTGTCAAAGAAGATGAGCCGAGGTGTTACAATGACGCGACAGACGCGAAAAAATCAACAACATGAGTACATACCTTGAAGCTGCTGTGCACAAGCGTCTCATCCAAATCAAGTACCAAGCATTTTCTTCCACTCAAGTGAGGCAAAGGTGCGGGGAGCAAGGGCCGAGGAACGTTCTCGGGATATCCTCGAGCTGGAGGGGCTGGAGCGGGCGGGGGAGGTGGGAGTACCATAGCAGACTGCGGGGTCTCTTCTTGGTGGTTGACAGTATCGTCATTGTTTTCAGCGTCGATAGATTTATCAGACATGTTGGAAGTTGGTGCAGTTGAGGTTGGGGCAGGAGGTAGGTCTTCAGTCGTTGCGCTTGTTTGACCGTCCAAATCTGGAGACATCTCGTGTGTTTTCAAGTCGGCAACTGGATTACTGCCAGCGTCGGTTTCAGCGGGCACGGAAATCTCTTCTCGTTGGTCCTTTTGGCCTGAGATTTCCGGTTGAACGACGCTTGTGGAAGGTCCTTCGGCTTGAGCACCGCCTGCAACCGCCTGCAGGTTGCGCTCCTCGTCCCCTGGCTGATCCGCGCTGACGGTGGAGTTTGCCTTTTCGTCTAGGTATGGCTCTCTCGATTCCGCGGTGCTGGAGTCGCCGGTGTGAGCTTCCGCCTTGTCAGGGGTGGGCAGTCGATTCGAGGTAGCTGGCCGCATGGTGGTTTTCTTCGCGGGCAAAGCAGCATCGTCACCGTCCACGTCTGAAGAAGAGCAACAGCCCAAGAAAGCCAGAAGCTTGTTTGGGCCCTTTTTCGGGGGCTTTGAAGAACTGGCCTCGGGCGCAGTTGCCGTTTCCTTGTTTTCCTCCACATTGGCTCCATCCTGAGTCCGGCGCGACCGTTTACTGCTGGCCCGACTGTGATCCCGTTTTCCCCGTAGGATGCTCACCTTGGAGCCCCTTCGGGGTTCCTCTTGCGCGTCCTCGGTCTTCTCCCCCGACTGTTTGTTGGTCTTGGAGGACCGGCGCGATGGGATGGGTATCAGTAAATGGCGTTTCTTTGAGGTCGGTTCCTCCGCAGCAGATGTGCTCGCGGTTGGATCGGCGGAGAGGGACACGGGGTCCGAAGATGCGACGGCGGAGGCATCCTGGATCTCGGTCGCATCGGTGCCTTGATCCCGTTCGGACGACTCATCTGTGGAAGGCGGGACATTAGTGACTGACATCCCTTGGTTGTTGAGCTTCAAAACGCGCAGGACGACTTACTGGCTGGGCCCGGAAGCCCGGGAGTACTCATTGCTTTGTCTGTGGACTCCACAGCTGGCTCTCGCCCCGTACTCTCTCCACTCATCGAGGGCAGTGTTCAGGGAGACAGCAAATTCACCTATAGTGAACAAAAGAGGGAAGCGATGCAGATCCCAGGAATGGCCGAGTCAATGCCAGGACTGGGTGAGCGCTAAAGGAAGTTAACACCTCCTGGATCAGCAAGGCTGGAAGCTCGCACGTACCGCCTTCCCGGGAAGCGACAACGCTATTAAAACGCACGTTTTGGGATCAACACAAATCGGACAACTCAGTGATACACGACTCAATAGGGAGGATTTCCGTCAGAGAGGAGGGAGGAGTCGGGGATGTCACGTGAACGGTGTGGGAAAACGGGGCTGATTTTAATTGCTAAACAAGGCACAGAGGGTCCTTTTCTCGCACTATAACACGCCCTCGGCGGCTACAGCACTTATCACGGGTGGGTTTCGGTGACTGGACCTGCTTCTGACCAATATGCATCCAGGGGAGAATCCGCGTTGGTATAGGTCTGGACAGCTGCAGAACAATTTGAGATGATCCCGATCAGGCCTGTGGGGGGATCGGTGGATTGACTCTTTATTTTGCCCCCTTTTTTCCTTTTCATTTGCCTATGTCTTGGGAGCTATGACCTTCGAATCCACGTTCTCGGGGGAACCAACTTGGGTTTCAGGAGAGAGGATCTTGGCTATACTTCGGAGTACAGAGTACAGAGCGTGCCATTTGTTAATGATTACATTAAGTAGTTGTCCAGCTGGTACTAAATGTAACGCAAGCCATTTATACGTTGATGGAGTACACGAATCTATCGGAAATTGCGTTGGATTCTCCCTAGACTGCTACTGTTTAGACCAAGTGCACTACGGACTAGTGCTGATATGGAGTAGTCGGAGTAGTACGGAGTCTGTAAGATTACGGAGTAGTTAACTGCGTGTATATAAATACGAGCAGTCCACCACGTATGGAGTATGTAGTATTTGTATATTTAACTACGAGTAGTCTCTACTTATACTCCGTACCCCGTATGTAGCCCTGGAGGGCTAAGACTAATACAGTCAGCATTCCCCACGTGAGGTTCTCCGCATATCCCGAGGTTCACATGCAATGATGCAAAGAACTCCAGGGCAACCTCATCTTTCCTCTTGTCATGTCTCTCCATCGCCATCGAGATTAACATGACCTTCCAAGCATAGTTTCTCTCGGAGGTCTCGGAGGTCTTGGACCATTTCAAGATGGCTGTCCAGTCAACACTTCGAGAGGATCCCCTCTTGACCCTCTATCGCCATTATTCCGATCTCGTACGCTCCAAATTACGCCATTCCTCCAAGACAACTCGCTTGGTAGCAACGGTAGCGCTCCTGTTCTCTATCATCACCTCGGGATATGGAGGCTACAGGTGGTTCCGGGGGAGAGTGAAGGAGCGAGCCCAGGGCCGCCGGCTGTTGCGGCGCAATTCCGGGATCCGGGGTAAAGACGGATCCCGGACCATCTATGTACCATACAAGGACTCCTTAACCTCAAAGGTCCGCATCCATCCAACCAAGCCGACGACCTTTGATGCCCATCGTCGCCTATTCCTAAATCCACCAGCCTCGGCTCGCAGCAAGAATGACGGATCGACGAACCAAATCCCTCCACCCGCCACCAAGCCCGGCCTCAATCTGGCGTTCTTACATCAGTTCCTGAGTCTGGGCAGTATAATGGTCCCACGATGGGGCAGCAAGGAGACGGGATTGTTGATGAGCCATGGCCTCTTCCTCTTATTGCGAACATATCTCTCCCTGCTGATAGCACGCCTTGACGGTGAAATTGTGAGGGATTTGGTGGCAGGTAAAGGAAAAGCTTTCCTATGGGGCATCTTGAAGTGGTGTGGAATTGGAACTCTTGCTTCATACACGAATGCGATGATCAAATTCCTCCAGTCGAAGGTGTCCATCGCCTTCCGAACCCGACTGACGAGGTACATCCACGACTTGTATCTCACTGACAATAACAATTATTACAAATTGATGAACTTGGATGGTGGAATTGGTCAAGGTCCCGACCAGTTCATCACACAAGACCTCACACTTTTCTGTACGGCTGCCGCATCACTATACTCCTCCATGGGAAAGCCGTTGGTGGATCTGTTTGTCTTTAACTATCAGCTTTATCGCTCTCTTGGTCCCCTCGCTTTGAGTGGCATCCTAGCAGGATATTTCAGCACCGCCGTTGTACTGCGCAAACTATCACCACCATTTGGAAAGCTCAAGGCAGTCGAGGGCAAGAAAGAGGGAGACTTCCGTGGTCTACACTCTCGACTCCTCGCCAACGCCGAGGAGATTTCTTTCTATGGCGGAGCCGAAACCGAGCGAATATTCCTGGTCAGGAGCTTCAAGGATCTACAGCGATGGATGGAAGGCATCTATAGCCTCAAGATTCGCTATAACATGCTCGAAGATATGATCTTGAAGTACTCCTGGTCCGCATTTGGCTACCTCGTCACTTCACTGCCTATCTTCCTCCCAGCTTGGGGTGGATCTGGTGGTAAAATGGAGCTGGCAGACGCCCCCGAAGGGATGGGCCGTGAGCGTGGCCGCATGAAGGAGTTCATCACGAACAAACGTCTCATGCTTTCCTTGGCCGATGCCGGAGGTCGCATGATGTACAGTATTAAGGACATCTCAGAACTTGCTGGTTACACCTCTCGCGTCTACGGACTCATTGCCACTTTGCACCGTGTCCACGCAGATGCCTACTACGTCCCGCCAGGTGCTCATCCCGAGTTCTACTCCCTCGCTGACTCTCAGGGTACCACCCACAACGGCTTCGATGGAGTCCGCCTGGAGCAGGTTCCCATCGTTGCGCCATCTCTCTACCCAATGGGAGGTGACGAGCTCATCGAGTCTCTATCATTCATCGTCCACTCAGGCGACCACCTTCTCATCTCTGGGCCTAACGGTGTAGGCAAATCTGCAATTCCACGCATCGTGGCTGGACTCTGGCCCGTCTACCGCGGACTTGTCAGCCGCCCTCGAGGATTTGGCCTCGACGGCATCATGTTCCTTCCGCAGCGGCCATACCTCAGCGTCGGCACCCTGCGCGACCAAGTTATCTACCCGCATACTGAAATCGACATGCGTGAAGCCGGCGAGTCTGACGCAGCACTGCAGAAGATTCTCGATGATGCCCATCTGGGCTACCTGCCAGAGCGTGAGGGTGGCTGGGACGCCCGCAAGGAGTGGAAAGACGTTCTCAGCGGCGGCGAAAAACAGCGCATGGGCATGGCTCGGCTCTTCTACCACGAGCCGCGATATGCGTTCATGGACGAGGGCACTTCGGCCGTTTCATCGGACGTTGAGGGCTTGCTGTATGATAATGCCAAGGAGCGTGGGATCACACTCATCACCATCTCGACGCGGGCGTCTTTGAAGAAGTATCATACTTTCAATCTAACTCTCGGCCTTGGCGCTGAAGGCGAGGTCTGGGAGTTTGAGAGAATTGGCACAGAGAAGGAGAAGCTTGGCGTTGAGCGCGAGCTGCAGGAGCTACGAAAGCGGCTAGATAATGTTGATGAGTGGAAGAAGCGCCGTGAAGAAATTGATGCTGAGCTTCAGAAGGTTTGGGCGAACGGCGCTGAAGTTGCGCCGCCACCTTACCAGGTGGAGGAGTGTTCTGGCTCCGAGGAACTTGTTGAACGAAGCACAGAATGAGCATGAACACTGCAGATTAGATATACCGGGACATTGACGTCTCCCTCGTTGTTTCCTTTAGCAAGAATACCAAATGATATTTTGATACTCCAGTTTGCATGGTATAGAAACCTTGGAGGCTCCTTCCCAAAGCGGCGCCTGATCGACCGCCCGCGATACTGCCCCTTTCTTATCGATAAGAAATGGCTCGGAGAAAACTATGGGATCATTCATTGTCAACACCTCCCCTTTGCTCCTCTATTTCTTCACATCCGAATGAAAGCTTGTTGGCACAACCGCCTTGAACTTTCTTTCGGAGCTTGAATGTGCTGAAATTATCCAAATTGCCTGGCAGCTTCATTATCTGAGTGTCCTGGGCTTTACGGAGCGCACGTGGGGAAAGGATGTCTTCCAACGACGAAGAGGAGCTTGATTTGAATGTCATTCCCGTCGACAGCTTCGCAAGCGATGGGAATATGAATACCTGGCCCACAGGGCCTCCATACAAAGAGCGCGATGACCAACGTTGGCGTGCAAAGCTGGCCACATATTGGCTCAAAGAGATGGGTTCCCTTGAAGACGGTGGGTGTCATGCCAATTCAAAGTCTACGGGCATTTCTAATATCCCACGTTGAAGGTGCAAGCTACACTTTGGACAAACTTCCTGAGGGATATTGTTTGTTTGAGAAACCAAACATGAAAAATCAACGACAAGTGGGATCCTCTACGCTTCTTTGCCATTTTGACCTCCGACTAATATGGACATAGTTCAATCCTGCTTTATTTGGGCATCCAAGTGGCAGGTTCTTTGTCTCCCCGAACAATTTCCTGGAACATTTCCTTTCCCTGATCGGAAGTACGCTAGGTACTTGCAAATGCAGTCCGTGTCAATCGATGTCGACCGCGATCTCCGGACAAGCGAGGCCTGGTCGGAAGCCCGGCAGACCTCCCAGAACTAGTGAACAGCCAAGTGAGTATATCTGACTTAGTTCGGGACGAAAGCAAATTCTCGTCCGCCGGCTTCTCCGCTTCAACGTGTTACCTATACTCTGTTATTTTACACCATAGCTATGGCTAGTCATGCGCTTACTGACTTAAAATTAGCTTTAGATTCGCGCCTCCCTGGTGACGAGGATGGCCCCGACTACTGGAAAATTCTGGTCATCAAGTTGAAACACCAAGGCCAGGTCGACGAAGAGATCAAGCAAAGCTCCAATATTGACTGGTTCCTCACGAACGAGGATCTCTCTGATTACTTCATGAAACTGGTGATAGATCCCGCCTATGTTCCCCGACGGGGTGAAATTGTTCTGTGGATTTGGTCAGACTTGGACGGCTGCCTCTTGCTCAACCCTGCTACCGGTGCAATCGAAGTATTCGGAGATGACAACCAGTGGCATGGTCCTCCCGAGTGGCGCGCCGGCGTGGTCACACAGACTCCCACTGACGAAGTTCATATGGTCGATATTGTCGACAATGAGGCTACCTCGCAAGAGCTAAGCAATTCTGGGTTCCGTGTGGAAACTTTGCCAGACCCACTAGGCAAAGACAAGTCGTATTCTCGACAGTATTCCTATGTCCCATTGCGCAGAATCAAGCCTTTCAACTCTTGGCAAAACTTCCTTGGAGCCTTACAGCGCGAGGATGTACATCCCTCCATTGAAAATGCCATGACGGTCATGTCATCCATGAGTCTGGTTCACAAATTCCATGCCAAGGGTCAATTTCCTTCACTTTCTATTTCATGCAAGGGCATCTTTATCGGTGCCGAGCTTCTGGCAGTGCATGACACAATCCGCCTCAAACCACAAGGCTACAAGTACAACCAGTACAAAGTCCATGGGACAGGCAAAGTGACTGATGTAATGGTCATTGAAACAATCACCCTCGAGCTCTCCAACTGTGTCGACAACCCAGACGACGCGCAGCTTGCACAACAATACACAGCCTTGCTGACGGGCAAGGCGTTCACCACCAACCCAGATCGCAGTATCTGCGGTGGGCCGTTTGCAAAAATCGATTCTAAACCACTGAGCAGTGAAGAGGCGACCGCGACTTTCAGACAAGTGGGAATGAGTGACTACGGCCCCTGGTATCCTCTGGCCGATGGCAAAACATGCAGCGTCTCTCCCCACCATGTCATTGGCCGTTGCTACGAGCCTCTTGCAGCTGAACTCATGTTCGGCAAACATACATTCGGCTATGACCTTTCAAGTGTAATGGAAGGCCGCAATTATTCTGAACAGGTGGACCACCGCATGCCTGTCGGACACACCTGGTTCTGGGGTGACAGCCGCGTCGAAACACTGGGTCTAACCGAGATCAATGGCGTGGAGTGTGGTGTCTCAGCCTCGCAGCGCGAAACCCCCGAACAATGGCAAGCATTACTCAAAATTGCCCGGGGAGAAGGAAATGCCAAACTTCGAAAGATTGCCGCTATTCCCAGCTCTTCTGGGCGTCCACATGGGTCTAAGAATAAAGAAACGCCCACGTCTAACAGTGGCTTTGCGGGGGTTGCGTCGACCAGTAAAATGGTTAGCTCTGCTATCGGAGGCGTCCGTCTGGATTCATCGAATGAGGATAGCGAAATGACCGATGACAATGCTGCCCTTGAGCTTACTGACCTTATGCGAGCAGTGAAAAGTGACAGTGAGGATGAAGATTACCAGTAACTTGCGCAGCTTGGTGTTTTGATGGACCCTTGCTTTTCTGTTTTCAGCGCCACATCAGCGATACCCAACGGCGTTCTGGGGATGTATGATTATTTCTCTATGTGCTTGACTTATGTTCAATAAATTTCATGGCTTATCCAGTTCCATTGGCAGGGTTACTCCCAGCACATTGTGCCTAAAAAGTCGAGGGTAGACTTTCTACTTTGACTCAATCGAAATTACAAGAGAAATTCATTCGAAGATAAATTAAATTCATAGGCATGTTCATTTCACATACAGCATTTCCATGGGTTTCATCACTAAAAGAAAAAAAGAAAAGGTATCCCGAGGTCACCATCACCAGACCATATCCAATGTTATTTAAACCTCACCCTCAGTGGCACGCTTGGAGGAGCGCTTCTTCTCAGACCAGGGGAAGTGCACAACGGGTGGCAGGAAGAAGCTGTTGCTGTTATCAGCTATACCCGCAAAGGCATTATACCAAGCTAAGAAAGCACCCAGTATCGCAAAAAGTCCACCGGCTTTGAGCAGTTTCTCATTGGGCATTCCATCCACCTGGAGGAGATATCCGAGAGCAAGGAGCAGAATGGCGATATCGACAAAGAAGAAGAGGGAGAAGAATGCCACGGTCGATTTGAGGGTGAGTAGGGTGATCAACGTGGTAAAGATGAACCAGCCCTAGGGAAACAGTTAGCTTTGCTGGTTTTTACTCGAGCGACGACTTACAAAGAGGTATAGCGCGAACGAATTGTAGAACATTGTTGGTTCGCCGTTATCCGCTTTCTCCAGGGCGCCCATAATGTTGAAACCGCCGGGGATGAATGTGATGGCCAGAGAAATCCAGAATCCACCGTAGGAAGAGAGCACCGTGGCTCCGAAGGTATTTCCGACGGCCATTTCCCTAAAAAAGTCATTAGTATGTCAAAAAGAGAAGTCAATGGTAATTTTGAACATACCACATGCCGGCGCATAGCTGGACAAATCCACCATAAGCCAAGGCAGGTCCCACGATGATATTGGGCTCAGTCACACCGCGAACTTGCATGTTGATACATCCCAGAATGAATGTAGTCAATGCGAAGCCGCAAAGACCCAATGGCGCGGGATTGGCGAGCTTGCGATCCTTGGGCACGCGATACAGACCGGGTTGGAGATCACCGCCGAAAGCTGGGTACCGACTGGAGGCAGTGTTGACGTGGGCAAGAGGACCAAAGTGGCCTGCATTGTAATCGTCTGTGGAATCAGACTGGTGAGTGTCTTTCACACTAATTCCTTCTTCGTGAGACATCGTGAATGGTCGTGATATGGAAGAACGTAAAAGGATGAGGTGTGGTTTGGAAGTAAAAGAGTCGGAGGTTGTTTAAAAGGGAGATTCACTAGAAGTACAGCAAGTCCAGACGACCTTGAAGCAACTGACTCGACTGCGACATTTCTCTGCTTTATATACACCGCGCACAGCGGAATCTGGTTCCTCGCGCGCAAACTGGAGAAAGCTATGATGCGGGGAGGGCCCAAAAACGAAGCATAGCAGGTTACCTAGCATGAATGGGTGTAACTCAAAAACTGATCTATTGGGTAAAGGTAAAATGGAGACCTTCTCATCCGCCCGTCCGTTCTGCAGACGATCATAGGTGAGTGTTGATGTTTCCGGTGATGATCGACAGAAGATCTGGGTCTTTCAGCCATGGGGTAATGCGGAGATCCCCACACAGAAGTTGGAATTGTCTGATAATACGATTACCGCTGCTTGATGGCAATTTGATTGGCGCGCATTGGGGTGTCGGCATCGATACCTCGGCGGACCAGTATACCGACCGACGCTGATTGGATCCGAGAATTGGACCCGACAAGAACTAGCGAGTCCCGAAGTGTGTGTCTTGAGTTTGGGATGCGCGTCACTGTGTTTCTCAAGACCCCCCTTGTTTCCCGGCTGTGGGGTGTGGAGTACAGAATGTTGTCTGGGGGTGGCACAGTGGCAATCCATTTGCCCCCGCAGATAATTGGTTCAAGGGCTTTTCCACTGCGGAAAAAGAGAAACGGGAGTGAAGATAACCTCATTTCATAGTTGAGTTTGTATTGTAGTTAAAGCTAACCTCAATAGTTCTTCTGTACAACGCCTCTTGCGAACTCCGCAAAACTCAAGCCGGGTTGAACCTCCTCTGCCAAATTTGGCTGCGTAAACACAGCGAGGGTATTCCTCGCGATCTTCTGTCCAGGACTAGCCTTGGCCCCCTTCACAAAGTGTGGCACGGCCATGAACTTGCCACGGGTGATGAGCTGTAGAGCTTCCCCAGTCTGAAAAGCCAGACAATCTTTAGGAATATTGACTTTGACGATCTCATCTGTGCGAGATCGAATATACAGACCTGCAGATGGGTCGGGGGAGCGGGGGAGCTCGGGGAGAACACTCGTATTGCTGGGAGGGGAGGCAGCCTCGTCAAGGAACATGGCCGATGTCAAGCCCGTCAGACAACCATGGTCGAGATGGGTCGCACACCAGTCGTCGTCGCTGGCCTCGGTTTGTTCCTCACTGCCCGGGAAGTAGTGTAGGAGACGGGCCTTGGTGGTCAGACTGGTCGTGACGACATGGTGCAGATACCCAGGCTTGTAGCCCTCGATATTGGCCTCGGCGTACCGATCACAGGCCTTGGCGACCAGCGCGGCGGTATCGATGATCAAGCCACAGAGGGACTCCACGCTACCCCTGAATTCGGGTAATTTCGCCTCGGATGGCCAGATGTTCGGCGCGGTATACTGGGGCAGGTCTGGGAATCCATCGGCTGGCGCACTATCCAGCGATGGGTCCTGATAGAAGGCGCAATTCACATAGTAAGAGCCCTTGAGCGTGTCAAAATGGCCGGATTTCAAAGTTTCCTTGCCACAGGACCAGCCAACCAGATACTTTGATTCTGGGCTGGTGAGATTTTCTGCGGTGTACTTAGCTGCGGTTTTTGTGTTGTGGATGTGTGGGTGAAGCGTCCACTACACACTTACCTAGTTCCGCATCTGACAGCGCTGCTAGATGCGAGGCATTCGAAAGAACCTTTGCACGTAGCTCAGTAAATGTCTGGGGCAAATCTTTTACAACAATAATGCCCAGGGACTCGGGTCCGAAAGCCTCGGTCAGGGTATCAAAAGAGACAGTTCCTGGATGATTTAGCGTCGAGCATAGAGTCTCCCCAGGCCCACTCACCCTCAATAAGTTCCTGTAAACTAACAGTGACTGCTTGAGCCACGGTGGACGTGTTGATGGCCATGATTGAGGAAATACAATGTCAAGATCAAATTTCCCCCGCTTCGACTTTATCGCTTGGCGGCGCTATCTATACTAACCTTGTAAGTAGAATGCAACCTCATGCAACTCATATATCTCATACAGGCCGTATAATGCAACTCTATGCATAGAAGAACAGGGGTTTACATGCATGAGATCCGGGTGTCTTGTAGTGCTAAACTACAGTGTTCGTCTAGCATTGAAAACTCCGCTTTGAACGGTCAATCCGCACGTTGTTTACATCCATGGATATCTGATTAATATCTTACTCAACTCTGTTTATCGTACAATAACATCCTGATCACACATCACTCGCTGGTACCAGGCCGTCTACTGACCGACCTCAGGTTGCCAAATGGCAACACATCGCCAATCCGCTTAGCGCCGGTCAGCAGCATACAAAGACGGTCAATGCCACAGCCCCATCCACCGGTAGATGGCAGGCCCCATTCGAGTGCTTCGAGATAACTCTCGTCAATCTCGCCAGGCTCACCAGCGTCCTTGCTGAATCGGAGCTGGTCCTCGAATTTGCGACGCTGCTCGAAGGGCGAGTTCTCCTCCTCATACATGTTTACCAATTCCTTGCCTTCCACAAAGAGCTCACCACGTGCAGCGACGCGTTGCTTGGTCGTTGGGTGGATGAAGGATTTGGAAAGTGGGGAGAGACACTCTGGTGGGTTGATGATGAATGTCGGGTCTGTGCATAGCGGCTCGACATAGATGCTGCATAGTTCGTCTAGGAGGCGTGGGAGGGTAGGGTTCTTAGGGAGGGAGAGGGAGAGGTCGGAGAAGATCTTTTGCACTTGCTCCAGGGCTTCGGGTGACTCTAGATCCGGCAACTTGCGATCGATGCCTTCTTCGATTCCGAGAATGAAATCGATCCGACGGAAGGGTGCTGTGAAGTTTGCAGATGTGGGATTAAGAGTGCCCTTGCTTGCGTTTGAGTCTCGAATATGAGACACAATGCCGGAAAGGAAGTCTTCGGTCATGGTCATCAGGTTCTCGAGGTTGGCATATGCCTGGTAGAATTCACAAGTGGTGAATTCTGGGTTGTGGGTCTTGTCCAGTCCTGGTTGACTGTTAGCTCCATCGACACATGTCCTGATGCGTTTGCCCACCTTCATTGCGGAATGAGGGTCCAATTTCAAAGACCTTGTCGAATCCACCGACTACCAGCCTTTTGAGCCATAGCTCCGGGGCAATTCTCAGGGATAGCTGACGGGTCGAGAACTCGGTAGCAGTGGTATAAAAGGGACGAGCGATCGCACCGCCTGCTACAGAACCGACGATGGGGGTGTTGACTTCCATAAAGTTCCTATCGACTAAGAACTGGCGCAAATACTGCGTCAGGGCTGATCGAGCCCGGATGATATCCGCGGCAGTAGGATCAGCCAGGAACTGAACGTGGCGAGGATACGGTGAGACCTTGTCGTCGGCCTTGTGCTCGGTGTCATGGACTGGGATATCATGCAGACATGGCGACAACAGTTGCGGCAACTCGCTCACGTCAATGGTGAGCTCGCCTCGCCCCGTACGGTGCGGTTTACCGGTGATAGCTATAGCGTTTAGCGGGCGACAGACAAGGTCTATCCGGAAGACATACTGTAGGCATCACCGCGGCGTAGAAGACGAAAGAACTTCTTGAACTCCGCGGGAGGAATCCTCTCCAATTGACGCTTGTTGCACATCACTTGGAGTTTATGGCCGTCTTGCACGATATCGAAGAAGATCAATTTGCTTCCCGCGAGTCTATAGGTACGTATCCTACCTACTAATCTAAGTACACGGGCATTGGAAAGGCCAGATATCAGAACCTACCAGAGACGACGACGGAATCTTCTACTGTATCATTGTCGGCAAGCTCACTATACCGAGAGCGAAACTCGGCGCAGCTCACTGTGCGTTGGTCCGCTGCTAAACGAGGGTATGGGTCTGGGCAGACATCTTTGATCTGTTGGACCCGCTCCTGCAGGGCCTTTACAGGTGATGCAGAGCTACTCTTTCGAATGGGCTGTGTGGTTAGTCGTGCGAATTGTGTTGGGACGCGTGAAGCGGGTCGGAATCCTGCACTGTAAATTGGAAGTTAGCATTGTTCAAGCACAACACAATTGATTCCAAATGAAGCGAAAAAGGGTTTTTTCAGTTTATATCCAGTACGTTCATTGCCCCGAAGGACAGTCACTGTAGCGGTTCTAATGCGGGGATATCTCATCATATAAAGGGGAGGGAAGAAAGCAAAAGGTAGTTCTTACCATTGAAGGCCTAAGCCATGAAAAGGCGCACATCGGCGAATTGAATGCATAGCAAATTCACATTGCTGAAGAAGAAAGGAAGAAGAAGAGAAGAGAAGGAAAAGAGACGGAGCGGCAGAACCGAGTTTTTCCACGCCGGGTGGCCCAAGCTTCTCCCTTAGCCAACTCCGTCCTCAGCCCCATACATTATACAACATACATTGTACTATCAACCTCCATCTCCATCTACAATATCATCATGTCTTTCCTCTTCGGCGGTGCCCCCAAGATGTCCTCGGCAGAAAAGATTGCTGCCGCTGAGACTGAAGTTGAGATGATCTCCGATATGTTCAACCGGTAAGTCGGGGAATGCGGCGACGTGATGCGGAATCGCATGTCCGAATTGGACAACCCTCAATCATTCAATTGACATCACTAACCTGTTCAATCGCAACAGCTTGACCGAGTCCTGCACCAAGAAGTGTGTCCCTGCCGACTACCGCGAAGGCGACCTCAACAAGGGCGAGTCCGTCTGCCTCGACCGCTGTGTGTCCAAGTTCTTCGACGTCAACATCAAGGTCAGCGAGAAGATGCAGGGAGAAGCCGCCGGCAAGCAGGGAGGCGGCATGGGTCTCATGTAAAGTGTTGGAAATCGAACATTGAAGTACCAGCGACGCTGGAAGTGTGAACGTGATCCTACATTCTGTGTACGGCTATATGACTGGCTCGGCCTACTGAGAACTGGGATACCTTGAACGGTGGTTTTGGATTATACCATCGCGGACGGAAGCATAAAATTGTTCTGTCTGATCTGAATATGTACAATATGGTGGAAAAGGATGACCAGGAGAATGAAAAAGGAATTATTTTACAATTGTCAGGTCGAGAATCCCATGGCTCGCGCTATCCATGCAGCCCATGAGGTATCGTGCTGTTCCTCGCCTTTGACAAGGGATTTGATCCTCGTCTCAACATTTACAATGTGACGGTCAAAGTCGCTGACCCCAGCTTCCATGTCCTCGACCTTAGACTCGAGGACACGCAGCTCGTAGTCAAGTTTGGCGCCCAGCAATTCAACTCGCTTCACCCCATCGGCCAATTGGTGGCCTTCATCCATCAGGATATCGCTGGATCGCTCTCGCAGGCGCTGATATTCTGAGAACCGTTCCAGGTAGACTGAATTGAGCTCTTCGTGTCTCTCGTACAGTATCTGGTTGAGACCATCCACAGAGTCCACCTGCCGCTCAACCCAAGGCGCAGTGTGCTGGCTCAATTCGAGGATCCGTGAACTGAAGATCCGCCCTTCGGACGAGAGCATGTTTTCTTGAGCAATGGCTTCTTCCAGATTGCTGGTATCATTGACTGTGGGCTTCCCGCCTGCAGGCTCCCATTTTAGTACCACTTCTTCGACTGTACTGAACGACAAATGTCGTGCGCAGTAATTGTCTCGCCTGTCCATCTCGCGTTCAATATCTTGCAACCCTTCACAGCTTTGGGGTCGCCGTAGGGCCATGGTAGCAAGCTCACTTATTGAACCGTCCCGATCACGCTCGCGATCGGTAGACGCTGCAGTAGACCGAGACATTACCCGTTCCATGTCTGATTCTTCATCAAACATTTGAGTCTGCTGCGCGAGGGACTGGTCCAAATGACTCGGCTCGGGCTCATCTTCAAGTGGTGCAGACTCGATATAGATTTCAGGAGCTTTGGTTTCGCCAGAGTCAGGAATTGGCGACAGTCGAGCTGATTGTTCCTCCTGCTCATTCTCCTCTTCGATGGCATCTTCAAATTCATTGGTTACTTTTGATTCAGACCTGAAGCCAGAGTTTGTCCGCGTTCTCGTGGGCGGCGTCTCGCTATCACTGTCAATAGACGGGCGGTAGGCAGCATCATGTGTCAATTCGGAGTGATCTCTTGAATGGTGGTGGTGGTGCGAGCGAAGGCCTTGAAGCCCAACTGCATCCTTGAAGCGACCCAGTCCTGCACGAGCATCCGAAACTCGCCCACTGACACCCTTCTTGCGATGGTCTTTATCCTCAGCCCCCGATGCATCGGGTATGTATGTCGGGCGATCGAGAGCAAGGCTGGATCGTTCTGGGATCGCATCTTCCCCTGAGTGTTTCTTGCGGCTAGTCCAGACATATCCACCTTGTTCGTCGGTGGTGAACATCATGTCTGATCCGGTGCCACGTGTGAACTCGTCTTCGTGGCCACTCTTTCGCGGTCTACCGAGCCAAAGCCACTTTGCTCTTCCACCATTGCAGCACTGTACGAAAGTGTCCAGATCGAGCGTTTCGATATCAGCGATACCACCTTTGTCGCGCCCGCGAACCATCCCCATCACCATTTCACCACCCTGGCCACTCAGTTCGGCCATTGTTGACTTCACCGCATCTGTCCATCCTTCTGAGTTTGCGGCTTTGGCCGTGGCGCGATGTAAACGTTCCAAAGTATGTCGATCGAGTCTCCGCGTGCGCTTCATCTTTTGCGATTTTTGGAATCCTCCGATGCCTCTCTTCAAATTAGGGAAGTCAAATGCATCCTTCCCCACTGGGGCGCCATATGTATGGAGTCTGTTTCGGGCCCCAAGCAAGGTTCCTAGCATTGCAGCCACGCTTGTGGGCCCGAGACTGCTATCACTTGGTTCAATGTTGTAGAGATCCGTCCCGATGTCTGTCCACCAGTCACTGATGGCAGCCTCTGTCACATCACATAGCAGGCCATCGACATACTCTGGTGCTAATTTGTCAAACACCATCAGTGCTATTTGGCACTGTTTGACCAGTTCGATGACTGCAGCATATAGTGGAACTCTCTCGCTGGTTCGGTACAACTGGTGGAACTTTGCCTCGGTAGCGGCAGACGGTGACTGTAGCTTCAGCCCGGCACGGCCAGCGCATCCCAGTCTTTTCAAGTTCTCGTTAACTATAAAATCCTCTCTGTGTTTCTTGATGTCACCACCCGGGACGGGAATCACACTCAGTGCGGACGGAAACGAGCCCAGATCTGTAATCATGACTGTCCCTAGTGGTGTTTCCTTCGTTTTGGCGTGGCATTGCTTCATCGCATCGAAATACATCCGCAGGCGGGGCGACCATGCATTTTCATTCGTCGGGACACTCAGCACACCTACTATCACAGTATGCGACAGGTCGCCGGTGAATGTAGAGATGACGAACGTCGGATGCACGCGAGAGCAGGCCCATTGTTCAACAATATAGATCTCGTATCCTTGCAGTGTAGCACGTCGTTGAAGCACATCGGTTGAAGAATCTTCTTCGAGGTATCGGAGGGCGACTGGATCAACGAATACCAATCTTTGGTGGGCGTGCTGCGGGGACCGGTCGCTTTCATGCGTGTTGGAGGTGGGGCTTCTCTTGACATCCTCGGGCGTGGGAACAGCGTCGGCTCGGTCAGCCGCCACATTCGGGGTATTCGTGTGCATGGTGGCTGGTTTCCCAAATGAGTGGGTTGGCGGAGGCGGCTGTGGTAATATAGCTGTTGCTTGTTCAGCGCCGAAGCAGACCACTTCTCCTAGGCTTTAGATGCGAAGGGAGCCGACCTTCCTTCGATCCTCCTGCGCTTTTGGTCAGGTCGGGGCAATTGTGGCATATCCAGACAGCAAATTCCGAGGCATGTTAAAAGCCTATAGCGAATGGAGAGAAGCGATTGCGCAAGCAAATGCCTCCTGGACTGTGCATTGAGAAATCGAACGGTGTGCAGAAGCGCCGACGTCACTGCACGGGGCGGTGAAGTTGATCTCCAACAGGCACCGACGCTAAAATGGCATGTCATGCAACCTCCCGAGGTTAGCACATTCTGCCTTTCTGATGTCTCCTGTTATTTTGAGCACGGCTTGCCTTACGGTTTACAGTGATGAGATTCATTACTAAAATCTCTACGGAGTGCAGTGGAATATTACGCAGTACAGAATACAAGAGGCAACCTATTCAAAGCTGCTGAGCCCTCGACCAGCGAGAGGGCAGACTAAACTTGTTATTGCAGAATGAATCTATCTTTCAAAGACAATTGACCGTTACATGATGCTGTCGAGTCCAACTTGAGTCTTTGCAAACCAAAGAACTTTCGCTCTGCCGCCTTCGCTCAGATGGTTTACCAGCCGCCGTGCTACATTTTTCTGTTAGCAAATGGCTCATGATAAATTGATGAAGGCTCAACATACTCCGCCTTGAGGACCGCCAGGACCTCCGGGGCCACCGTGGCCACCGTGGCCTCCTTGGTGACCTCCAGGTCCGCCCTGGTGACCACCGGGACCGCCAGGGCCGCCAAATCCTCCAGGACCACCGCCGCCACCCTGGTGTCCTCCAGGGCCGCCTTGGGGACCTCCAAAGCCAGGGCCACCTTGATGACCACCGGGTCCACCGAATCCTCCGGGGCCACCAGGGCCACCGTTATGTTGTTGGGGAGGGCCACTCTGGGGGCCGCCGAAGCCAGGGCCGCCGGGACCGCCAGGACCGCCGTGGTTACCCTGGGGAGGAGGGCCTTGGTGGCCGTGCTTCTCTTCGTGGTGATGGTGGAAAAGACCCATGATTGACAAGAAGATTGGTAACTGGTGAGGTGATAGGAGATGAGGTATTGACTGTGAAGTATCAGGCAAGAATTGAGGATGAGTTTGTTATAGAAAGAGAGGAGGGCCTCGAGCTACTCTTTATAGACGACGAAGTGGCGTCATCATATCAGATACTAAGAGGCCTAGTAGACACTACTGGACTGATTTGGACTGAGGCTAGTCTTCAATTGGGAGGATGTCATGACTTACGACTCCTTGAGGCAAAGGTGGAGAAGCGGAGGTCTATTGTTGGAATCGGAGCCAGGCATTTCCGCCACATAATGATTTCTTCGATGGTGTGAACCGTAGTCGGATCTGAGACGTGATTCCAGGATCTATTCGTAGTCATTGATGTCGCCATCTACATCGTATGTGTGGCAAGCTCTCCTGGTAAAGCTGGCTACAACCTCGGGAAGTCCGGTGTACTCCCAGTTTGCGTAATCGACCAAGCTTTACTACTCAATATTGGCGCATCATCGAGTTCTGTTATGGCCGCATAACCTTACCGGGCTTCCGCCGAGGCTTGGCATTAGGGCTGTGAGTTGGACGCGTACGTACGCCTCCCCCACAGCTTCAGCCCTGTAGGACAGTCTGCGATTGCTGGATCTTTGTCGCCCAATCATCGGAGTTAAAGATGATCGAGCAGTATTCTCAGGCCTGATTATCATGATCATTGGACTGACTCGTTGTTCATCAATCTCCGAGGTCCCGATCTCGTGAGGGCTACTCCGTACAGAGCACTAGTTCAAAGGTTCTAGCTCAATTAGGCTCTCATTCTCTTTTCTTCGTAGCTCAATGAGGCAGTTCTTCAAAAGAAATAATGATTCGGCTGCCTGGCCAAATTTCACGGTGAATTAAGGGTGCTCAGGTGGCTCCGCCGCCAATTTGGCACGAGAACAGCGAGATTTGAGATGGAATTCCGAAACCACCACTGGAAATCTGAATAGTGAATTCCTATTGGAATTTCTTTTCCTGCGAATCCGAAGGGTGGTTCCGATCGACTGAGACTTCAAGAGGATGTAAAGGAGAGAAATATGGGAGTGGTCTCACCCTTCCTAGATAGAACCACACCCATGGCTATGGCATTCAATCAGTAGCAGATCTCAAACCTGGAGAACAGAAGCTTAGAGCGAGCAGGCAACACAAGCTCCGATCTTTCTCCCCAGGGCAAGCGATTGGTAACTAGATGGGACGAATCATCTGGCACCTGGGCAATGTCTGATTCCAATGTTCCACCCGACTCCGGCCGTCGGCCGGCTGGGCAACGCATGGACAGATATGTAGCTAGCGCACGTAAATCCAGATAGATCTGCATTTCTTGCATCTATGTTAATCACATAGCAGATGTGGGGCCCTGGGGTTACCCTTATGAAGCATGAAAGTCTGCCTTTGCATCCCGTGGGCGTGGTAGGAAAGATATATCTTCATAATCAAAAATTTCAATACTTTAGGCAGTCGGCAATTTTGCTCCTGTATTTTCCAAAATTGTTGTTTGAGATGAATTGATGGTGGAAACAATTCCCGGAGTCTAACGTGCGATTCCATGTTGATTTTCACGTTCGGGACTCCAATCGAGATGACCACGTGCCCACCAATATAGCGATATCCGGGCCATGGGGTTCAAAATCTGGACCTGGTGCATTTTCGAGGTGATCGCATAAGAGGAGACAAAGCACGAGTGGAGACAGAATGAATGCGTATGAGATCAGAAAGTAAGTCTTGGTATTCGTTGAAAAGTGTGTATGTATATGTACATTTTCAATTTGGACAGTTAACGGCCAATGCTCTTGGGCCAGCGAAGAGCAAAGGAACACTTCCAGCCGGGTTAAGGCAAACTCATGCTTGTCCTCATTTCGAGCTGTTGATAACCCTTGGGGTCCTGAAGGTTCCTTTGGGAGGAAGGTAGTTGATCCACGATCAAGGAAAGAATGTAACCAGTGAAGACAAAGGCGATGACTAGCAGTGAGGTTAGTAGGAGAGTTTAATTGCCGAGTGTGAAAACATACCCCATTCGAGAGTGGCCGCCATATTGTTCTGGTTGTAGTGGGTGTGTTCCGTGATTCGGAAAACGATAATGAGAGTGAGTTCAATGACAATAAATGACACTTTGATTGCGAAACTTGTGAGCAGCATGGGCTCGCGGAGGGCATGGGCAATGCCCAGGTAGATATAGTCCAGGGCCATCAAGGCTGCGCTGACTAGGAATCCAACACTGAGACTGTCAGCGATGCACGTCGAAGTCGAAGCATGGAATGGGATACTGACATGAACACCGTCACACAGATATCATGTGTGAGATGGTGGGAGATGTTATCGAGAACGGAAAGCAAGACCAAGCCTGTGCCTCCAATGATTGTAAAAAAGAATGAACCGTGTGTGCAAAGTTTGTTGATATATCCCTTGGATTGGATGAATTGGTAGAAAGAGAGATTGAGGAGCAGGACGGTTGTGATGCACCCGATCATGAATAACGGTTTGAGTTCTTGTGCTCCGATGTCCGAAATGAACCTGTTCGAGGTTGTTAGTTGGGCCTTGGCAACGGTCGTGGGGAGGAAGGTTCTCACGGGATGTTCTGGCCAGGCTTCATGAGGCCATATCTCGGTTCACCGATCATAGTCCAATGGCCCAACATTGCCAAAAGCATGGCTATAATCCCAAGTTAGAACAATTCCAATGCGACCGTGACGATGGATCGTCTCACCTAGCCATGTTGAGGCCGCAACAGTCGGAAAGACCCAGGCAGGGGGCAGTAGCATGGCGTATATTCAGTGAGAGAGTGACGAAACGGGCATAATCTGGTATAGCGAAGGTGGAAAAGAGCGTGGGCTGGTGAAGTTGGATACCAGCCTCATCGCTTTGAGCAGTTGTCAAGGAGAAATGATCCTTACGCACAAGTTCAGGTGTGAAAGGTGCCTGTCGATCCTTACTATCCCCAATGACGATGGTTATGGTATGTGGGTCAATGAACAAAACACCCCTACCGTTTCGTGTAAAAGACACGCGTTTCGTATATGAAAGGCCGAGATGAGTTCTCGACTCAAACATACAAAGGGCTTAAAAGTTACGAAGCATCCTTCTTTGAATGATTATTCTTAGACGATCTCGCTGTTGGAGTCCGTTGAAAAAAATCTGACTGTTGATCTACACCCATGACGATCGGAGAAACCAGTTCTCTGTCTACCATATTCCGTACAGTATGCATCATACTCGTACCCGTACCCATCAGTGGGGGCGGGGCTGGGAGAAAATCGACCAGAACAGAGACACAGGTCCATTGCTCCGTACTTCGTTGACCCCGAGGTGCATCGTACAGGACAATGTACGATTACGGTGCCCTGTCCTGACACCCCACATACCTCGAGCGGCGTTGCGCGCGCAAGCCCGGCCGTAGAGCCAATGATACATGGCATCCCCAATGATTTTGAACCTCTCATACCAGCGGCAATGTTGATACGTTTCCGAGGGTGGTCATGATATCCTGACCTGTCGCGTGACAGGGCGCCGGCGCTTCGGCTTCGATTGCCACCGTCACATTGCTGTGACCGGAGTTCTGACCCATTGATAAGCTGTGTCGCAAAGCGCGCGGTCCACGAGACGAACGGGATTTGGAAAGAAAAGCACGAGGAATGTGAAGGGATAAATCTGTACGAGTACGAGGCGAAGGATGGGGTTAGGGAATTGCACAGCCCATGCTTCAGGTGGGTCAAGTGAAAGATGAAGGGTCATATGTGTAATTGCATGACATGAAATTACATACTGAAATTGGAGGGCCCATCGAAATAAGGGAGGCTAGTTGATAGGATGGCGCCGGACTATCGACGGGCTATTCCCCACTAGCACCGGCGGTTGGTCTCGCATTTTTGTTGAAATGCCGATGATCCCACTGGCCACTTCACATTTTTAGGTCTCTAGACGGGTATACACAGCGGGTAGTACTCCGTCTTCCGTACGAGTACATAGTCGGTCCTCTGTGGGCTGAAGCGAGTGCTGCTGGCAGATTTGGATATGCGTCAATAAGTGAAGTGAACGGGGAGTGGTGTGGTGAGAATACGGATAGGTGTACTCGTAGGCGCTGGGGTTGGGACAGGTCGAGTGTGGAGGGCAAGGGAACACGTCGGGGGAACTCGAAGATAGATCAGAAGCAGGGGAGACAGGGTGCAGCGCCAAGGTGATGGGTCGGGAGCTAATCGCGTGAGGAACGATCTTAACGCGTTCACTCTCGAGGGAAACGAGAGCATCAACAAGAAAACGTCTACAGATACGCAGTAACAGCTTAAAACTCTTCTCTAAGAGCCACCGACATGGGTGACAAGTAGTGAAAAGAAGACCAGACGGCACATGAGGATGAGGTGATCTTCCATCATAGAACCGAAGACAATCCCGATGACCGAAGTCAAGGAGGACTGAGGCATGTTTTGTTCAAAAATTCCCTGCCGTTCCGAAGACCAACAGGAGTAGTCAATTTGGTAGTTTTCAACTAGCAAAAACACGATCTCGGATGTCTCCTCACTGATGCGTGTAAAACCCGTGCACTAGGATGAAGAAGAAAAGAAAAAGAAGTGGAAGGGCGGGCGAGGAGCCTTGTATTTATACCCGCATCCGGTTTGGGGGCGCTAAGCGAAAAGGTCGGCCACGACATGACTCACCCCTTTCCCTCCCTGTAGGCGCCTGAGGCTACAGGAAGATATGCCAGGGAGACTCAACATATTCACGGACTATTCCCCTGAGGTACTACATATTCAATCTCAATAGATCCACAGGTCTCAGCTTCATCTGCCCGGGTGGATATAATGTTTCACGTCCGGAAATCCTCACTTCCTCACTTTCCGGCGGTCACGTGGCCAATGGCGTAGGGTCACAGCGATCATCGGGAACAGCATGATTCTGCACTGTGTGATCATGACTTGCTTTTACTTTTCTTTCTCTTATTTTTCGCAAGTCACTACAATACCATCATATCCTCTGTCTCTTGCGGTCAAGTGAGTGTACGAGTAGTCAAGCTCCCATTCCGCAGTCTCCACATGGCACCAAGTCTGTGGCGGTAACTTGATCATCTCCGCACGGGTGCCCGAATCAACTCCGCCATGGAAGCTGTGCAAAAAGAACACGATCGGATCCTCAAGAAGACCAAAGGGTCTCAAGGGATTAACAATGTCCAATCGACCATCGATCTATTACAGTCGGCCCGAGATGCCATAGCTACGGGTGAGTACTGGAGTGCTCCATTATCCCCGCTCTTCGCTGATGTTCCCGGATAGATCCAACCTCTGCGGCTGTCACCTTAGCCAAGCTTCAGAATCCTGTGAAATCATCCTTTGACTCAATTAATGACAGCTTGAAAGAGACTCATAGTAGCCTGAACAAGTACACCAAGTCTCTGGACAAGGTATGCGCCTGCAGTCTCACATGGCTGTGGAATTTCTCTAACCTTTGGCTTAGTTGTTCAAAGATCGACCCCTCCCGACCACCGAACACGATGCTCTCTCCTCACAGGATACCCTGATTAACCGGGCCATCGCGATGCATCTTCTCCGGGAAGGACAGTTCGGTGTGGCGTCCGCCTTCCTGGATGAGATCGCAGAGCAAAGGCCGACCGAACACCCGCCCACCGAGCCCAAGCAGCCGAGACGGGTGCAGTTTGAGAGCGACCCCAGCAAACCCGGCAGCATCCTCGACCCTCACGACGTCCCTTCGGCCGAGGTCCGCAACCAGTTTGCTTCAATGTACTACATTCTCCAGCAGCTCCAAGATAACCGAAACCTGCTCCCCGCTATCGAATGGTCGAGAGAGCACCGCGAGGCATTGGAAGCCCGGGGCAGCAATCTCGAATTCGAACTCTGTCGCCTCCAGTACGTCTGGCTGTACCACGGTGCGGGCAACCCGGGTACCGTCAGCGGCTGGGCTGCCGCGCTGGAGTATGCGCGTCGAGAGTTCCACAGCTTTGTACCGCGCTATCTGCGTGAGGTCCAGCAGCTCGTAGGAGCAATGGCCTACACTCCCAACCTCGGGGGATCCCCCTACGCCTCCTTGTTCAATAACCCTTCTGCCTGGAACGATGTAGCCACCTTCTTCACCCGAGAGTTCTGTTCGCTGCTGGGCCTGTCGGCTGATTCACCCCTTTACATTGCTGCGACTGCGGGTGCCATCGCGCTGCCGACGTTGTTGAAGCTACAGACCATCATGAAGGCGAAGCGCACGGAATGGACGACTGAAAACGAGCTGCCGGTCGAGATCTCTCTCCCGCCTCAATATCTCTTCCATTCCATCTTCGTTTGCCCTGTGTCTAAGGAGCAGGCGACTGATGACAACCCACCTATGATGATGCCGTGTGGTCACGTCATTGCGCACGAGTCGTTGAAGCGACTGGGCAAGGGTAACCGGTTCAAATGCCCGTACTGCCCCAGTGAAAGTCACCCGAAAGACGCTCGCAAAGTGTTCTTGTGATGTACTGATTCACGTACCCAAGTACTCCGTACTCGGCTTTATGTTTTATGTCAGGGCGGTTTGGGGAGCTTTTGGGGCGTTTAGCGTGGGCGTTGTGGCGAATTTTATGTAAATTTCAATACTCGAATGACGTTTGAGTCCGAGATTCACCTCGTAGAGTCTTCCTAAGACTTTTTTCAGTAGTGAGTATCAACCCCTTAAACCCAATTTTAGATCCACCGGCAGAGGGCAATTTCGTTTGGGTCCATGTCCGGCTTCTGATTGGCTGCACCTTCCCGTGATCTCGCGGTGATTTGGCGACTGCCCAAAAACCACTTTACGCGTCTCAAACCGGAAATACCACTTGTGACGCGTCTTATCTCAATCGGACCTGTCTAATGGCACTGTCTACTCTGTACGGCTGTCCAACATGACAGCTGAGTATTGAATCATCGTACTCCATACGTTGTACTCTGTACTGCGTAACTCAGCTTGATAAATAGACCCCCTGAACCCATCTCTCTCTCTCTTCCTCAGTAAACCAAAATTATGCCTAACCCAGAACCCCCAATGTCGAAATATCGAGCCACGAAAGCCTCAGCTTTCACACCTCAATCTCGCCGAATCCCCCGCGAAAGAAAAGACCGCGAGGTGAGCTCCGGCTCTGGCTCCAGCTCAATCGGTAAGGCACGACCAGAGCGTCGCAGACTCGACAAACCACCAGACGTAACGTATGTCCTCAACCGTGAGATTGAAGTCCAGTATCTAAGCTAACACCCTCAAAGCTCCCCCTCCAGCTCCCCAATCGTAATGCTCCGCGTAGGACCAGAGAAAAGACTTTTTGCAGCCCACGAAGCCATCCTCAGCACATCCTCCTTTTTTGCTTCTCACTGCGCATCTCAAACGCCTAGCCCATCTGCTCGCCGTCCCCGCCCACCCCTCCAACCACCAGGCAAGCGTATCGATCTCCCAGACGAACAAGCAGAGGTTCTATCCTGTGTGCTCGAATTCCTCTATAAAGGCGACTATTACCCCCGTCTCCGGCACAACAGTCGAACCCGTGTCTGGGAGCTGGAAGACGCTGGCGTCGAAACAGCAGGGGAATTGAGCCAGGCTACGGCGACGGTATTCCATCACCAGGTTGGCGGGGTGATTCTACGAGATACAGCCATTTAGTAAGCTCTCCTGGGTGATTGTTGAACCATTCAATTACTAATGATTTACATCCATACAGCTGCGCAGCAGAGAAATATAACCTACCCCAGCTGCAGCGCCTGGCGCTACGCAAGCAAGGCTTGCACACGGGGATCCAGTGTAGTACCATCCTGGCGAGTGCGCGGTATGCGTATGCCAACACGCCCGATACAGAGTCGAAGTTGAGGGCGCATTACTTGGCTCTGATTGTGAGGTCGAGGTCGACTTTTATGAGGAGTGGGACTATGCAGGCAGAGATGGAGAAGGGAGGGAAGTTCTTCTTTGACCTTTTTGTTGCGATGTGTAATCATATGGTGAGTTTTGCTCTGCTCGCTGCTGTGTCTGGCTGGGCTGGTTGCTGACCTTGGGTTTCTTTTAGGATGACTATGTCCCTCATGGCTCGGTTAGTAGTTCGGTGAGCACTGCGCACCCTTAGGTGTGTTGTTGGAATTTGGTAGGTTTGGTTCATGGGTGTTCGGGATTGGGACTTGGAGTACCGAATATGTTTTCTGTCGTTTGCTTTGGCTTCATACCCGTGTATTATTATGTTATTTTAGATGTATATTTGGAACTGTATGTGTAATTGATCTAGTGATTATCGGAGTGACTGGGAAATTTCGTAAATTCGTAATCATGGAAGCTTTTGCTACCTGCTTGTATTCTGCGTCTCATAGATAGAGCTCTTCAAAACAGAATCGAGGGTGAAACACTGCTCTCAAGCTTTCAGGTCTTCCAGGGCCTTGCGGATGTTGGAGAGAGGGTGTTAGAAGACAGCCTCTTGGCTGTGGTTCAAAGGGCATGGGCAGAGTGTCTTGGCTGGTAGATATATGTTAGCTATGGCAGGGGCTGGACACTGATGGTCTTTGAACAGGTCCATCATGCAACAGACGCCATTCACGAGCATTCAGCTGATGTTGGCTCGCACATATTCCCGGGGTCGGCAACGACGTGACGGGCATTGTAGTACGGAGTACATTGTGTAAGATGGTTATCCTAGACACCAGTTCCCGGGAACACATTGCCACCTTTGCTCAAAACAATGATGCCACGGTCACGCGCAATGTATCCTTTCATCAGTCCCTGAGACAAAAATCCTGTGTCAGCGTATCCTTGAGACTCGTCACTCGGGTAGGCCTACCTTGTATATGAGATTGGCCAACAAGCACTCCACCTCATCGATATCAACCCGGAATTGGCCGCTAGTAGGGGTGCCGATGCGGAGGGCGGCTGCAAACTCATTCACATGGACACGGGTCCGCCGAACTGGTGGCTGGCCGTCCTTTGGCTCTTCGAAGCCACCAGCCAAGAAGACCTTGCGGAACAGATTGCGCAAGGCAATATCACGGCCACGTTCCAAGGGCAGGTAAATGCGCCTTTTAACTAACTCCTCCTCGCCGGCTGCCATGGCCTGGTCAAAGCCAGTCAAATCGCCTTTGCGAATGCAGTTTGAAAGAGGTCGGAAAATTCCCTCGAGGCGTGGGAACTGCGTGAGAAGGTTCTTGCTGGGTAGGGTATGGGTAGTCACCAGGTGGCATGGGATAAGGTAGGTGAGAATCAGCCTATGAAGACCGGAATAATTAGCACAATCCATGCACGGCCGATAGTCGACTCACTCTCGATTCTTGGTGGCGCCGTGGTGACACATTTTCCAAGCCCATGTCAGATGTTCCTCTGCCTACATCGCAGTCTGTCAGTACTGATTTTTAACCGCCAGACTCAGAATTCTGTTGTTACCTCTGCGTAGTTCTCCTCCAAAAAGTGGATGACACCAACGTAATACTTGAAAGTGACAATGTGAGACTTGGGGAAGGCATCAGGCGAGGGCAGGTCGGCCGCTGAGGCCTGAATGGCGCGGAGAATGTTCTTGGTGAGGCCGACGGAATTGATCTAAAAATGATATAAGCCTCTGCCATAGCAGAACAACATGAATGCTGCTTACCTTGAAGTAGATCTTGAAGAGAAGGTTGGTCATGTTGTAGATACCCCACTTGCGCGACTCTTCAATGGCGGCTCTGTCACTCAGGCAAAGAGTAAACATCCGGTTGATAACCCGAGCAGCTTCTTCCAAGTTGGCATTCTTGTCCACCTCAGGTGAGATTTCCTCTTGGAATCCAAGTACGGCCGTTCCTTGCGATGCTGCTTCAACATCGGCGTTGATCGCAAAGATGCGCAGGTACTTTCCAACTTTGTAGAGACATGGGATCGTCCAAGCAGGAAGACTTCCAGATCCCGAGTAACCTCTGATAACTGTGTTGGCCAATTTCTTCCAGGCGTTGAAAAGTGTGATAACGCTGGCACCCGGACTGCGATCCTCGCACTTGAGAACTTCACCTACGGCCTCCCAGTAGGCAGCGAATATCTCCACCCAGGCGTTCTGCTCGCTCTTGGGAAGCTTGGGGCTTTTGCCATGAAACAGAAGGTAAGGCAGGTCCAGGGATACAGATGCGGCGTTGGAAAGCTGGTAAAATGCACGTAGTCGGTTAGGGTCATCTGGCGGCGCGATCGGGGTGAACACTGCAGCTAGATCCGATCCAGATCCATTGTTGTAGGCATATTTGAATGCTGTCGCAATGGAGCTCATCTTGGGCAAACCCTGCTAATGTTTAGATATGTAGTTAATTCAGCCACAGGTTCAGTGGGATCAGAGCATGGTAATACGTATGACTGGCAAGCAAGAGAAAGAGCAACCCGGACATTTGGAGAAGCCATGTTGCTGTGGGGTCAGTAGGGTGGCTGGTGCTGTGGCGTAGAAGGGCGGTGAAGTGAAACCCCGCGGAGCATGTGTGTGGCGGTGACCCCAAGGCCGCGCCTGCCTTTTACTCCATAGAGCACTTACCTTAAAGACCAACTACACTTGGTATTTATGTAGGCAGCGTCGAAATCCATGGATATCGGGGATTCAAAGCTCATCAATTGATTAGACTCACCCAGAAGAATATTCCAATCAAGAGTGTCACCATATATGCAAAATGGAAATGCATATCAACCAGTCTTCATGAAGGTCTGCTTAATGGAAGAATGTACAGATCTATATGACATCCCCCCCTTCGTCACACCAACCTTACATAGCAAGACTTTGGGGAGAGCTAGTCTACTGCTCAAGTGTGTGACATATTTGTTTGAGACTATACCAGTCACCTTGAAGGTAAGCCCCATGGGTTACCGCCTGCATACGATACGGTGCCACAGATCGTACACTCCACAGTCTTATCTCCTTTCCTCTGACTAGACGTCTTCGAATGACAGCGATATCAATGAGGACCTGATCATGGGGACCTTTGACTGCCTACCGGGGTAGGTATCTATTCAGGCTTAATATGGCCATGCTGACCTCGGGACAGTACTCGTCACTCCGCTGCCCCAGCACTTGCTGCTCTTGCATTTTATACTCCAGCTCAAATGACTTGGTAGTTGAATTCTCCTGTATCTCGCTCTGAATATACTTCAATCTATCTTCGTTCATGTAAGAACCTCATTTACCACTCCACTCACCCGTCATTTCACTACCATGGCTGCCAACTCAGCCCATCGGCGCTCACGGCGAAATCGAGTGTGGTGATAGGCGTGGATCACCGTACGCGGCGACAGGTCAGCCAAGGTCCATTCAAAGAGATCCAGTGTGGGTCGGAGTGAGCTTTTCATCCATTGCTTCGGGTTGGTCGATCACTGCTTTGCTATGGTTTGAACAAAGGCGCAGGTGAGACAATCTCGACTGTTTATCTGGATTTTGACTCCCATGGTCAATGCAAGCCACATTTGGGGACAGTGCTGTCAGGGAGAACTCAGAAACTTGAATCCGGCGACAAGGGTTCCATTCTTCTCAGACCTCAAGGGATTAGGGAAGAAGATTACCACTCCCTTGCTTTCGTGTGGTAACTGAAGGGACTACAGTGCTCTCGCGACATGGACGCCCGACCAGTCGCAAGGGTTTACTGGGACGCGAAGAGGGATAACTCTGTACCGTACCTTGCCACATATTAGCCATTGACTCCATCCGAGGCAGTCAAATACCGGCAGTTTGCTGAATTTCCCAGTCTGTCAGCTTCAATCTGAAAGCTGATGTTTGACGTTGGACGAATCAACAAGGATATCGCAATGTCCTACGATGGGATGCTGCAAAACTGTACCATCATCGAACATCCTTCTCTGAGGGAGCTCCATCGATTCGATCCATCAAAATGAATGCTGATAAGTGTGGTTTTTGCCACATACATGCTTGCTCTTTGTGGTTGCGTGGATCATCTACTATATAGTAGATGCCCACATCCATAGCTCTCCTCCATAGCTCTCCTCCTCTTCTTCTCTCTATATTGAATATCTTCAAGTTCTGGACCTTCGTGTAGAGCATTGCCTATCTTCACAGTATGGAAGAAAATCTATAGATTTCGCTACTCGACGGGGCTACAAAGGTTGTTGCACGGGCAGTCATTGATAGCCGAGGTTTCAACTCCGTCCTGGAAAGCGACATAGACCAGTTTGTCACAAGAATCGAGATACTCTGTCTTTAGGTTGGATGGTGTTGGCCCCCTACGTTGCTTTACGGTGTGGAGAATTGAACGAAGGTATCTTGTTCTATACCTCGATGGCAATTACTCCTTACTTGATTCTCTGATAGGTGTATAAATTGCTTCTGGCGATCTGCGTGACCCTATAAAGCTGGGATGTTTGGTAGGGCTAGGTCCAAGTTCGATATCGAAGGCATACATACGCTGCTTGCTGCTGACGGTCAACACAGACTGGTGATAAATTGGAAGAAATTTGTGGAGCCAGGGCCACAGAAATGGGGCTGAACCCGATGAATGCTTGTGGTCCACAGCCTGAGAAATCATGCTTCAAGTCGTGAAGCCAGACATTCGGAAATATCTTGAAATCATCAAACGTGAATTTCATGTCCGTATAGACATGCGATGTGTATTCGTAAAAAGCAGAGAGCCTTGGAGCATTCTCCACGGCATGAGCTCCAGGCTCACCATTCGTTCTTTTCCACTTTCGGGCTCCGCACAGTCACGGGATCGGATGAAGGTGAGCCCGCATATGTGGCTGAGATGTGGCTTGGGTGTGGCAAGGTAATTTTGCCAAAGGCGGTCTAGACTCGCTTAGCCATTGTGCTTTGCCCTAAGCTCACAAATGGTTCACTCGATTTTCAACCGCCGCCGCACTAACGACATCCAACCAGCACACGACAATCACAGTGAGTATATTCAACTCGAATTGATGCCAATCGATACTAACTAAATTCTTCCAGATGGGTGAGTGATTTCTATTCCCTTCCCGACCCAGGACAATTTTCGAGACAACGGTGCGCGCATACGGTTGGAGGAATTCGAGACGCAAAAGACCCGAAGACATCGACTCAACCCGTCACAGCAACGGTCACAGCAATGGAGGATGCAAAGTGAACCCGACTACCGCCAGAATCACCGCAATGGAGGAACGTACAATGCTGTCGATCGGGGCCACGCATCACATCTTGAATTTTTTTCTACGCCGAAATTCCGCCCCTGGTCTTGTCGAAAAATTTCACCAACCCACATCGCGCATCGTCTCTCGTCTCATTCTGCAAATCTCGATCCATTCGACATCTAGAAATCATGACTGACGGATAATCAGGACGTCTTACTGAGTACCAGGTCATCGGGCGCCACCTGCCCAACGAGGCGAACCCCACGCCCAAGCTGTACCGCATGCGCATCTTTGCGCCCAACACTGTTGTGGCCAAGTCGCGCTTCTGGTACTTCATGGCCCAGCTCCGTAAGCTCAAGAAGGCTAACGGCGAGATCGTCTCCCTCAACGTCGTACGTCAAACTTTGAAGCCACAACACTACGAAATGGTGCTGATTTTTTTCCCCGTCTAGATTGAGGAGAAGCGTCCCCTCAAGGTCAAGAACTTCGGTATCTGGATCCGCTACGACTCCCGCTCCGGCACCCACAACATGTACAAGGAGTTCCGTGAGATGTCCCGTACCGACGCTGTTGAGGCCCTCTACCAGGACATGGCTGCCCGTCACCGCTCCCGTTTCGGCTCCATCCACGTACGTTTCCCTGCTCAAATTCGACTGCACCCGTGCAATTCTAATTGAAATTTTCCCTACAGATCCTGAAGGTTGTTGAGATCGAGAACAACGACTCCATCCGCCGCCCCTACATCAAGCAGCTCCTCCAGAAGGACCTCAAGTTCCCTCTGCCCCACCGCGCCGGTGGCAAGGTCGGCAAGAAGATCTTCGCTCACTCTCGCCCCTCTACCTTTGCTTAAATGTGATGTCCTGGGTTTTAGGTTGGAGTGTGTGGATGAATGACTATTTTATGGCCATAGCATGCATGAAAGATGGTCGCGTGGAAACCACTGTCCTCCCGGGCGATGGTTGGATGTCTCTAGTCCCGTGTGGTGGCATTCCTAGGTTGTTTTGAAAAAAATCATCGGGCTTCTTGAATCATCCAATCTTCACAGTAAAACAGACGTGCGCATTCGCAGAGTAGAAGATCTGGGCTACGCTATGCCATGGTCTAATTGGGCCCCGAGTATTGGCATCAGTCTGCTTCCAAGGTCCTCATGTAGAAGTCACCCTACTGCTGCGTCCTGTTGCAAACCATTCCAATTGCTTCATCTTGTCTGTCATACTTGGTTGCAAAACACAATCAATCAAAACGCCGTGTAGATGGATCAGCCACGAAAATAGCAAAAACAACCAAGTTGAGGTCATTGCTAGAGTGGTACTCCGTACTTCAAACTCCGTCCGGGTTCGGAGAAATGAACCGCTGCCTTGAAATTCAGGCGATAAAACCGATTAAATCCCTAATGGACCCTGAAAGCCAGTCGCTTTTTTTATGTGCGCTTGTCCCTGGATCGGCCATTAAATTGCCATCAATCTACATATACCTTCCAAGCATCCCCGTATTTCCGAGTGCATAGACCAGCCCTGGAGGCCGATTCGTAAGATTGCGTCATGCGAAAGTCGGGTCGGGAGCTGTCCGCTTTCGCATAATCCGATTTCTTCCCTTCTTCCACTTCCTACTCCTTCTCTCCCCCCATAGCAATCATGTTCGCTCGTCAAACATTCCGTTGCGCACAGCCCTTGAAGCAGGTAAGTTAATTGCTTATTTTGGGTGGATTGATTGATGCTAAAACGCCATTGCTCCAGAGCTTCCGCAAGTACTCTGCGGAGGCCGGCCCCAAGGCTACTCCTCCCCCTCCTCCTAAGAAGGCCAACCTGACCCCTGTCTACGTTGGTGTTGGTCTTGCTGGTCTTGCTGCCGGTTTCTACCGCTACAGCAACTCCGCCGTTGCCGAGCCCAAGGACCGCCCCAAGGTTTTCGACGGCGAGAGCTGGGTTGACCTGAAGCTGTCCAACATTGAGGTCCTCAGCCCCAACACCAAGCGTCTTCGTTTCGCATACGATGACCCAGAGGCTGTTTCTGGCATCCCTGTTGCCTGTGGGTACAATCCATGTCATTAGGACTGTCAATTGATTGCTAATCGCATATTCAGCTGCTCTGTTGACCCGCTTCAAGCCTGCCGGTGCTGAGAAGAACGTCCTTCGTCCCTACACCCCCACCAGTGATGAGGGTAGGTCGTCCAATTCTCTGGAATCGGAATGCTTGTGCTAACAATCCTCAGAAATCCCCGGTTACCTCGAGCTTGTCGTCAAGGCCTACCCTGGCGGTCCCATGTCTGAGCACATGCACTCCATGAATGTCAACCAGCGCCTGTCCTTCAAGGGTCCTCTTGTCAAGTACCCCTGGGACGCCAACAAGCACGACCACATCGCTCTGATTGCCGGTGGCACTGGTATTACCCCCATGTACCAGCTCGCCCGTGAGATCTTCAAGAACCCCGAGGACAAGACCAAGGTCACCCTGGTCTTCGGTAACGTCACTGAGGAGGACATCCTTCTGAAGAAGGAGCTCCAGGATCTCGAGAACACCTACCCCCAACGTTTCCGTGCCTTCTACGTCCTGGACAAGCCCCCTGCGGACTGGACCGGTGGCAAGGGCTTCATCACCAAGGAGCTCCTGAAGACTGTTCTCCCCGAGCCCAAGGAGAACAACATCAAGCTCTTCATCTGTGGTCCTCCCCCCATGTACAAGGCCATCTCTGGTGCCAAGGTCAGCCCTAAGGACCAGGGTGAGCTCACTGGTATCCTGGCCGACTTGGGTTACTCCAAGGAGCAGGTCTTCAAGTTCTAAGGTTGTACAATAGATAGTTTATATCAGCGGCGGTTCCGCCTTCTAAAGTTGTACTTTGATGCATCTTGTTTGAGCGCTTTATCTCTTAGGACTGGCATCCGCCGTCAGAATAAATACAATGGACCAATCACAATTTACATGTTTGGATGTATCACATATCCTAAATACTTGATCTGTCCCAAACTTGGAAGGTCGATCTCGGAGAGACCCGTGGAGGAAGGGGAAGTGGCTGTAATTGAGTATATCTACTTAAGTAGGTCAAACGTGGAAGCGAAGTGCCACTTGAGCATCACGTTCCCCCGGGGCTGGCACCTAGGCGTCGGTGTGCTTTCGGGGCCCGGTGGACTGGGCACAGGCCCGGAGTGAGATCTATATATTTGGACCGACAAGTTCAAAATGTTCTGGCAGTTTCAAATGAACCTCCATATTTATGACACACGTTTAACGATAGATGGAGCTGATCTGCTACACAATTATGGTCCATCGAATGCTACCAATAATCACAGGTTGGGAATACAAACCAAATAGCTAATACTCAGCCCCATTGCATCGTACGTATACCGCGTCCAGATGCCAAACAAAAGACAGTGGAACCGTGAAAGTAACCATACCAAAGACGGAGAGAAAGTGAGCGAAACAAATGATTTGGAATCAAAAAGTAAGAACCGATGTCTGTAGCACAGGTTTGGACACCTTGTACACAATTGAGACCCTACCCCTCAGGGCTCTGGGCGACCCTGAAGTTGGCGTTTCGGCGGGGGAGCAGAGCCCGGATCAGCCGCCCGCGTCAATGCAGCAATTCCCAGACCGCGTCTGTGTTCATAATGAAGACTTGACGAAGCGGGGATAGAAGAGCCTATATCATTTCAAGTCTCGAGCTCTTTAAGGGCAACATCCTAGAGTGTATACCTACGTACTCATGGGTCGAGGTTTCCCAAGGTGATGTGTACATTATGAGTAGCCCAGAGCCCGTCATCGACATGAAGAGCTAAACATAATTGTTAACCGGAAGACTTGGTACTTCATACTAGCACACAATTCCCAGATTGGAAGGCATTTCTTGATACTTCTAAACCTTAGGAGAATATGTCCAAATTCATAGCAGAATACCCCAAAGGACACAGCCCAGGAGACCCCGTCACAGGCGAGCAGAGGCCCGAAAGAGAGAGTCTAAGCCTAAAGCAGCGACCACCCGATGCCCGGGTGTGCGCCTCTTGGTTATTTAGTGGACCCCCCCTCAGCTCCCCCCCCAAACTCCCCCCCCAGCAGAATTTTTCTTCTCTTCAAGCACCCCCTTCTCGGCAACACAATGGCTCCCCAAGATGAAAACCCGACCGTTGAGGTCAACAAAGAGGAGATCCGTCGCGCTGGCGACTTGGTAAGTTGCTTCACTTTCTTTTCTTTTTTCTTTGTTTATTTTGCTTTGTTTTTCGTCTCGGTTCTTTAATTTGAATTTGGTTTTCGTTTCGTTTTCCCTTTGTTTTCGTGTGCGCCATGGCTCCACGCGCTACGCGTCGCATATGCCCCTGCCCATATGGAGCTCTGGAAGCTTGTCTAGGGCCTTTAATAGGGTCTAATATCATGCCCATCAGCTTCACATGATAGCAAATGTCCTTTTCAAAACATATCGCACCACCCTCACGGCGCGTACTTCTGACCAAGTTACGCGCCGTCTGACTGCACCCTCGTGTTGCCCTTACCTTCAGCATTTCAAATCAAGCGCCAGTACATACCTCGATACACAGCGCTAACCATGTATACCAGATCGTCATGCGCCTCATGGAGGTCCAGTCCTATATCGCCGACCTGGGCAGAGCTTATGTTCAACACGTGAAGACCATCACCGAGAGTGGTGACGCGACTCTGGAACTGCCTGCTGGTCCCTCTGGCTTCATGGGCAATGACTATGCCCGTGCTGGCAGCCCCGCCCGTTCCGAGGCTGGCGGCCCCAAGAAGCGCAAGCGCGCTCCTGCCGACCCCAACATGCCCAAGCGCGCCCTGACCCCCTACTTCCTGTACATGAAGCACAACCGCAGCAAGATTGCTGCCGACCTAGGCAAGGATGTCCGACCCAAGGAGGTCGCCGACGAGGGAACCCGCCGCTGGCAGGCGATGGATGCCTCCGAGCGCGAGGTATGTCGCACAGCCCTCCACTTTACCCCCTTTTCCTCACACTAACGTCCACCCAGCACTGGAAGTCCATGTACACTGAGAACTACAACAAGTACAAGGCCGATGTAGCTGCCTACAAGGCCGGCGGCAAGGTCCCTACCGGTGAAGAGGCCGAGGAGCACGATGACGAGCACGATCATGACGACCCTGCCGCCAGCCAGCTCCAGCAAGACTTCGCCGGTGCCGAGACCAAGGATGAAGAGACCGATGACTCTTCCTCCGATGAGGAATCGCCTTCCCCTGCCCCAGTCAAGGAGAAGACTCCTCCCCGCAGCAGTGCCAAGAAGACCCGCAAGGCCAAGGAGGTTGAGACCCCGGCCAAGTCCCCGGTGAAGCGTGGACGCAAGGCTGCCGTTGCGGAGCCTGAGCCCACACCCGCGAAGACTCCCGCGGATAGCAAGCGCCGCAGCAAGAAGCGCAAGAGTGAGGTGTAAAGGCCGGCGATTTTCTGATTTGCTCTGTCGGATTGAATGGGATGTGTAACCCTGTTTCGGTTAGGCGTTTTGGGGGAAAAGAACTGTACTTGGCTATTATTAGTGAAACTGATTTGAGTTGAGCCAGAACCTGTCCATGGGTGTGGTAGTAATATGTAGTAATAGTAATAGTAATAGTCATAGTGTAATAGTGTAGGGGTGAAGTAATAGTGATAATTGTATGGAGCAATAGTATGGTATAAGAAGTAGAAGTAGAAGTATAGAGTATAAAGCCTATGAACCATTCCCACAGGGCTAAATGGTCATCCCGCGGAGTATAAGCGGGTCCAACCTTTTTTTTATTGCGAACATCGGCTGTCATACGCCTAAACGGTCTTTACTAGATTGCGACTAGACTACACAATAAAATAATTATAATAATTATAATAATTATCAGCCAAGTGACTAACACCGCCGACTCCCCCGACCCAATCGGCACCTATCATCGATGACGGCCTTATCAGCACCGGCACTTGGAAATTATAATCCCCACATTCCCTTTTTCCCCTTCTTGCGATATCTCACATCTTATACCTTGCACCTGTACCTGGCATCGTGATATACACGTCGATCTTGACTACATTCCTGGAGTCCTTGATCGCACTGTTGAAACCCTGCACGCCAAGAAGTGCTAGGTTCCGGGTTCCACCTGTGCCATGCAGCTTATTCCGAAGGAGGTAACTGGTCATCTACATGGGTCTTACACACACAAAACTGACATCCTGGTAGCTGGACAAGCTCACGATTGCCCACCTTGGGTTCTTGGCACAACGTCGTTTAGCACGTGGTGTGCGGCTGAACCATGCAGAGGCAGTGGTAGGTCCCTAGATCCCTAGATCCCGTAGGACAGGACAGGTGCGCTAACACCCCAAACCAGGCCCTGATCTCTTCGGTGCTCCACGAGGTATGTCAATCCACTGCCAATTGTCCCAAACTCCCCGACACAATCAATTGAATTTATTGAAGACCGCGATCTGACCCTTCCCAGCTCATCCGCGATGGCCACTACTCCGTGGCCGATCTCATGTCCATCGGGAAAACCATGCTTGGCCGCCGCCACGTCCTCCCCTCAGTAGTAGCCACTCTCGTTGAGCTACAGGTCGAAGGCACCTTCATATCCGGAACATACCTCGTCACAGTGCACCACCCGATCAGTAGTGACGAGGGCGATCTCGAGCGCGCCTTATACGGCAGCTTCCTGCCCGTTCCCTCCCACGAGGCGTTCCCAGATCCTGACCCCAGCGATTTCATGCCAGAGAAGATGCCCGGCGCTGTCATCCCCGCGAAGCACGCGCGGGTCGAGCTGAACTCCGGACGCAGGCGCATCAAGCTCAAGGTCATGAGCAAGGGCGATCGACCAATCCAGGTAGGTGGCGCATGCGCATGCTACCTTCAAAATGTCCAATTGGCCAATCGCTGATGTTGCACATAGGTCGGATCGCATTACCATTTCATCGAGACAAACCCACAGCTGCACTTCGATCGCATTCAGTCCTACGGGTTCAGATTGGATATACCCGCAGGAACGTCGATCCGGTTCGAGCCCGGCGATACCAAGACCGTGACTTTGGTCGAGATCGGTGGACACCGCGTGATTCGCGGTGGAAACTGGCTTGCGAATGGAGTAGTGGACATGAGCCGGGCCGAGGAGATTGTGACTAAATTGCAGACTGCGGGCTTTGCGCATGTGCCTGAACCGCAGGCGGATAGCGCGCTTGTTGCTGGGTTTTCGATGGAGCGCGAGGCGTACTCGCGCATGTTTGGTCCCACGACGGGAGATCTTGTGAGACTGGGATTGACGGATTTGTGGATCGAGGTTGAGAGAGATCTCACGACTTACGGTGACGAGTGCGCTTTTGGTGGTGGTAAGACGCTGCGTGAGGGTATGGGACAAGCTTCTGGGAGGGGCCATGCTGAGTGTGTGGATACTATTATCACCAATGCGTTGATCATTGACTGGACTGGTATCTACAAGGCTGATATTGGTATCAAGGATGGATTGATTGCCGCTATTGGAAAAGCTGGAAACCCGGACGTCATGGATGGCGTGCATCCTGATTTGGTGGTGGGTGCTTCTACAGATGTCATCGCCGGAGAGAACAAAATTGTTACCGCTGGTGGTATTGACACGCACATTCACTTGATTTGCCCGCAGCAGGTGGAAGAAGCCCTGGCTTCGGGAATCACAACGTTCCTTGGCGGTGGTACAGGCCCAAGTACCGGATCCAATGCGACAACATGCACACCGGGACCCAACCACCTGCGCCAAATGATGCAAGCTTGCGACAGTCTACCCATCAACATTGGTATTACAGGCAAGGGTAACGACTGCGGCAAGAAGAGCATTGTAGAGCAGATCTTAGCTGGAGCCGCGGGTCTCAAGCTCCACGAAGACTGGGGCTCCACGCCTGCAGCCATCGACAACTGCCTGGAAGTTTGCGACGAGTACGACGTGCAGTGCATGATTCACACAGACACGCTCAACGAGTCAGGATTTGTCGAGCAGACCATTGAAGCCTTCAAGGGCCGTACCATCCACACATACCACACCGAAGGAGCAGGCGGCGGCCATGCCCCAGACATCATCTCCGTCGTCGAGCATCCTAATGTCCTTCCCAGCAGCACCAACCCAACCCGCCCCTTCACCCTTAACACACTTGACGAACATCTCGACATGCTAATGGTCTGCCACCATCTCTCAAAGAACATTCCTGAGGATGTTGCATTCGCCGAATCCCGCATCCGCGCCGAAACCATCGCTGCAGAGGACGTCCTCCACGACCTAGGCGCCATCAGCATGATGTCCTCCGACTCTCAAGCTATGGGCCGCTGCGGCGAAGTCATTCTCCGCACTTGGCACACAGCCCACAAGAACAAAACCCAGCGCGGCCCACTAGGCACAGACGCCAACACACGGGCTGACAACTTCCGCGTAAAACGGTACATCAGCAAATACACGATCAACCCAGCGCTCGCACAGGGAATGGCTCACGCCATCGGATCCATCGAGGTAGGCAAGGTCGCCGATCTGGTAATGTGGAACGCGGCTACATTCGGCACAAAGCCCGTATCCGTACTGAAGAGTGGCATGATTGCTATTGCGGAGATGGGCGATCCAAACGCCTCCATTCCCACCGTTGAGCCGATGATTGTTCGACCGATGTTTGCCGCTCGTCTCCCTCAGGCATCTATCATGTTCGTTTCGCAGGCTTCGATCGATGCTGGAATCGTGCAGAGTTACGGCTTGAAGAAACGAATTGAGCCTGTTAAAGACTGTCGCACTGTCGGGAAAAAGGATATGAAATTCAATGACATTATGCCGAAGATGAAGGTCGACCCGGAGAGTTATACCGTCGAGGCGGATGATATGCTTTGCGATGCTGAGCCTGCTTCCGAGTTGCCTCTCACGCAGGCTTATTATATCTTCTAGATGTGTCTGTTTCTTTCTTTTCATGAGCCCTTGCATTTTGGTTTCCTATTTTGGTCTTATATACCTCGCTTTTGGTTTCTTGCATGATATACTAGGTTTCCATACTCCATACGAAAGCGACGATTTTCATTCTACGATCTCTACGTAAGGCATTGCAATCATTCACAGTGGGTAGATTCAAGTGATAACTCATTTTCTTTTCCTCGTCTCATAGCACAAAGACCAGGCCCAAATTCTAAAATTCAGAACTCCATATGATCCAGCATGTACTCAATACTCTCAATAACAATACCATCTGTCCGTCGCCCATCCCTATTAACCAGCATATCCGCCCAATGAAGCAAACTAGCCACGATATCCATACATCTCGGCGGCACATCATGACTATAAAAAGCATACGGTTTCGCCAGAACAAACGGATTCCCCCTCGTCTTTACATCCATATCCACAGCCGCATTCTTCAAACAATAAACCCTCGGCACAAGGCCACACAACGCAACCGAAACCCGGCGCGAAGCAACCAATCCCTCCTCATTGGTCTGAGGACAAGCTCTCAGCGCATTGGCATTGACACGGAGCTGAGACCGCAGTGCAGCGCGCTCTTCCTTGAAGCGGGCTACGTAGGTTGAGCGGCAGGGGTTGTACATTAGAGACATGGCCTTTATCTGGTTAGAAGGGGAGGTTAGCGATGATAGAGTCGATTTGGGATGCAATGGTCTCGGGAATATCTGTGCAGTTGTTGTCGCGGAGTCTGTTGGATAGGAGGGTGCATTGGGCTTTTAGGGCCTCGCACTGCATTGGGATGACGACGCCGTATAAGTTACGCCGGAAAAGGACGTATGGGTGGTGGCGGGATCGGTTGGAAATCATGATTGACATGGTGACGAGGATGTCGATATATTGGGGGATTTGACGACGGAGACAGGGAATGACATACTGGCGGGCTTCGAGATCCAAGCGTAAGAATGTGGCTTGTTGGTCAAGCAGGTTGATGAGATTTTCGCGTGCTTGGCGGAATCGTGAGATGAGGGTTTGATTAAGCTGGATTGTGCTGAGGTGAACCATGTTGAAATGGTGGACGATGCGCAACGTACCTTGTTGAATGGTTTTGTAGGTATCTAGAAACCCATGTTAGTGAGTGCAGCTTGAAGATCAGTGGCGAGAATCATCTCGATGTTTTTCATTGGGTGTTTTGCGTGCAGGTGAAGGGTCTGGTAAATGACGTTGGCATCTGCACTAAGTCTGTTGCAACGGGCTGGGATGGTATGCGAGAAGAAGCCAATGGATTTGGAGGTCACATACTTCATATCCTTGGCATCAACGGCGAGGGTTTCAGCAGCCCATTTCACCTTGTTAGCTTGCATGGCCAGGCCTCGGATATTCAGTGTGACCTCGACCAGGTGGTTCCCCGTAGGCTTGGATCGCAGAATCTCAATGTAGGATTCGACCTGTCTGATGAGGAGGTCTCGCTCACGGCGGTAGCCCAGAATGGCACGACTGCCTTGGAACATTTTCTTGAACTCGGGCTGGGACATCTTTGGGATATTGGAATATTGGGGCTGGAAGGGAGATTTGGAGTTGAATCACTTACTGATTTAGTAGGCTGGGTTGTGTGGAGCTGAGTTGATGATGAGACTTCGAGAAGAAGCTGAGGACTACTTATCTATCTCTCCTTGAACTATCTTGTGGTTTACCAGATTAAGACAAAGACATAGACAAGAAAGCTTAGAGAGAATGAGACTAAGGAGTTTTGTTTGCAAGTCTTGTTCCTTTGTATCTCTTATATGGAACACAAAGAAGTATGGCCGAGACACAATAGAAACATTGTTTTGACAATTTTAGCACTTCGTACTCGAAACGGCCCTGAAAGCCATTGTGAGGAGTCTTTGTTTCCTGGATAACTCTTAGAATTAGGGCATACATTGTGATCAGATCGACGAAGACATTCAGGAGCTCGAGGGCTCTGAGATCGGCCAACTAGCGGCTCTCGCCGTCTAAAACCTGTGGGGCTGGGGGCTACATTGGTCGGCGAACGATGATTCAGAAACATACGTGCTGATTGGCCCGGCTTAGTGGAATTGGGGCTATTATCCGAGTGTCTCTGAGCGAGTGAACTAGTAGGCTGCACCATCGGAGAGTACCGAAGAATTTGGTAATAGAAATCATGACAGAGGGGTATCATATTGTCGGGGTAAAAAGGAAAACAAAGGAATCGCGCAGAAAAACAAAAGCCGAAGCACATTCGGCCTCTCGTTGCTTGGCACAGCAGCTACAGTTCGATCTCCTCCTCGGCATGGTTGTCCGCCGAAACAAGCGACACATCTGTCCATGCAGAAAAGGTATCCCGACGTGCAGCTAGATACGCATCCATGCGCGCACGGCGTGCACGAGCCACACTTTCTCGGTTTCGAGGCGAGTCTCCCATTTGATCGGGGGAGTCGAATGCTGACTCGGAGATTGAGACCGTAAGTGTATCTGTCAGCTGGCTATCTGTCTGACCATTGGAGGGATATGGGGACATGGCGCCGTCTGTCGAATAAATGCGTGTTGGGTTGTTCGTTTTGGATACTGGAGAAGATGTAGCTGAATGCCTTGGGTGTTGCTCAGGTACGGGTGTGGCTTCGTCGTCCTCATCGTCCTCGCCGCCTTCATTGGCCACATTTATGTTGAAGTTATCTTCATCTGCTGTTGGCCAGGTTGTAGGAAGAGGGTCAAGTTGCAAAAGTCCCGGCTGGGCGTGTTCATGTAGATAGCGATGTGCGCGGCGGATCTCATTGCGTTTCTCCCTGGCCGCATCTTCTGATGTACCGAATTGGCGTGGTAAAGGCTGCTCCTCGGCCTGGGGAGTTGGATCAGCTGGGTGAATTTCGATATAATCCAACCCACTGCTGGTTTCTTGGGAGGACTGAGTGGATACTTCCGTATCGTAGCGTGCCCTTTTAATCGGGCGAGATTCGCTCTCTTCGTCTTCCTTGATCTTTCGCATGCGGATATCATGGGTAAACATGTTGCCTGAACATAGGTGGCCAAAGAGGCGTTCCATTGAAACATCATCGTTCCATTTTGTTGAGTCAACGGTGCATGGATAAAGATCTTGAGGCTGGAATGCGGCGACAAGCCCACAAAGTTCGGAATAGGAGGAGTGCCGAGAATATGGGAAGCGCTGAGTTTTATGAGAGAAGAACTCATTTCAAAAGGGCAATGAAACTCACTATTGTGGTCGGAAGATCAGATTCCGCAGTTCTATCAGATACGCTGGACGGTCCGTGGCTGAGGGCAGTCACAAGTTTCTTCAAGGATATCTCGCCTCCTTGCTTGAGACCATAGGTCTCCAGTGATAAGGCTTTCTTCTTCGACTTGAATCCTCGAAGGAGTGCGTTTCGCATTTGGAGCAACACCTCCGGATCATGAACATGTTGCAGACAGAGTTTCTCCAACTCAGCCAGTGCGGACTCGTCTGGCAGCTCGAGTTCGTGGGCCTGGTACAGATCCCCAATACCACCACCGGCGCCGACTTCGGGAACTTCAGTACCATTGGGGGTGCGGTTAACGATAGGCACGATATACACCGTGTTTGTGCCGCCAGCTGCGGAGCACGATACTCCAGGTTCACAACTATGGATTCGACTTGACTCGTCGTTGCTGAGACAGCCGCTCACAGCTCGGTTCCCTAGCTCAAAGCCACAGAGAGCCGGCACCTCGCTGACTCCTGGTAGTTTTGATTGGGTTAGTGATCGATAAATCCCCATCTGATAGCGATCCACGTGTATCTATATTGCCCTTAGTCAAGCTGCTCGGTACAGGATTCAACCAAAGTTACCTTGGAATTCAATGCGGATGAGAGTGCCACCCACACGTCTTCATAGCCGAATGTCCACGCCCGAAAATAGAATTTGGTATCGTGGGGATAAGTTTGAACTTTCTGCAACAGTTCAGCCAGCCCTTCGGCCTTGGAAGGGAACTGTCGAAACGGATTGGTCTTGCTCGCAAACGTAGAATCCAGGTACAACTTATCCAGTCGTTTCTGGCCCAGCGTATATGGAATCAAGACGGGATGGCGGATCAAACTATCGACCCACCATTTCTCGGCTGGTACTGATCAGCCGGGGCGATGCAGGTCTCAAAAATGCGCTAAACTCACCTCGAATATCACCCGTGTAAATGATCGCCTTGCCATCCCCTTCTATGAGGAACATCACAGCCCCAGTGCAATGATTTGCATCGAACAATGTCACCCTGATACGACATCGCGGGGTGAGTTCAATCTCTGTTGGGGCATTCAAAGGGATTGGGCGCTGAACATGTTAGGTTTGTGATGCAGCGATTTCAAAACGTGCTCACCAGAAGCTTTGCCAAATGCTTATAGTGCAGCCGGCGTGACTCTAGGATGCCTTTGGTAAAGTTCATTCGATGAGGGTACTTTTCGATGCGGAGCAGTAGCTGCATCGGGTGAGTCCATGGCCTCTTCGCGGTGTGTGCGGGATGCCTACCTCTCTCGTTGCGGGAGAACAGTAAATAAACGGTGCGCGGAAGGACTCCAGGCCCTGCAAGTGATCGCTGTGTACATGACTGAGAAAGCAAGCTAGTGGTGCAGGCCGCTCGGGACACTTCCGGAAGTAGTCGACTGCATTGATTAGTTGGGAAGTTTCCTCAGTCTGAGACGAGACTCACTGCGGATATTGGGGAACTCTGTCAGATGATTAGTAGACTGACAAAAGTGACTTGTGGAGTCTCACCCTCGGCGATGCCATCAAAGGTCGACATGGTCAAATGCTCCAGTGCACGATGTTGGCTGCCACTCTCCTTAAATCTTATGTCCGGAACATTTGAACCTAAACTCCGTGTGATGACTAACAGAGATCAACCATGGAACCGAATGTTGGAACCATGGATCAACCTGGACTTATACTCTTCTTCCTCCGGGGCTCTACAGAGTACACCTGGGCTGCTTACTTCCAAGGTTAAGTGTATGGCTGAGTTCAATAGATTTGAAACATATTCTGCTTAAGTTGGACGAATCAAGCTGTTAATTTACTACTGAATCGGAATAGGCGTCTAGCGGGTAGATCTGAAGTCATAAGTGAAGATATATGTGATACATCCATGGACATGTTTCCAAGTTTAGACATTCTTGGTAGCCATGACGATGAAGGGATTCTAATTTCATTCTCATCTGATCCTTGAAATAACTTTAGAACTGATGCTATAGTTATGTGGAATGCTCACTGTATGTATAATTCCCAGTGCTATTACAAGGTTCCAAGGTTTAGCTATTATGTTGTACGCCGTACGGAGTACATACCTCGGGATTACTTCACGGGTGTACGGAGTAATGATCAGTGAGTTATTCCGTGCAAGTTGGACAGATTCGGACAAAACCTCACCAGAAATGATATGATATGCTCAGGTGAACTGTCAATTGTCAGCACTAAGTGGCAAGAGATGCAGACTAGACAAAGCCAACCCGGGAAGATGTGCTGCATAATGCGTTGGACCTGCACGTGACGTGTTAAAAAGCCATGAAGTATGGCAAATGGCATGAACGGACTCCAATTTCGATGATTTCGAAGATTCTGATTCGTGTGGTTCGAGATTTTACCATTTTTTGCCCTAGAATACCCATACAAGGTATGGAGACGTGTTCACTGGTTAACGGATGCGAACGCTAACAGCTGGCTCTGCGTATGCCAACGCACACCTGACGATATGATATAACTGTCAATAATTCTTCGAACTTCCCTTGCTGTTCCTTGCTGCCTTTTTCTTTTCTTTTCTTTCTTGACAGGTCTCAATTGTATTTCTGGCATGCCTGTGAGACCTTCAATTCCCCAAGGGTCAAAGAGCGAGCTCACCTGATCGGGCCTTTTCTTTTCTTAATTTTCATTTACTTCCTAGAAGGAGTGAAACGAGGTGGTTGTTCAACTTCTTTGAAAATCGACCACAGTCCGTGAGGTCCGCGCAAGTCACCGCCAGTCATCCGCGTATTGTGTACACTTTGTTTCCCCACTCTCTTCCCGACTCAGTTTGGGAATTTGAAGGGCAAGGGGGAAAGTCCCTGATTACCTTCTGACATTCCAAGCCTGAGAAACGGCTTTATTGTCCAGCGGCTACTCCGACTCACCTTTTTCTCCTGTTCTTTCCCCCCTATCTCACCATGCGTAAACCATCACTGGCCCACATCGTGTATAACGCCACGTTCCCACGACCTCGCACAAATGATCCGGGTTCTTTTGCCGCTCACATCACTCGAAACCTCGTCCCAGAAGTACGTGTCGAGACATCCCTTTTCTACGGTTCGCTAGACTGCATCGAGGCACAATACCCCGGCCTGGACTACTCATACGGGCCACATCGGATGCGACTTAGTCGGTTCCCGTGGCACCGGAGACTGTTCCGGACTTTCAACGAACTCGGTTTGACAGAAGACGAGATCTCTGATCTTTGTCGATGGGAAGGGACCAAGTCCGCGCGACAGCGGTACGAGGCGGAAGAAAGAGTCAGCGTGCAGGACACCACGGCCCAGTCAATCCGAGCGGCATCTCCCCTACCTGGACCCTCAATTGAGATCCATTACGATGACTTCTGCGGGCCAGAAGAAGAGATTATCGAGACCCGGAGCAATGACACTATCCGCGCAAGTCGCTCCCGAGCATCCAGTTACCAAGCCGCGATGGCAGAACCCGAGTCAGAGGATGAGTTCAGCGACGAGGAAATGGAGAGCTGTGGCGTGGCCCTAAACCACCGGATCCATGCCGCGATGGCTGCTCGTGATCGCGGAACCGATGTGCCGCTAGACGAGGACTGGGAACAATGGCTGAAAGAAGCCGGGGAACGAGGCACCTACGGGGAGGTGTTTCATGCGATTCGCTCGAACCAGCCCTTGAGCTTGCCTTATGAAGATACTCTTCCTCACCGTCGCGCACTCGCCCCAACCGCGGCCACCCTCCCTGACGCATACATGATATCCGTGCCTGATAGCATCCTCCCCAGCCCAGCTTTACCAGCCACTTCCAATGCCTCCGGTGCGGCTCGGTGACTGCACTAACATCTGATCCGTCAGTCGGGTTCTCGCTATGATTTTTTCCTTTGCATAGTTACGGCGCATATTCCATTTCTCGCATCGTCTGAAGTGGACTGGCTCTTCTTCCGGGAATTATTTGTTACTCTTTTTTCCCGTCTCATCTTTCATTTTATATCGATATCCATCGCTGCTTACCCCTCAGAACCTGCTCTCGTCTAGATTTCGTTGTGTTCCACGTCTTTAATACCCTTACCCTCTACACTATTTACATGTTTTACTGTGATATTCATTATCAGATGAGCAGAGAATTCGCAGTCAACTGCAAAAGTTATCTAGGTATTCAAATATCATCTCGTTCAACTACACTCTGTACTCGTATTCTGGACTATTCATATCAGATGCAAACAGTAGCAAACACCCGATAAGCTCCCCCTCCGCCCTCCAAGCTCCGCTCCGCAACTTATCTCCTTCGGCCCTGCCCTGAAGTCATGGGCTCTGAAAGTTGACGCTGCTCGTTTGCAAGGTCTAATAATTCCATGAGATTCAAGCCCTTTCTTGCAATTCTTGCGCCGGCTCCAACATGATCAAAGCAATCTTTTACAGCAAGTTCGATACAGTAGAGGGTAGGTCTGAGTTTCCATGTCCATCTCCGATCACCACTCACAATGTTATATAGGACCTAAAGTCGTCCACCAAGTCCCCGATGGCGGCATTGTTCCCTCTCCTACGGCGCCCTCACAGCTCCCCCTCTTGATATTCTCCGACGTCTCGTTCTTCGTGATTCCCCGCCAGGAGCTCTGCGGAAACCTGTTGCAAGTCTGTACCAACGGATACCGCATTCTGGGCTACCCAATCTGCATGAAGTCTGCGCGCTATGATCGTAACGAATTCATCTTCAATTTCTGTATCGTGCTTGCAGAGGAGGACGACTTTAGCACGTATAAAAGCGTGGTGCAGAAGATCGCAGACCTGATGCACGGGTTGGAAGAACAGAATGGCTTCCTGTCACGCGATTTCTCGAAGAGCGGCGAAGGGAAGATCTACAGCCTCTGTGAGATGCTCATGGAGGATCTGAATAACTACTGCGAGTGCATGATCCCGATTGGTACGTTAGTGTCCTGCTATACCCCTACACTACTGACCAGATTCCTAGATGACTTGAATACTCTAAATATTAAGCTCTTCCCTATATATCCTTCTCCTCCGCCGGTCAAGGCCTGGCAAGTACCGCTGTTCATGCTGCGGTACCAGGCTTTCACTGATGAGAATTGGGACTTGACCATGCAGAGGGTATGTGAAGTGTTAGCTATGGTTCTTTACCAGATAACTAACCGTCCCAGATCGTACCGCATATCAACGGCGTCAATAGTGTACGTCTCATATCTATCCTAGCAGATACCGACTTCTCCCTCACCTGCCGTGCACTCCGCCACCTCCTCTACTACGGCTGTCTCTTCCTACTCGACATATTCTCCTTCTCAGCCATATACGCACCAACCGCTCAGTTCAGCACAACCATAGCCTCCGACGAAGCAATGCAACTAGAATGCGCCCGCTACGTCAATCTCCGCTTCGCACCACATCCCCCAATGGGACCATCCATCACTCTAGCCCAAAGCACAAGTGCCAACGGCAGCACAAGCAACACCGTGCTTTCCGCCTCCCTCACAGACCCAAGTCTCACACAAGAAGCCCGATTTGACGCCGAAGAAATTTGGCCATTACTCGGCGAAGAAACCACCCCCATCCCTGATACATCAATAGTCCACAAGCCCGCTATTGTGGACGGCGCAGCGCTAGTCGAGCTATACGCAGGACTCAAACAAGGCCAGAGTGTCAAACAATGGTACGCGCAGCATAGTCGCTCATTGGCAAATATCGATATCCGACGCTTTATCACCTTCGGCGTTATAAAGGGCTTCTTGTACCGCGTTCATAAATACGCTTGTGCAACAGGCCAGCCGGCTCCGGCTCCGCGCTCTTCTTCATTCACACCGACTGGTCATTCGTCACGTGTGACAACCGGGACGAATACGCCTTATGCTGTTTCTAGTCTTGGGGAGGATGGTGTAAGGCGCGAGGGGAGCCAGGAGCGAGCTGGGTCGTTGATGAGTGGGAAGGGGGCTGGGAGTGGGACGCCTTCGGCATTCTGGGAGGATGAGGAAGAGGAGGTTGTTAGTGACGAGGTTTTGGGGAGGTATCTTGATGGTACGCATTGCGTGGATCAGATTTGTACGGAGTTGGAGATGAGTGAGAGGGAGCTGACTGCTAGGTTGAAGAGGTATCCTGGGGAAGTGCTGATTTTGCATCGATGATTGACATCGGTGCTAGTTGTTTTAAATTGCTACATATACCCTGTTGTTACCAACGAATCGTTTGAGTTGCCTGGAAGACATTAAGAAAAGAAAGTGGTTTAGATAGCTTCATAGCCAAAGAAAGGGTGTACATTTCCATCGACAAATATCTAACCAGCTAGATGCAGACTCAAAAAGATCTGGTAGTTTTCGACAATCATGACAATGTCCACTTTCAAACTCAAAGCCAGTCACCGAGGTTGCCACATCCAGGAATATCCGACAGGACGAGTAATAAACAGGTATCCGCTAACGCCACGCCAATCCATCATGCCAATCGTGTAGTATCGTAGGAGAAAATAATCAAACAAGCAAAGATAAGCGGGAACCAAAGGTTCATGGAGAGAGGGTGAAGTTACTCCTCATCCCAGTTCTCCAGCTCCGCTTTCTCATATTCAGCCATGACAGAGTTGTCAAAGATCGACTCTCCCTCCGTAGGAATGGTAGTCTTGATGTCGTCGAAGATAGGCAAGAATGCCTCGTTCCAGCGACGGCGACGGTCCATAACAATCTTGGCGGCATCTCCAACAGCCGGACGGGATACACCCGCAGAACCAGCGACATGGCTGCCACCGCCAGCACCACCAGGGCGGTGCTTAGCTTGAGCTCCCTTCTTGCTCTTGCCCATGGTACGGGTGCGCTTGAGATAGGCCTGCTGGACCTGCGAATCAAGGTCGTCTTGGATGGTGGTAAATTCGAGCATGGCCATGTGTTCCTGGGCGATTTTCAAGATACGGGCTTTGCGCGCATTATTGGTGACTATTTGTTTCTTGAGTTCACCTTGGAGGAGGCGAAGACGCTCGGCAACTTCGTCATCGTAGTGTGCATCGTAGTCGGGGTTGTCATCTGCGCCGAGGAAACCAATGTATCGTAGTTCGGCTTTGGCGCGTTCGTCAAGTTGCGCATGGTCAAGTTTTGCGACTGAAGTCTTAAAGTCGTTCGGGTCGGCGTCACGGAATGCGGTGGCAGGAGGTTGGGGTGGCTTTTGTTCGCTCTTGGGCGGCTCTTTTTCTCCACTGGGCTGGTCAATTTCCATCGCATCCCCGCCTGGAGCTGCGCCAGTTGATTCGCCGTTTGTATTTGCGCCATCGTCTTCGGGATAAGTACGGTGCTCGTAGCGGAGGAGCGACACAAGTCGGCTGAGTAGAGGACCAACTGAAACCTCGTTGGTTTCGGCTTTTTCTTCGGTCAATTGGTCGATATTACCGCGGCCTTGGTTCAGAGGAAGCTGGTCCTTGTCGTCCTGACTCGAGTCGTAAGAAACACCATCTTCTTCCGCCCAAAGCTGACGATAGCTCTTTTTTCCGCGACGCGGCATTATGAATGGAGTGGCACGATCACCCTAAAAGACGTTAGCATATGGCCCGTAGTAAAGCAGCGGGTGTCTTACCCTTTCCCTCAACCAAGCGATGTCTTCCTCGGTGAGGGGGCGAACGTATGGCTCAATGTAAGTTAAGAATGTATTGGCGCTGACTTGGTTGGACGGCTTGGCGTTGCTGAAGTCCTTGTCGGGAGCTACACCAGCAGCCATGTGGGCAAGGTCGGTCTTGGGGAACCGAGCGACGCTGTAAATTTCTTTCTTTTCATCGTCCGTCATGCCCTCGAGGACCTCTCGAATATCATAAACTGTTGGGTCGTCATATTCCAAAGGATTGTCGCCGAAAATTTGGACGTGAGGAACAGCTGGTGCAGGGTCAGGTTGGTGGGAATCTGTGCTAGTCTCCGAGCCAGGCGAACCGGGGGCAGCGGGACCGTCGGCGGCGGGGTTCGCGCCGTTGGGGGACATCATCGAGGGAGGCGAAAGCGAAGAGCTCTCGTCCGAGGGCGCATTCTTGGAGTTTTTGGATGCTGGGGAAGCAGCTGAAGAAAGTCAATAAAACTTGAACAGTGGAGAAGTCAAGACAGTCAAATGTGGAGATCGCTGGAAACGACCGAGGGTAGAGGGAAAGGTGGGAATAAAGCACCAAGTTGGGTTACATACCTCCCTCAATTTTGGTCTCTGCCCCATCCTGGCGAGCGACTTCGTGTGCCCCATGACTTAAGGGGCGTTCTTCCTTTGTACTGGCCCGTTCCTTGCGCTTCTTGAGCTTCCCGCCCTTGTGGATCTCGTCGTCCTCTTCGGTTTCGCGCTTCAGCTTCGAGCGCTCTCGGACTTCACGATCGAGATCCGGGTCATCCATCACATCTTTACGTTTTTGAGACATTTCCCGCATTCCGGCATTGCAAACCTCGCCCCGAGCATCAGCCATGTCACTGAGGCTTTTTAAGTGTTCCACCAGTGTCTCCAATGTCTTTGAATCTGGAATGTTTTGCGCAGCCACTAGATCCAGTACATCGGAGTACTGGCCACTGGCTACTTCGATGAGCTTAGTGACATCATTTTCCATGTAGCTCTGGATAGGCAGTGTCGGGATCGTGGGAGCACTAGCTCCGGACGGGGTCGTGTTGCGACTACGCGACTGGCGCGCATCTCGGCCTTTGCCCTTGCTTTTGTACGCAGAAGGCATATTGTTCAGGTCGCGGGAAATATGACACGAAATCAAATAGTGGAAGGCCCGAAGGGGGAATCGAGTGGAGGTATCGTCGAGGGTATTCTAGGTGAAGTTGGTAATAGGTCGACACATGCTGTCGCTGGCTAATGCAATGGATAATACGTAGTATGGTATCCCCAAAGCACTTCGATGCAGCTGACACAGATAGGCAAGAGACTCTTTCAAGGATGACTGCTTCTACGTTGAGAGATGAGGTATCGAAGCAACCATGCACGTGATGTTATCATCACGTGCGATAACACTATGTACCTGTGGAGGTTCTGTCTGAAGTCTGTACCAGAGCTGGAGATGTTCCAAGTATGATCAATATCTTTCTTCGATATTTTCCCCAACTTCAGATTGGAAGGCTACTGAGTGATGGAATTTGCCCCCTTGCCACAATGATTGTGGCTTAGCCGTTGTGGTCTTTGTATAGAAAGCCAAATACCATTCCGACGGTTCTGCAGGGCTAACATTCTGCGGAGAACCCCGACCCTGAGTGGCGGCATCCCCGGTCGCAATCACTTACTGTGGCTTGTTGTGGTCACAGATTGATAGTCACAGGAACTTTTACACATTGAGGTTGTGCAGTTTTTCAGAGGATATGTATCAAACTCTGGTTTGGTAGTTTGGACTCTGGAGGTGTATATAGTTCAAAGCTTATGCGGTGCTCATTTCTGTTTCAGGCTGAAAGTATGAATGACCGACCAAGAGAAATTCATTTTCTTGCTAATATGCAGATAAAGCTGAAAATACAATGAAAAGTAAGCCCTGAGGGTTAAGCAGAAGTAGGTCTAGGTGAACTAGCTCTAACGTTGTGGTGACGATCATCTCCATAACCGTCGGCCGCAAACGGTAACAAGGTAATCTTCACGGTTTCTGTAGCCACGCACTCGGCGAATATTGCTTGTTCACGGAGATTTTACTCTAAAATTCTGAAACCCGGAGTCTCTCTGTGAGCTCATTGCCTCTTGCCTCGTGGTTATTCACATTCTTGTACCGGTCCCGATTGACTCTCGCATTCTTCCGCTGTAGAGCTTCGAAATAGGATGTATGAATGAAGTCGACTTCCTATCCTTTCTTTTTTCCTCGAAGTCATTTCACTCGCTACCTCTCGCCATCCCAGTCACTTTACCCACTTCGTTTACACGTCTCTTCTTTTTCTTTTCCTTTTTGAATTGTCCATGCCCGTGCCCATACTAGTGATCTTCATATAAGATCCCTGCTCACTATTGGAACGACTGCCTTCAATCAACAACCGTCACTATGTCAACTGTCGGGATGACACGAAATGCGCCGCAGGACTCTGTGGGCAAAGTAGCTACTTTGTGGGCAGGTCCCGGCGAAGCATCGAATTCCACATCTTCAGTCAATGTGAGTCGCTGCTCCTTCATTCCAGGAATCCTTCTCGAAACATCTCTAACCCAGCATCTATAGGAGAATGTTGCTTATCGATTTGTTCTTGACAACAAGGTTCAAACAATCTCCAGCAATAGCATCCCTGAAAGTGGAGTGGTCTCAGGCCTCTTGTTCGTCCCCAATCTAGATCTGCACGATCCCTGCTACAATACGACCGCCTCGGCCGTGCCCGCCAACGTCACCCGATACCAAGACGTATCCAGTTTTGGCTACTCTCTCATCGGTCTCGCCCCATGGGTGTCTGCCGAATGCTCGCTATCCTACCTATCCGCCGGACAAAAAGTTGGAACACATGCTATGGTCTTTTTCGAACCCTCGAATAACGACACAGGGCTGCCACCTGATTCAAATGACTCGCGCTGGGTAATTAATGATGGGGAGAAGTGGAGGATGGAGAATGATTACCCAGTGTATGCCATTCCTGGCCCAGCAGGAACGTCATTGATACGTGATCTTGCGAAGTTTTCGGGAGACTCAACACATAGCAAGAGAGAAAACCTGGCTGAGATACCCGACAGTTCTCGTTTGTTTGCTCGGCTCGAAACTGGTATGTGAGGAAAGGTTGTCCGGAAAAGATGTATACTTACAAGTCATTAGGGAAGGAGTCAGGAAACATGCCAAGTCTTTGGAGTTTTGTGCTCGCAATTGCAGGAACAGTTCTGGTCCTCAGTCTCTTATTGGTTGTGATTTATCGTTTGGTTTTACGCAGAAGACGGGACCAGTTCCAGAGGCGCATCGCCGCTGGCCAGGTCGATGTCGAGGCGCTCGCATTGAACCAAATGAGAGCACCTCGAGATGTGGTTGAGAAAATGCCTCTTTACACCTACTTGGACGTAAACCCATCATCAGAGTCATCAGTCCATCGAAAGAGCACCTCTGAGGATGAGACTGAAAATGGCAGTGATAATAAAGCGAGCTCACCTGCAGTCAAAGAAGATGCCAAACAAGATGCCGATCAAGACACCAGGGAAGACGATCAACCTCTGGACGACGCTGGACTCAAAAAGCCCGAGCCAGCAGCAATCAACCCTGGGAAGCAAGAAAAAGATAATTCGACACGAAGCAAGTACCGACTGAGCCATACACAAACAACCTGCGCGATTTGCATCGATGATTTTGTGGCTGGATCTTCAATAGTTCGCGAGCTGCCTTGTGGACATATTTTCGATTCAGAGTGCATTGATCCTTTCCTGACAGACAACAGCTGCCTTTGCCCTCTGTGCAAGACGAGTGTTCTACCGGCTGGCTCATACTGCATCTCTGTTACCAATGAAATGGTTCGACGAGAGCATGTTTCGAGCCAATCCGAATGAACGAGCTGGGACTCTATTTCATCGCGCTTGGCCCCTGTTTAGTGTTGATTCTGAGAAATTTTGTCTTACGAGACATTGGACGTTGATAAGATTTTCAAAGTCTTTTTTTGGCGTGAGCGAGCGTTTTTTTTCTCTTTCTTTTTTGCATCAAGCAATCTGATCATTGCATGGAGAAGGCGTTTTGTATGGTATCTTGCTGAGCAATATGACAGTAAAAGCTTCTTATCTTTATTAAATCTCGTTATAATCGTATGGATTGTCGAAAAGCATCGTAATACGATCGCTATAGTACACTAGTAGTGCGTCCTATGTTGACATTTTACTTTCCTACTGCTGGCTCAATGTTGGTAGAAAAAGGCTAGGTAAAAAATGGTAAAAAATGGACTTGGGGCCTGAGGCAGAAGCGATTGAGAGTAGGGCTTGGCATGGACACCTCAATTTCAGGGCAGCAACAGAGGACGACATATCATTGGCCGGGGTGGAGAAACTCGCTAATCGTTAGCGTCCCACAACCCACAACCTCTGCCTACCTCTTCCTTCACTCGAACTTTTTGCGACAACGACAACCGACGACCTCGTAAAGCCGACAAGGTACGCTTTCCCGCCCATTGAATCGATTCAATCCCCCTCGCCAGTGCATTTGTCTAATCTACGACCGTCCAGATGGGTGCCCTCAAGTACGTGGAAGAAATCCAAAAGAAGAAGCAGTCCGATGTGATTCGCTTCCTGCTGCGCGTCCGATGCTGGGAGGTGAGATAAATCCCCTGCCCCTCGAATGCCTAACATCTCCGCCGAGCACATCGTGTGCGTTGCCTTAGGACATGCCGTTTTTGTGGTAATGCTAGGTGGCTCGACCAAAAGTCATTCGGCGGGAATGATTGTGGCACGCAAGAAAACCTTTTACGGGAATTCATGTGTCTTGCTATACACTCGTTGAACTTTGCTGAGAGTGCATAATATAGCTCCGCCAGCTGAACGCCATCCACCGTGCCTCGCGCCCCTCGCGCCCCGACAAGGCCCGTCGTCTCGGTTACAAGGCCAAGCAGGGTTACGTTATCTACCGTGCCCGTGTCCGCCGCGGTGGCCGCAAGCGCCCCGTTCCCAAGGGTGCCACTTACGGTACGGAATCTCTTTTTTTTCGAGTGGAATTCGTCGAGATCTGCTCCCGGGAAGAAATTTTTGACTAACGTGATTGGATGAACAGGCAAGCCCACCAACCACGGAGTTAACCAGCTCAAGTACCAGCGTGCTCTCAAGGCCACCGCTGAGGAGCGTGTTGGTCGCCGTGCCGCTAACTTGCGCGTCCTGAACTCCTACTGGATCAACCAGGACTCTACCTACAAGTACTTCGAGGTCATCCTCGTCGACCCCCAGCACAAGGCCATCCGCCGTGATGCCCGCATCAACTGGATCTGCGCCCCCGTCCACAAGGTGAGTTTGGCTCAAACCTCCAACATTGATATCGCGAGAACTTGGCTAATTCGATTTTTTCTTCTAGCACCGCGAGTCTCGTGGTCTCACCGCCACTGGCAAGAAGTCCCGTGGTATGAACAAGGGTCACCGCTACAACAACACCAAGGCTGGTCGCCGCCACACCTGGAAGCGCCAGAACACCCAGAGCTACTGGCGTTACCGTTAAGTGCGATAGTGCACTTTATAAGCGGTTTGGGTTTGAAATTGTTGGATTCGGCATGTGGTCATTTATTCAAACACTTCTCTCCCAGACAGTGTATTCCACGCTGGGCTCAACTTTAATGCAGGCCTGCCGGTTCTGTTGTTAGCCAAAAAGCCATTTTGTTCTATTTTCGATTCCCCATTAACGAAGTATGACTGGTTCAACTCCATACCGCCTGTCCTGTAGAGCATGTATATACCTCGGTGTACTGTAGTTAGTATCCGATAGAGTGCTCTGAAATTGACACTAGAATACTCTAATTTACCATGGAGTTCTGATTTGATTCGACGACTCATGCTAGTGTCATTTCATCTGTACCCCAGGAGGGGGCCAGACTGTTTAGCGGATCGCCATGATCGCCAGCTCAACGTTCAGTTCATGCGTGGTTTAGGAGCTATGTAATATCCATGGACAATACATTCATATATTGAGGGATTAACCAAGACACTTTACGCGTAAAGGATCCATGTCTCACCAATATTTCGACGGGCAACGGGCTAATCCAAAAATAACTAAATTGGTCGCCTGAGGCAGTCGCGCCGTTCCCCTCCGGCTTCTTTCCCAATCCGTCCAGGGAGTATACTCGTATTGTCACCCATCTTTGTTGGACTCGTGAGATTGTTCCTTGATTTGTCAAATCCCGAGATTGAATGCTGACTGGTCATCCCTGCAATAGAACAACCTGTCATCTAACAAAGCGCTGCCTTACTCGACACCGCGCAGCTCCAACTCTTTACACGACTCGCATGTGTCCAGCAAGAGCAGCAAGCTCCACGAGCTGGATTTTATACTGGAGAGGTTGAACCTAGTCAAAGAGATACCGCCAAGTGAATCAATGCACCTCCATGCCGTCTCGATCTGAACGTCAATTGCCTATCCCCCCGGTCTCGAGTTCTGGCACCGCCGCCATCCCTCTCCGCCCTTCACAACACACTGGATTGGAAAGTAGCACACGCCGCCCAGTTCGGCCTCGAGATGCTCCAAATATGGCCCCGATAAGTGGCAGCGCGCCGAAGAGCTCATATCACCCAGGACACACACGCTCCATCAGTAATCCGTTCGCGGGATTTGGTCGAAAGCGAGACAAGGCTCCCCTCAAGCCGGAGACATGGGACTCGGACGATGATGACGATGACGACGACCTGAACCTTCCCCAAGAACCCCAGGCGACGAGTCCGCGGAAAGGTGGTAATCGTGCGGGATCTGCAAATGATCTCGCCGAGGGAAAATGCCAAACTTGCGATGCTACTATTCGGTGGCCTCGACATCTGAATGTGTTCAGGTGCACCGACTGCCTGATGGTAACAGACATGGGACCAGAAGCATCGGAATCAAAAGACTTGGATGGTCATAGCCGGAGAACCCCTCAAGGATCTCAACGTGAACCGTCCAAGTTAGCTAGTAAAGGTAATACGCGATGACTGCGGGGACTGATTCATCTTTGACGGAAATCGCTGACTCTTGGCCCTAGTGCTTCCATTGTCTGCCAACCAGACCCGGGGTATGGTTGGTGGTTGTCTCAACATGTATTTCGATTCTCTTTTGGACAATGGCTCTCGGTCATGGGTGTCGCTGGACGACGAAAAATATGAAAAGCCGCTGCCAGATCTACCGCCATTGCAACCTCATGAATCCGGACCCAACCACTTGGCCATCCCATCCGGTGGGAGTCATCAAAACCGCAGCACTTCTCAATCTAGTGGACGAGAGCAAGACATGTCCCCAAAGGACAACATAGCTTGTTCGGCACCACAGGCTATTCGGTGGGAGGGCGATGGGCCACATGCCAGAGCTCGTGCCAATTCTGACTTCAACTCTCCAACAAAACCTGATCCTCGGCCACAGGCAAGCACACAAACCGAGAAATTGTCACCACCTAACCGTGCTACTCGACAATATATCTTCGAAGGGCTGGAAAACAGTATTATCAATGCTTTCAAGGGCTGTGACTGCCTCAATGAATCTTTCACTACACATCCGCCTCCCCGATCAGCCCGATCAGCCAGCAGTGGTAACCCTCCGAGAATGAGGATGGAATCAATCACAATGCCCGAGCCGGCAGCAGATGCGCCTGTCTTCGAACCCGATGCCAAAACTTTGCTTTTAGGTGATTTGTCAGAGAACTCGGCTTGGTGGATGAATGAATGGGCAGAGGCTGAAGGTCAGAACCCATCTTACACAAAGGAGAAAACTAGCCCTTCGAAGTCTCGAATGGTATCATCGCGAAGTCCTCGAATCAACTGGGCAGAGGTAAGCCAATGGTATCACTCGGTATTGTCTGCAGGAAGCTCCTGGTCAGACCAATGGACAGCCAAAAAGCCCGATCCAACACGCTCAGAGGCGGATTTGATTAGAGCCAAAAGATGGGCGGCTATTGATCCGACCATTATCGGGAAAAAAGTCACCGAATCTCGTTCCCACTTGCAGCGAACACTCTTGAAAGCCACTGAGAACCTTCTCAAGCGCCCGCGGCGTGTGTTGAAGCGGCCGGAGGATACAAGGTTTCTGTTTATCTTGTTGGCGAACCCCATCTTATCTTCACCTACATCCTACCCACAGCACCCAATGCCCTCGACGTCACACCGGGAGGAAAGGCGTCCATCACACCCAAAAGACAGCCTCAAGCCGCCAACTCGAGATGTTAAAACCTCGCACAAAGAGCCACCTAAGGCTCCTGCTCGCCAAGAGAGCCCCAATCACCACTATGGGCTCATCAAACGAATCTTAGGACTCATGTCCAACTTGCCAAATGACTGTCACCACTACCTTGTGTCCTGGGCCTCACGGTTCTCCGTGCGACATTTAGAACGATTGGTGGAATTAGTTGGCGGGTTTCTTGCATATCGTTTGAGCCGCCAGCATGGGCGAAAACGCCCGGAGAAGCCCCAGAGTGGAGATGATTTAATCCCAAGCTTTGCCAGTGCCTCGGGAAATACACCGGCCGAGCTCCATGCTGCTCTCAATCGAAGAAGTCCGGGCAAAAAGCCCGCCAAAACGACAGAAGCCCCCATCATCTACACGGAAGACTGGCAAATTAGAGCGGCAGCCAGAGTCATGTCTCTGCTCTTCACGGCGAATACATCCTCTGCAACAAAGAAGTCTGATGGGTCTCCGCGCAGCCTTGAATCGCCTAAGAACCCAGGGCCTTGCCAAGGCCACATGGTTCCTATCAGTACATTCTACAGCACGTTGCTTGACTACTCGGACCTCGTGGCCGATTTTGAGACTTGGGAGTCAAAGAGCTCCAAGTTCTCGTTCTGCCAGTATCCATTCTTGCTCAGCATTTGGTCCAAAATCCATATCATGGAACATGACGCACGTCGTCAGATGGAAGCAAAGGCACGAGACGCTTTCTTCGATAGTGTCCTTGGACACAGAGCCGTCAGCCAATATCTTGTGTTGAAGGTACGGCGTGAATGTCTGGTTGATGACAGCTTGAAGGGGGTTAGTGCGGTTGTTGGTACCGGGCAAGAGGAGATTAAAAAGGGACTTAGGATTGAGTTCTTAGGCGAAGAAGGCATTGATGCCGGTGGATTGCGAAAGGAGTGGTTCCTTTTGCTTGTCCGGGAAGTTTTTGACCCCCATCACGGTAAGCATTCTCAATTCTGGGAATAGCCGATGATTCACTAACCAATATAGGTCTATTCGTCTACGATGATGACTCACAATACTGTTACTTCAACCCATATTGTTTCGAGTCGTCCGAGCAATTCTTCCTGGTTGGAGTTCTTTTGGGACTTGCCATCTATAACTCCACTATTCTCGATATTGACCTTCCACCATTTGCGTTCAAAAAACTGTTGGCATCGGCGCCCTATAGTGGTGGTATCCAAACTACTCCACGTTCAAGCTTCAAATGCACATTGGAAGATCTGGCCGAATACCGACCAGTCCTCGCAAAGGGACTCCGGGGTTTGTTGGAATTTGAAGGGGACGTTGCAGATACCTTTTGCTACGACTTTGTCGCCCAGGTCGACCGCTACGGCGAAGTCGTCAATGTGCCTCTCTGCCCCAATGGCGAAAATCGTCCAGTGACCAATTCCAATCGTCGCGAGTTTGCTGACATGTACGTCGGTTATCTTCTCGACACAGCCGTGGCTCGACAATTCGAACCCTTCAAAAGAGGCTTCTTTACAGTGTGTGGTGGCAACGCACTGTCTCTTTTCCGACCAGAAGAGATTGAACTTCTGATCCGTGGCTCAGACGAGCCACTCGATGTAAACTCTCTCCGGGCCGTGGCCACCTACGACAACTGGTCCCATCCACGACCAGATTCTGTTCCTGTGGTGCGGTGGTTCTGGGAGTTCTTTGAAAATTCGCTGCCCCATGCGCAGCGCAAGATCCTGTCCTTCATCACGGGCAGTGATCGAATCCCAGCAATGGGCGCTACAAGCCTTAATATCCGGCTTGCCTGTCTTGGCGATGAAACTAGTCGCTACCCAATTGCGCGCACGTGTTTCAACACGCTGGGTCTGTACCGTTATTCCTCTCGTGAAAAATTCCAGCAAATGCTCTGGGATGCTGTCGTCAACAGTGAAGGATTTGGTCTGAAGTGATTTGCTCGGCCATAATCTGTCTGGTGTTGAATCTTGCAAAGACGCTGGACGTTGCTCAAGCATTTGATTCTTGGAGTCGGTCTGCTTTTCTTTCGGTTATGGCGCACTGGCTTTTCCTGCCCATGTTGCACATATAGGTGTTTCTTTTCCAGTGATGCGTTGTGCTTTCTCTTTTTCTACTCTTGGGGATTCCCTTGTTTCATTTTAGGAGTGTGCTACTTTGCTAACAATCCAATGCACATCAACACTTCCTTACTTCATCCTCCTTCTACTATTACTTCGAATCAGTACCGGCAATAGTAGCAAACGACAAATGTCATCCCGGAATTCTGCTGTCTGCTAGTACAGTGCATGTGAGATTTATGTCGACTTCCGACCTCGGGAGGGCTGGCCTAGATGAAGCGAGATTTAACAAGGCCATCGCCAGCTCCATGTATTGAATTATAAGAGCACTCCGCCTCACCATCAAGCTCCATGGAAATAACTTCCCTCCTTACTAACCTCGGACTCCGAGTCTCCTCGTTGTATCAATTGCCTTATGCCTGCGTCCTACATAGGCCTTCAGATCATGGGGGTGTCTTTCGAGTACGACTCCAGTGAAATGCCCATTCACGACTCTGCATCCATGATAGCGGATCAGGTTCGGATGTGGATGCTGTGACAGCTCCTCCAGAACCTGGGCTTCTCCCACAAGTGAGGTGAAGATCTGTCTCCCAAGTCCCCTTTCTTTCAGTCAACTATCAAGTTCTAGCCTGGGTCGTACGGGAGCTAGAGCCCCGCTCCTGCCCCCCAGAACGTTAATTACCACAACAACAACAACATCATCATCCTAACTGATTCTACTTCTTAGCCGGTTTTTCTGCATTTTTACTATGCATATGCGTGCGTTGTTAGGAGGGGCAATTGTCACCTGATTAATGACCCCTCCTTTACCCAATATCCCTAGCTAGCAATGAGACATGTCTTCACCAAAAAGTACCTAGCAGGTAATAGGTGGTATCGCAAGTATGACCTTACTTATGCTTGTTCTTCTTGCACTTCTATGTTATAGCTTCTTCAGTTTTCGTCTGCTCTACTCCTTACGCAAGGTACCCACGGCGCACTGGTCTTCTCGCTTCAGTTCTGCCCGAATTCTATGGGCAAGATGGACAGGTACTGAGCTCAAGTCCCTCATCGAAGCCCACAACAGACTCGGTCCAATTGTCCTCGTGGGTCCTCAAGATCTTAGCGTGAGCAGCTACCAAGATGGGATTCGCAAAGTCTACGACACCGGGTTTCCCAAGCCGGCCCCATTTTATTCGATGTTCAATTACTATAGGTAGTTAGGTCTCTAAAAATACTGACAGAACTCACGCTAACAAGATCTTATCTACCTAGAGCCCGCAACGCGTTTACCAGTCTCGACAGAGCCGAACACGGTATCCACCGTAGGAGAACAGCAACGCTATACTCCAAGTCCGCGCTGATGCAGTCCAAGCATCTATGCGAGGTAACGGACTGCATAATCTACGAGAGACTGTTTCCAAGACTGGAAAGCCTCCTGGTCAATTGTGGCACTGGTCGTCTCGACGGGCTGGACTTGAGCTACCGTATTTGCGTGGATTATCTCAGCTCATTCTTGTTTGGCTGCTGTAACAGCACGAATTTCCTGTCATTTCTCTCAGATGGCAAGGCGGAGCTCAAAAATGACCCTCTTGAGCTATGGCGCTTCAACTACGAGAACATGTCATGCCAAGAATCATTCTTTGTGCAGGAGATGCCAGGGCTGTACAAGCTGTTCAGGGCGCTTGGGACTAACCTGCTGCCGAGAAGATACTCAGAGGGGACTAAGTATCTGGAGAATTGGATGTCTGCAATGGCCGACAAGGCTGATCACACGATCACCTTGAAACCGAGTAAGGGCCTGGATCTGGAAGCCAAAGACGATCCTGTGGTTTATGAGACTGCGAAAGAAGCAGTGAAGAAGGATTCGCCGCATCTCAGCTTGGAAGCACAGAAAATGCAGGTCCAGAGTGAGATGTTCGACCATATTTGTACGGCCCCTGTATTCTACTACTATTACCAATGCTGACTGAAACCAATAGCCGCATCACGAGAGGTTCTGGGTAGAAGTACCTGTGCCAGTACTGGGATGCATATACTGACCGTTTGTTAGGCCTCGTCTTTGGTTATGCACTTTGGTATCTCGCGAGCCAACCTGATGCACAACAAAAGATCCACGCGGAGCTCGAGGAACACAAAATCGATATGACAAGTCCTATCCATCAAGATCCAAGTGGAATAGATAGGTCCTCCCGGCTCGACTCCCTTCCCTATCTCCATGCCGTTATAGACGAATGTCTCCGCATGCGTCCAACAAGCACGCTCTTACCCAGAACCACGCCCCCAGATCGAAGCGTCTCTGTCGCAGGAATAGACATTCCACCAAACACGCGGATAAACAGCTTCCAGTGGTTCGTGCACCGCGATCCAAAAAAATGGGACAATGTAAATGATTGGGATCCCGAGAGATGGTTTTCAGTGGACAGAAGTGGTAAGAAACATGATAGAGAGGATGTCTTGTGGCCGTTTGCGAGTGGACCAAGGATGTGTCTGGGGAACCATTTGACGTACTACTTTATGAAGCATGTTCTTGCGGCAATATTTTCAAGATTTGTGCTTTCGGCGTTGCCTCGCGATGAAAGACAATGTACACCAGGCTCGCCGGAAGATGAGCTGCCAATTACACTGATTTTAAGGACTTAGATCTTTACAATTATATAGACATCAATTTGCACTCAAAACATTGCACTTGAACAAAATTGAAGTTGCCAACCTATGTATGGAAGTGTTCTGCTTTTGTCCCTCTCTAATTAAGCCCCCGTTGAAATTGGTAACGGATTACCGCTATAGGTACATGTGATAACCCAGTTGACTGCCATCCACTTCACAATCACTCCGATATGTTCCACAGACAATCATCAAAAATACCGTCTCGTGTCCGTGATTCGTGGTGCCATTGCTAGTTGCCGAAGTCGTGGGAAAGTACGGGGCATTCCGAGTGAAGTGGTGTGGTTATGTACTACGGAGAGCGGAGTATACATCCTCTAATCAGGAACTATGAGTTGCAAGAGAATATTTACAGCAACAGAACATGGTAGCACTGTTTTTTATCAATGTTAAGTTGCGTAGGCAACGATTTTGGATTTATAGGCTGCAGGGGTTCCGATCAAAGAAAAGCGGAGGCTGGGTTGGTCATACGAAGACCTACTTTGTGCGGGAGAGTCTTATGTGAGACGATGTACGGAGTACGGAGTACAGAATGGCTAGCTATGGAGATTCTCAATTTAATGGCAAGGTATGAAAGCTAATATGTGATTAATCTGTTATGTTTTGCCTCTGGAATGCGGACCTCCCGCGCAGCTCTGTCGGGTTGTTTTTGCTACACCAAGACATGGGACTTTTTCATAACCCGCCGAGCTTCTAAGGTGCGACACATCTGATGCAAGAGAACTGAATGTATTGCTCAGTACAGATGTGAAATAGGTCAACCTGCATCGAAATAGGTTCAAAATTGTGGAAATGCATTCGATCATCTATACAGGGGTGCTCTGCGCCTTGGCCGCACCAACAATGGGCATTGTTTTGGAAGATTTACCAGGAGTACCAAATGGCTGGTCATTTGCCAATGAACCTCCAGATGACTCAACCATATCGCTGTCCATCGCCCTTGGACGTCAAAATCTGGACCAGTTGAAATCAAGACTGACCAATTTGTCAACACCTGGCTCCGCAGAATATGGAAAGTGGCTCGAGAAGGATGACATCGATTCCCAATTTCCAATTGTTGACAAAGCACCTGTTGTTAAGTGGCTCCAGCAGGCGGGAATTTCAGAAATCGCCGGCGGTCGTGCCTTGCTCAACTTCACCGGCAGCGTTGACAACGTCAACCGATTGCTCAACGCCAGCTTTGCATACTACCAGAATGGGGATTCGAAGAAGTTGCGCACGACATAGTACTCCATTCCTGACGGTTTGGTCAGCTATATCGACATCATCTCACCTACCGTTTACTTCGGAAAGGCCCAGGGTGCCGCTCCAGTGAGCTCAAAGTCAAGCCAAGTACAAGGTCAAAAAGGTTCCTCCACAGAGGTTTCGCCGTCATGCCAAACTTCAATCACACCTTCATGTTTAAAGGAGATGTACAATATCGGCGACTATGTCCCGGATCCTGCAGCTGGGAGCCGCATTGGATTTGGTAGTTTTCTCAACCAGTCTGCTCAAAAGTCCGACCTAGAGGCGTATGAGGCTCTCTTCAACATACCGTCGCAGAGCTTCACCGTGGAGACAATCAATGGCGGCCTGGACAACCAGAATGCTCTTGGTAGTGAGGTGGGCGAGGCAAATCTGGATGTTCAGCTAATCATCGCCGTTGCCCATCCTCTCCCAGTCCATGAGTTCATCACTGGCGATGTTGCGTAAGACCACCTTTAACTTCGGATCTTGCTGAATGAAGCTAAATTTCCCAGACCTTTCATTCCAGATGCCGATGAACCGACAGAAGCGGATGGTTCAAATGAGCCATACTTGACATACTATGAATACCTGCTTTCGAAAGAAAATTCCGATTTGCCTCAAGTCATCTCTAACTCATATGGCGATGATGAGCAGGTAAGTCATGCAATAAACCAAGATCGAAAAACAATCTCTGATTATTTGAAGACTGTACCAGAGAAGTACGCCAGACGAGTGTGCGATTTGATCGGCTTAAACAGTCTGCGTGGGATGAGTATCATTCACTCTTCTGGCGACGAAGGTAGAGCTTTCCCCCCCCCCCCCCTAAAGAGCAATGGATAACTATTAATCTAACAATCGCAGGCGTTGGCTCAGCTTGCCAAGCCAGTGACGGTGTCACTCCCCAATTCAACCCGATTTTCCCAGCAACCTGTCCCTACGTTACAGCTATAGGTGGAACCTCCGGCGTTGCCCCCGAAGTTGCCTGGAATGCTTCATCCGGTGGTTTTTCCAACTACTTCGCCCGGGCGTGGTACCAGGAATCGGCCGTGAAGCAATATTTCACTCAAGTTACCTCCGAGACCAAGGATTATTATTCTAATTTTGCGGACTTCGAAGGTCGTGGGTATCCGGATGTATCTGCCCACAGCTTGTACCCCGAGTAAGTCAATCCTTTTTTGTTCTGTCATGGGTGGGTCCAATTAAGCCGAGTGATCCTAACAAAGAATAGCTACGAAGTGATCAATCTCGGAGAAAAGTCTGCCTCGGGAGGTACATCTGCTGCTGCGCCTACCTTTGCTGGAATCGTCGGCCTCCTCAATGATGCCCGCCTACGAGCCGGAAAGCCTGTTCTTGGCTTCCTGAACCCGTTCCTGTACTCACAGGGCCAACAAGCACTGAACGACATAGTCGACGGCCACTCATATGGATGTGGCGGCATCAATCCTCAAACCCAAAAGGCTGTCAGCGGCAGTCTGATAATACCTGGTGCTTACTGGAATGCGACTAAAGGCTGGGATTCAGTGACTGGTCTCGGAACTCCCGACTTTCAGAAATTGAAAGATCTGGTGCTGGCCCTGTGAGAACTGATATAAATCGCAAATTGCAATGGAGAGAGACGGGAATGATATGATTCATAAAATTCTTCTCGCTACCTTGAGCAGTCAGGCGTGGTGAAACTATAGGTCATATAATCACTTTTTACTCTCCCAGTTTGTGTCCATACTGCGATCAACCGTTTGTTCTCCAGCAGGAACAGCCTCAATCATACCAGCATGTGCCTCAAGGACACGGGGTCCATTGAACTGCCCTCTCTTCGAAAAAAAGTAGAGTCCAAGGACAAACAGAGTCAGCCCAGCAGATACAACAGAGACATAATTCATGTTCTCTTTGGTGACTGGTCGCTCGGTCGGTAGGAAGAAAACAATATCCAAGAACAAAACCCACATCACGGAGATGAAGTTGATCGTGGGACCTAGTTTGCCCAGTGAGAATGCTCGCTCAGGGAGAACCTTGTCTCGACCACGCCAAAGAACTATTGCTTGTGGAAGGGCACATGATGTTTGTAGGAAGATCACTGCTGCGCCAACCATTGCCGAGAAAGCGGTCGTGGAACCCAGAAAAATGAGGCCGTATAACTGTTGATATGTGTTAGCAGCGATCATGCTAGATGGTATCTGTGAAAACAGGATAGGGTAGACTATTTACCGAGATGACAGTGGCGGAAAGACCTAGTGCATTGAGCGGGATCTTGAATCTAGGGTTCACCCTAGACCAAATACCACTAAATGGCAGTGCACCGTCGCGAGATATGGCCCATATAGTTCTCGAACATGTAGTACCTAGTCATGAATGGTCAGCGAGAATAATCGAATTCCAGAATCATAGAAGACCCTACCATTTGCGACAGTGCAGCCAAAGAAACAAAATGCAAACAATGCCAGAAGAACAGAAGATGCACCCTTTGACTTGGTGCTTTGATAGTAAATTTCAATCAAGGGAATTCCCGACGGTGTATCTAACACGGCTTGGACATCTGTGATGGCGTACATACACGCACAGGCAAATGGCCATGCAGTCCCGAGGCCAATCAAGATAGGCAGCAGAATGATCTTGGGGGTGTTTTTGGCTGGATCGCGAATTTCTTCACAGAGGTGTGCACCGCAGTCGGTTCCAAGGAAGGCATACACGGAAGTGCTTATGGCAAGAACGAATGCCAGTCCATCGCTTGGCCATCCGGTGCCATTGGTTGTGTCGCCAAAGACCCAAGTAGCCGGGGCGTGATCATTTCGACTACAGACAAAGAGAGTGATGGTAGTTGCTGTCAAGGTACAGCAAGCTACGATGACTATATAGCGATTTTGTGATCAGCAGACACCAAATCACTGGGTAAGAGAAGAACTCACAATTGAATCGATTGAATAATGGCAATATTTGGGACCCAAAGGTATTTAATGCCACAGCCAGCCAAACAATTCCAACATAGACGAGCCACTGGTGCCAGCTTTTTGCTTCATAGTCTGGATACCACAAGAAAGCAATCGATAGAAGGAGTGATGCGATGAAGTTACAGGCAGATGCACTTGCCAGCCACCAACCCAATATGCTGAGCCAACCATTTCTGGAGAACATCAAATATTAAAAAATGCATAACCCAAGAGGAGAAAAAAAAATCTTACATGTAAGACGCGAAGGATCGGTACTCCTTCGACGAAAGACAAAACGTCCAATAGTACTGGGCACCCGCAACTGGAAACGCCGATGCCAGCTCTGCCACACCCGCAGATAGAATGGCTGTCATAGCCCCTGCAACTGGGATAGACCAGATGGCACCGGCGGCAGATGCCTCTTGAATTGCTACGCCCAGTGAAGAGCCAGTACCTGACCAAGTGCAGGTCAAGCTGAATGAAAGTGCCACAAGGCTAAACACGGAGAACTGCCGAGGCATTTCGCGGGAGTAGCCCCGAGACTCAAGGTCATAATCGTCGCTCTTCGAATTCATTCTGTAGATCTGGCAATTGCGTTACCAGTTCATTGTGAAAGAGATCCGACGTGATATAAGGCATTATGTGCCAAGCTGTTGGAGCTGAGATTGAAGATAGCGACAGGGAGTTTACCCCACGAATTTCGAACTTTGGAGATACGCATATCTCACTAGACAGATGTCATCCATGGGTCCCTTTGGAAGTAAATCGTCACGTTCTTATAGGACGCCAATTCCGCGCCGTTGGCGCTCTGGTTCTGATTGGCCCGGGGTATTGGTCCCGCCCCTCCCCCGCATTATGGGTTCCTTATCTCGGCTCACCGAACTGCAGCGCACTAACCAAGTCTCTTCCCTCTCACTGGGTGGTTTCACTAGCAATTTATGGGGCAAAACACGTGACTCCCCTGCATTACCAATCAACTCCAAGTGAGTCCACAGTAGCAGCGATTTCATCTTGACGTCGGCTCGTGGCTCGTGTTGGATTCCCGCCATTGACGCTCGATGTGCGATTTGATCGACTGGACTACTGCATCAATCCCAACCCCCCCAACAGCATCATGTCAGAAGGCCCCAGTGGACGGCAAGTTCCACGCCGCATCACTAAGCGGAAAGGAACCACTCGCGAACGGACGGGATGCTTGACATGTCGACAACGGTAAGAGTGACACTAGGTTGAATCTCTGAGGTAGAACTGACCAGCTCATTATAGGAAAAAGCGATGTGATTTAGGCTACCCAGTCTGCACACAGTGCGTCCGGTTGAACTACAAGTGTAAATGGGAGGAGCCTAGGCCTTTAGTCCAGGAAAGCACCCACTCCACAAAGCAAGTGTCAAATCAAACAGTGAACATACCTTTCCGGCTTTCGCAAGTACCAGATCCTATCCTGTTTTGGGTAGATGATCACTCCGATAATACCTCGCGCTCAAGTCGCCGCCATTTCCTCCGGTACTATGCACAGACCTTCACTCATATGCTCACGACAAATATCGAAAATAACTCCTTTCTCTCCGGTGGGTCACATTGTGCCTCTTTACTTGATGACTGCTCACTATCGCAGTTTTTCTTCCAATGGCAATGCAAGACTCCGCACTGCTAAACGCCTTAATTGCGTGGTCGTCATCTCACCTTTCATTACGAGATCCCGCATTCCAACAAGTCGCTATGCAAAATAGGCTCACGGCTATGCGGGATTTACGACTCTCGCTCGAATCTAGCCCGGGAAATGTGGAGAGTAATCTTGCCATCACATTGGTCCTCTGCTCCATGGAAAGTATCATGGCCGATAACGACAAGGCATGGTATCTACATCTGATGGGGGCCGCGGGAATTATCTCATCCCGGGTCTGTATTGAATCTGGGCTCGATGGAACGAGCTCGTCGAAGCTTCTCCAATCCTTTGATGACGCTCACACGGGACGCTGGCTTCTGCGGAACTTCGCCTACCATGATATACTGATGGCAGTAGCCCTGGATAGGGAGCCCTTACTGCCCTCGTATTACTTTGTTCGGCTTGATGAAGGCCCATTGGCTGATTCTTATTTTGGCCTCGCTTCTGAGATCCTGACTGTCCTTTATTCGATTACCTCCCTGAACAAAAAGGTCAAATCTCTTAATGCAGATTTATTACATCCCGACACATCCAGCAACATTACTTCTCACAAAACGTACCCGTCATCCATGTCCGAGATAGTATCCACATTCTCATCGCTTGAGCTCCGGCTGCAGGAATGGGTGTGCCCTCCATCAAATGATGAATCTCTGATTCTCTTGGCAGAATCATATCGCAGCTCGGCTCTTTTATACCTATACCGGGTTGTCCGTCGTGGTCTTCCGGGCCTTGAAGAAGGACTATCGCCTAAGACTGCCCATGAAGTTGCCACGGTGGTAACCAACATCAACAAAATGCCCACCCGAAGCCTACCCGAATGTACATTACTTTTCCCACTCTTCCTTGCAGGTGGCGAAGCCTCAGAGGAGTCACATATCAAAAGCATTCGCCACAAGATGCTGGATATGATTGAGTCTCGTGGATTCCGGAACGTAGAAGTGGCTCTTTCGGTTCTAGAAAAGCTTTGGCGGCTTAATCTAGAGAGAAAGGCAACCCGCGCTACAAAAGGACCAGTTGATTGGTTGGATATTGTTCTTCAAGATGGAATGCTACTCTCATTAACCTAGAAAAATATCAACAATTATAATTGAAGCCAGCAAACGAAAGATTATCATTGTCCCTCGTTATAAATCTACCTGATGAACTGGTCCGCAAACGCAGCCCCGAGCCCAACCTCCTCATAATGCTTCCTAGCAGCTTCCAATTTGCTAAAAACATCCTCAACCCCCAACGCCGTCCCCTCAGGATCGACATAAATATAAGCCCCGGTAACGTGAAACAAAGTCACCATTTCCTGAACACCCTCAGGAACCTCAAGCGTATGAATATCACCAGGAGGCTCAAAAGCATACCCGCCCTCTTCCGCCCACCACGGATGCTCAAGATAGTGCCAGCGACCACGCAGAACAGTCGCATGGACGGGACCGGTGTGCCTATGGCGCGAGAGAATACCGTTCTTACGCACGCGCAAGATGTTCACGAAGTAGCCGTGCGAGACGTTGAAGCATAGTGGTCGGAACCAGACGTCTGGGGCTTGGGGGACCCAGAGACGTTCGTCGCATTGGAGATTTAATGCGTCTGTTACTACTATGTCTTCGGGGACGTTGGGGAGTTTCGGGCCGCGGTAGGCTGTTGCGGTGTTGTCGCCTTTCTCCATTGGTGCAGGCATCTGTGGTGTGTGAGTGACTTTCACGGTGAGTCATGAAATTTGGAAAGTTTTCATCTAGTGACTTACTTTGGGGAATGCGATTTTCTCGAGGATCTTAACAACAAGTGAATGAGCTCCCGGACTCCGAGGCTGCATCTTTTATACCTCTTCCAAGTCACACCGAGCCTCTCAGCGTCAATGGCGGGGATTTTCCGACATTACGAGATACAATTCAATTTCTGTTGACTGACTCAATCGAATTGTAATTTGACGATACAAAATCTCCTCCTTGGTTCCCAAATGGAGCGCGTCAACAGCGGCGGACCAGACCCCACTCCACTCGGCGTCAACGGCGGGATTACTCCGCATGGGAATTTGGAGTCACTTTGGAGCTGAATTTTTCACATTTATAATCAGAACAACTGACTCCATATAAAATAGCATCAAAGTGAAGTTGAGTTGCGCCAACACCCAATCGAACGACAATGACCGACCCCTTCGTCGCGAACTCGCATATCCTCCATCGCACCTTTGCGACACGGCCCTCGAAAGTGACCAAGGGCAATGGGATAAGCTTCACATTAGAAGATGGAAAACAAATTATCGACGCCAGCTGTGGACCATCAGTCTCTTGCCTCGGTCACAGCCAGCCCGAAATCTTCGATGCAATCACCAACCATCTCCAAAATGACATCGCATATGTATACTCAGGAAGCCCATATACAAACCAGGCTACAGAAGACCTAGCCACTCTTCTTCTGTCATCAAAGCCGGGTGGTCTATCCAAGGCTATCTTTGTCAACTCCGGCAGCGAAGCAACAGATGCAGCCTTGAAGCTTGCTGCGCAGTATTGGCATGAACGGGGCCAGCCACGGCGGACGCATTTCATTGCTCGGAAGCAGAGTTATCATGGAAATACCATTGGTGCGCTTTGTGTTTCTGGGCATGAGTCGCGGCGCGCATATTATAAAGATTTCATGTCGAAGAATGTTTCTTTTGTTGATCCTTGTTATGCTTATCGGATGCAGGGAAGTGATGAAGACAATGATGCATTTGTGAAGAGGCTGGCGAAACAGTTTGAGGATGAGATTTTGAGAATAGGACCTGATAGGGTTGCTGGGTTTGTGGCGGAAACTGTTTCTGGGACTACGCTTGGCTGTGTGCCTGCTGTGCCAGGGTATTGGAAGGCAATCCGTGAGATTTGTGATCGATATGAAGTTTTATTGATTTTGGATGAGGTATGGCTTCACTGGTGAATGATTGATGGGGGTTGTCCTACGATGCTGACTCGTCCATAGATCATCTGTGGTATGGGTAAGACCGGTACCATGCACGCTTGGGAGCAAGAGGGCATGCGGGGCCCTGATATTCAGACTATTGGAAAAGCCCTCGGTGCAGGTTTTGTCCCACTTTCGGGTGTACTGCTCCACGAGAAGATTTTCCAAGCTTTGTCTGCTGGTTCTGGAGGGCTGGCACATGGGCATACTTTCCAGGTAAGTCATGGCATCAGTCGTGATTTGATGAATGCAGTGCTGGTTCAAGACCAAGAGCTAATCTTTCCAACAGGCTCATCCTCTCGCCTGTGCGGCTGCAATCGCGGCTCAGAATATCATCAAACGGGACAACGTACTAGAAAAAGTCGTGAATCTTGGCCAAAAGCTGGAAAAGTTGCTCCGAGAAGAGATCGGCCCTCTTCCTTTGGTGGGAAATATCCGAGGTCGTGGTCTCTTCTGGGCCGTGGAGTTTGTCCTAGACAAGGACACAAAAAGACCATTCTCCCTCGAAGACAATTTCTCAAACAAAGTTGTTGCCAGCGCTCTCAAGCGTGGAGTGAATATCTTGGGAAACCTCGGCCACACCGGAACTTATCAGATCGACCATGTCCTCGTTTGTCCACCTTATATCTCGACGGAGGAAGATATCAAGGGGATTGTTTCCCTTGTGAAGGAGGCTATTGTGGAGACAAGTGGGCCTTTTCTGTAAAAAGATTTGAACTAGCGACTCAAGCACCTCAATCAATTTCATTTTGAGATTATGTGGTCTGTAATATCAGGAGACTTGTCAACGGCAAGTTGAAAGTAGACTCTTTCCCCCCGTTTCACATACTGGGAGCTAATGTAGTAGTGGCACGATCTCAACATAGAAAATGTCGTGTCAGAAGAAATTTCCAAGGGACAGCCGGAATGTAAAGGAATTGCTGCAGCCTGTTATGAATGCATAGGAGTCAGAGCATCCCGCAAAAAGCAAAGATGATACGAAGCCAGCCAAAATCTGTGTCAATAAACCGTTGAGAATGCATATCTAGAATTGGCTGTGATAACGCGCCTGAATCAGTACACATAAATAAGTCAAGCTTACCGAGCCATCTCTCGAACATCTCGCGGGGTCAACCTCGATGAATCCGGGGTCGACAGACAACATTGCAGTGGCACAGAAAAAGCCCAACAACGCGGCTGCATATCTGGTGTGACATGTCTGCATGTCTGTACGCCCCTTTAGAAACAATAGCCGATAACACAGTATCTTGGAAGCAATTCGCCAGATGCACGAATCCCGAATGCAGTGTCTAGTCCAACTTCCCCTCTTGGGGGGCAGCGGTCAAGACCTGTCCAACACATATGCCTCGATGCGTCGAAATCAACGCCCCATTTGATAGCTCTGACAGCCCCCGGATTTCAGATTAAGCTATCGGCTAGACTCTGTTACCCCCGCGTGATCTGGGTATACTTTCTGGTTTGGGGATTGCCTCGGCCGCGGGGAAGGGAGCGGTGAGTGGAATTGATCTAGGATGTTTGGCTTTCGATTCGTTTTTTTTTCCCGGGGCTTGGACGGCTCTAGGGACTCTCTTTTTCCAATTGGATGATGGTGCGCCTGCATCTTGGAAAACATGGTGTAGTGCATTTGGCGGGATTGACTTCATGTGCTCGACGTTCAGTAGACAGAGCTGTTCATCGAACCAACAGAAATAGAACCCAATTGATGAGAGATATTTGTGAGAAGTAGACCTCAGCATGGTGATAGGATCCAATTGGAGATGCATATGGAGTACTCCGTGCAGCATTCTCGACTCTGGATTGAGGCCCAAGATGAATCCCTGCGCCGCAACCCGCGGGGTTCTCCCGATTCGACTGGCTGCACTTGGCGTAAACGTAAACACAAAACGCAAACCCGCATTATCTCTGTGTTTCGGTCGAAGAAAGGAGTCAACACGATCAGAAATTCAGAGACAGCAATCTCATACATTGCGGTGGGGTCAGATGCACGCGAATGACGATCGTGACCCACATCGAAGAGTGACAGAAGTGTATACTTCGTTTCAAGGAGAAGTGTTCAAGCGCCGGTGCGCTTTACAAGCTGCCCCTCTCTTGGAAAGTATTTAAATAGCTCGCTGAGCTGCCCCTCTTGTACAGTAGATTCATACCTAGCTTCTTGTCAATTCATCTTAATCATGACTTTCTCCATTCCCAAGACCATGCGGGCTCTGCAATACTCGGAGCCCAAAAAGCACAAGATTGTCGAGGTCCCTGTGCCCGAGCTTCGTGAGAATGATGTCTTGGTATGATTGTCGCAGGGCTGCTTCATTTGTGTGAGCGTTGGCGACTAATCAGTCCTTCCAAACAGATCAAGGTCAAGGCTTGTGGTGTTTGTGGTACTGATTTGCATATCCACGAAGGCGAATTCATTGCAAAGGTACGCCAAAGATACTTGCTTCATGACATTTTATGGCGTGGACTGACTGTTGCAAAGTTCCCTCTCATCCCAGGCCATGAAACGGTCGGCGTGGTGGCCGCCATCGGTCCCAAGGTCAAAGACTTCCAGATTGGCGAGCGTGTCGTTGCCGATAATTCTGAGCTTTGCGGTACCTGCTTCTATTGTCGTCGTGGAGATGAACTGTTCTGTGAGCACTTCGAAGCCCATGGCGTGACAATGAATGGTGGATTCGCTGAATACTGCGCCTATCCTGGTAAGTCAAGCAGAATGATCAACCACTCACTTTCCAGAAGCTGATATCTCGATTCATTAGCTGGTCGGGTCTTCAAGATCCACAACTTGTCCGACGTTGATGCCACTCTCCTCGAGCCGGCCTCTTGTGCTGCACACGGTCTCGACAAGATTGCCCCCAAGATGGGATCCTCTGTGTTGATCTTTGGTGCCGGACCTACCGGTCTTGTTCTGGCCCAGATGTTGCGTCAAAATGGTGGCTGCAATGTTGTAGTCGTCGCCCCTCAAGGTCTGAAAATGGACTTGGCTCAGCAGCTCGGTGCCGGAGATAAGTATATTGAGCTGTCTCGCAAAGATCCCCAAGCTCAGTTTGATACTCTCAAGGCTGAGAATCCATATGGATTTGACATTGTTGTGGAAGCCACTGGTAGCCAAAAGATTCTCGAGGACTCGATCAATTATGTTCGTCGCGGTGGTAAGCTCGTCGTGTACGGTGTTTACTCTAGCGAAGTTCGAGTCTCATGGTCGCCGGCGAAGATCTGTAAGTTCTCTTGTCTTTTGTTGATTGTTGCTAATAATCTCCAGTCGGTGACGAGATCACTATTCTTGGCAGCTTCTCCGAGACATATAAGTTCCCTGCTGCTGTCGACTACCTCGACTCGGGCAAGGTCAAGGTGGACGGCATCGTGAACAAGGTGTACAAGATCGAGCAATGGGAGGAGTGTCTTGAGGCGATGCGTAATAAGTCTGCCATCAAGGCTGCGATTGTCTTTGATTAGATTTGCCTGAAAACAGTGGAATCTTGTGTGTTTAGAGGAGATTGCTGAATAGAGACGATATCCTCTAAAGAATGTAATGAGTCTTAAATGAGGACCTTGAGAGAGGCATCGCCACCAAGGTATATGTAGCTGCAATGAATTAACCCACAATTTTGCTGATTTGTTTCAATCAATTTCCTCTCTTAAATGGTACAAGTAGACTTAGAATAAATCCAAGGCTTCAAGTAGATCTCACATGAAAATGGAACTGCAGTTAATCCGCCGTCTCCCCAAACCTCGGGACCCACCCAGACCTCCAACTTCACCACATCCAAAATGGTCAAACCCCTCACATTTAAAGGCGACAAGCCTAAGAAGCGCAAGGTCCGCAGCGCCGACAGCGAAGCGCCCGCCAAAACGCGCAAAACCGAACCAGAAGCCGACAACCCCGAAGACCAAAGCTGGGTCTCCGCCGAAGCAGCAGGCGACATCGCCGGCCCAGTGATCCTAGTCCTCCCCTCCGACGACCCAACATGCATCGCAAGTGACGCCAACGGCGTGGTATTCGCCAGCAAAATTGAAAATCTGGTCGAGGGGGATCCAGCGACTGCGGAGCCGCACGACGTGCGCCAGGTCTGGGTTGCGTCACGCGTGGCGGGTACCGAGTCGTTCAGCTTTAAAGCACACCATGGGAAGTGAGTGGTTGACACGCGCTACTTGTTGGATTTCTTGCTGATATTCATTGATCTAGATACCTTTCCTCCGATACCCATGGTCTCTGCAGCGCAACTGCTTCCGCGGTCAGCCACTACGAATCCTTCCTTGCTATCCCCTCCGAAGTATCTGGTACATTCTCCCTCCAGACGCATGGTGGTGATGGCGAGTCTTTCCTTTCCATAAAAGAGAATGGCAAAGCAACTTCCGGCGTGGAGATTCGGGGCGATGCAACCGCGCTTTGCTTTGAGACTACGCTGCGCGTGCGTATGCAGGCGCGGTTCAAGCCTCGTCTCAAGGCTAGCAAGGAGAGTAAGGCGTACGAGAAGATTAGTAAGAAGGAGCTCGAGGGGATTGCTGGAAGGACATTAGATGATGATGAGGTCAAGAGGCTGAGAAAGGGCCGGAAGGAAGGGAATTTCCATGAGATTTTGCTTGATGTCAAGGTCAGCGGGAAGCATGATAAGTTTGCTTGAGGTGTGTGTGTTCGTTGGCGGTGCTGGGAGGGCGAATGCTGATCATGGCAGTGCCTATGTCTGCACCCTGTTCATATCGGGGCTCCATTGCCTTGCATTTCGCGATCCATCATACGGAATTGCCAATAGTAGAAGATTCAGGGCAGTGCAAATCCCAAGTCCTTGAAACCCCTCGGTTGAGGAGTCTTGGCGAAGCATACTGGCACCTTACTATGAGGGTCAGGCACTTTGAGAATCTCCTTGGATCAACAAAATGCTTGAGGCCCGCTATCTTGGCTCATCCTGCCGGAAGGTTGGGGGAGACATCTCCATGGTACATAAACCGGTGCTGATCGACATTTCTCATGTGGCACAGTAGGTATGTTTATTTACCAAAAGACGTTAAATGTCGTTTACATCTTATCTTAGAGAACGAGTAGGACCCAATCATATCCTGACAAGCTATACAATTCTCCCAGATCCTTTGAGATCACAATGAAAATTCATAGATCTTGTTGCCTGGTGGGGCTATCTCGACGAATCCAGACACGCACAGCCTCACTAAGAGTGCATCGCCAGCGCATAACAGTTGGACCAATTCTTCCAGTGACGAGAAGCCCCTTGTACATGCAGAGCCGCTAGAACCGCACTTCATTGGTCTTCTAATTGCTTTTTCAAAATTCCCAGGCACGTGTAGCTCGCATAAGTCGAGTCTGTTGCCTGCTTTTGTTCTCCGAACCCCTCATCATTGTCGCTTTATCTACTCAAAGTCAGCATCTCGACCTAGAAAGAAGACAAACAGCTTCCACGCCATGGGAGACCCTCTATCTGTTGCAGGTAGCGCTGTTGGGATTATCTCATTTGGGTTGGGTGTATGCGATACGATTGTTAAGTACAGTCGAGCATATCGTGGATATGATGAGGATTTTCAGACGATTAAGAGCAAGGCCGAGTCCTTCCACGAGACCCTGGAGATTGTGGATGATGCGATCAAATACGCTCAGAAAACACTGCCTAAGATTGCCATCATTCTTTCGAAGAAGGTTATGCGCATTGAACACCTACTCCAACGACTCAATGACAAAATTAAAAGATACGGGCCTGACGAGTCCCGGGAAAGCTTGGCTCGCAAAGCGCTCAAGAAGTCGGCGTATACTTTCCGAAAAGATGATTTTCGAGAGGTGGCTGCAGACTTGGACAGTATGCAGGGAGACCTGCAGGCCGCACTTTCAACGTATGCTAGAGCTGTCCTTTACAACTTATGATACTGACCCCCGATACTACAGAGTTTCATGTATTGGCATCTTTCAGGTCTCCGAGAGAATGGAAGTGGTAAAGTGGCCCTTCATGTAGGATCTACGAGCCTCAGTTGACATTTTACCAGCAAATGATAAATCCACCACGCTTGACGAATAGGTTGTGTGAGGACCAAGAGCAACTCCAACTTGCTTCGACAATCAGCAGCAATACCTCAACGGGGAGTGGTTATCTAATCAAACAAAGAAAGGTATCTACGACAAGAAAATTTCGCATTTACAGCCATTGGCTAGGTCGCGCGATCGAGATCGGGTTCTCCATATCCCGGTCATTGAAAGTCCAAGTCGTTATCAGTCCGGGCTGCATGGCATACGATGACATTGAAACGCTCTTGGACTCATTTCATGGTGCAAACTATGACGACAACCTGCAGTTATTGAAAAACAGCGTCTTAGACCGCAGTTTCGATCTTTCATGTGCCATAGTCCGTGAAGGTTCGGCTGTCCCCTTGCTGGATGTATGTATGCCCCTGTCTTCTAGGTTGCCCGGGAAGAAGACTAACTTCATAAAGGCAGTTCTAGGGACTATAATCCGTTGTTATTGGTACAATGGCAGTAGTGACTACTCTTTTCCAATCGTCGGGTTTCTTCTGGATCAGAGTGAGGGTGGTGTGAGTTCTGATATACCGGACAGGAACAACATCTGGGTCGTGCCTCGTCTTCAAGAAAAAGATGTTCCAGTCATCATGCGTCTGATCAACTCTGGGCTCAATTTTGACACCGATGATTTAAGATGGACATGCAACACGAAGCCCAACCTTCTGCTCTTGTTTTCCAAGAATGAGTCACGTAGGACTTCAATTTTGCACTTGCCTTTGGGTTTAACTAATGGGATATTTAGTGATACGAATGCCAGAAATCCTTAGGCTCATCTGTCGCGAAAGTACTGCAGATCTCAGAGCAGCCCTCCAAGAAGGCCGGGTGTCAGCCTCCGAAAAAATTGGAAATTACTCATCGCTTGAATGGGCCTTCGATTGGCCAGAAGGCGTGGAGATTCTCCTTGAATTTGGAGCAGATCCAAAACAACATTTTCGATCACTTGTTTACCCTGGCGCGGGACGTCATTCTTCAGCTGCATTGCTTCTCAAAGAAGGATGCTTTTTATCTCAGGCTCACCTCTATAAAAGTGTTTCTTGTGACGATGGAGGGGAAAGACTGAGGTTACTGGTTAATGAACTCACAGCAAGACGCAAGAAACTACGCAAGCTTGCTGAAGATTCTCTTCCGTGGGCTTCGATCTCCGGTTATGTCGGCGACAAAATCCTTGATGGACAAGACTGCCAAAAAATTTTGGGATTACTGGTTGAACATAAAATACCCTTCCCACATCCATTTACAACACAGGATAAAATTGAGAAATTCTTGATGAATTCTAACGGGGAGACTGTTTACCATGATTTGCAAAATAAACAGTGCGCTGAAGCATTGTATCTAGCGGGGTTTCTTGACGCTGATATGCTTGACTCGAAAGGCAATTCACCACTCAGTACCTTGGCATACTATGCATACTATTCATGTTCAGACTTCATTGAAATGATTGAGTGGCACATGTCAAAAGCTGCTGATATTCACCGCCGACTGCCCTGGGCCAATGAATCGGTCAGCCATTTCTTGGTCTCGCAGATAATCAATTATGCTTTGTTTGATCGAAGGGACGACCATTCATCCCATAAGACCAAATCTGAGAACAATCTGCAAAGCCTTATCACAATGAGCGATGTATTTTTCGCACCCACGAGGATTCCAGACCGTTGCAACTGCCCCTGCTCCTCCAATGGATGCACAGCACTATCAGTGTTTCTCCGAGAACTCAGTGCCAGTGAAAGCTGGCATTGTCCACAATGCGTTAGAGGAGTATTCGAGAAACTCGAAGAGTGGGATCAAGCCTACTGGAAGGAACCACGAGCATTCATCAGATCTTTGACCTTCAATGCATTGGATCTGAATCACACCTGTTTCGCCAATACCAGAAAAGGTTATGTTTATCTTCGACATCTACGCCCAGATAACGAGGATTGGATCAATGACAACCGTGACGAACAATCGGCACTGATTGAATTCGAGGAGCTTGTGGCAGACTTGGAGCAGGAGTTTGAGAAGCGTTCTCTACCTTTGAAGGAATTTCTGTCCGGACCTTGGTACAGACGTGTCAAAGACCATCTGCTGACCCGACAGCCCCACGAGGAGCAGACCATTGCAGGTGCAAGGAGCGTGGGAGTGGAGCTTGAGTTTTGTGGACTTTCTGTACCTGATTGGATGGAGATTTGCATTGCAAACAAGGTGGAAGAGCTCAGTGATGAAGAGTGACGTGAAGGAGATCAGGATTCGTCGCGAGAAGTGAGGTTGTTCAAATGTAATTATAACTTTAGAAAGCGAAAGAGATTCCTCGACCTAGGGGTTTCAATCAACTATGTTGTTAGTATTGCCTTGCATTCTTTTGAACAGAGCCCGCGTCGTGAAGAGAGTCTGACATGGATTCAAACTTTAGAACATGCTACATAACAACGTACATCTGAAGCCTCGAGCCAGCTAGTTTCAGCAGTATGCCCGTACCCCGGTGCCTATACTAGTCTGACAACAGACCGGCCTAAGTAGACACTCCATCGAAGAAAACCACGGCGAACAGCACTAGACTACAGTAACCACTTGACAAAATGTAGTTGAGAAAAAGTAGCAAAACACCGTATATTTTCCTGTCTTCAACCACACGCAATTTGTATAAGCTATAGCCAAAGCAAAAGCAAGTTCAAGAAAGGAAAAGCAGAGCAAGAAAAATTCAATTAACGCAGTGTAGAGATTCCGATTATGGAAGACATAATTCGTCACGCGAAATATCTAGAAACGAAACAATAAGAGCAACCGGTAACGACCGAGCAGGCGTGACAGCCCAGGGTATGAATTCTAACAACAGTAGTACAGGAAGGGTCTCATGGGAGTAAGGCTGAAGGGGGGTAAACAGAGGGGAAACATAAAGAGTGCAGTCATTGTGTCTCAGAAACGATCTTAACGAAAACAAAGCCACGATATCTGAGATAAAGCAAAAGTCTAGGTTCGTAAGTCTCTTTCACCACGCGTATCGGAAGCCAGAAGGGATAACGGGTTGTACATAGATGAGAGGGATGGAGGAATGAAAGGAGATGGGGGAGGAGAGTTGAAGTTGAAGAGAGGGGAATTAGGAGTTGAGCGAGAGGCCCGGGAAGCGGGTTAGCCATTCGCCTTGGGCTTGGTGCATGCGGGCAGCACCGGAGCCGGTTGAGCCAATGCTGGTAGGGTAATCGATGGACTCGGCCGGGGCGAAGTTAGCGGTACCCGGGCTACCGAAAATGTCGGAGTGGGACACATCGGTCTGCTGAGGTGGGGGGAACGTCCGGTAGGTGTCACCATAGGCTGTGCGAAGCATGCCGGCGGGAACATCACGTCCTGTGTCTATGGCATCACGCGAGCCGCCGTAGGATCTGGCCTCGTGGTGACGGCGCTCCGTATCCACACCATAGAGGGGGTTCGTAATGGCACCAGGGCCGGGAAGACCGGGGTTGGGAGGGGTCACGAATGAGGCTGGATTGATGGCGGACATCCAGATGCGAGTCTTGTAAATCTTGAATAAGTCGGTCACCAGGGAGTTAAAGTTGATATATGAATCCGCAAAGTAGTAGAACGTAAGCTTCTTCCAATCCATCTGGAACTCCGCATCCAGAATCTCCATATTCAATCGGTGCTCGACAACTTTTTGTTGACACACGCGCTTGGCTTTGGCTTCATTGCCTTCTTTGTCATGCAAAGTCATAACCTCATGCTTCTGCGCCAAGCGCTTGATGAGCTTCGGCTTGATTTCCGAGCTCTGCTCCTGCACCCCGTGCGGACCATGGGGGCCCATGCCGCCGGTGGCGCTGCGGGTGTTCAAGCCCGCATTCGGGTTGGTCAATCCTGACCCCTCGAGCTGACCATGTCTAGAATACATCATCAAGGTCTTATAATGTTCTTCGGCGTAGTGCTGCTTCAGCTCACGGGCCTGCTGGAGTGATATGTTGGAATGAATGACGGTACCGAGATCAGTACCACGATCAGCCTCGACAATAACCAGATCACCTTGCTTCACCTGGAGACCAGTATCTTCTTGGATGTAAAAGACGTCTGCGCGGCTGCATTTGAAGGCAACAATATACAGCAGCTGGTTCTGATGGGCGTGTACAAGGGTAGATGAAGGACGGCCATAACCACTTGACATTGCATACTGACTGAGGGATGATGGAATTCCGGAAGAGCCATCTCCACGCAAAGTCTGTTCACGAGGATAGTAAGATTCTAGAAGAAAAATATTAGCATTCGATGTAGGTCGTGTTGAAGGGCAAATCAACTCACGGCCAGCATAATCGTTAATGTTACCGTAGACGTCATCGCGATCCCCATCGTTTGCGCGGGGAGTAACAGCTGCAAGGGGATCCACTGAACCGATCGATCCATGGCGCATAGGGATATCGGCAAAGGAGTGTCTGCGACTCTGAGGCATGTCGGGCATACCACCGAAACCAAGAGAAGTCTGCCAATGAGCCTTGCGCACATTGTCCAGTGCACGGTTTTCGAGCTGGGGAGCGAATGAACCGAAACCTTCTGGGTTTGCCGACTGCTCCGAGAAGCGACGGTTAGACATTCCACGGATACCGTGGTATCCTGCAATATCGCGCAGTTCTCCAATATCTTTAGTGCCTCCCAGGTCTTCTTCTGGCACACCTCCTCGAATACGATGGTGCAAGGCATGGTGAACACCTGCGCCGATGGACGCAGCAGAGCCAGCTCGCTCACGATATCTGTTATCCATTTGACCTGCCGCGGCGGCTTGTCTGAGGATGGCATTCTCACGCGCGAGCTGCTCAATTTGCTGACGTGCCTGACTCGCCGAGTAGTTCATATCCGTTTCTGAGCCGTTGAGGCTGTCATTGCCGTCGTCATCTTCTCTGACTCGACCGAGCATAGCGGGATCATGTCCTAGATCTCCTAGCATGCTGGGACGTGAAGCTCGAGGCTGGACAGCTGAAATCTGGCCTGGGCCTCGAGGGCGACCACCTGGGTATGGTGGGCCAGCGCCAGGCTTGCCGGCGCCTAATCCGAGAAATTCAGGGTCCATTTGTCCCACTGAATATGACTGGGATCGATAGGTCTTCGGGGTTGGGTGTAGCGGGATAGAGAATGGGATGGCAGATTCACCGGAGATAGTGCGAGTGATCGGGCTCAGCATTTCATCCTGCATGCCGCCTGCCAGAGGTGGGTTGATCATCGTTGGAGAGGGTATCATTTCGGACAAGCGGGGAGGAGGTTCTTTGCGTGATTCAGGGTTCCATATGCCAGCTCCCGTGCCCCAGGGAAATGTGCTTCCCCCTGCCTGGTTCCAATTGAAAGACCCGGCCATGTTCGGACTTGTGGTTGTTGCCCAAGGTGCCTGGTCAGTGGATGGGCTCGTTGGGTTGGATGGCGCTGAGGCCAGATGACCGCCGGGTAGGGAGTGCTTGCGCTGCGCTGAAAGTGGCACCTCATTCAGCCACGACGTGCGACGAACCGATGGTTTATTCGACGGAGGGATGATGTTATTTGAATGTGCGGCATGATCTCCGTCGTCATCTGATGAAGCTAGTGCTTCTGAGTCTGGGGTAGAGCGGCGCACGCCCGGATTGGTCTTTTCGAGAATAGCAGACGCTGTTGCCGCAGCAGGCGGCGTTGAGGACGGTGCCATCGAGATCGGTTTGTTAGATGGCGCAGACATGATTTATTATCATAGATCCCTACTGCCAAGATGTCAACTTTGACCTTCAATCTGAAATGTATGACAAAAAAAGGCCTTTTCGGTCATTTCTTGTGGACTGTGTCACCAAGAGTGCCACTTGACACCTCGTGAAGCAACACAACCAGAGCGGGGTTTTCTGATCAAGAAAGAGCCCTGGGTAGGAAATATATGGAAAGGGGGGCACACTGACCTGTACTCTCTTTGCAAGATATTTGTAAGGGTGCACTGTATAGAGATCGACAAACACCTATCTTTGTCCCACACACTCAGAGGCAAGGATGATAGTGCAATCTCTGTCTTTGGCAAACACTGGGCGATTGATTTTGGCGCCTATGTTCAATAATTCCTATATTTCAGTCAGAATTGTCCATTGTGAGTCGTGGGTGAAGCATGAAGCATGAAGAAAGACACAGCACTGATATCACAGGGGTGGCATGACTGAGAGCTGCAGGATAAAGTGGGGATGTGCAGATACGCAACTTCGCAACCCCTCTTCCTGGATAGTTCCCCGAAACAGGGGTTGTGGGACTTGTATCCTGTCTGGCATCATGCGAGTGGCAGCTTTGCAAGCTGCTCCACGTAGCGGGTGTGCGGTAGAAGTGAAGTAGAAGAAAGGTCAAGGTGAATATTGCAAACCCCACAATTTCAAAATAGAGTGAAATTATAGTTAGAATATTGAGAAGGGTAGGAATTCAAGAATGAAAAGGTAGAAGATGCTGTTCCAGGTTCGGGGTTCCGGGTATGGGGTACGGGGTACAAATTGTAGAGCCCAAGCGGACTCAGTCGGGCCTCACGCACCTCGAATCGATTGAAAGGATCGCAGGAAATTAATCTTCAAGCTGCCACCTGGGTGAAACGCAGACGTCTTTCAAACTCAGTGGTATTCACAAAGAGTAAAGGAAAAGAGCCGAAAATCAGAAGCCGTCGCGTGATCGCAATTGTGTCTGGGTGGTCCATGATCAGCCCAGTTGTTCCTCGGGAGCGGGGGTTGCGACGCGCCACTCACCACTCTATTTGCTTGTCGCTTCTCACACTCTTATTCCCCAAAGATCTATCAAACCAGATGCGTGCGGTGATCGTGGGTCTCGTCAAGAGTGTGTCTGCTTTGGGGCGGTCGGATGTGGGGTGATATGGTAGATCACGGTCGGAGAACAGCCCGCTGTCGAGCAAGCTGTTCTAGGAATGGAAGCGCGTTGGAGATCGAAGGTAGGTAACGGTGAATGCGCTCGGGGAGTTTCACGGGGTAGCGTGACCAGAGATGACGTGGGGCCGAGGGGATGGGCTGATCCCGCTATTGATGGCGCATCTTGCAAGTCTGGGGGAAATGGAAAGGGTGAAAAGGAAGTAAAGAGGAAGAGGGGAATTAAGAGAGGGGGAGAACAAGCTGGGGTAACGTTCTGCTACGGATCTGGCAACGTTGCCCCGATGTTCAGGGGACACGGACCACTGTGGATAATGGAGTCTTACCCTTGACGTACACTAAAGAAGAAAGGTATATATTGTGTTATTTATATTTATATGCTCTTATACGAGGCATCTCCAGCTCTTAGACTTATTGGGAAAATACAGAAGCTACTTAAGTACATCTCAGATGCTTCAGTTTCTCTCTCAGTGGGAACTACTCCTCATTGAGTGTAGCGCCACTGCGGGTCATAAAGTCGATCATCTGGGGTTGTGTAAGGGAGAAATTTCAACAGCCCCGGACTTCAACATATGTATAGTCGTCTCATCAAGACAACTGTGGGATATTTGAAGACTCTCGCACGGCCCCGTCGGGTCGCACACTTGCGGGGCACAGGCCAGACTGTTCTGAGAACAGTTACCCCGGATTGATATGCACCTTTCACGCTGCCTAGACTTTGTCCACTTGACCCCTCTGTCAGGGCCCCAGTGGCCAATTGACTCCGGAGCTTCCACTGTATCCGAGGTCCCCTCCCCTCTCGAGGTTGAACAGTGTGCCACCAAGTCGTGTGGTACAATTCGCACTTCACATTGAAGTGGGCACATAGAGACCCTCTTGTCGGCTTCATGTGTCGCCAATCAAACCCCACTCCGGCCCTCCGACCGGGTTCATTCCCTGTTCAATGCAACATGGTAACAAAACAAAACAAAAAAAAACAGAGGGGTTTGACGTAAGGGCTGTTCCAATGTTCTTTGCAGTTCACTCCAGGGTTTTCCGGGGGGAGGCCAACCCCGCATGCCGAGAGCCTGACATTTACGGCATCCCAACTAACTATACTCCGTACGGGGTAGATACGGGGTAGAGCTATGGGATGCAAGGTTCTACACAATATGCTTCACTAAATTAAATATTGATCCATTTTATTGCCTTCTAACCATTAATGTACAGAGTATATGCGGTTCATACTTTATGGCGCACTGTCCAGAGGCGCACTGGCGGTGGCAGCAGCACCCTTCTGCTGGCGCAGCTTCTCCTCAAACTTGGAGAATTCATGCATGGAGATGATCTCCTCCTCATCCATAACCTGCTCCACACCCTTGACCTCCTCAATCTGCCAATTAAGTTAGTGACTGTCTGCAACAAAGAGAGGGGAACCACATACATAGTGCATAAGCATAGACTCGATACCGTTCTTCAAAGTCACGGTGCTGGAGTCACAAGTACGGCAAGCACCACGCAGCTTAAGCATGACAATACCATTCTCGAATCCCTTAAGATCAATATCACCACCGTCCTCCTGGATGGCGGGACGGATTCTCGTCTCGAGAAGCTCCTTGATCATGCTGACAACCTCATCATCATCCTCGTTGTAGGAGAGCGAGTCCTCACCACTTTCCTGGTCGATGTCGGTGGCACCTTCGACGCTTGTAACGATGGTCTCACCCGATGTCACGGCCTGCGTGATGATGCTGAAGACCTCGGGCTTGATGTGTGCCCAGTTCGCATCGCTTCCTTTCGTCACGGTAATGAAGTCGGCTCCGTAGAAGACGGAGGTGACACCCTCGACATCGAGGAGTTTGGCGGCGAGGGGAGATGGGTGTGGCGGAGCGAGAGTTGAGCGCGGAGTGAGATATTCCAAGAATGTGCTGGGGAAATCCTCTGGCAGGACGCGGTGGTTGGGAATGAATTTGAGGGCCTATTAATCATTCGAACGAATGGTAAGCCATTGAACTCTTGTGAAATGCGCCAATCAAGAATTAAGACTTACGTCGGGGTTGGGGGTGTTTTCAGTCTGAATGAAGATTGTGCGCTTGCTGGTTGGGGAGACACCGCTCACGCCGCCCTGTGAGGCGGGTTGTTGGAATGGCCGCACTGTTGGCCGGCGACGGGTCTCTGATGCTGTGAGGGTAGGCAGTCTCGTGGAGCTAGAGACCTGTCTGTAGGATGCAAACGCCGGTCTGATTGTTCGGGCAGAGCACTCGGCAGGAGCGGCGAGGCGGCTGCTGAGCAGGGCGCGGCGGAACATTGTCGTAGATGTGTTGCTCAAAGACATTATTTAGAATGATGATATCAACAAATTAGTGTCAAGAGGTGAAATGTAGAAAAATACTCGAGGCGTTTCCCCGACTGCCGGCTCTGACGCAATTTGATGCACGTGATCTGAGATGACAAATGGAAGGGGTTTCTCGTCCAATCAGAATCGATGCTTTTCACTATTACAGCGGTGCTTTCTGCCGAGGGTCGGAGATTCAGAGGCCAGTAGTTTACGGTGGATTGTCATCATTCACAGTGATGGCTTCTTGATTGAGCAGGAGAACGGTTGCTGATTGGAAATTTTGGATCTACCAAAGGCAGTCTGTTCAAAAGAGAATTGGCATGAAAAGACCAATCGATTTTCCGGGCTCGCCTTTCTTTCCTGGGAGGCAAGCCAGTTGCTGGTTCAATTGTAATGTTGAGACCGGTGGTTTTGTCGTAGAGCATTGGCAGCATGGTCCATTTAATCAATGGTATGGTTCGGAGCATCAATAACTAGTGTTAGTCCTTTACAGAGCAGTTGCGTATGAGTTTCAGGTTTATCACATATGATTGTCTTCTTGGTGGATTGAAGTCAATCATTTTCAAGATAGACTGCAGCAGAAGAGGATTGCGTCAAGATCAAGTCGATAATAACGCTAAGCTTAGCGGAAAGACCACTGTGAGCCCCAGAGCCCAGCATAGCGCTTGCTTGATCGGCGAGGGAGCAAACAGTACTATGTCAAGGCACTGGCAGTGACGATCCATGGACAGCTCAGTCCCTATGGTTTCAGGGAAGAAACAGTTGCTGGTAAGCAGTCTCAATCATCTTTTCGACCGACTCACCGTAATTTGATGTCTGAGTTCACACGGCACGGATTTCAGACCGAGTATGGCAGATTCTTTGTCCATCACAAGACTGGTTGAATAGTGCCTCCAACACGCCCAGAAATGGTCCACAGGTAAACTCCACCACGGCCCTGGTCATTTCGAATCAGATGAGCAGGAAGAAGCAATCAAGGCAGTTTGTAGCAAACAGTCTTTGCAGGTTGGCAACATCAAACCGGGGAAGACCAGTTATTCATCCGGTGCATGTTAATCTCTTTGTTTACCTGTACAAATAACGTTCATCTTCGATCTATCGTCTAGTCCCTTTGAAGGATACCCCGCGGAAACGTGGCTAGCCTTGACACATCGCACACATCCAGGCTTTGTTTTGTCCCACTAGACATGGATTAGGGTTGGACGAAGAGGATCAGGCCACAATCGGGCCCTGTGTGGGTATCCCGATTCCGATTCGACGGCTTTTCGGCACGTATCGTAAGCCTTTTTGTTATCCTAGTGGAAGCTGAATTGGTGAAAACGTGTCCATTCCTAGCTAGCCTAATAATAGAGATAAAAGGGGTCGGTCATGTGACCGTAACAACTGCCCCCCCTGAAATAAGGGCGCGTCTCCGGGCGTGCTTGCTAGCTGGCTGGTACATATGTCTGTGACGCATTTTTTTGTGATGTTTTCTTTTTTCTCTGGGGCATGTCAGGGGCAGGCTCTCTCTCCATCCTCGTG